ACAATTTAATCTCGATACTGTTGCATAAAAGAGCCTAAATCATTTAAAGCTACAGTGAGTAACTTTTGGTTTGTGTATTTCGGCGCCCCCTGTGGACAAATCAGGCAAATAAAAAAATAAAAAAACTATCAAGCTTGCTGCTTATGATCTTGTTAATCATTAAAATGCTTAATTGTGAATTTTTGTCAATTTCATAAACATAAAAAAAATCTCCTCACAGGAGCTTTAATGACAAAAAAAAGCACTTCCCTTATTTGTTATACAGCCAATCAAACACTATCACTATGGCGTGTTTTCAATGCTAATGCTAGCTGTAGCTATTGCCATGGTGTATCTCATGGATACATCTTTGGTGACTTTTCAGGTGACTCATAACATTATCTGATTGGATCGATGTCAAACATTACAATGATGCAATGTTATGGATTGTAACTGTTGGCGGCTAACTGGTAATTCCTGTATATGATGTTTGGATTGAACATTTGCTTAAGACTCCTGAGCTCGGTTCCAACTATTGGTTATCGGCCTAATGGACTACCAATTATTGGTATCTGTATCGGCCCTTTAGAAACAATATCAGTCTACCTTTAAATGTTACAGGCTGATCTTGACAGTTGTGAGAACAGCCTGAGGAGCGACTGAGCCCAAACCATCTCCGATAATTCAAGGGGAGCCAGATCCTCTCCTGCAAAGTGACAGGTATTAATAATTGCATAACCACCAGGCTCACTATAAATCATCCTTGACTTATCTGTGTGTAGACTCTCACTTTAATCTGAGCTGTTCGATGATTTACCGTGACAGTTTTAGATTCAAGTTCACACTTCAGCTCTGTTCAGTACAAATGCGACAGTCTCCAACACTTAAAAATGACTTAATAGAGTCATAAACGGTATGAAGATATTTATTTGAAAATTTGGCTGAGCTAAAAAATTAAATCCTTCTGTTTATCATGAGAAAGTTGGTGTCAGCAGGTAAATATTTCATGTTTCCAGAGACCTAAATAATGTCCAGGGTGCAACATGTTCTGGCACATGACCTCATTTCAAAGTATATAAAGATAAGAGGGTAATAAGCTTTCAAGAGTCAATAAAAACATAAAAACGCCCAGCATACAGATCACTCTGGAAACAAAATATGAGTTCTGGAGGTAAATAAAGCCCCGCCAGCCAAAGTCTGACTTTTTCCACTTTGGTCCATTTTGGCGTGGACTTCTTTTTAAACACTTTCACTCTATTTGAGCTGCTACTTCCTTCGCTGGTGCAAATATGGTGTTAGAAAAAACAGTCTTCCTTGTGTAAGAGAAACCGGTGACTGTTGTGAAATGTGACATGGGACGTCCTGTCCCTGGACAGCGCACACTCGGCTAAAGCCAACAGGACCAAAGAGTTATCTCATCCACTCTCTGTCTCTCACACTCTCGTTGTTTGCTGACTCAGACCACCACTTTTTCTCTCTCTCTGCGTCGTGTCGCTCCACCAGTTCTGCGACTTCACGCCAACACACAAACACACGCGCAAACAAGGAGGCGGCGTCTCGGGGTTAAGTGATATACAGAGCGGTAGCATTAGCAGAGGGGCTCCTCACTTCGGACTTCTGAGTAAGGATTTTCCCAGAATGCATGTGGCCCTGGCTCACTGACGCGAACACAGAGGAGATTTGAAACACAAGAAGCTGTTACACCATTTTTAAGAGAGGCAGCTGGCAGACGGAGCTGCTGCTGAGACGTTTCTTTTCCCTCGCTTCACAGTATCATATAAAAAAGAACGTTGTTGCTAATTCTTTTGTTATTTTATGACTGTTCAGAGACTAATTACAGGGTACGCTTTCAATCCAAGCGGCTGAGTCAGAAGTTCGATTAGTTCAAGATGAGATCGGATGTTGAGACGTCACTCTTCAATTGTTCGACTGCTGCAGTTTGTAAGAGTTGAAACGGAGAGCATGATCGCAATTATCAATCCCACAAGAACAGATTAAAACCTAATAAAGTAGAGATTATACGAAATTATCACAATGTTTATGCTGCAACTTCTTTGGGAAGACTCGACCTCATGAATTGATGTTTTTCCGTCTTGCTTTTAGGTTTTCCTTCATCGTCAATCTATGCTTTTATTTTGAAATATGCTACATCAGGAAGGTCAAATGTAACTAAACTGGCCGAAAACAAGCCGGGAACAATGTTGTTTTTGATTCATAATAAAACTTAAACATAAGTTTTAAAAGTGTCCAATCGTCTCTTAGAAGGAAGCTAACAGCTAGCTCACTAGCAGTCAGCTACTTCTTCTTCATCTCCTTTTTCTTATGACATGTGGTTTCCCTCCTTTGGCTTAGACTAGGGTGACCTTACGTCCTTTTTTTACCCAGACATGTCCTCTTTTTGGGGGGCTGTTCGGCCTTGTCCGAGGAAGTTTATAAAATCCTTCAAATGTCCGTGGTTTTGTACAGAAGTTTCGAGTTTGTGTCATGTGGACTTGCTGAGTTAGAAGCTCGTAACAGACACTCGATCCGACCCGAAAAACTCTTAAAATTACCTTCATGCGACTGCATGACTCCACCCCCACCGGTCGTGTCCCTTTTTTGGGGATTCAGAGTATGGTCACCCTAGCTCAGACAAAAATCTAATTTATAAATACTTCTCAAAAATCTCCGTCTTCATCTTCGTCTTAAAATAAAAACCAACCACTTTGCATTTTGTTATCTTGGCGGTTTAATTTTGGCGGTAAAAACTTCAAAACTTTATCGGTCTCTTTAGTTTTAATCTGCGTTCGTGGTCCCACTTACCTCCTGGACCAGAGAGAAGTCAGAGAGTTCAGAGACTATAATCTCCCACATGTTTAGAAACTGACGCTGATGGGAGTATGTGTGTGAGTCCGTGTGGGTCCACATGCCAGTTTCTGCCCTCTGCTCTAGTCAGTTGATGAATTGTGTAATTATTAATAGAGGCGCTGCCCCTTCAAATCCCAGCAGCAGATACACAAATGCAGATTAAATTACTGCCTGTTACTTTATAAAGAGCAGGGAAGAACCAGCAGTGTGTGATATTGTATATGCGTGCAAACACTGTGACGGACTCTGATATGTGAGTAGGCGTAGATGAGCGTCAGCATACGTGTGTGCAGAGGCTGGTATGCCAGAGTGTGTGTGTGTGTGTGAGAGAGAGTGTGTGGCTGTGGGTAGACAGGCAGACTTGGCCTTCATGCATCGCAAATATTTATCTGTGAACCTTCTGGAGGCTGCGCTGGAGACGCTTCTCACCTCCACCCCGTCTCCACAGGAGGAGAAAGTAAATCTTCAGCTGTGACACATTTCTGCTTCTCCGTTCAGATTCAATTACTGCAAAAGATTCAAGTTTGCAACACTCTTTGAAGCACAAGAGGTACAAATGTGGTATTGTGGACTAGGGCTGGACCAAAATTTCAACAATAACCTACGCCATTTTGCCCATATAAGTATATTAAGTGTCAAAAAAATTAAAAAATAAAAGTTGGTTTTGGATGTGTGTAGGTAGGCTATGGTCTCATGTCCCTTTAAGACACTGTCCTACGTCAGAGATGTGACTCCACCCTATCCAGCTTGGAACAAAGAGGGAAATAGGAGATGGAGGATGGTTCAAAAGTTTTAGAAGGAGTAGATGAAGTTAAATCTAGGGGGGTGAGCAGCTTGTGGAGTAGTTATCGTCCATTTATCGTTATCGAGGTGATCTGCTCAATATATCGTGATATTGATTTGAGGCCATATTGCCCAGCCCTATTGTGGACTCAAACTTCTTATAGGAGCTTTAATCAAAATAATTCCCTTTTTTTTTTTTTTTTTTGCATTTTTGCCTCAGTTCTTAAAAAGCAAGCTACAAAATTTTTAGCCCAATTTTTGCAAATTTTTTTGCATACATATTTTAAAATATGTAGTAAAAGTCATTTCTAGGGATGTCCCAAAGAGGCTCATTTCCTCGTCCGTCAAACAGACACAAGAATTCCAACTACTCAACTATTTGTAAGTCTAAATGCACACATCCGTCGTCATGCATTCACCTGTCTGTCACTGTTTCATTAATGAAAACATACCTGGCAGTTATTTAAAGCTTTCGTTGTGATGTCTGTCACAGTTACATCAACTCTGCTTTCACTCATGATCAAACTTGCATAACTCTTCTTGCCGAGTAATGCTGATTAACTACTCTACCCTGAAGCATTAATACGACTTGGAACAAAATGTATGCAGGCTGGATATTTATTACAAGAAATTACACAATCACGATTCCTGCTAAAACATTTCCCTGGAGTGTGGCGATTAGCCAAGGTCTGAAATGGAAAAGCTATGCGAAGCTGCAGCATACTGTGTGTGAGACTGGTAGCGAACTGGCAAAAACATGCGAAACCACTGGTATTTTCCTTCTGTGCATGTGCAGGGAACAAGAAACCAACATGAGGAATAAGGAGCCGCATTTAAAGTGTCAAGTGGCACAATAACAGGACGTGCTGGTCGTGTGCGTAACGCATGAGTCAATGAACCGCAAGCATTTGGGAATAAGCACATGCGTGTTTTTGTGTGCGGCGATAGCGGGAGCTGGTTCATGTCAGCGGAGGAGAGGAACAAACAGAAGTGGAAGAAAACAGATGATAAAGAGTGAAACTTGTGGTAAAATTCTCTGTAAAGTTTGTGCTCATTAAGATCAAGAAGTCCCATGTGGATATAAAGTTCCCCCCGTCATGTAAGCAAGCAGCAGGATGACGCACATGAAATAACTACCTCCGTGTGTGTGTGTGTGTTTGTCTGTGTGTGTGTGTTGAGGACAGGAGGGGATGATTCATATTCAGAAACTCCTTTCAAAGCCTCTAAACACATGTGCCGATGAAGGCCGTGCGCTCACACATACAACAAACATGATCAACTTCTGGCGTATGAATCCGAAACACGTGCAAACACGCCACTTTTTCCTCCTCTCCCGTGGATCGACAACTGGTCATGAATACAAACAATTTCATTAAAGCCAAATGAAATGCAGCAGAGAGCGTGCATGCATGGGCTGATACAGAAAAGTGTCGTACCCCTCAATCATCCCTCGCCTCTCCACTTTCTGCTTGTTTGTTCTTCACTGCGTAAGACTAATAAGTAAACAGGAGCGATGTGCACATTTAATTTCCTCTCCTCATCCAGATAGAGGCTTTTAATGCTCTAGTTAGGGGGCTGTGACGTCCGCAGCGAGGGAGAACATTGTGTTAGCGGCTGTGGACAGGTGTAATTGTAGATTTCAGCCATGTTCTCCGTCTGAGCGGCAGAAACAGAACATTAAGTTTCCCAGAAGAAGACAAAAACATTTAAAGATGCTCTGCAGGCCTGTAAACACTCCCTGAACACATACATGCGGCTCATTTGAATGCATGTGTAAAGAAATATAAGAGTGTGCAGACTTTCAAGTCCCAGTTTGTGCTGGATTCGGGTTCGGCGTCCAGCTCATTTAAATTTCCCACATGAATGGCGAGTAAACAAATCCAGGCCGACACGATGGCTGGTGAAGCTCGGTGTTGGCGCTGAATCCAAATGAGATTTCTTCTCAAGTTTGGCCTTAATGATGACTTCAGAGAGACAGAGAGGCGGACTGCTTTGTGCCGATTTTAATGGTATTAAGCTACCAAAGCGACTCCGACTCCTGACTCCGCCCACATTAGCTACGGGATGTTTGGGACGACAACATGTTGACTTCACACATCCGTACTGTGATGTAATACAGCAGATAGAGACGTACATAACTCCAAACATTTTGTTCTTTTCTGTATAAATTTGTTTGCTCCACGAGTTTTTCTTGTTTTCGATAAATAGCTTAAAACCACGTCTTTATAACCGGCTGTAAACATCTTGGTCAAACACAGATATAACTAGAAAAGCACTCGGAGAGCGCAGACCTCCGCCAAGCAGCTCATGTCCCCCCTTATATTGTGATTCACACCAAGACTTTTACTGTTACGTGTCTTTTATTACCTCCGCCAAGGAGGTTATGTTTTCGGTAGCGTTGGTTTGTTTGTTTGTTTGCAGAGAAAGTAACAGACAGATTGACCTGAAATTCTGGATACTGTGATCCAGAACACACAAAAATAAGGATGTCGTTGGAATTTTCAATGCTGAAAGATAACCAATGGGCGGCACAGTGGTGTAGACAGGCGGTACAGTGGTGTAGTGGTTAGCACTGTCGCCTCACAACCAGGTCTTGGGTTCAAATCCCGGTGAGGGCATTTCTTGTTTAAGGGGGGACATGAGCTACTTGGCGGAGGTCTGCGCTCTCCAAGTGCTTTTCTAGTTTGTGTTTAAACTGGTATGTTCACTGTTCATAATGTTCCTAAAAAAAGACATGCCCTGACCCGGATTCGAACCGAGGACCTTCTGGTTGTGAGGCGACAGTGCTAACCACTACACCACTGTACCGCCTGTCTACACCACTGTGCCGCCCATTTGTTATCTTTCAGCATTGAAAATTCCAATGACACCCTTATTTTTATGTGTTCTGGATCACAATATCCAGAATTTTGTCTGGATCACCACCAAAATTTTATGGGATCCTCCTGGGGCTGAGACGCACCTCTGGTGAAAATTTCAGGTCAATCCGTCTGTAACTTTCTCCGTAAAGTTGCCAACAGACAAACAAACTCACAAACAAACAAACCAACGCTACCGAAAACATAACCTCCTTGGCAGAGGTAATCAACGATAATTCGCCTCGCATTACAAATCTATCATATCATCTTTAAAGGTTTATTTAGTTCACAAAAAGTCTAAGAGATAACGTCAAATCAACACTCTGCATAAACTCTCTGAATCAGAGGCTCTGTTCGTCTGTGTTCTGTGGATCTTTGTTCAATGGGATAATGGCTCTGCTCTACAAGGCTCGCCTCCAGCTGCAGGAATCAGTTTAACCAAAAGAAAACTATTTCCAGTCAGAAAACCGATGTGCTTGCCCACATAACCCACTGCAGCAAACACACACAGAGAAAAAACACACATCCTGAGCCCCACAGCGTATTGGGCAATTTCATGAAGTAAAACCCGGCGGAGCGCAGGAAGCTGTTAGTTCTTCCGCTGAGGCTCGGTTACGGTGCTGACGCTGAGGTGACGTGGGGGTGAGGCAGCGCTCTAAAGGTTAACGACCGTTCTTAGGCCGATAATGGCAGCAGTGAGCAAACATCAGCGCTCCTTCATTCGATCTGCACTGATGAGTTACATAAGGCGGGTCGAGGGACTGTTTGTTCTTCCCTTCAATCGCCACAGAGAAAGTTTCAATCATCTTGATCAGGGGAAGTGTTCTGGTTGGAGGTGCTGAATATTGACTTTTCTTGACGTAGATAAAGATGAAGAGCGTGCAGGTTTTTTTTTATGCACAAAAGGGTCAATGTGGGTTATTTTTGTCTGATTGGTTGTCTGCGTGTTGTATCCTGATCACTTTGAACAGAGCTGCAGTGACTGCGGGCCCCGCTCCATGTGTGACGATTAGGTAACTCCAATATGCAGAGTGTGTGTTTGTGTGTGTTTTGCCTAAAGCTTCCCTCCAGGCAGTCGGAGTTGAGCAATCTGTTAAAAGGTGGCCCCTCTGTTCCCATGAGTTTTTGTTCCTCTTCTTCAACTCTGCTCTCGACTTCACAGAAAGTTCTTTAAACTCCTGTTACAGACAGTTTAACTCAAAAGAAGACAAAATGTACTTTCTAGTTTTTACCTGAGAAGAGGAGATGATTAAAAATCGCTCAAAATTATAATTCTCATTATAAATAAATACTCATTTCACTATCTGTTCATGAGCTGCAGGCACTGAAGGGGTGATTCTTGGAACTAAAAACTAAAACTGCCTCAGGTGTTGTAGCTCATGAACATGAAAGAGGAGAACATTTAAATTGTTGGTGTTTAAAACAAAGAAACTAAGAATCCATACTTGCAAGTATAGACTCTTAATTTGGAGTTAGGAAGACTGGGTAGGCAGGAGGCTTGATCATGTGTTTTAACTGCAATCCTTCCCCCTCCTGCGACAATCCTTACCCCCTACAGTAAGTGGCGACAATCCCCCTTTTCAGCCCATGCTGCGTTCCAGTTACCTCGGAAGTCGGATATCGGAGCTGGGAATGACATTACACCCGAGTCACCAGCGTTTCAGTACCAAGTCGGAAAACCAAAAAGACGCCTACATAGGCCATTGCCTGCTATTGTTTACAATTGTCAGTCGTTGTTAGCGGTTGTCAGCTGTTGTTGGTTGTTGTTAGCGATACCTGTTGTACGCAACCCATGACACAGTATTTTACTCTTACTAACACCATAGCACCGTGTTCACAGTTAGACTTTGGGCAGTACAACATATACCACTTATTTAATTTCACAAAAAGTGCTTATAGATTATAAGTTACGAGAGCTTTCACTGTTACTCTTTACTGTTGATGCACTGCGCTGCCATCTTGGATTATGACGTTGTCGTCAAGTTGGAGTTGGTGAGGATCGTCCAACTTTCCAAGTCGGAAATCCGACTTTAGGGGTGCGTTCCAGATGAGTTTCCAACTCAGAGCTCGGAAATTCTGACTTCTGAGTACAACTGGAACGCAGTATTACTACTATCAAGTCGTCTCCTAGGTGACGCATTACATGTCAAAACAGTCAGCAAATCCCCTCCAAAAAGAGGCTAACCGAATGCACGTTGATAATGAAAACAGTCACTTTTACAGCTCTGTGCTGTTTGTTCGTTCAAAAGTTTCGTTTTTTTTCATGTCCTTTCGTCCTCTGTCAAGGTTTTGTTTACTACCTGGTTTCCTAACAACACATCCTTGCTATTCAACTTCTGGCTAAAAGCTTGTTGTACAAACTCTGGGCTAGTTTATGTTAGCCCGATGATTAGATATTTGATTTTGTGCGATTTCAGATATTACCTCACATGTCTTTAAGCCACATAGTCTGAATGGTTTACTTAAGCATATCCATTCACCGCAGACTTTTCCCACTAAATAATAAAACCACATCTAGATAAAGTTTTCAGGCACCTTTCCACAAAGGTTATCAGGGGTTATTAGCCTAAGTTATTAGCATAATTAGGCACAATTCACACAGTCTAGTCGGATCAAGTCAGATTGGAGTGAGCAAAAAAAGGGATTCAGCTCCTTTGAGAGTAACTTGACCTCCTCTGCAGGAGTCTGGAGGGATAGAGGAGAACTACATTCACACCCTGTCGCCATCGTCAGCACTTTGGCTAACCCTGAGATCAACTTTGACCTCCTCTCATCTCCTTAACCTCCTCCACCTGATCCATCCGGTCTCTGCAGCACCTGAGATGCTCTGCACACAGATACAGACGCAAAAACATGTACTGACACCATGTAAACAAACAATATTACTGTAGCCAGATTGAAGTACACACACAAACACGGCCTCCATGTGAGAAGTGGCTCGTTAGTAGACGTTAATCAGCTTAGTGCTCTCCAACGCCCACGGGTGTTAAGCTCTTTACAGACAAACCCAGTTAGGGGAGAGGCAGCTGAGCGACGCCGTGGCCCCGAATCCAGCGAGACACACACACACACAGTCAGACGCACACAGATCACTGCGGAGACATGGGGAGAAACACCGCGGCGGTGTTGACATCAAGACAATCATGCGCGGGGAGAAAAGAGAAATTTATATGAGAAGAGGTGGAAAAAAAAGCAGCTGGGAGACAAATACAGAGTGAAAAGACGGCAAAAACGGGGACACAAAAACGTGAAAAAGAAGCTCAAATGTTTTCCTGGGAGAGTGTGTGAGGAAAGAGGAGGAGGAGAGAAAAAAAGAGGGAACAAATCAAAAGGAGTGTGTGTGAAAGGAGGGAAACACTCCCTCCTCCTCCTCCTCCTCCTCCTCCAGTGCCCTCAATGAACCCCAGTTGGGTTGGTGGGTGGTTGCTCCATTTCTTTTTTGCAGCGCCCGACGCTCCCTGAGCCAGGCATACATCCCATACCACAGCGCACAATCAGCGCTCTGTAGACGGGATCATGTCCGTTCAGGGAGCTGGCACGCTGCCAAGTATATACACACACTGAACATGGATCGAGGCGCACATACAGTACACATGGTTAGAGAAGGAAACATCTATTTAACCTGAAAAAGCCCCAATAATGGCTGCAAAAAAGCTGCTGAATCGATCATCAGTTAGACTTTTCAATCACCAATAAATAGTCTAAAGAAGGTGCTGGAAAATGCAACCTTATGAGACGTTTTCAGATTTTCCTGTTTACTTTCGCCAGCAGTCTATTTCCAAAGCAGCAAAATTTACCAATCCTATAAAACGGCAAAAAGCAGCTAACCTCATAATTGCAAAACTGGAAGCAGAAACGTTTGACCTCTTTCACAAAGCTGGTTCAAAGGCTGGCAAAGTTGCTACACCGCTTTGGTCCGGACTGAAATTACATTACAAAATGATAAACAGTGAAATATAGTGTAGATACTCATGGTACCTAGAGGCTGACTCTGTAACAAGGTTCACTCTTGTGATTCTGGTGTAAATTTTAGTTTTCTTTCAAATCTACCAACTTTTTCTCTTTTTATTTTAACCTACACGTTTTGACTTCTATGCTTTATTTAGCGATAACACAATAAATAGACAAGGGAACTTTGCTCAATTAAAATGCTAATCCAGTTTATTATGAATTAACTATTAAAATCTTATCTCAAAAGTACACATTGTTCTTGTTTTTGTGATATTAGGAGTTTACAGGTTAGAAAATGGAGCTAGCATAAACAAAACTAGCTAAATACAGCTAAGCTAACAGTTGTGGAGCATTGTGCTGTAATGCTGATTTACAAATGCCCAATAAAGTTAAAAGTGAACCAAATTTTTGGTCACTTTTTGAGTTGTTAGTTAGCACACTTAGGGATGAAAAAATTTTCCCCTTCTCTCATTTCTGTTCGTTAAATAAGAAGCTGTAACCTGGAGATGTTAGCTTAAGTAGCCTAGCATAAACAACAAGTATGGGGGCAAAAAAACAGGGCAAGCTGTGTTAAAAAATATCCACATTTTAGAGATTTTAAAGCTAACTGTTATCTAAATCTTTAGACTAATGTGCTAAAAGCGTGGGGAAAGTTGTGGTTTGTGGCGTTTTCTTCTTTGGAGTGCTAATACTTCACAAAGAGGCAATTTACAAGAGGTAGCTAACAATTAGCCCTACCCTGACCAAAACAACAACCTTCTTACGGTGATTTTCTAATGTGGACATGCTCTGTAAGTTATCCATCTGTGATCTAACTTTAGTAAATAATGCTCTGTGTATTAAACCAGAGAGTCAGCCTGATAGAACAGCTGCTCTCATTCATTCATTCATTCATTCAGGCACAAATGAAGCTCGCACACCCAACTAAAAGCTCCTTAATTACTAGGAGGTGATTACCAGAAGGAAGAAGAAAAGTCTGGTGTGAAAATAAAAAAAACAGAGCAAAGAAAAAGTCCGATAAAGAAAGTGAGAGAAAAGACAGGAAGAGGGGAAGAAGAGAGAGAGGTTTGAAGAGCTGAGCGGGGAGGAAGAGAGGCTTTGTTGGAGACAGAAGGAGCAAAAGACTGTTGACAAAAGAGATCGGAGTAGTGTGTGTGTGAGTGTGTGTGAGTGTGTGTAGTCGACATGGACCAGAGCCAGGTCAGTGAAGGTAACTTTGCCCATTAGTTGAGGAGCTTTTGGCTGATCCCTGCTTCCTGAAGGTGATTGGCTTGAATCAACTGTCTTCGGCTTTTCGTATTAGGAGCAACACAGCCGCAAGACTTGTGAGCGTGCGAGTGCGAGTGTGGGTGTGTTTGTGTTTCTGAGTATATGTGTGTTTCATTCATGTGTGTAAATCAAACAAACTGAACTTTTTGATAAAAACCAAAAGAGCTCTGAATTGAAAAGTAAGCATGCACGGGCGTGGTAAAAAGTGTTTTTCTGTACCAACCAATGACAGGTTCAATGGCTAAAGTCCTCAAGTGCACACAAACACACACATAAAAAACACACACACGCACAAAAAAACACACTCCGTCTGTCCAGCGGCGCCTCTTTGACTGACCAAGCTGCCAATACAATTCATTACTGCGGTGCTGTGTTCTTGCATATGTGTGTATTAGTGTTATTGAATGTGTGTGTCGATGTGCGTGCCAAATGCATGTGAATAAGGCAGTAGTCAGTCAAAACATGACCAGAGTACTGAGCCATGAGCCAGGTTTTACTACCTAATTAGCATGCATTCACCCGGGCAGTCCACCAAAGACACACTAAGACACACACACACACACGCACGGAATGAAAAAAGACCACAACTGAGCCCATTTTGAGGAGCCCTTGAGCAAGGCTTAGACCCCCAAACACAAGAGCATTAAAGGATTTGTTGTCGAAAGAGCATTTCAGTCATGAAAGTCTGAATTCTCCAATGTGGCCATCAGATAAATATGACAGAAAAAAAACAAATATTAAAGCTCCTGTTAGGAGTTTTTAGACCGGTCACGAAACAGAGAAGATTGATTTTTTCTATAAGGTTATTTTTAAGGTTAAACATGGCCGCCAAAGGGGGTAGGTATGGGATTAGATAACAGAAAGAAATTAACTTTCTTGGTAAAGAATCATAACGGGAGATTTTGTTGAATGAAACACATGCAAGGGACAAAAATTGACCAGGAGTACCACTTTATCCACAGGGGGCGCCAAAGCTGACCCAAACAGAGGATTCCTCACAGGAGCTTTAAGGACATTTAAAGTTCAACAAATAAAGAAGATGAACTGTCTGCTCAAAGCCAAATCTGTAAAATGTAATTGTATACGTGCTACTTTTAGGAATTCATTTCTCATAGTACTTTTGGTCAGTATTTATCGTATGTATCTGCAGGAGATGTTGAAACTGAGATGTGACCTTCACCGGCTGCGTAGAATCACTGGAATTACAAACACACACACTAAAATGCACAAACACCTTGTGCTATCAGCTGATCGGTCTCTCTGCAGGCTTCATGTGATGAGCTCAAGAATGAAGACACTCTGGTCTGCTGCTCTCGCCCTGACCTCGTGAAATATGCCGTCAACATCACACGAGTCATGTTCAAGCCACACCGAAGCACGGTGATTAAAGTGTGTGTATGTGTGTGTGTGTGTTGAAGACAGCATATGGTGGGAGATGAGTCTGGTCAAGGTCTTGGGAAAATGAGAGACTGAACAGAGAAGGACAGGTGGGTGACAGTGACGTAAAGAATGAAAGAGAGTTCTTGACGTTGGTAATCACCATGGAAACACACATATTTTTCTCCATTCATAAAACAACCATGGCTAAAAGTTTTGACCATTATATTTCCATGGCATTCAGTGAGTGGTATTTCAAGAATTGCTTTTACATAAATATACCTGTACGCTTTCAAGAAGGAAGGATAAAACTTTGTACCGCAAAAATTACTTTGAGAATTTAAAATCAGCCGAGAGAGAAGAGGTACCACAGAGGGCACCGTTACAGATGCATATAAAAAAATCCTCATATTAACTTTAAATGAGTTTAAAGGCACTGTAAGGAGTTTTTAACTGGCTGATAAACAAACTCAAACTTTTACTGATGCCAAACAAGAGCAGAAGCGATGAGGCTGATATTTTTCCTGTTGTGATTAATGCTACATTCCAGTTGCACTCGGAAGTCGCAATTTCCGAGCTCTGAGTCAGATAATCATCTGGAACACCCCTCTGAAGTCAGATTTCCGATTTGGAAAGTCGGACAATCCTTACCAACCCAAACTTGATGACAGTGTCATAATCCAAGATGGCAGCGCAGTGCATCAACAGGAAAGAGTAACTGTAAAAGCTCTCGTAATGTATTATTTATTAGCACTTCTGTTTTGTTTTTGTGAAATTAAACAAGTGGTTTATGTTGTACTGCCCAACGTCTAACTGTGAACACGGTGATATGGTGTTAGTAAGAGTAAAATACCATGTTATGTGTTGTTTACCACTGGTTACGCTAACAACTGCTAACAACAACTGACAACGGTTAACAACAGCTGACAATCGTAAACAACAGCTAACAACGGGTAACTGTAGGCGTCCATCTTGGTTTTCCAACTTGTCAACTGGAACGCCGTCAACTTGGGTGTGATGTCATTCCTAGTTCTGACGTCCGACTTCCGAGGTTACTGGAACGTAGCATTAGTAAACGAGAATCTTTTGTTTAATTTCACCACGGCGATCACTCATAATGAGATACATTTAAATGTTAAAAGTAAACAAGATGAGGTTCTTGTTTGAAAACACTACTTTCACATGTACAGGGCGAGAGATAAACAGTATCATGCTGTCCACAGGGGGCGCCAAAATCAATTCAAACCAAAAGTTCCCTACAGTCATACTTAAATAGGCAGAATTATGTAATCCAACAAATAAAGGAAACACATATTCTTGTGTATACGTACATAAATACACCCATACAGATCTACAAGTTATCAGCTCAGCTCCTCCCCATGCTCGCCCTTTTATACGTCCTGTATTTCCCTTCAATGCCTCCTTCCCCTCCTTTATTCTCAACATTGACCTCCACTCCTTTTTTCTTTCTCTGAAGCGTCCTCACCCTTTCTCTGAACTCGCCAGTATGTCCCGCTCCAATATTTGAGTGTCAAACACTTTATGAAAAGGCCTTTTGATGTTTGTAGAAATGAGGCAAATAGTGACAGTGTGAAAGCAAATATGGTGGAGTGATTGTAAATATTACACACACACACACACGCGCACGCAAGTACACACACGTACGTACACACACGTTTAATCCATAATGCAGGAAAAATCCATTCAAAAGACAAAAAAGAGGTTATAGAAAGACTTTCATTATGAGCTTTATGATTCAATAATAACTGAGGATGATGATTCATAAAGGTTCAACAAGTGCTGAGAGGCTGAGCAGCATCATAAACACACACGCACACACACACACACACACGCACGCACGCACAGATTTAGTCCCTTTTCACTACGAACCAAATCCTCCCGTTCCCTCTTCTGCCTCATGTATTCTGCGGAAGATTAGTCTGTGACAGAGTGGACCTCAGGCAACATCTGCACACACAAACACACACACAGACACACATACACACGTCCTAACATCAACTCCCAAATTGAATAAAAGCATTGACTCCCACTAATGAAAAGAGAAATTGGATTATTTTTTGAGGAGCAGTCGTTACTGTCTGGATGTCCCAGAGCAGAGGAGTGGACAGAAGTGAGGGACTTCTTTAAAACCCTCATTACACAAATATACATAATAAAACTGATATTGAATAAAATACCGAATAAAACTGACTTGATTTTGTTCTATGTGTTGAGGTCATCATCCTTCAATACTTGTAATAAAACTTTATTTATGCAGTGAAATCCAGTTCAAACTTGACATCAAAAAACCGTTTCAAACCTGAAGTGTTTATTATCATGATCCCCTCTTTATGGTATAGCCAATCATACATAACAGTAACTACCCATCTTTTATTGACTCTCACACCTTTATAACCTCCAACACCAACTACACAACCGACCTGATAACTTTAAATATCTTTATCTTTACTTAAACTAGCTATCGTCACCAAAAACGACCCATCTTTCCATAACGCCAAACCTTTTATGATAGGCACAAACATTTTCTGGAATAAACCATTTTAATGAAAGATATCCAACTTTTCTTAGAGCTACGCAACTCTGGAGTTAACTACTGTCTTCTAAGATGCATTTTACATCCATACTGGCAAAAAAGTACAAAGACAAGAACATTTTACATGACGTCAAATCAATCTTTATTTGTAAGTGAAGTTAATGAATTTTTTAGGACTTTTTAAAATCGTATTTAAGACATTTTATGAGATTTTAGGAGAATTTTAGACATTTTAAGGCCTTACATTCAAATTATTGGATTTTAGATGCTTTAAGACTTTTAAAGACCCCGGGGATACCCTGCCAACTATAAACTATAACTATAAATACTTAATCTCTCCGTCCCAACTCTTACTAATGTAACTTGAAGCTCCTTTGAGTAGTTTTTATTTGGTTATGAAACAGCTTGAAATTAAAACTGATCTCTCTTTATCGCGCAAAAATCAACACAAATCAGAAGTTCCTCACAGGAGCTTTAATTTTCAAAGTTTCTGTTCAACTTTAATCTGAACATTTTATCTTTTATCATAACAATCAAACACTCTCTGTTGCATAAAACCTTTAACTTTTAAACAGCTACAGTATATTTCAGAATAAACTACCCGTCTTTTGTTGCTGTCACAGTCGTGTCACTTCTCCGTTGTTCTGGTGTGTCTCCCGCTACATTCCTAAATCACTCGTAAAAACACTTTAACAGGCACATTATCTCTTTTAAATGAACTATATGGAAACATTTTGATTGATTTATTGACCGACTTATATAAACTCACTCTCTGTGCCAAAAAGGAAGAGGAGGAAAACTCCAATCTGACTCAACATTCGCTGCTCTTTATCTGCTCTGAACCTGGTGATTGTTGAAACAAAGGATTAGATTTAACGAGATGTCAAATCCTTTCTCATACCAACATAAACCGCCCCGTGTTTTATGGTCTGACGAGTCCTCAGACTCACTGAGGTTTATCTCAGTCCACTCTTCCTTCATCTTAATTTGCTGTTTCACTGATACTTGAAGTGACACGTCCACGCTGATGCAACCACTCCAGGTTGTGCTGTTTCGGTTTGTTCACAAGAGCTAAGATCTGCAACAGTCAAGCGAGTGGCGGCATGTGGTTTTTCAACCAACCTGCAGGCCTTAAAGATGAAATCCTGTATTTTCAGTTTTATTATCTGACAGGCAGCCAAACACTAAATCTCAAGACCAGGATGCCTAAAACACTGTCCTGATGTAACTCCAGCTGGATCAAAAGTTGCACTTGTGAAACGTCCTCGCAGGAGAAACTGGTTTCCTCATGAAAATCAACACATTTGACGCAAGTTTCTGCAAGTAGTCCAACCTTTAAAAAGTGCAACATTCTGAGCCGTAAATTCAGCGACTGCACTAAACTCTGCAGCACCTGTTTTCAAGGAGTCGGTCTTGTTTTCAGTGGCTGTTTTATGTTTTACACAACGTATTCACACAGAAGGAAGAACCCTCCATGATGGCGCCAGATGTGGTCGGAGGCCTGTCCTTTATTCCTACACCGCTGTCTTTTTTTATGGGCTAATAGAAAGCTGGACCAAACATACAGCTGATAGTAGGAAAATCCTGTGACCATTTACGGCAGCGAGCAGAGTTCACCTGCAGTTAAGATCTGCTTGGTGCTGCAGTTTTTGTTTGCAGCGTCACACAGATTTTCTGCAGAGCTTGTTCGTCCGGCTCGAGACAAACTTTATGGAAACTAGAAGTGCAACAGGACAACTTTTTAAACCGACACTAAATGCTGTAAGAAGCACTCTAAAAATATGATTATGGGTGCAAAAAAGGCTGCCAGTGGACACAGGCCCTTATTTATCTTTATGGGGGTGTCATTTACAGGTGCAGCTAAAATCTCCAAGTTGGCTTTAAACTGCGTTGACTCTGGACTAGGACTGGGTGATTTTATGATCGTGATAAATTTCAGTTCAATCACAGTGATCAGCTGTGAGGTTATTTACTCGATCAAACACAACAGGAATGTGCGTCACAACAGCCAATCAGAGTCGAGCTTTTCTCACTTCTGTAAGTTGTCGGAGAAGTAAAAAGGGGAAGTAAACAGAATGACCGAACATGGAGCTTAACGCAGAGCTGAGGGCAGCAAAAAAGATGTCAGCCACGACTTGAAAAGACGCCATTGTTGAGGTGGTTTGTGTATCTCCAAAGTAACATCGAGCAATTAAGCCGATGTGTGACGTATGTCGGCGGTTGGTGCCCTCAAAAACCGGCAACACAACAGATCTGTTTAATTATTTAAAGAAATACTTCCCAAGTGATTATGCGGAAAACATGAAAATGTGAGCGGAGTCTGCACAGCCTGACCACACAAGTAGCATTAGCAGTTTAGCCACAACTAGCGGTGCAGCCACCAGACCAAAGCAATCGATAAATATCATCTACGTTTACATCATCTAATGTTTACATTTAAGGCGTCTTCATTATCCCTGAGGGGGTGAGTGAGAGGAACATTTGTTCTATTGTTGATAAAAATGTTTTTCTATATTTTTCTGTTTATCTTTAACTTTGTATGATAGTAAAATGTTGAATTAATCTCTAGTTTCTTCAGTTTTTAGTACAGATGCGTTAAAACTGGCAGTTTAAGAAGATTTTTTTTTAAATCGTGATAATAATCGAGATCGGACGATCTGACAAAATATATTGTGATCAATTTGTTGCCCAGGCCTACTCTGGACACAGCAGACCAACAGCAGTAGAGTCTGGAATAACTGGAAGTTTCACTTTTTGAACTAAATTGTGAAGAAAAATGAACTTTTTTTTCCGTTCATGTTAAGTTTTTAAGCTGCACCTGCGTTTGTGTGTATAAGTATTCGACTCAGATTACTCCTCCGGCTCTCTGTTTGACCTAATTGGGCACAGCTTGTTCTGAGATGATGCGGCGACACACATGGATGACCTCATCACATGGTGCGCGCTGGAAACCAGTGGGAAAAAAACGCCTCTGCACACACAGCCTTCAGAATGACCCCAAAAGAAAAACCCAAACAGAGGAGAGCTGTTGCTATGTGCACTGCGAGTTTCTGCGACTCCCTGAACAGACCACCCAAACAAGGCAGGAGCAGACTTCAGAGAGCTGAACATCCTTGACTTTGTCAAACAAACCACCTCCAAACAAAGACTCTCAGCGGCGCCTCCATTTTGTCCTATTACACAAAGAAACCAATCTGAATATGTGGGGGAAAAACCGGAGGTAAACACAGAAAAATGAGGCGTTTATTTTCTCAAAATGGATCCAGAGCCTGTCTGGTGCTGTCCTCGTCCGCGCTGCATCTTCCCGTGGGGGCTGATCAGTTGTGTAACGCAGTAATTAGGCTAATGAAGGAAAGTTGAGTTTGCAATGTGGAGAAATTTGAGCTTATTTCCAGCCTAATATGGATTATGTAATCATTAAAAAGCAGGGGTACGCCTCCCACCTCGACCTGTTTTTCATACCCACACAGCGGATTACACAACAATACAACAGAGGAGAGTCTGGGAGGCTAATGAGTAAATAAATCTGCTAAATTGACTAAATGCTCTGCACTGCGTCTTTCATCAACATAATGAGTCACACTCGATAAATGAATAAACGCTAAATTGATAGAGGATGAAAGATTTCCTCCTATCCCAGCAGGGTGCCGTATCAAGAAATTGCAAATCAAATGGCAGTTTTTTTTGGTTTGTTAATCCACATGTTCCTCTCTGCTCTTTTGGCTCCACATCTGTGTGTATTGTCGCTCCGAATACGCGCAGATCTTTTTGCTTCTGTGCCGCGAGGCTAATTCTGCAGAGACAGACCGGAGCTGACGGCACAAACCAGGTTAAAAGCTTACAGCAGATAAACGCACACACACACACACACACACACACAGCGCCCTGAGCCTCACCCTCTTTGGGGGTTATGCCCCGTCCACGTGGTTTGTTTTACATAACACTACGAGTGCTGTTTGTCCGACCTAGTGCTGCCCCTGATTACACACCAAGCGAGTGGAGTGTGTGTGTTTCGTGTAAAGGATTTGTGTTGTTTGTTGCAACATCAAAATATTTACCGTGACTGTCAGTTTGATAGTTTATTGGTCACATGATAAGAGGTTTATCTGATTCACCTGCCGTCCTCTACTGTTGCTAATCATTAGTCCTACCTGGCTGTGTTAAAATACTTGATTTGGTCTAAACCAAACAACCTAACAACAGCACAAACACACACACATCAAACCAACTCTATCTGCAGGAAGGAAGAGGTCTGGTGCATTTTACCATCTGCCTGTTGACACTGTGGCAAGACTAAAGGTCCTTAAACACCGGGGCCGACGCAAATATAGAACGCGAAATTATGAAATATTCTGAGGTGAATTTTGACGCACCTGACTGTACACATCAAGCCCGATGCGATTTTACGACTTTCCCGGGGAAAAAGACTCACGAATCGTGAGGGAAAGTCCCGCCTCCTTCGCCTCTGATTGGCTACAAAAGCTTGAAACGTCATCACACGCTCAAGCCAAATGGTCAGCACTTATAGCCAATCAGAGGCGAAGGAGGGCCGGACCTTCCCTTACCATCCTACAGGAAGCGAGAAAAAAAATGGAGTCTACTTCAACTTCAAGTGATGGAGAATTGGTACTTCTTTTGCTCTCTAAAAAGAAAAAGAAACGTAGCACATGGGTGTGTCCAATATTACAAAAAAGAAGAGAACTTTTTCAGTTCTGATTAGACACTAGTGTTGAGATGGCTGTCTGTCATGATAGCATGTACTGAGTCAGGGCCAGTACCAGATAAACACATGAAACTATGGTAACAACCGTTAGCTTACGTTAGCACAGATGAAAGTTCAAACAAAGACGTTTAGCAAGCTGCTAAAGCACACAAACCATCATCATACGAGAAATCCGACGCTATGACTCTCCACAAGTTGTCCTTCAGGTCGTTATCTTTGTAATGTTTGTGTCTTTTATCAAAAAACATCCGAAAAAATGAATGCCGCAATATCGCAGAACGGGTAAACGTCGCTGATGTGAACGCTTGTATTGACAGGATACGGGTTCGAAAAAAAATATTGACGTCCGAAATAATCGCACGTAAAAAAACGGTCCCGGTGTGAAAGGACCTTAATGCACCACCTGTTCACTATACACCTGATCTTGAACAACCTGGTCTATAGTCTTTATCTTGAGGGTGACGTCTGTTATTTGTTTACAGTACAGATCACCTGTTGTGTCCAAAGTGGACAGGGTTTAATTTCCAGAGGACTTAATTGTGCACGACTCACAGGTTGCTTCATCAACAGTCTTACTTTAAGTATATTTACTTCTTCCTGGCAAACATGAGCTCAGAGTTCGAGGTGGCAGCTGCCAACTGTGTCGAGAAATACAACCAGTTTTTCCTGTGTAACTAAACGCAGTTTCGTCTTCTCTGTTTTAGAGATGGACTGATTGATAGGTTAGTTGATTAATCAGGCAGATTTATGGAACTTTATGACCCTTAGGAGACTGATATGAAAATTACGTTTTTTAAATCCACTAAAAATCTATTTAAAACACGTTACTGGCTAAGGCAACCGTAAATGTCTGATTTTGATGCGCAAGATATTAGAGGTCCATCAATATAAATTTTTCCGATGGCGATAATAAGAGAGAAGGACAAGTGGGCGATATAAATGACCAATATCACATTGTTGTTTTCTCAATATGACAATGCAAACCAATGAGAAACAATAGTGTTAAACTTGAATGCGTCATTAAAGATATACCGACAAAAAAACATCGTACAGTAGAAAAAGAGGATTTTCCGATTTCTGTCCAGCTATTTGAAATGAGGGAAAAAAATATAATATATTTCTATTAATAAACTGCATTATTCAATACATTATAACAGAATTTTTAGATAACACCAATCAGTCTTAAAAATTTAAAGGCTGAAAAAGACATTTTTCATTTTAAAAGATGATGGGATATCAGCCTTCAATTAACTGATATCAGATGACCGCTGGGTGATCTTATTATGAACAGTTTTATTTATTAATCAGTTTATTTGACAGGAACATGACATGTTACGGCTTAATAACAGGAACTGATCTAGTTTTATATCCAAATCATCCTACCCAACATGGCATGAAATCCAAAATGATACTAATTTGCTCTGTCAGGACGTTAATCGTTTTCCCTGAAAGATTCAATTTTGTCATTATAAACAGTTTTGCCCAAATCTAAATTTAAGAAGTCATCTGAGTTGAACAGATTATGCGATGCCGCGTTTAAAGGGATAAATAAATGTATTTAGGGTCAATCCTATCCCGTGGGTGTGCATCAATCAGATCTCCCCATTAGAAACTTCCACCCAGAAGCAGTGAGCCCCAGTGACGGGGTTTTTAAAGGGCTACAGGTTATTTTGAGCCTGGCATACACATCCACCCCCAGATGGTAAAGAAATAAAGTAAAGCGACAGCTGGAAGCGCAGATGATAAAATTCTTTCACATGCTTTTCCTGGGAGCGAGTGTGGGAGGAGTAATTTAATTTAAATGAACATTTTTCCTGCAGAAAATCTGTTTTTAAATCATGAACCACCTCAGACAATTGTGCTTCACGAAGGTCGAGAAACTCCTTCATTAAACTGGGGAAACTCTGACACACACACTGGGAAATGCGTACAGTTACTGTGGAACACACTTTGGCTGAACTTGGCGCTTGTAAAACGCAAACAGATCGACACAGACACTTAAATTCGAAACACAAAAACAAACGGGGTCTGGAATTTAGTGCCACAGGGCTACAAAGTACACACACACACACACACACACACACACACACGGCTGCATGTGTTATAGTTGGATCATTTCAATTTGTTCCTAAAAGACCTTATCTAGAGTGAAATCTCTCACCCTACACTTCCTCATTATCTTAATCTTGAGCGGCTATTTTTGCATGTTACACATTACATAACCAGTGTCAGATAGGATTGTTTTTGGCACAAGTCCCACTACTGATGTTCAAATTTAGCCTTTGGCTTCCAGTACATACACGCACTGTTTTTTTCTACACAAGTTAGTGCATGCTGGCGGAAAAATCCCTGTAATTACAGCAGATCAGAGCCCTTTAAAAAGCAAACAAGATCCATGCAGACGAGATAATTAATCGCTGCTAAACTCTTTTTTTTTTTATCATTATTATTTGGTTGTCATGTTACATCTCTGTTTCTGTTTTTTTCTCATGTCGGCCTTTTCCTCCGGTTGCTGGAAAACATCTCTGTGCGGCGCTAAAATCTATTTTTAAGCATCTCTGTGAGCGTTAAACGGATGAAACGGAGTGAGAAAAGGGAGGAGTAGGAGAGGGCGTGAAGACAAGAGAGGTTCTGGTGAAAAAAAAAGAAACTGTTGAGCAGCATGTGAACAGAAGGGAGGGAAGGAATTTCAAAAATTCTCCAGCCTGGATGTCGAGTGAGGACAAAGGTTATGAGGGCTGAAAAAGTGCGTGGACGCGTATTTAAGAAGAAGAACAAAAGCGGCAATTAAGTAGAAAACAAGGAGAGGAGTAGGAGAAGTAGGAGAAGAAGCAAAATGCAAGATAGAAACGCCGCAAATTACAGAGTGCAAAGGAGGACTCGTTCAGTCCAGTCCGCTAGACTTGGGGCTCGGCCTTGCCGTCTGCCCACCGCGGCAAAAACACTTGAACAAAAGGATCATTTATTGGAGGAGGAAAGAGGGGGAGGCGGCATGAGGGGGTGGATGAAAGGAGGGGGAACACTGTACAGAGGCATTTGAGAGCTGTGTGAGTGAAACACTGGCCTCATCTCAACATTCACAGCCAATGTGTAACATTCTCCCCCCATGCTGTCCCGCTGACATACTCCACAGCCAGCGCCCATATGGTCCCACTGTGGTCGAATTTATATTTAAGATACACCCAGCAACACCTCCTTTTTCCACCAACATGGCTTCCACTTCCCAATAAAACCAACATGGCGACGTATGGAAGCAGGCTGATAGTTTATTTCCATCTGCAAAGTCTATGAAAACCAACTGTTGAGCTTCACTCGCCGCAAGATCCTATGATGAATTCTTGCTAATGCCCTTACATTTTTCATTAAATCCGACTGAGGAGCCCGGCTATGAAATGTTTACCGCAAAAACCCCATGAGGTTCGAGTCTAACACAACCTGAGGTACAAATCATGCAGAGGCAAGCAGAGCTGCATAAACAACAAGGCCTGGCAGGATGCATTTATCACAAGAGCCCCACTGTGGAAGCTTAACCAAGGCTACTGAGTGTTTTACTGATCCATATAAATCCACATCTCCATTTAAATGCTGCTCTATCTGCTCAAGCTGCAGGCGTCCATTTCTTAACAGGCCAATTTAGTGCAGACGGTGGCTCAAAGGGAGTGTTTTTGGATGAGGAAACGTCTCACAGTGACCTAGTTGAGGCATTGTTTAGCTGTGGTGGTCCCCCACAGCTAGAAAATTGCCCCTCACAGTAGGAAAAATGTAAACACAATGAAGATTCATCATCTGGCCTTGGTGACCTCCCTTTCTAACAAAAAAGGTTTGACAGCACCGCATCTACAATAAAACTGTAGTTTTTTGAGCCTGAATCTCACATGTGGATCTCACAGATGGAAAGTTTGAGCCCAGTGTGATCTCCGCTTGAGTGGCGCGTTTAAACCCTGATGATCCCATATCATTACAGCCTGATCTAAAACCCTGACAACCTTGATACAACTCTGCATACTTTCCTCACAAACATCATTTCTAAGAAGTAGATGGACTCGCTTCCCGCCGTCTTCCAATGCCACACTAGAGGATCTTTGGGTTGACAGGTCAGCGGAAAACAGGGTCAAAGTTCAGATTTATTGAGCTCAGACTGGGATGCTTCAGCGGTAGGTCTGAATGCTTCTCTTTAGTGAGAGTCGCGCTGCAGTGAGATGTATGTGACAGCTCAACTCGGTGGAGAACAATGGCTCATCCAGAGCGTAAGGGCTCTGCCACTTGTCATAAACGTGTAACAAACATCTCCTGAACAACAACAAAAAAAAACACAGAGGAGGTGGTGCAGCTTCTAAAAATCCATTGTAATTCACTGAATATTGATATTCAGTGACATTCCAATAGGTTGTCTGGTCTATGGCGCCCTATATAATCACATCAGATATAAAGTGTGTATGACTCTGGAAGCACACCAATCCACACACAGAGAAAATCTAATTATGAAAAGTCACAGCAACCTGTATACTGTACACCTGTTGCTGTGGATTATGCAGACAGAGTCATGTCCTCGTTCTAATCTGGCGTCAGGTTAAGTTTCATTATAAGCAGCACCGTGATTTCTTTTCTTTCTGAACACTGAGAGACGAAAAGTTTAAAAAAAACACTCGCTACAGCACCTCTTTTAATCACGCTCATTCTGTCCCTCTGCTTTACTAACACACACCTGCTATTGTCGCCTTGAGACTTGAGCCTCAAGTGGACACTCTAGAAACTACAGTGTTTTACATTTCTGCTTTAGCTTCATTTCTCAACACCAGATACTGCGAGTTTTTTACAGGAACATTTGAATCAAGTGATACTCAAGAGAAGGTATTGGAAAGAAACTTGGGAATCCCTCACGATGACTAAAAGCAGCTCTTACCTGTTCCCTCCTTGTTTCCATTCTGATGCGTCCGTAGTTCTTCTGATTTATAGAAGTCGATGCTGGCGTACGTGTTGAGGCTTGAGCTGCTGCTGCCACTGACCGCCGGGCTAACTCCAACAACCCCAGAGCCTCCGCCCAGTACAGAGAAGAGGCGTGAGGCAGCTTGGGTATTTGAGGGTCCATCAAGGCCCAAATGGGGGCTCTCCTTGTTGGCCAAGTCCAAGTCAATATAGTTCAGGCCTTGCTCCGAAGGGGAAGGCTGAGTGTTTGTGGGAAGGGTTGCTTGTCCAGGAAGAGCATACTGAGCGGGGTTGTCAGTCACAGCACCATTACCCCACAGCATGCTGTCAAATCCAAGCCGGCGGGCCACAGCTTGGGCATGTTCTGGAAAGAGGGAGGCGGTGGAAGAGGAGGAAGTAGAGGTAGAGGTGGGGAGGGAAGGTGAGGCAAGGAAGGTTTCTGAGCAGTGCCGTCTGCGTCCTTGAGGGTCGGCCCGGATCACTTTGGCCCCATGATCAGGGTTGGGTCCCGGTTTGGCTAGGGGGAAGTCTAGACCCCGTGACAGCACTGGCACAGTGGGATCCGTTCTGGTGGGGGAGGGGGCTTTGGGGGACACACTTGATGATGGCCTGGGGACGGTGTTGTTATTTAAGCTAAAGGCCATCTCTGTGTAGTCCCCACAGGATGTTGGAGACTCAGATTCAGTCACGGATGGGACACTTTCTCGGCTTTTCCTGAGTGGGGTCTCAGCCACCTCTGCCCTCTCTTCACGAGGGCTGGTAGTACCCTCATCACAGGCTTTGGGCGCATGAGCAAGTGTTGGAGGTGTTGGGGGTGTGTGGAAAGAGGGAAAAACTAGTGGGGTAAGGGACAGGGGTGAGGGGGAGGGAGAAGGGCCCAAGTCCATGTTGACATACTCAGATGCTGCAGGTGGCGTGATGGGGGCAGAGGGGCTACGCGAAAGCGGGATAAAGTTCCCCAGGCAGGAAGTTGGCCTATTTTGAGGTTGCTTGCTACTTGTGCCATGTGGCAATGACAAGCCATGCCTGAGACCCCTGCCACGTCCTCCTCCAAACCCTGTCTGGTTGCCTTTTTCTTCTTTAAACTCAATGCTCACGTACTCCCCAGGACTTTTAGGTTCTGGGGGCAAGGGGTTCTCACGGACCCTTGGGAGGGTGTTGGCCTTAGATACATCAACAAATAAGCTCACTGGTCTGTTTCTAGTGTGACTACCCTGCTTGGATAATCCACTAGATCCTCGTCTTTGCTGGAGCTTATTCCCGTCTTTGGACTGCACTCCCCCAGACATGGGGCTCACAGCCTGGGTAGGTCGGTCCTCAGTCTCTCCAAGGCTCTCACTGCTGGCTGAGCTTGAAGAGTATGATGATGAAGAAAGTGACAGGCGTCCAACTACAGAATTGCCTACTGCTGGTTGCTCCTGACGCCCTCCCATAGTCCTACCTCCACCCATTCCCCTGCTACCACTCCCATTGGGCCTTCTGCCTCGTCCAGGCCCATCGTCAAAGTGTCCAGCAGTGGGGTTATGTTTGTAAGACCGGGGGAGGGAATAGTAAGAGTACACCATCTTGGGGGCTTGCTGTTGAGAGCTGGTTTCTGACTGTCCTGTGTTTTCAGGAGGTGGAGGGCTACCATTCACAGAACGTGCGCTGATAGGAGACATGTTCATGTAATCACTACCTGCCCGGCTGTCTGCACTACCACTGCCTACCCATGCCCCTCCAGAAAGACCTCCACGCTGATCAGGGGAGCAGCTGCTGTTGGGGGACATTATCATATAGCCATCAGAAGTTGGCGGAGGCTGGATCTGCTGAGGAAGGGATACACTGTTGTTTGGGGTCATGGCCATGTAATCACCTCCAGGTTTAGAGTCTGAGTCTGGAACAGAGACAGCTGCTGACTGAGTTGAGGATGTTGGAGGTTGTGTGACACCAGGAAGCATGGACATGTACCCATTGTCCACAGCTAAATTTACATTACCACTAGTTCCTCCACTCCCTTCACTTCTAAACTCCCCCGCCACATCCAAATACCCTCCTCCTCCCCCTGCTGAACCAGCACTCATGGCAGATTCCCTCTGTGTGGATGAGGACGTGGAGGTAAAAGACTCTCGGCTAGTGCTCCTTGACATTATGGCGTAATCAGCTGAGTCTTCTTCTGCTGGCTCCTCTGCTCTACGCTGACGTGGGGCCAGCCTCTCCAGAGCCATAGGAGGTAAAGACGCCCGCTTGCTTAGTAGCCTACGTTCAGCTTCACATTCACGGCTGGAGGAGCGGCGCAGCACTCGCCTGGTTTGGGGCTGAGAGCCATAAGAAGGTGTTCCTGGTGCTGGTAGAGAGCTTGAGGTCAAGCTCCCTTGATTACTACTGCTGCCACCACCACCACCACCACCACTACGTTGGCTCATTAGGATATAGTTCGCTTCTTCGTCACCAAGGGACTGGCTGCCAGCACTACCAACAGAGCTCCCTGGAAGGCTTGGTGAGGGGAGTAGTGTGTGATCCCCAGGACTTGAGCCATATTCGTCTGAGGAGCCATAGTCACTGGGTGAGCCTGAGACGGATGCGCGGTGTGAGAGAACGCGACTGTAAGCACCAGATGGACCAGCAGCTGTGGTTGATGTTACACCCCCAAACTCAGAGCCATGTCCAGAACTGGAGGACAGGCTTGGGGCTGGGGAGGGTGCTGGTGTAGAGATAGAACGCATCAACCCAAGGGGAGTTTTAGCAGCTGTGGTGGAGGCTGATCGCGCTGATTTTGACCTGAGGATTGGGGTGGTTGAGCAGGAGCCATTGGTGGAGGGACTGGAACTTGGACCTTGGATCAGCGTGGCCCCTGCTAATCCTTCCTCAGCTTTCCCCCCATCACTAGCAGTGCGAGACCTTGGAAAACTGTGCCGTGGGGTGGGAGAAGCATTGGCACTGCTAGCTCCTGCAGTACCATTGGCTCCCCCGGGAGGCTCTGTTCTGGGCCGGCGGGTAAAGCCTACCTGACTGGGGGGAGGATTTGGGTGGTGGCGGCGTGAGGGAACACTGATGGGGTTCGAAGCAGTAGCACCTCCTCCAGGGCCGGAGTTGGACTGAGATTTGCTGCGCTGACGGAACTCCTCACTCAGAGCCTTCATGGCCTCTAGCAGAGTTTCATGCATGTTCTGGGCCACAACAGAATCATCAACCTAAGAAAAACATAGAAACCAAAAACAATAAACCTGAATCTTACATGTAGTTAATTTCAAAGTCTATTTGTCAGGATTCTTTGTAGCTAAACAATCCCCAATGGATTTGTTTAACTTTACATCAGTCGCACACCTCCTGGGAGTTATTGAAACACGTAGACTGGACAAAGAATGACTTTTGGAAGAGAGGCAAAACATGTTCAAGAACCTCAAACAAGTCCAGTTGCCCCTTCAACCAAGAATTGGGTAAACTGGACTGTAAATTCAGTTTGTAACTTTCTTTGACTCAGTTCATGACAGGGTCTTCATGTGGGTGGGACTTGGAGCTAAAGCTGACAAGATAAAGGGGTTTTATATTACAGGCTCACCTGCATCCAGAACTCGCCCGGGCCTGTCACTGCTGAGCGTCCCACCTCAACAAAGAAGAAGTTCTCTGAATGGCCACAGCGCCGGACGTTCATCAGCTGCAGCACCACAGCTGCAGCATCAGAGTTGAGCTTGACAAAGTTGACTGTTTTGTCTGTCAAGCAAAGGCGATAAATGCCCACCAAGTTCTTGGCTTGACCGAGGCCTTTGGGCCACACCTTCACCTGCCACACCTCCTTGAAAGCAGGCCCAGGATTGGGCACTCCGTAGTCGCCCCCTGCCCCGCTGTCAATGGGGTTCTTACCTGTAGAGACAGAAAAGAGAGAAAAGATTAAAGATGGTTGAAGTGGGTGATGGAGAAGACATCAAAAGAAGGGACAACAGCACCGGTGAGTACAAACTCTCCATCAAAGCATTGCCACGACCCTCATGTATCCATGAACAAAGGAAAAACCACCACTATTTACCTGTGAGGGGAGGGCAAGGTGACTTTAGTTTTCTTCTGCTGAAATTGAGCTTTTCACTGATTTTTACATCAGATCTGGGTTCACCTAGCGCATGCAGGAACTTGTGAGACCTGCTTACTGTACCCGCAGGCTCCATACCAGGGGTCTCATTTGTCACTCACACAGACACCCTGATGCATAAACACAAACCCACAGTGTGGAAAAAACTGAACTGCTGACAACTGAGGTCTAACACAAGAATGATGACTATGGAGGAAAACAACCAACTTCAAAAAATGCTTCACAGGTGATTCCTCTCGAAAGCCAAATCAAACAACATTAAAAGATGGTTAGATACCAAAGAGAAAGCACTAAACAAGCACCCGTTTTTAGAGCTGGTCTGCGGACTATAAACCGGCTTTGTAAACTTATAAAACCTGGTGTCTTTCAGTGAGAGTACAGGCAGTCCATTCCCCTTTTGTGTTTGGTATTCTGTATTCAGACAGGAGTGAAAGACTGAGGCCAGGAGACACAGAAGAGAAAGCTCTTGGTGAGATCTGATCCTGGGCTGGAAGGGGCCAAATAAAGGCAGGAGACTTACTTAACTACTTAACGATGTTTGATCGCCTGTTTAGTGTTCAAGTCACCGTATTGTTCTCAAATCTAAAGCAGGAAATGTGCCCATTACCGCAGAAAATTACCTTAATTCTATCAAGCTGTGAAACTCATTGTCAGCAGCTATTGACACCATTTCTAAATATTTCAGATTTACCTCTAAGCTCTTTTACTCTTAGCAACACGGGATCTTACATCTGTTTACTAGAAAGCACAGGATTAAAGAAATACCATATTATGAGTCATGTTTTAGGGCGGATCCTCCTCCTCCTCCTCCTTCTTCTACTTCTACATCCACCCCTAAATGTTCCTTTCTCCTTCACATTTCTTGGGATTCTCCGTGGAACAGCCAGATTGGATATGTCTAAGCATGACAGCTATATTTCTTCAACACTGAATCAATCACTGACATGACAAGGCTGAAGAAACAAAACCTTCATGGAGAGGCTCCCTTGTTCGCTTCAGTGGTACAGGATGTTCTTTGTGGTAGCACCTGTCTTATTAGACCTCCACATCTGGCATATTAGGGCAACTTTCTGACAAGCAACTGAATGAAAGACTATATTTCCTCAAAGCATACGTGGCTTTCTACGCTAAGCAATGACTTTGGCCAAATCAGGCTAATCACAGAGCAGCGTAACCCTAAAATTGCACGTACAGTATACGCTTGTACATTGTTCTTCCTTTCCCGTGCTTTGGCTGCAAATCCTTCAATGACAACCATATGCAGACAGGAGGTCTTGGCATGGACTGCGGACGCCGTATTAGCTGAGCTTCCAGTGCAAGAAACATTTCCCAAGATCTGCTTTTCACTCGCGATTGCAAAAGACGGAGAAGTCTTCTTTTTGCTTCCCTAAAATTGAGGGACCGCTGCGAACTTGAAAGCGCCTCAAAATAGATGTTTTGTTGAAAGCAGCAGAGGTTGTGGCTAAGTGGCTATATGTGTGTGTGTGTGTGTGAATGTGAAGGCACTCCCCCCCTATATTAGATGACTCACTCAAGGCCATGCATGGCTGTTTCATGTACACTGTGTGCAAGAAGCCCTGTTTGCCTCCTCGATTTAGATTTACAACAGGAAGGGATGGTTTGGGGATTTTTTAGCGGGGGCTGTGGGAGAATTTGAGACTCTAGGAGATTGCAGGGAGATACGAAGAATTTCTCAGGAGCTTAGGGAAAATAAACAACAAAAAAGACGACAGAAAAACTGTAAACAGCCACTTTGTCCTCTAAATTCGCCCCCTTATGTCTTGCAAAACATATAAAGGCAGTTATTAACTCTCTCAGAAGCTGTTTTCAGAAAGATTTATGGATGGATGTTGTATAAACTTTAACATGCAAGTCGCCCTTGAGCCACCTGGACTGCATTGCGTAAGACGTACCCGTCATTCTGAAGGACTTTCAGTGTATCAAAACATAAAGGCACAAAGTCCAAGTTCCTATCTCCACATTAAAATAATAAGACAAACATTAAAGCTCCTATAAGGAACTTTATGATCTGTAATCAACAAAAACCAAAAGCTGACTTTTTTGTCTTTGTGATAACACCAAGTGCTTGAATCAAGTCCAAAAGTTCTCATATAAGTCAAGACGGCAGAGGCTAAGATGGCAAAGAAACATATTCCTCAGGGAGTATCGTGTCCTTCCTCAAGAGCTCATCTAATTCCCCTTCAGCCGAACACAAGTGTTGTTTGTATTGAGTACAGTGCAGCCTTAAACCTCAGCTGTGGCTCCTCCACAAACACCCTTCATTTCAGGGCCACTCGGGCTGCACACATGTACTCTCAACCCTCAGAGCACTGAGACCCTCTAAGAGGTTTTCCTCTGACTCCTTGAGGGGTGCAGATTGATTTAGCCGTATGGACCACCGCAGACCTCTCCCAGTGATTACATAAAGCCAAGGTTGGTCTTATATGGAGCGATATGAATTATAGATCACTTCTGGCTTTCCGCCAGGGCTACATTTCTACTCCTGCTTTGCATAAAAAGGTTATCAGGCGGTCAACTTCCGCGTGGAAGGAGGAACCCCTATGCAGCGTAATGAGCCCTCAGGAAAAACACGCACTGAAAACGGCTCTTAGCAGGAGATGAAAACAGCGGATGCACATGAAAGCAGAGACACACCTGGAGCTAATAAAGCGTTGGCGTTAAAGTTGCTGCGTGGATACGGGCGATGGGTGCAGAAAACACTCACCCAACCTTGATGCCACCTCTGAGGTGGGTCAATGAGTTCACACACAGTACATGTATCTACTCCTTAAAGTCTGGTTTTAGCGACCTGAAAACAACTTACACTGGCTTATTCACGCACCAGCTGTTTACTCCACGGCCACACATGACGCTTTCAGCTCTGCGAGCGGCTCAGGAGCGGCGGCCTGCGCTGCTAACACTGCCGCCTATTCATGCTCAGTTATTTGCCGTGTTGAGGTACCTCCCTTGAGAACATACTGTGCATAAAAAAGCCATAATCTAACCTAATTTACCCAAACTGGGATTTTAAATGAGATACAATTTTGCCATCAAGGCTGCGCATCGCCTTAAAGGGAGAGAGTGTTTTTCTGGGGCTATAAGGGTGCGTTATTTACCCCAGGGGGGCGGCCAGATGCCTGCTGGGACACTGACAGCTCCTGCCTGAGTGACAGGCTGATTATTGTTATGGTTATCACTCAAATCCTGAGGAAGTAGGTCTTCCATAGGGGTCTCGAGGGCCTGGGGATTGTATCGGCTCACTAGCAGAGTAAGACCAGGATAGGGGGGTATTGTTATTAGGGCGCTTTGCCACAGGGGAGAGGGGGATTCTGTTGCTTTAAGATCGGGAGGGAGCTGAACAAAACCAAAGCACGGTGTCTGCATTTCAGTTACCAACTCTGAAATTTACACCAAGTTTCCTAATAAATCTACCTTCTTGGTTTGCTAAAGCAGCTTGTAAATCAGGGAAACTACTCCAGCATGAACCCTTTGGCCCCGGCTAGGTCCTGTTTCAAGTTTCTGACCTCATTGCCCTAGCATGCTGTGCTGCGCCATAACACCACAGAAACTTCTGCAGGCTAAAGCCCCAATTTCAGCTCTCTATCTCAGCTACCGTGCCCCCGCTATAGCCACAATCCCCAATGCCATACCAGGTTACCGGCGTGGATAGATGGGGGACAGCTGTGTGCGTTTTGTTTCCACATGTGTCAGAGAGGGAAAACACAGTGAACCACCCAGCTTTAAAAACAGAGGGTCTAATCTCTGGCCCCCATGTGTACCCATATCCCTCTTTTTTTCTAACTCCTCCACATCCTATCTCTTCATCCATCTCTACCATCTGTAATCCCCCCATATCTGGGCCCACACTCAGGGACACAATGCTTCCCCAGCACTAGATCCTGCCTGAGGTTAATTTCACATGTGGTTTGCGTTAGCCAAAAGGAGCAAACACATACACGCACATTCATAACACACAAAGGCATATGAAATTATCTGTGACGCATCCGAGGTTTGCTGTCCCTTGAACAGACACGCAAAAAAAAAAAGCTCCATGGAAGTATTCTTCAGCTACATCAGCTCGGCGATCCGACCAAACTTGCACACAACTCAGATTTTCTGGTGAGTCTGGCTCGGGGTTTGTAAACACTGTGTTTTTCTAATAAGCCCCTGAGTTCACAGCACCATTTAGGGGCTTAACTCCCAAATAAGTGGGCTTTCTTTGGGCAGAATAGTATTTGGTTTTGAAAAATTGTCAAAGAGGTTTCCAATTGCGTGCAGTTTGTTGAAAGGATGGTGATTTTCAGCCTCTTTAAAGCCCCTGTGAGGGACTTTTCATTTGGGTTGATTCTGCTCCTCATCATTCTAAATAAATTAGATTTTCTTTCATTATTATAATCCTCTCAAGTCAAGTCCAGGACAAATTTTCCTAAGAGGTGAGAAAATTATCATAATCATACCCTGTAGCTGTTTCCTCCACCATTATGTTAGTGACTGTGACTGATTTCTCTACATTGAGTCCACTATAATTGGTGATTTTTTCTTCCTGTATCTGGCAATACAGTTAAATTCAGTTGATTGAACTCATGGTACTCTAATTTTATTAAATAATACTATATTATGTCACATCCTGTTTTCCTAAAGAAGCAATAAAATGTAGCAGATCTTATCATATTCTATCATGTTGTATCGAATCACATGGCATTGCAAAACATTGAATTGTATCATGGTCTGTTCATTGTGTTGCATCCAAATGTATCATATCATACTGTTTTCTATCATATATCATATCGTATTGTGCCATAACATATCCTATCATATCATATTGCACTGAATCATATATCAAAATGTTTTATATCATATCATATCATATCATGTAAAATGGTATTATTATTTTACCATATTGCACTGTATCATATTGTATTGCATTCTAATGTATCATATCATATCATAGTTTAGCGTATCATATTGTTTTACATCATATTATACCATATCATATCATATTGTATTCCAATGTATTGTATCATATCATATTATATCATAAAGCACCATATCATATCACATTTTATCATATTGTTTCATATCATATCATATCATATTGTATCATATGGAATAGTATTATGTTGTATAGTATTCTAATGTATTGTATTAATTGCACTTTATAATATTGTATCATATTGTTATATCATATCTTATATTATATTGTATCATATTATATCGTATTGCATTCTAATGCAATATATGATATGTTATATTGAACCATATCATATTATGTCATATTGTATCATATCATATCATATTACATTGTAATGCAATTTACATGATATATTGCACCATATCATATTGTATTTTATTGTATTGGATCATATTGTATAGTACTCTAATGTATCGTGTCATATTGCACCGTATTGTCTTGTATCATATATTATATTGCATGGTATTTTATCATGTCATGTTTCACCCCACTGTATCATATCCACTGTATTGTGCTGTATCGTATCACATTATACTGTATCACACTACCTTCCTCAAAGGGCTGAATGTATCAGTCATACTGTATCTCACTGTATTTCATTGTTAAGTATTGTGCCGAAGTGTGTTTTTTTTTTTCCCCTTTTTGTGTATTTCTCACTTTTAACGTATTACAAAGAGAACTTTTAAATACAGGACGATCGAGATCAGCCTCTTTCTTTCAAACAAAACTAACAAGCAACACCCTCCTGTTTATAGACAGTCTAATCAATCCTGCCTCTTGTATTTCACCCCTGAGGGGAAACACTGTAACACACCAGATAATGAGGCAGGTTTTCACTAATTTCTCTGCTCGCTTCTCTCTAACATACTCACTGTAAGGCTGATAAATCTCAGCACATGAACCCCCTGACCCACGTCTACGACAGCGATAATGGTCTGGTATCAACCAACAGCAATCAATAGCGGCCCCTATAAAAGGTTACTATGCATTTAAGACCCCTGCAGCTCCATCGTGGTCAACATATGGGCACTCATCGACTAAATGGATCTCATTGCCTCTGGCCTTGCTCTGCTGTCAATCAAAAGGCGAGCACTTAATTCACCGAGGAAGAGGAGTACTCAGGCCTTTTAAGACGGGGATGATGATTCCTTTACGGATGCTGCATCCCAACAACAAAGAGTCGGCCATGCTTGTTGTGTTACTAAAAAACAGGAGGTTATGTGAGCAAACTGTTTACGCAGAGAGAGTATATCCAGTGGCAGGTCTGGAGCGGTACTTGTGCGGGAAAGGAAAGATCTTGTGGCACTAATTTGAGATTTGGCTCGTTTCTTCCTCCCTCCTCTTCCAGTTTGTTAGTACATGGTCTCAGCTCGCTGTGCCACCAGGCAGCCGCTGACCCTCGAGACAATAATTACCGCCTAATTAGGGAGATGAGCAGTGCTTAAGAGCAGCTTAACGTTTAATCGGGCAGAGCGGCGAGCCACTGCCGAGATCCAGATCTCATTGGTCCGAATGGCTAGATCACAATCCCGTGGGAGGAGGGGGGGATACTCCGCAGAGAATCCAAGTTCATAATCTGACCCAATTAACAGAAATTTCCTTGTGTCATCCCAGATTGATGAGTTTTGGTGTGACTTCTTGAGGTTTGAGTTTGGCGGCGATTCAGGTTTTAGCGACGCAGAATCAGCTGGGTTTGTTTTGTGGTGTTCGAAACTGTAAAAAATGACAACAGGATAATCCGCAAACTGGACTGGGAACAGATTCGCAGCGAAGGAAAAACTGTTCTCAGTGAGGTTTGTGGATTTGCGAGAATTATCTAGAAACAGATGTTGCTTCTAAGCATTTCAAATGTAATTTTTTTGGAGCCTTGAACACAGAAAAAGTGATTTCATGGAGATTTGGTGTACTGAAGTGAGGTCAAAAAGTCTGTAAGACCACAACAAAACTATTCCGCATGAATGACTGAGGATTACTTTTTATATTTTTCACTATGGAGCTATAAAATAAACATCATTTTTCCATGTTTGAGAAGATTTGGAGCTTCTGTCTCTCTCTCAATATGACTCTGCCATGTTGTGTCTTTCCGGGTCAAGAGCAACTTCAGACAATCTTCCAGGCGCTCGGCGATCGTTGGCCTCACCTCAGCCCAGCTTCATCGAGGTTAAGCCTTTACACACTCCACTGACTCCTAATAGCTGAGCAAATAGCCGCCCTCCAGCCTGATACTGTACTCGCAGCCCCGAATGGGTCTTACTGGACTCAGCTGAATAAATAACTTGGGATTTTAATATCGCTCTACACGGCAGCTGGCTCATGTTTGTGTAATTACCGCCAGCTCGTAGAGAGGGGGGGCCCGCGAGATAGTGGATCCCTGCGCAGCTTTAAGTGGGTTTCCCAGGCTCAGAATGGAAACATGGAGGTGCATGGTAATGATCCTATATATGATCCTTATATCAAACGTTAGACCATAACTCCAAATCCAGCCGCCAGGAGCTCTCCCCCCTCTGCGCTGACTGACAGGTATCAGATTGAAGGAGCGGCCCTCTCCCTCTGGAAACTATTCGAGAAAGAAAGTGCAGCATCTCTCGGGTTTAGCCGTGCCCAGCTCGCTGTCTACAGGCTGCGAATTCCTCTCTTCCCACTGGGACGGACTCCGGACTGTATGGACACTTAAGTGGAGTAGTGACAGTAGAGTGTGAGACTGAAAATAAGTCAGGGGAGCGGGGGGGTTTCAATCAACATATAAACACTGAAGACGTGAAACTGTGTATGAGCCGCACATACCACAGGAGGGTTATTACAGGCAGGAATCCTCTCTGTGTACAGTGTGTGTGTGTGTTTAAGCTATTTTCACACAAGCAGGTTTGGGCAGCACTTGACCGTGACCCTGCAGCCCACTCCCCTCTTACAAAACTCTTCACAAACACGGCTGAATCATGCATGGGTGTGTGTGTGTGTGTGTGTGCGTGTGGCCTCATTTCATGTATGAGCAAAGACTGTGCAGCACATACCACAAGAAAATGCCAGCGTGAGAGTTTACATAGCAGCCGGCCGCAGTCTTTTGTCACTGTCAGTGAGGCTGATTTACAGGAGAAATCCAACACTGAGAGCAACAAAAGAGGGAGAGGAGGACCCGGACGGACTCTTGAGTTATGATGAAGATGGTTAAGCCCCCGGACGGTTGTCTGGTTACCTTTAAGAGTTGTGTGAAAGACCGGGAAATGTCTCCAAACAGCCCGATTCAATATTTAATACCATCAGTGTTAGTCACCGTGGAAATGTTTGTATTTACAGCAAACACAAACGGACAAGAATAACTCTCTGATAGATACCGTGTGACAAACAACAGCCGAGCAACGCTAGCAGAATGTAACGCCTGTTAAAACCAGCAAAAAGTAAAAAACATAGACAGTATATTAGGGCCGGACGATTTAGCGGCAAGACAATTAAAGCCCGGCCAATTTCAGCCTGTTTGAGACTAATCGGTAACCTGCCAAAACTCGCAGATTTTCACCAACATTTTCAGAAATAAAATGCAGAGAATAAGATTCAGTTTCACTTCAAAAATGTCCCGCCATTTGAAAAGTTCCCCCGACTTATCCTGTAGATGGCGCAGCGACCTCATGACAATCTTCATCTACCAACTACCTCACAGCACAGCAGAGTGACGGATCTGAAGCAGGCAGCTCAGGGACGCACAGAGGAGAGTGGTCCGCCTCAACGGTAAATAAACCAGTTTGTGAAATACACAACAAGTCAACAAGTTTCAGTTCAACCCACTTCACGATGTTCCCCGCTGTGCTGGTCTCAGTCACGCCGAGTTAATGGTATGAGCTATGCAATCTTTGTACGCCCATAGGCTGTATCAGGTGTCAATCATAGAAAACATGAACCCTCTAATAACTTTTAAAAATGTAGCTGTACAGAAAAAAGAGGACTTGAGCACAAACCAGTCTTACAGTAACTACATGGCAACATCGCAATCAAGGGGGAGAAAAAGTTATATTCTAAAGTAATACATTTCTAAAGTTTGTCCACAGCTCCATAGGGATTGCTGGAGGAGGTGGGATTTATGACCTATACTGCAGCCCATCACCAGAGGGTGCTGTTCTTGTGGTGGCTTCTTTCATTTTATATACAGTCTATAAAAAAAAATCAGCATTTTTCTATCACACTTGACGGGGCTGCTTCGTTTTTTCAACGGTAAGAAAAATTAAAATAAAACAAATTTTTATTGCACCATTTGTTTAGGAGCTACAGTCCGAGCAGCAGCTTAATACCAGCTTGCAATATTGTCAACTATAACCACAATCACTGTTTGGCTGAATCCTGCAGGGCATCTTGTGAGGACGATTAAAGTCCTGCTGATGTTGTTTACCTGCATATTTCACCTGAACAGCCTGGTATTTATTGACTGTACTGAAAAAAACTGGAGACTTTATTGCACAAACGCACTGTAAAGTCCGCCCTCTTATCTTGGATCTTTAACTTCATCCAAACACGAGGACTGGGCTGAGTTAAAGTGACAGAAAGGAGACAAGAATCTTTGCAGAGCTCTCCCTGATGCACCTGTAAATCAGTCTGTTTCGATGAAATATCAGTTTCATAATCACGAGTGAAGCTCCTTGACCCTTTTTCTCGTCTCGGTTGTCCCTGGGGGGTTAACAGGTGATCTGAAGAGGCCTTGCTCAGGACTATTGCTCCGACAGCTGTGTTTACCCAGCGGCTGATAGACACCATTTGAGAAAAAGGGTAATTTTATTTTGAAGGGTGTGAGTTAAAGCAACTCTGGGTCAGCCTAGCAGACTAAACTACTTACCCATTACTAATCAGGTGATGTTTGTGAATCTGTCAGGTCTTTGGCTACTTTTAGGGACTGCTCCTCTCCTCTTGTGGGATCAATGTCTGATGTAATATTGCAGTGTCAGCAGGAAAACAGGCAGAGTAAACAGAAGGACAGGGTGTGTTTGAGCAGTTGACTGGTTGGGAAATAGCTCGCACACAGCTGAGGCCACAGAGGAGAGAAACTTAGCAAAGTCTGGAGGGGAACTGGGAGCAAATATCTCGGGCTGACACCAGTATGATAAGGACTGGTGGGGAGGATAAGCTCCACGGTGCGGCTTAAAGGGGGCATGTTTACACACAAGGACCCGTCAGTAAACAGCCTGAACTTGCTTTAAGTGTGAAAATGAACACCTTCTCCTTCTTTCTGTGTGTGTTTTTTTTAAGGCAGAGGGAGTGCACCCACGCCACAGACACAAACTATGCAAACTTGGCTCGTGGGTGCTGTGATGGTTTTAAAACAAGTCCTGCATGAAAACATGTCCAGCTCTGCAGTGCGCTTCTCCTGCCACGTTTCTGCTCTGGTGCAGAGCCTCATACAGTATTGAGTGTGTGCATGCATGCATGTGAGTGTGCACATGTTAGTAGTGTTACTCTTGCTTACTTTTGCACTGCAGCTCCACCATGGCCTGGTACCACTCGTCCTGGTCCGCCTCGTTCTCCGCGGCAATGGCGAAACTCTCGGCCCGGGTGTACAGCACGATCATGTGCTTGTTTTTGGAGTCGGCCCGTTTGTTGATGTTGAAGCACGTCTCCAGAGCCACCGCTTTCTTCGGGACGGGGGCCTTGCCGCGGAATTTCTTCTCGCTCTCGTAGTACTCCAGGCGGGCCGGGCCACGCTCCGAGGCGGCGCGGAGCACGAAGTACCGCCGGTGCATGGACTTCTGCTTGCGGAGGTAGCCGCTCTTGCGCACGTCCTCGCAGCTCTGAGGCTCGCCTGCTTGACCCTCCATGACACCCAGTGTGTCTTTTCCGTCCCACTAAAACAAACGCGACTTATTCGAGCGCTTCTGTGGTATTTCTGCAAGTTTTAGAGAGCTGATTCAAACATCCCCGGGCTCCGTTCCCCTCCCTCTCTCCCACATCAACGCAGGCATGTGAGAGGGGAGGCAGGGGTCGCTTTGGGTTGCTTGTACCGCGGGTCTTGGAGGTTGAACCAGAAACAGTTCCCCGACTCTTCTCCCCTCTTGTTTCTCTCCTTCAAGATCGGTCCGGCGCAAGTTTTCCAGCCGCACACAAGCGAGCACATGCGGCGCAGCTCCCCCTACTCCTCACTACTACTACTACTACTGGAGCTTGAGTCTGAGCGGTTCAGTCCCATTTGCTGCACAAGCACAGAGTCCAGAGCCCGTCCTGCTGCACGCTGTCGGCCTGCGTGAGTCAGTGTGGCCCCCACAGCCCTGTCCTGCACGGCACGGCTCGCCCTGAGTGTTGCTGCTGTGGTGTGGAAAGGAGCGGAGCAGCTACCGTGGAGGAGCAGGACTGTCACTCACCGCCGTACTCTGGAACAGCGCGCGTTCACGGACACCAGTCTGAGCTCGGAAATTAGAGTTCTCAAGTCACTAAGCAGCATATTTGTTTTTGCATTTCTCTGACGGTTAAGAAAATACTGTAGGCTAGGGCTAGGCGATATGGGAAAAGTTTATCACGATATTTTTTTCATATCAGTCGATATCGATATATATCACAATATAAAAAATTACATTTAACAGTGCTTATTGCAAGCATGTCTTTTGTAATACAATAAGCTACTGCATCTGTGATGTCTTTGTGTCTCTTTGACGTTTTATCGTAAGGCGTTGCGCTAGAAAAAAGCAGAATGGTTAGCTGTTTCGGCAGCACAGGGGACATGGGCTTGGGGTTTGTAACCTTTCGAATTGCACCCATTGACTGTATATAGAATGGATGCCGTCTTCCTCATCACTGGGTGAAGCCACCATGAGAACAGCACCCTCTGGTGACGGGCTGCAGTATAGGTCATAAATCCCACCTCCTCCAGAAATCCCTATGGAGCTGTGGACAAACTTTAGAAATTTATTACTTTAGAATATAAATGTTTCTACCCCCCGGTTGTGATGTTAACATGTAGTTACTGTAAGACTGGTTTGTGCTCAAGTCCTCTTTTTTCTGTACAGCTCAGTTTTTAAAAATTATTAGGGGTTCATGTTTTCTATGATTGACACTTGATACAGCCTATGGGTGTACGAAGATTGCGTAGCTATCATAACAGCGACTCTCAACGACTCTCCCGCCGAATGCGCACAATGCTACTGCGCAATGTTGGTTTCAGGAAATGGAGATAAAACGCGGAATTACCGAGAGCTTTTTTGGCTTCAAATCCGTTTACTTGTGGGAGGCGGAACCAAGTTGTTCATAGTATATACAGTCTATGATTGCGCCTGCTCTGCCGTGTGGCACTGCTTCAGGTGTTGAAAAAGATTTGAGGTATTCTTGACTTTGCGAGAACATGTACTAGTGCTATGGTTGCGTGTAGCTGTGGCCTGCTACTATGCAGTCGTTTGCTACTTGGTTCCAGTTCAGCACATGATTGGTTCAGCGTGAAGTGTACCCGGCGCAACTCCCCTTTTCATTGGCTATTTGTGTAGTCTACCAAAACATGGCGAAATGCCGACTATCGGAAAGCATATTGATTATGTTTTATATCGATACCGAGGGAAATTAATTTTTGATATTTATCATTATTGTTTTATCGCCTAGCCCTACTATAGGCTATAACGCTGTCTCAAAACTCCAGTAGGGGTAAAGAAGCAGTTATAGAAGAAAAAAAAAAGTCTGTACTTGAGGATAATTTCATACAAACAATCTCTTTCACATTGTAGTTGGCAGATTATAAACATCATTCATTTTAGATATCCCAAAGTGTCACATTTGGATCAAAATAATTGTATAAAGGAGAGGTTTCACGAACTAAATCCCTATACAAAGATATACGATAAATACAAACAATAACCCATTAAATCTGTCTTCTTTTAAACTAAGCTCAAACACATTTACTAACGCTCCACTGCCAGTTTACCAAAATTAGTTATAATTCCCACGGTCCGTGAAGGCAGCAGCCCTCCACTGTGTGTGTGGAGTAAGATTTCAGTGTTGGCGCTCGCACGAGTCCATCGTGTTCTATTTATTGTGAAAATCCCCCTCTCTCCTGTTTTCATATGTGGATATTTCTCCTTCCGAAGCACCGACAGAAACATGTACTCAGCAGCAGACAGCGAAAATAATCTTTGACATGTAACCTCACGGTCCTGTGGGAATTAAGTTATTATTACGACGATTATCGACCACTGAATGCAGCACAAATGGCAGATTAAGCTTCTGTAATTGAGTAAATTAGGCCTCATTCTTATGTTCACGCTTTAATTATTCATATTCGTGTGGCTAGGCATTGGATCTACCTCTAAATTCAACAAAGATGTAAGAATTTAAAGTGAAAAATATTCCCAAAACATATTTGACATGAATTATTCACATTTGAATTTACTCTGGATTTCAAATCGCTATAAATCTTTCAAAGGGGCCTAAAAATAGTCCCCCTGGAAGCCGTAAAAGGTTTCTATATTTGTACCGAATCCTTATGCAGTATCTATGTTGTTATGTAATATGCATCCGTAAGTAACCTTGTGCACGAGGAGAGAAAAGTGGAAACAACGCGCCCCCTGTTGGTGAAAGAAATCAGTGCAGAATAGAAACACGCTTTTATGGGAATTTCATGGCTGTAAATTTGGTTCCTGAGAAATTATTTCCACACTTTGACACATGAATGAAAAAAAAATCAAAACACCAAGAGTCATAAGAAGCAACAAACTGATTTTATGAACATGAATACTTGTCATAACAAAGACGCTGTTACATGAATTTCTTCTCTTTTTTTTTCTTTTGGCAAAATTAAGGAAACAAACTTTGCCTCCATGTCCAAAAAAGAAAAAAAAAAAAAAAAAAAAAAAGGGCGAGAAAGATTTTGGTCCGGTACATGAAGCGATGATGTTTTTATACACGTTTTTAGTAATTCTGAAATTGCTTTTACATTCAGTAGCATCTCCTTTTAGCCCTCTAAGCGCATGCAGCCTCGGGGTGGAAAAAAAACAGATTCTCCTGTAGAGAGGAAACAAAGAAACAGAGAAGAATACAAACATGTTCCACGAACCCACAAGAGAGAGAAACCTGAATTAACTCTCGATCTCATGCATCAGGAGGCGATTAAGGCTGTTTTAACCATCTGTGGGAACTTGTGATTAAAAGTAAAAGTCTCTTTTCCTTTCGGTGACTTAGACAAACGGATGACTCGACCAGTGACTGTTCTTTATGCACTTTTTAAGCAGGAGATGAAAGCAAAGTAGCAGCAGCAGCAGCAACATGTGTGTGTTTCTGCGAAAATCATAGAGGCGTCTTTTTACTCGTGACTCCAACAGAGCCCTGAGGTGGCGTCTACTGGCACACAAACACCTTTTTTTTGACACAGTAGGGGGGAGCACGCTCACACGAACATACATGAACTTCATAATTACATTCACACGTTTTCTTTTTTTCCTCTACAAACACGTAAACACAGACAAAAGAGAGGGGGGGAGAGAGGGGAGAGGAGAGAGGAGAAGAGGACAAGAGAGGAGAGGAGGGGTGAAAATACTCCAAAGGCATTGAAATGGCAGCGACTCCTCAAGTTCACTCCTCCCCCGGTTTCCCAGAGATGGATGGGCGGTAAGGAGAGTAGGGGGGATCAGATGAAAGGGTTCCGCGACGTCCCTCGACTGGGGTAAACATTCCCCTGAAAGACCAGAGAGGAAGGGTGAGACAAGCACAGAGGCAACGTCTTAGAGGGGGACGAGCACTGGCAGACAGGTCTCTCCAAATAAAGTAGATATGTCTGCAGGTCCATGTATAAGAAATATAAGAGTGCTCATCCCTTTTAAGGGCCTGTGTCTACCAACAGTATTGTTTGTGCTGGCAGGGCCTATTTCCAGTAGAAATTCTGTGCATTTCAGCAGTTTAAGCTTTTTAAGTATAAAAACTCCCTTGGATTTACCAAATAAAGTGGATATGTGTTCAGGTCTATTCATAAGAAATTTTAGAGTGCGCATTCCTTTTAAGGGCCTGTTTCTACTAACTGCATTTTTTTTGCTGGCAGGGCCTATTTTCAGTACAAAACCTGTGCATTTCAGCAGTTTTAAGCTTACAAAGTATAGAAACTCCCTTGGATTAAGTGTTTTTCTATGTCTGTTCTTAAAGTACTCTGAGTTATGAACATATCACTTATTTAACTATTACCAACCAATGAAAATCAAGGTGGGCAGGACCTCTCATTTCAACTGTGTCAACATAAGCAAAGGTCTGTAACTAGGAGGGGGAAAAACATTTGTTTATACAGAATTAATTTTCTAGATCGTGGGCTGATGCATATGCAACAAGTTTTCCATCTGAACGTATGATTGTGGGTCCAAAAAATGAAAAATGCTGCTAGTGGACACAGGCCCTTATGTATTCATCTAATTCTTGATGGGCCTGACATTTACGTGTTTTGTTTTTAAAGAGGTTCGTTTTCCTTTTTACTGTAACATGATTGTATCTGCATCATTGGTATTATTTGGAGTAAAATGATAAATAATCCAAATTTAAAGCTCCAACAGGGAACTTTTTGTTTGCATTGATTTTAGCACCCCCCTCTTAACAAAGCAATGAAAACACCCCATCCTGGTGAACTTAAACAGTCAAATCTATCACCAAATATAAGTGTAAACAAAGGCTGTTTTTGACACCTACCCTGAGGCACTAAATTTACCTCAACAAAGATAAACAGTTTTCCTTTTGATGACCTTTTTGCTTCTGTGACTCATAAATAGGCATCAAAATGAATTCATTCTGTTTCATAACCAGCTTTACAAAACTCACAGGACCTTTAAATTACAGAATGGCAAAAAACAAGTAAGCTAAGAGGATTGTAATACGCCTGGTACAGTTGGCGGGACACTTAGGAGCCCCTATCTGCGGGGCCTTGAACCTACCGTAAATGGGTTCACCGACATTGGTCGAGGGACTTTGGGCTGAGAGTCAGGAGCAGGAAAAGAGGCGAAACCTGAAAGACAAAAACACAACAAGATAGATAACAGGACTGAAAATAAACAAAGTGAAAATAAAGTGAAGACTGAAACCAGAGACCCTTAATGAGTTCTGCAGTGGCTCTGTGAATTTGTATTCCTGTACTGTGTCGAGTGGTCACTGCTGATATAATGAAACACTTGAGACGTGCTGATGCTTCTCAGCTCACCAGTCTTTGATCTGCAGCTCGATCACATTCATCACGTCTCACTGGCAGCTATATCTACAGATTAATCTATACAGAAATATACCAGTGTGCAGCATGTTCTATTGATGGATGTAAAGCTGTCATTTAACCCACCAGTATGTAGCAACATATATACTGTTGATTTGTGGCCAAAAGTAAAGAATCACGTGTTAAGGGCCTGTTCACATTCCCCACATTCACAGCATGCAGTGTCCCTTTTTTCATGTGTGACCATGCCCTTACTTTTGTTTAAATTTCTCTGTAAGTTCAGTCGACTTTCATGACATTCAGCACAAGAATGAGTCGCTGATTTCTGAGCATACTTCAATAAAAAAAAAATAGTGTCAATGCTTATTTTGAGACTAAACGAACCATTAAGGTACCAACTTTAAGAGAGAAGTGAATTAGCCCATTATTAGTCATGATCATTTACAAACCATTTGCTTCCTGACTGCCAGCTGACTCATGAGGAAATGCATTCTGGGAGGCTGGAGGTGGGCAGTGGGTGGACGGAGGGAACACAGAGGTGGGCGATGTGACAAACGCACTGGAGTCACCTGGAGAAGAGAAACACACTCAGTTACATTAGACACAGGTAAACTAGGAGAAAAGACTGGTCTCATGCAGAGCGGCGACATCAATAAATGATATGATTTAATTATTTAAAATGAAGCTGCAGGAAGAGTTCTGCAGGAACACTGAGCTGTAACTGCTCTGAGTTAAGCTGAATTTAACAGGAACAGTGGAGGTTTGCAACATGAATTAAAGATACAGTGTGTAGATGTAGATATTTAGGGATATCAAGGGACAAAATTCTGTTGTTGCTCCCTTGCTCACCCCTCCAACCTGCAAAGTACTGTTGGTCTTTTAAGGGACAAGAAGCTCCTGTGATGCATAACATGTATGACCCTCCAAATTATCAAGTTTTTTGTGAGCAACAACCACTCTCTTCTTCTGCTTTTCACTGAATACGAAAAGGCAAATGAGACCAGTTTGTCTGCTCTGAGCTGCCGTAGAAACATGAAAGTGCAACATACTGTACTGTACCTTTAAGACTGTATCTCTCTTCAAACTTTGTTTACACACAAAGAAAATAAAACAGTAACAACAAAGTCTCCAAGAAACAACAAGAAAATCAATAAGTATGTGAAGACATGTGACATCGTGACCTTTTCCGTCTAAATGTTAAACGTCTTTGGGCCCCTGAACATGAGTCTCACCTCCTGAGGCGTTGCTGAAGGGGTTACTGGGGGAGAGGGCAGGGGGCTGCTGGGAGGCCGAGTTGGAGCTGGAGCTGAATGGGTTCGGGAAATCTGAGACACCCAAGAAGAGAAAGAGAGAAAGAGAGAGAGAGAGAGAGAGAGAGGGAGAGGGGGGAGATAATTCACAGTGAGTGGCGGTACATTCCTGTCTGCTCTGAGTTCCACACATGCATCCTAATTACAGGGAGTCAAAGAGGAAAAGCTGCAGGTAAATACAGAGCAGGTTAGCAGGAGGATCAATGTGGTTCGTGCTCGGGACTTACTTGCAAAGGTTTGGGAACTGGAGACCGAATCGACACCAGGAGAGCTGTGGGGACAGCAGAAAAACAACGAAAAAACCATCAGTAACTCGGTGTTATGGTGTGTTTGACCCTAAATCAATTTTGTACCAGAATATCCCTTTAAAATAAAAATGATAATTAAAGCTCCTGAGTGTAACTTTCAGTTTGTTTCAATGTTGGCGGCCCCTTTGGACAAAGAAGTCAGTGCTAAACTTAAAGTAGTGTCTTAAGACAAAGAAATCTTGTCGTTTTGACCTTCAACAGACATATTTATCCTTTTTTTACCTACCCTAAAAATCCTGATATAAAATCATCAATCTTGTTTCTGATGTTCGTCTTTGTCATCAAAAGGTATTTATATGGAATTCAGTGTATTTCATAAACATCAAAAACCGCTCACTGGGGCTTTAAAAGGTGATCTAGCTGAGAAAAAAAACAAATTTAAGTTTGAAAAGAGAATTTAAACTGAAATTTGATAAAAGGATATTTAAAGGTCGTCCTCTCACCTGGCAGGAGTTGAGCTGGAGGAGAGTCGGTTTCCAAACAGGGTGCTGTACTGCGGAGGACCAGCAGGGGGAGCTGTGGGACCAGAATTTCACACAGACCAAAACACAACCATGCTGCTTTAATGAGCACTCATAAAGAGATCAAATGCTGCCGCTATCAGCCTGAAGTGTATAAAAACCCCACAAAGAGCTCAAAGAGTTGATCTTCAAGCATTTAAATCATCAGAGGACAAAAGCAGAACAAATCCCCTCAATAAAATATGTGTTGGTCTTGATATGAATCAAAGGGAGCATGAGGGCAGAAAATCAATAACTTCATTACTGTGGCGGGCCGGGGAAGGGAGGCTGCGATGAAGAACAACAAAGCTTCTTGTCGAGAGCTGGAGGGCTTCTCACATGAGTCCTGAGCGTTAAAACCAGCGTCTCGGCTCTTAAACAAGTACAGCTGATTTTTTTTTTCTTTTAGAGGGTATAAACAAGGCCCTTTGAATGAGACTGAACATGATCTGGAGCAAACACAATGAGCATAATTCAGCCGTTAAAAGCCTTGGTATTTGGAGTAAGGATGTTATGCAACCTGGTCGAGCTGGCCGTGACAATCTGCATCGCACGGAAACTTTAACTCTCGCCATAACTTTCTATAAATACGCCGTGGAGGAAGCAGGCGGGTGTTTGAATGAAGTGTAAGTTCAATGATGTGAAACCACTTTGACACAAGTTGATCCATCCGTATTCTGCGATCGTACGTGGATTTTATAACACGAAAACACTTTTAACTGCTTTGTATCAGTCTGAAAAATGCAGATTATGCTCTTTACTGTTTCAAAGAGTTGCTTTTTTCTTTAGAACAATATATAATAAAATAAAAATAACCACATTAATGAGGCTAGAACAAGCAGATTAAAACAGGTTTTAAAATTGCATAACAGATGTCAGTTTCTAAAATATGAAGCTACTTTTTCCCCTTTCAGGAAACCGTAGTTTAAATGCCTCTGCATCTTCCTGCTTCCTGCAACCACCATAATGGAATATAACACCACTGCACTTCTGAATCAGACATTTAACATGAGAGATCGTGTGATTATACATCTCTGACTGTGATTTTAAAAATATGAAGTAACTTTATCTGTCAAATACGAATTCTGATTCTGATTAAAACACACATATTAAAGTGATATTCCGGCATAAAATTAATTTAGGGTCAAACACACCGTAACACTGAGTTAGACACCCCATCGAGAGATGAATGTTGCCGACCACTTGCTTCTCTAGTTATACCAACTTTAATAACGACCGCACGATAGCAAAACACAGCGGTCTGAAGAGCCATAAACAAACCTCAAATTAATGCCACTCTATAGCCACAAATAATGCTCAGAACAGCACCTAACTTCATCAACAGTACATACATCCAAACATCTTTTTAACTTTGCCTAATTTCTTGAGCAAAGAGACTAAACACAACTCACCAACTCTCTTCCAGCAGCTGCTTGTTTGTAACGAGACCTCAGGCCAGTCCGTTATGGACTACAGCGGGGTGACGCAGCTCAAGGAAGAACATTTATGATCATTTCTTTATCATTTCCTTGAAGCAATAATCACCATATTAATCATTTTGCACTGCAGATGTGGTAGTTCTTCTGCCTTAGCGTCTTGGTCTGATTGCATTTCCATGAAGAAATGATCCGCAACATTCATCTCTCAAGAGGGTGTCAACTCGGTGTTATGGTGCGTTTGACCCTAAATTAATTTTACGCCGGAATATCCCTTTAAAGCATCCACTCACAACTTCATCATTTCCCACCTGTGGGTGTTGTCGTGTCGGAGAAGACGCTGTCCAGATGTGACACGGCGGCGTATCTGTCCTGGGAGTTGGAGCTGCCGACCTGCGTCGCCGTCGTCTGCTGCTGTTGCTGCGGCGGCTGCGTCTGCTGCTGCTGGGACAGAGACTGAGGCAGAGAGTGTGTCTGAGGGTGGCTCAGACCTCCAAAGTCCACGCTGAGTGACTTGGGGAAAGCCCTGAAGGGACCCGTGGCCCCTGAGGCTGAGACTGTACGACCTGTGAGGGAGAGGACCGGACTGAGTTTACGGACAGATGGCTGCTGGGATGTTGCAGTTTGGGGCTTTAAAACCTAAAGGGTCAAAATCACCTTATCTATAATAATGTTGCCAACCAACAAACATTAATTTAATAGTTTTTTAACATAAAAATGACTGAAAACATCTACAGATCACAGGATTTTCATAATCTAGATGCTCAAATGTATATTCCATCATGATAAAATAACATCTCAACCTGCTGAAGACGTTCATAAAATGATTAAAATTTCAAGAAAGCCACTAAACGTTCCCTTTTCTGCCATGAATCGACTATTGAAAACCAACAAGTACTCATAAAAATCAAACCAGACGTGGATCATTTTTTACGTGTTCAGGAGCTTCTGATCATCTCACATAATCTTCATCTACTCAATCAACTGAGGAAGATCATGGGATATAATCCAAAGCCCCAGACCGGGGGGGACTAAAAGATTAAATGGACTGAAGTGATATTGTTTTCTCAGCTGCTGTTTCCAGGGTCCAGCATGAACTACGGACCTCACGGGGGGAAAACAATCTCAACAATCTCCCTTGAGGGACGTTTAGTGACGAGTTTTGAGGTTTCCATAGTCACGGCCTTCATTAGCAGAGGTTTGACAGGTCGTTAAGGAGATGGGGAAATTTCCATTTTTCTGAGGTTTAAAGAACTTCGCCTTCTTGTTGGTTCATGACTTTGAAAACAGCAGCTGAAAAACATTCAGTCTTCTTGGACGAGTTTAGCTGGCGTGTAGAAATTGTGTTAAGTCTTAAAGACAACTGTAATAATTAAAAAGGGAAGAGCTTAAAGCCAGACAACTTCATAATAACTCATAAATACAGCCCATGCTTAACATTTCCATGCTACAAGAATCATCAGATGTAGGGTTAGCTTCATGAGCTTGAGCATTCACAAAAAATCAAACGTCAAAGCAGAAAGTTTTGAGCACAATTTAAAGCAAAAAAACACAAAAGAGAAGGACTGGGATTCGCTGGTAGCAGGCGAGCAAGCTGACAACAAACACTTGCCACAAAACATGCCAGCATGAGCTGAAGTGTTCCCATGAGGATACCAGTGAGAATCAAAGGGGGGGTTAAAGGGGTATTCTGGCGTAAAATAAATTTAGGGTCAAACACACTGTAACACCAAGTGAGACACCCCCTCAAGAGATGAATGTCGCTGACTGCTTGCTTCTCTAGTTATACCAACTTTAGTAACGACCGCACGATAGCAATACACAGAGGTCTGAGGAGCCATAAACAAACCTCAACCAAAACACCACTCTATAGCCACAAATAATGCTCAGAACAGCACCTAACTTCATCAACAGTACATATAGGGTCCCAGTCATAGTACTAGCCACCAAACATCTTTTTCACTTTACCTAATTTCTTTAGCAAAGAGACTAAACACAACTCACCTACTCTCCTCCAGCAGCCACTTTTTTGTAGCGAGACCTAAGGCCAGTCCATTGCAGACTACAGTGGGGTGACGCAGCTCAAGGAAGAACATTTATGATCATTTCTTAATCACTTCCTTGAAGTAATAATCACTATATTAGTCATTTTGCACTAAAGACGCAGTAGTTCATCTGCCTTAGCATCTCGGTCTGATTGCATTTCCATGAAGAAATGATCATAAATGTTCTTCCTTGAGCTGCGTCCCCCCGCTGTAGTCCGTAATGGACTCGCCCGAGGTCTCTGTACATACAAGCAGCTGCTGGAAGAGAGTGGGTGAGTTGTGTTTAGTCTCTTTGCTAAAGAAATTAGGCAAAGTTAAAAGATGTTTGGTGGCTAGTCCTTTGGCTGGGACCCTGTATGTACTGTTGATGAAGTTAGGTGCTGTTCTGAGCATTATTTGCGGCTATAGAGTGATGTTTTAGTTGAAGTTTGTTTATGGCTCCTCAGACCGCTGTGTATTGCTATCGTGCGGTCGTTACTAAAGTTGGTATAACTAGAGAAGCAAGCAGTCAGCAACATTCATCTCTCGAGGGGGTGTCAAACTGGTGTTGTGGTGTGTTTGACCCTAAATTAATTTTACACTGGAATATCCATTTAAAGCTGCCATAGACAGATGTTTTTTTCTGCTTTCAACTGGACAAACTCATAAAATTTATAATTTTTGTTGGTAAAAATCTCAAAAATCTCGGAATATCCCTTTAAGATAGCTTGATTCCTCCGTCTGGTGAGGTGTCAGTGACAGGGACTAGACTTGATTTGATCATGAAGCATGTCATGCTTTGGAGATACGATAGTTTTCTACCACAGGGCTAAAGATAGCGCTTATCTCTGCTAACGTATTCAAACTTCTTGGAGTACTTGTTTGGGATGTTAATGTGTTCGGTGGGATTACAGCTGCAGCCCACAGACTTTTTAAGTGCTTCAACGCCAACGTGGAGAGAGATATCAGCAGCCCTCAGCTGACGGGGGGGGGGCAGCAGCTTGACTAAAAATAGCACAAACTTGGTCTTTTTTTTCCTCCTGGTGTGTCTCCTTGACCCTCCGGGGTTTTATATCTGGGCTTTGATGAGGAAAAATATCAACTCAAATGTCAGCGTGTGGCACGAGCAGGGGGAGCTTTCTGAATACACAGCGTTGTGTCATCCGTCACACAGCTTAAAGTTAAGCTAAACTCACACGCACATGGAGCGCACAGATTGGCTGCCTCATTATAAAAAAGGACACAGCATGGAGGAGCTTATTGATCCCAGCCATTCAGCACACACTCAAATGCATCAAACGGTGCCAAGTCTTACCTAAAGTGAAGTGGTTTTTGAAAGAGCTACTGGCTATGAGTTTGAGGGAGAGGAGGAGAGACAGAGGAGAGAAGGAGAGGGAAATTAAAAAGGAGGGGGAAGAGAAGAGAAAACGCCGTTGAGAAAGAAATCCAGCGTGCTTGGGTGGAGATATGGAGCCGTTTTAAAACCAAAGAGACAAAAAACACTTCAGAATGAAAATCATGACTGAAGCCTTAGTCACATTTTTCTCATCTCAAAGTTACACTCTGAGGCAGCGACGAGCAGAACGTGTCGATATCAAAATATTCTGCACAATCTGGACGACTGTAACACTCTGCAATGCCAAATTTTTACAAACTAGAAATGAGCTGAAGGGAAAAAGGAAAAGGATGAAGCACCTGTTCTTCATTCATGCAACTGAATCAGCCTCCATTGAGGTGAAATAGAAGGAATTAGGAGTGGAGATATCTGTAAGTTAGCAGTTCGTTATCGATAAAGTTCTAGGAAAACAGTGAAATATCTGTAGAAAAAACAGGAAAGAGGGGCACCTGAAGGTCGTGGGAGGGCGGGGAAGGACGGGGCGTGACTCTGAGCTCCCAACCCTGACGTCAGCGAGCCTGGCCGCTGTCTCTCGATCCCACACAGGGACGGATCTACATCAGAGAAAGACAAAACAGAAACACGGCGAAAGGTGAAAGAATCGATCGCATCAGTCCGAAGATATCACCCCTTCTGATAGAGAGCGACCTCTGACCTTTCAGCGGCGGGTCTCTGAAGCTTTGGGAGCGCGACGGCCGAGCCGTGAACACATCCGTTCGCATGTCGGCGGGAGAGATCGCAGGAGCGCGATCCCATGATGGCATTTGGGACTGAGACTAAAGAAGAGGAGGAGGTGGAGCGGCAGAGGAAGAGGCAGATGGGAGGTGGAGGTGGAGAGACACACAAAGGCAGAAGAAGTGAGTCTCTTTTATGGTTTCTCAATAATTCATAAGCAGAGGCTTTGATGTGGAGGATACCTGGCCCGCTCACTGTCCGACTCATCAGTCTCTGTCTCTGTGCAGCAGTGAATCCAGGTCGCCTCCCTACCTTATATCCTCTCTTTCTTTTTTTGGACACTCTTTGAACTACTCGTCTGCTCTCACTTCCTCTTTTTTTCCAACACTTTCGCTCCTCAATCTCACTTTCATCTCCATTACGCTCTCAGGCCATTACATGATCCTCCAGGAAACATAAAGCTCTCTTACCAGCGGCCTCGCAGACCTGGCATTGGGGGGCATGTTGTGAGACGGGGCCTGGCCTCCTAAAGGACCGTGCGAAGAGGGAACAGCCTGGACCCCTGGGCTCCAAGGACCCTCCACATCCCTCCGGTTCTTACTTTTAGAAAAATGCCTAAAAAGAGAGTCAGTATGAGTAAGTGTCTTCATAAGAAGCAGCATTAAAGTTTGATGTTTAATCAGTATTCCACCTACCAAACCTCATGACAAGGAACATTTCTGGGATCCTGAAACTAAACCCTAAATAATGATGGTTCTTTTATTCACAGCATGACAGCAGCTATTATCCTGAATGACTTTTTCTGAGTGGGCGTCTCCATTTAGCGTCTCGGTTCTGAATAAACGTCATCTGATGTTGTTTGGATCTCATTTTTCTGCATTATGCCTCATTGAGTTCAGGAATTAATTAAGCGGAGAATTAATCGAAGACAATTAAACAAATTATGAATCATTTCGCAGCAAAAACACCTCTGACTGCTCTGCTATTAGCATGCTAACACAATTGCATTTAACTATGGGGTATTACATGGAACTGTAACGCCTCTGATAAACTTTAATTAGCTTGGTAGCGAGATTATGCTAATTAATTGATTTAAACACAGCACAGATGAGGCTAACGGCAAAGCTAGCATACAGCCGATTCAGTAATTAGTAAATGCTCCAGTTAGCATGCTAGCTATTTAGCCTGTGAGAAGGTTTCTAGCTCATTCTGGGACGCAACCATAGACTGTATATAGAATGGACGCCGTCTGCCTCCTCACAGGGTGAAGCCACTCCGAGAACAGCGCCCTCTGGTGACAGGCTGCAGTATAGGTCATAAATCCCGCCTCCTCCAGCAATCGCTATGGAGCTGTGGACAAACTTTAGAAATTTATTACACAGAATATACATTTTTTTCCCCGCGTCTTGCGATGTTGACATGTAGTTACAGTAAGACTGGTTTGTGTTCAAGTCCTCTTTTTTCTGTACAGCTCCATTTTAAAAAGTTATTAGGGGGTTCATGTTTTCAATAATTGACACTTGATACAGCCTATGGGCATATGAAGATTGCGCTAATCTTCTGGGAAGCTAACCCAGGGGGATACGGGGTTTGAGCCGAGCGTCATCACAGTGAGTCTGCGACTCTCCCGCCAAATGCGTACAACCCTACTGCGCAATATTGGTTTCAGGAAATGGAGAAAAAAATTAGAGTGGAATTAGAGCTTTTCGGCTTCAAATCCGTATACTGGCGGTAGGCGGAACCAAGCTGTCCATAGTATATGCACTCATGGGTGCAACGCTGTCTGCGAAAACGCAGCATGCGCCAATGCAAAGGTCGTTCAATTAATTCATCCCAGTTGCTGTAAAATATTTTCATCAGTGACGCGTTTCAAAGCGAGGCTGGCATGTCGCACTACAAATGACCTGTAATATTGTTACTTAAAGCTCCTAGGAGTTTTTTGATGTCAATGAAACAGAAACAGAAATTCATGTTGACATCTTATATGATACTGAGAAGCAAATAAGACGATCAGCGACAATATTTATCAACTTTTTGTTGTCATTTTAATCATGTAAAATCAGAAGGACTGGGATTCGCTGGTAGCAGGCATATGTATATACTATGGACAACTTGGTTCCGCCTCCTGCCAGTATATGGATTTGAAGCCAAAAAGCTCTCGGTATTTCTGCGATTTTTCTTCATTTCCTGAAACCAGCGTTGCGCAGTAGCATTGTACGCATTCAGCGGGAGAGTCGCTGTGATGACGCTCGCCTCAAACAGCGTATTCCCCCGGGTGAGCTACGCAATCCTTGAATGCCAATAGGCTGTATCAAGTGTCAATCATAGTAAGACATGAACCCCGTTTTCATAACTTTTAAAAGCGGAGCTTCACAGAAAAAAGAGGACTTGATCACAAACCAGTCTGACAATAACTACATGTCAACATCGCAAACAGGGGGGAGAAAAATGTATGTTCTGTGTAATAAATTTCTAAAGTTTGTCCACAGCTCTATAAGCTTTGCTGGAGGAGGCGGGATTTATGACCTTTACTGCAGCCCGTCAACAGAGGGTCCATTCTATATACAGTCTATGGTTTTAATACAGCGAATCAGGCGTGAGGCGGTAGGTGTCAGCCAAGTAGCTTTAAAAACAGCCTGTTTTTACATCTTCCACATTAAATATTCAAAAAAATGACTTACAAAAGTGAGCTGGGTAAAATTTTTCATCAGGGGGCGCCAAAACTGGCACAAACCAAAAGTTGCTTACAGGAGCTTTAATATATCAATAATGATATTAATTTTAAAGTATGTTTTGTGTGAATATGCTTTTTGTGTAATGTTCTAACATCCCATTTCCTGACAGTGTTTCACAGTTAGTTATGTATTAGACTTTTGTGACACTGTTGCTTCAGAAAACGTGACACAACATGCATCAGTGAGGAGATAAGGTGCAATTTCGGTCACAGCAGATGCCAAGATTGATAAAACAACAGTTCCTCGCAGCTCCCAGCTTGAAATATGAATTAAACATTTGGAAGATCTGGACAGTTTACAGAAAAAATAAGCAATTTGTGCAACATTTGGATGCAGGAAGTCGTGATTTGCATGTCTCTTGATATCTTCAAAACAACTTTTTTATGTTTTACTTCACTCTGAGCCTTAACAAGCCCTTTCTGATCATATACTGCAGACAGAACCAAAACTCTCACCACTTCTTCTTCTCATATTTGTCCTGAAGGAACTCTTTGAACTTCTGAGAGTCTTTCATGTCGGAGCAGCCGTCCGTCTTTGGGTCAAACACACACAGCCAAGTCCTCCTCCCAACCTACACACACAAACACACACACATGTGCAATTAAAAGAAATGGTGACAGAAATCAAACAAAAGGTCTCACTTTATGGATATTTAGAGACAGAGGATCTCTCACAAACAGATTTTCCCACCACTGACTCACATCCGGTTCAAGAGTCAGAGTGCGGCAGATATCAGCGCCTGTGATTCACGCCTATATGGATCGCTCTCCTCTCCAGAGGATGATGTGGAGAGAAAACCAGGAGGATATACCTCTGCTCACATTATACTTGACTCACTCGCACATACTCAGACGCACACAAACATCCTGTCCTACACTAAACGCAGAGCACTTATCTTGATGGCCTGAAACACTTCACTGTTTTATTCGGGTGATATAAGCTCCACAGAGGGTGCTGCCCACACCAGCAGCTGGCAAAACAGTTGCGGGAAGAAGCCGTTTTGTATTATTTTTCACTAAAATGCAACAAGAAGTGATAAGAAGTGATATGTTCAAGAGCTAAATGCGCATTATATTTTGAGTTTCCTTCTGTTTATGCTCGACATCGTGGTTTATTATTGATATTATTATTATAAAATGCTATATCAGTCGTCGTAAAAGCTGCCTGTGGTTTTTAAATACAAGTTAATAATTTTTATATTTGTATCTGTGTGGTTCCACCATTGTTTTCTCACTGCCTTAGTTCAAAACGGTTCGGGAAGCACAAGCGTAAACACACACACATACGCAGGAAGTGGATAGTGGTTTGGGTGGGACAGGCAAGGCCGGTCCTTTTGTTTCTTGGCTCTTGTGTGAGCTGGCCCGAAAAGAAAGGCTAGCTGAGCCATAAGGGACGTTTCAGAATCTGTGTTAAGGCCAAAAATGAAGGTAGGACCTCGATTTTGTCAACGTCACTCACCTCATTGCCGTGATTTTGGAGGAATTCCACTTCCTGTTGGGAGAAGGTTGTCATGGAGATGGACTTGACTCTATGAGGAGGGTTGAGGCCTCTCCTGGGACACAGAGGAGAGATGGAGAGAAGGAATTCACAGGTAAAAACAGGCAGTAAATAAAACCGAAAAGGCGTGCAGTGATTCCTCCACAAGGACAAGAGCAGGTGGGAGAGGAAATGTTGGTCATGTGACTGAATAACAAGGCAGAACCGGTGAATAAAATACTGAGCAACATGTTTCCAGAAACCAGAACCTCCTATTTAGTCCATGCTGGGGGGGAAGGGGGACACAAAGTGGGACACCCTGATGGAGGTGTGCAAGATTGCGCAATAAAAGTGCTGGAACCACCTTCCTGAGGAGTGTTGGGACTACATGCAGATTAAAATGTGACACACACACACACACACACTAATACGGTAGGTATACACTCGCCCACATTGGAGAGGAGCCTAGAGAGAGAGAGAGAGAGAGAGAGGGGTAGTGTCAAACCTGCACCATGACGAAATGAACCGTAACTCAGAGCTGGAAAATGACCAGCTATAGCGGTCTGAAGCTGTTGGAGGAAATGCACGAGAGAGACAGAGAGGTGGACACTGCGTAAATTAATCTCTGCACCGCCAAAACCGCTGGAGAAAAATCAAGAAAACCACGTCAATCTGGCTCTGGGTGGTGCATGGTGCAATATCAGGCCTGGTACTTTAACTCTACTGCTCTATTATGTGTTTGTCCTCACACACTGATGCTAAAAATGTGCAGTAAATAGACCCAGGGGGCGCGGCAGGAGGAGGAGGGGGGTTTCACTCACAGCATTCCGGAGCACGACGTGCAGACGAAGCTGCCCACCGTGATGTCGGTGTAAGTCACCCCGGGCTGGCTGCACTCGAAGCAGTGTTTGTTTACTCCAGACTGGGCCAGCTCGCGAACCTTGCGGGCGCAGATCTCCTGGTTGTCCCGGTGCTTTCGGTTCGACATGTTTTTGTTTTTTTTTCCTCCTTTTTAATCCCTCTTGCTTCTTTGCCCCGGGGCCTGACTGTCAGGCTCGGTGTGAAGCCGGTGTAAACCCTCCGCGGTCCTCCTCCTCCTGCGTCCCCTCTACATGGAGCACTTCACGCCCGCATTATGGGGACGCTTTTATGCGGCTTCACCCTCCCAGTGCGAGAGAGGCGCGTCAAGTCAGAAAGATTGAGTTGCGCAAACCGGAAATACTACGAAGCTCTTTCAGAGTAAAAGCGAATAACAGGTGGCGCTTTAGATATCGCTTGATTTTACTTGTCGGTTGCCTGTTTCTTTAAAATCTTGTTCCAAAATCACCACTGGTTACCTCATCAAAATGTTAGTGGGTCAAGGTATTTTCCAGTGTCTCTGTACTGTGTATTCTGTGATTCAGCTATTTTCTGAGATTTTTACCAACAAAAATGAAGAAAATTATGAGTTTGTCCAGTTAAAGGCAGAAAAAAACATCTGTCTATGGCAGCCTTAAAGGGATATTCCGACCTAAAATTTAATTAGGTTCAAACACACCAAAACACAGAGTTAGACACCCCCTCAAGAGATGAATGTTGCCGACCACTTGCTTCTCTAGTTATACCAACTTTAGTTACGACCACACGATAGCAATACACAGCGGTCTGAGGAGCCATAAACAAACCTCAAACCCACAAATAATGCCAAGACTTCATCAACAGTACATATAGGGTCTTAGCCAAAGTACTAGAATCAATATTCTGGCCTATTTCTACAAATTCCTGACAAGAATACAGTTGTGTCCGTTTAAAGAGTGATCCTGTTAACTGATTACTTCCAGCACATATGTCAGTGGTTGTCATTGAACGCATCCTTGTTTATCTTTTATTCTGTCAAAATAGACTCACACGAGATGTAGTCGTGAGCAGTTTTGGTATATAAACTTCTTGGTTTTTCCACCAAAACCATCCGTATCCCACATCATACTATCATAGCCTTTACTAATGAGGTAGAGTACACCTATTTATATGTTTGTTTTGTGATTTTGCAACTCTGAATATAAGATAAGACCAAGTATAAGAGTAAAAAAAAATCTAAAAAACAAAACTAAAATTCACTTAAATTGATTTTAAACTGAATGGATGTACTTAGGGGATCAATTCTTTTTTATTCATATTGACCTAAAAGTGTCATTCAACTCGTGTCTTTACAAACACTACAAAAAGGAAACCCTAAAGGCCCCAGACTTTGAAGTAATACTTGTTCTGCTTTTTTCAATACACACCTAGAAGGTACAAAATGTCCCAAGTTAGCTCTGTTTTTGTTCAACAATGCCCTTTCCTGTTTTGTATTTATGCCAAAAAGTCAACTTGGTCTTCATTTTTTGTGTGTCTGACAGTTAAGAGGTGACTGGAAATGAGGCCAGGGGGAGGACTGGTGTAGAGTAAAGGGCCTTGGCAAGAAATAAAAGGGGATGTGACGGTTTGTGGTCAACACCTTAACCCCTGATTGACCAAGAATGCTTGAGAAGTGTCACGGTCTGAATGATGTGGGTTATGCTTTTTCCCTTGCATTTGGAGCGATGAACAGGATAGATGTCACTTTCTTTTACAGTTTCACTTTAAAGAGGATAACCCAAGTCTCTAAACACCTAAAATTTCCCCCCTGTGAAAACTGAGCTTTTTTGTATTGCTTGTTTATGGTGATGACTTTATTACAATGTGATTATGTGAGTGACCAGCCAAACTCGTGCTGAGCCAGTTAGGCCTATACTAACTTTTTAATCTTCCAATATCGTGTGCATCGTTTGAAACAGATCCATTGCATTGTAATATTAGCCGTGCTTTTATTTTGTAAAACCCGTAGGTCGTGAGATTACGCCTGTCTTGACGCTTTGGCCAGATGCGTAGGGAATCTCCTGTCAAAGACAAATAAGAACCTGTCGATCAGCCTCGTTTTATATAGTCCAACAACCGTTTTTCACTTTTTTTTTGTCAGAAACGATTGTCTGTCTGTCCTGAATATGTGTCTCTACTGCTGCGCGCTGCTTCTGCGCCATTTACGCACACGCCCCCCTGTTTGTTTATATTTTTGGCGCAGCGCTGACGCTCAGAAAAGGACACAGATTCTTTAAATGGGATAAAATAAAGACAACTTGGCAAGGAAAGACAAAGTGCTGCTTAGATAAAATGTTTGTTTGTTTCTGACACTTAGTGGGGTGTGTTTTGTCTTTTTTCCTTAAAGTTATTTAGTTCTCAACCTTCCTGACATTTTCCCACGAGACCTGCGTGACTGGCATCATACGAAATCCACGTTTCGCTTTGTCCTCAGAGAAATCCTCCTCTCTGTTTATTTTGATGAAGCAACTTAGCAACGCAACAGACCCACCAACTACGCCCTTTCTGTGACGTCTGTGGAGAGATATGGGAGATTTTTTCACTCACTGGCACGCAGACAGAAATAGCACGCTCAGTGAGGTGGTCAGTGAAGGCATCACGCCGCGTTGATCCCCTGACTGATCCACTCAGGGGAGGAGGAACAAATCTGAAGGAGAGGAAAATAAACATACACATTGTTTTCAGATGAGCTCGTTAGGCTGCAGTGGCTGTTTCTGAACAGCAGGGGGGGTCGCACACATCAGGTGATGGATGAGTGGATCAATGGAAATTCAGTTATGTTTGTGCATTACAACACACACATGCTACGAGCTCAGACAAACAAGCCTGTTGAGCTGCTGTAATTACAACAGGCTCAGCAGTCAACCACAGGCTTCACGGTGTCTGACTGCTGTCTGTGGGGATGATGACAAAGTGCAGATCAGTTTGTTTACGTTATTCCACTTCTCTGTCCTTTTTGTCAGAACTTTAAAGTATGGTGGCCCTTTAGTGTAAAAAAAAAAAAGACTCAGTTTTGACTCATTACTCCAAAATAGCACCTTGATTAGCACAACCCATAATACTGTGTGGGAGCATATTGCAGAGCTGTCACGCTTTGAGTGTAACAGTTACGCAATTTGACCCGTTCTCACACCTGGACGCCACACCTGACATTTCTCAAGCTTAGTTTTCCCCATTCAATAGACCAAATTTAGACCAAGTCTAATTCAGGGCTACATCTATACTACAGTGTATATTGCTCAACAGCTATCATAATTATTTTGGTTAAGTACTTGGAGATCAGTTATGCACGGTGGCCGAGAACCACTACTGCTGCAAATAAAAAAAAGAATGCAAAAAAAGGTCACAATGGAAGTTACCTATGCAAAAAAAAAGAAACCAAAGCCCGCTGAAAATAGAAAAAGAAACGGTGCAGATTTTTTAAAAAAAGCTACAACGGAAGTTAATGTCACAAAAAAGTGGCAATGCAATCTAAAAAAAAAAAAAAAAAGTTACTTACTGCAAAAACATAAAGATGTAAAAAAAAAAAAAAAAAAGCCACAACAGAAGTTACCGATGTAAAAAAAATATATAAATAACAGAAGCTCGCTGCAAATTTAAAAAAAAAGGAAACGGTGCAGATTTTTAAAAAGCCACAATGGAAGTTGGTGACCTAAAAAAAATGTGGTGATGCAAAAAAAATAGTTAGTTACTGAGAAAATAAAAGGATGCAAAAAAATTAAAAATAAACAATGATGACGCACCGGTGTTTCCCATCAGTAACTTCTGCTGTGGCTTTTTTTTAAAAATTTTTTGGCATTCTTTTTTGTTTGCAGCAGTGGCGGTTCTCGGCCACCGTAGTTTTGCAACTCACAGTTTCATTGTGAAATAAATAGTTTTGAATAATGGGTTAAAGTGCAATGTCTAAATTCTTTCTAGAAATATACAGAATCTAGATGGTTAAAATTAGGCCTCAATAAAACTAGAAGTCTAATAAGTGGGATATCTTGTTATTGTGTCACTTTTTTCCCTTCACATTTTGGCAGCATTGGGCTTCCATATAATTAGGTTCATTAAAAGAGGGAGGCTCGCCAACAAGTCTTCTTCCCACCTCAACAAAAGCAGATCAGCCGAGGTTGCCAGACAAGAATACACACCCAGTCTCTGTACCTGGGAAGCATTTATGCCTCACTGAAACCGACAATACACAAACACCAACTGAGGGGCAAAACATGTCTCCACGGACCTGCTGTACTTTTCTGATCAGTGTTTCATTAATAGATCATTTCTACTGAATCTAACTTGGCTGATTCACTCTAGAATTTGTATTAGGGACTTTTTGGTGTAACCTCTAATTTTGTGCTTGCTTTAAAACCACAATTTGCCATGAGTCAGAAACCCGGAAGGAGCGTGATGTGAGGTTTTGGGGGACGGACCTCGGTGCATGTGTGTGTGCGCAAAGAGAGAGAGAGAGAGAGAGAGAGAGAGAGTACTCCAGTCAGCACTCTGGGGAAGCAACAGCCTATCCACTGGTTGCCATCTGATTTATTTGGAAATATCGATCCAAGCTCTGTAATAAGAATATTATTTATTACTTTTACCTGAGGAGACTTTAAGGGCAACTTCTCAACAACCTGTTGCGTTTCTCTCTCTGGTGAAAATGGTGATAACGCCGCTGACACCCCCCTGCTTTCATTCATAAGCGGTGACAGGTCGCCTTTAGGCTCTGATGTGACACAGAGGAGGTTCAGTTCAAGCACACGGTGTCCTTTGAAAAAAGAGAGGAGAAGTGAACAGGACGAGCTGTGGGAGGAATACAAATTATTCCGCTGAAAGAAGAACCGTCCGAGGAGGACAATGAGTCGAGCTGCCGGTGTGAAACTGAGGAAGAGCCACTGCTGCTGCTGCTGCGTTTAAGGTCGGCGCTCCGCTTCAAGGTCCGAGGAGAGGGGTCGGGAGAATACCGAGTTTAAAGTGTTGGAAAAGCTCATCTGAACGGAGGGATGACGGTCAAACTGGACTTTGAGGAGTGCTTGAAAGACTCTCCGAGATTCAGGTAAGAAGAGATTCACCTGTCAAGCCGAAAATGAAAGGCTTGGACTCTGACTTTCAGCCGAAGATGAAGGTTTGTGTTGCAATACTCTCTCTGTCTTTAGAGCAGCATGTGCAAAATGGGAAATATGTATTATATAATGCCTGCGGTTTCTCCTTAAGTGCCTCCAGTCAACATGTGGATTGTAATTAGTTTGTTTTGTTCTTATTTATAAACTGTTGGTGTAGCTTCAGCTAACTATGAACAACACCAAGACAAGTTTCCTTAAAGGTTGATAAAGTATATCGTACGGTGTGGTATCATATTTAATCTCATCGTTTTGTATCGTATCGTATCGCGCCAAATCGCCGTATAACTGACTGATTCGTAGCATACCATATGTACATACTTCTTAGTGTATGGGATTGTTAGGTATGAGTAATATATCTAATCTTGCCATATTGCATGGTAAGTTATTGGATTGTATGTTGTTATATTACACTATCATGTTTTATCGCATTCTGTTATATCTTGCTTTATAATATCAGATCATGTTGTTTCCTATAGTATCATATCATTTAGTTTGGTATTGTATCACATTACATCATATTGCCCAGGGTCCCAAAGGTTGTTGGTTGTCATGTGACTGCAAGTGCCAGAGTTGAAAAAGGGATGCTTGCAAACATTCAGGGGTAAAGCACTTATATTAGATTTAAATACTTAGACATAACTCTTGAAACTAAATGGGTAACTGTTTGTTGTAATGCCCACGACAGAATATTTTGAAGTATTTGTGGTAGAAAGTGACGAGCTGCCACACATTGTTCGCTCACACGCCCTTAAAGACCTCATTCAAAGCCTCTCGAGTTAATAACCGTGCTGCTGCAGTAGCTCTACTGTATGTCAGACTGAGTCTACAATCATTTTTCTTTCCACACTCAGTCAACATGTGGTGTGCTAATCAAAAGGGAAGTGTGGCTAAATTGGTTTTGCAAGCAGCTCGAGAAGGGAGCATGGCAGAACTTGGGTGTGCCTCCCGACAGTTTTTGGCCTCATGCCTGAGTCACAGCCGCTGGTGTCCCTACCAGCTGATCTGGCATGTTTTAAATCCCTCAGCCCCCTTTTTTTTTTCTCCCTCTCTGTTTGAGTCCACGAAGCTTGAGCGTTGGTGGAAAGTTTGAGTAGTTGCAGCACCAGCGCTGAGGTTTTCGTGTCAGGCCTGGAGAGCAGGGGAAGGAAAGAGAGGGGGGTCAAGTTATTACACATTTCAGGACTGTGCTTGAATACCAAATTCTGATTGGTCAATACCCCACAGCATTTTTCTGTTATTTCCAAATCGCACAAGTCGAGAGCACATTCACAGACTCTGGTGGACTTAAAGGGATCATTTCCATCCACTGGGGTCCTGCTCCCCCTGCTCCAATCCACAATACTGACATTGCAGTTTAGAAAAAGGCAAAAACAAGATTGAAAACCAATGAGAGGAGAATTAACTGTCTCTCAGAATCCGCTGTTGCTAAGTGACGGCAAGGTGGGAGGGCAACAGGAAGTGAAGCGAGATGTTTTGAGGTGATCAACAGGAGTGACAGGAAGTGTGTTTTCTGCGGGGAGAACCATGGCGGAAACTCAACTTCAGCTCTGTCTTCATCTGCTGTCTGGCCCTCCGTCCCGCAGGCTTCAAAAATACGACATTAATTCAGATAAAAACGAAAAGGCCACATTCCTCTTTAATGAAAAATACTTGAACTTCCTCCCTCACAGCCTCCTGTTGCCTTTTTCATCCTCTCCTCTCCTTCGCCGACTTGTCATTCAGTGGTATTTCAAGAGGACATGACCCCAGACACAAACACACACTGAAAACACAAACAGTTACTCTCTGTTTTGGCCCTCCTCTCTACTCTCTCCGCTCAGTCTCGCCTCTTTTTTCTCTTCCTCTGTCTTTCTCTCTTTCTGTCTTTCTATCTCTCTGTACTGTTGGTGGAAGGCAGCGGAAACCACATGGTTGAACTGCTAGTATGTGCAGAGACAAATGATACGTACTGTGAGGCCAAACACCAAAGAAGTAGCCGTGCACAGGACTTCTTTGTGCATGTTTGAGAGAGGTTTTGGAGGCCCGTTTTTGTCTTCATAACAAAGTGTATTAATAAGTTACTGGGCAACAAGCAGGCTGCATGTTTGCTTTCACGGCTGAAATCCTTGTAGGAAGGTTCATCCGGCAGACTCACTGTTACAGTACACCAACGCTCTGTTCATATGTCATTAGTTCTTAACACGAAGCTGTGCTAAATACTTGATTCTGATTGGTCAAAATCTAAATATACCCTAATACAGTGGTTTTCAACTTGTGGGTCCCGACCCAAAAGTGGGTCATGAACACGTTCTGGATGGGTTGCGAACAGCTGGTCAAAAAAGTAAATATATAATGCGCATCTAATGTTTGACATGTCTTTTATTTTGAAAAATAGCTCGTTTTGAAAGGCAGGCGTTATGTCGTGGTCCTCCTCGGTTTCTTATCAATGTGGCCTGTATGCAGTAAAAATAACATGTTTTTTTTGGTCTTTATTTTGTGCAGTTTGATATTTATTCACTTTTGTCCATGCCTCGTTGCATGGTCCTCGTCAGGTTCTTCTGAATATGCTCTGAATGCAGAGATGCATACAAGTCAAATTTTTCATTTTGCTGGTCTCCATTTTGAGCAATTTAATATTTGATATTTTCTGCAACTTCAGTAGTTGTCGTCCTCAGTTCACGTGCTCTGAAATGCACTTTACTCGTTAACATGGGTGTATTTATGTTAAAGATTGGAGTCTTTAAAGGTTTTTTTTATAAAAAATAAATTTGCTTGATTTGAAGTTTATAAAAATGGGTCATGACTTAAGGACCATGGGAAAATGTCGGTCCCAGAGTGAGACCATTTGAGAACAACTGCCCTAATATGTACATAAGAATAAGTCTTCTTAAAGGTACCTGGCATATTTCACTTAAACCTGTTGACAATGTGACAAAAAAAGCTTGTAAGGCTTGTAAATAATGACAGACAACTCTAGGATCATCATGACTAGAGATATGGGGACAGATCAGGGCTAAATATTATGTATGATGGAAGAATATTTACTTGAGAGGAAAAATTTAAGCATTCTGGTTTCTCAAAACCCCCATGGAAACTCTCATAGAAGTAAACATGCACCAGCAGGTCACTTTAATCCAGTATCATTGTGGTTTGAGTTCTAGGCACTGGGGAATACTCATATCTTAATCTAGTAGGGTATTGTTAATTCATGTTATTAGTACAAGATTGTTGTTGTTTCGGTGCATCATGGCTGCATTTTCTCAAAGCTCATGCTTATCTGCAGGATGCTTCAAAGTCTCCTGGAACTGTTGAGCTAATATGGCTGCTTCACAGGTATAAGGTTATGCATCTGAAACTAGGGCTGGGCAATACATGGATCCACTGTTGAGTGAGGAAGTTGTATATTGGCCATTGAAAATAATGTAAACAGAGTTTTTCGTAAAAACAATTGGAGATTTTATTGTTGGTCCATTTCGCCCAGCCCTACGGAAACCCATTCAAGACTAGGCAAATGCTGCAGATACTTGGTAACTACACAACTGAGGCGCCATAGCTCATTAATTCAGAAATGATTAATAATTGTGAAAACAGCAGAATTTTTTTTCCAAGCTCTCCTTTATCAAAAGAAGAAGAAAAAATCAGTCTAGACCTGTTGTCTATGAGATGTTCTTGCCCACTCTCTCTCTTTCTCATAAGTTTCTGAGAAGTATGTTACTTTTTAAAGAGCATACATTTAAAGCAACCTTTGACCTTCTATGTTCTGTCTGTTTCAGAGCTGAAATCGAAGTGGTCCAAAACGATGTGAGTGAACTCGAGACACGACTAGAAAAGGTGAGAAGAAGCATGCACCTTCATATCTTTGTCATATCCCTGCTTGAATCTGAAAAATGTAACCGCTTACACACAGAGACAGACATCAGTTGTTTCTAAATACACGCACTCCTCATGTGAAGTGAGAGGTGGGCGGTGGTTTTTGATGTATTTTTCACCTGACAGACAGCAGGAAGTATCCAAAAGCACTGCTTCCTCATGGTATTGTCCTCAAACAGAGAGAACTAGTGTTTGTTCTGCTTTCTTACAATAATGGATATTTCTTATTGATTCTCTGTGTTCACGTAAGTTTCAGATCTGTAACAGTAACGTATCTGTTCCTGCACAGTGAATCAAAAAGCGTTTGCAGCTGATGAAAAAAACAAAGATTTGGAAATTCAGAGGAAAGTCGTTGCGTGTTGAGTAATATGTGTCGGAGCAGGGAGATGAAGGGATTTAGAAAATCTTGACTAACAGGGTTCAATCCCTGAATTTGCCCTTGAGCAAAAAACTGAAGTTGCACAGAAGCTGCTAAATGTCCCTGTTTGACCTCTGAGCCACGTTATGCTAAAGTTAAGGTCAAATTAACATAGTTTGGTTGTATCTAATATCATTGCTTTGGTTGGTTCACTTTTACTGCTTTTAAAATTTAAGTTTTATGATAATTTACTCTTAAATATGTATATTTGTGAGCAGTCACATGTATAAAACTCATCCTGTGTTGATGTAAAACAAATATCTCTATGAAGAGTTGGTGCAGGACAGAAATAGAGCGCATAGAAAAGCAAATATTTGACTTTTTTGCTTATGAGGCCACAAACATTAATCTAAATTTTCCATTGACTGTGAGATAATAAGTATTAGCATACACATATCTCAGCCATGAGCCTATAATTTCATTGCTGTATACTTAAAGTCTTGGTTTTTTATATTTAGTTGCACCGTTTCTTTAAGAAAACTAAATATTTGTTATCAGACCACGATACAAAAGAGCAGGTACTCGAGTTTCACCCTGTAATTTCCAGTATGTTCTCGTTGTACTTCATTTAATGCACTCCAGATGAGAGCTAACAGAGCTGGAGGCTTTATCCAGCACGGCTGATTAGAAAAACGTCCAACTCTGGCTGTTTTATTGCCCTAATGTGTGGACTCCTGTAGAAACTCCTCATTATGTTTAATTATTCATACCGGCTATAACCGGCCGTTCCTCATTTTGAGTGTGCTTCGCTGAGTATCCAGGAGGAATTTCACTGCATGTCTTTGTCATCCAGCTTGTGAAACAATGTCAGGCCATGCTGGAGGCGGGCAGAGCCTACTGCCAGACCAGCAAGAGCTTCGTCAACGGCTTGCGGGAGCTCGGACACAACTGCTCAGGGGACAACATGATGGAGGTGAGAAGAGCGCGGTGGCATATGGAGTCATCAGAGAGTTATTTATAAACTCCTGTTAAAATTTTTCACCCGGATGATGTCACGTCTACTCAGAAGACGGTGTTTAGTTTGACTTTTAGGACATCTGGAGGCTCCCTGGTTGATTTGATTCAGTGAAAAGCTTCAGTCTTACCACAGTCTGTATAAATAATAGAGGGACTGACAGCTCCCTGAAAGTGAAGCCGAAATCTTTAGAGCTCCCCCTACTGTTTGGTCACAGTATAAGTCATGACCCATGTTGACAGATGGAATAGGGGTCAAACTTTAAAATGAAAATAAAAGTAAAATGTATGTTTCTGAACAATAAATAACTTGTTCTTGTCAAGCTTATTACCGTCCCAATTCTCATGTTTCTGAGAAGCTTACGCTGCGTCACAGTTACATCGCAAGTCGGATGTTGGAGCTGAGAATGACGTTACACCCGAGTTGACGGTGTTCCAGTAAACAAATCGGAAAACTAAGATGGACACCTACACTTACCATTGTTAGCTGTTGTTTACATTTGTCAGTTGTTGTTAGCGGTTGCCGTTGTTAGCTATACCAGTGGTAAACAACACATAATACAGTATTTTACTGGTACAAACACCATAGCACCGTGTTTACAGTTAGACGTTGGGCAGAACAACATAAACCACTTATTTAATTTCACTAAAACAACACAGAGTGCTAATAAATAAAACATCACGAGAGCTTTCACTGTTACTCTTCACTGTTGATGCACTGCGCTGCCATCTTAGATTATGACGTCATCGTCAAGTCGGGGTTGGTGAGGATCGTCCAACTTTCTGAGTTGGAAATGTGACTTCAGGGGGGCGTTCCAGATGAATTTTCAATTTGGACCTCGGAAATTCCAACTTCCGAATACAACTGGAGTGCAGCATTAGTTTTAATTAGCTACTTTATAGAATAAAAAGGAATAAACGTTAAAAATGTCATCATTTCAAAGACATTATTTCAGATATGAGGCTCTCAGATACAGTTTTAGTCTCTCATTGCAAAAAATAAAACACAATGACAAGCTGAGAGGCTCTGTTAAAATAAAGCTGGTGGTCATAGTGAAGAATTTAGAAGTGAAAGGGTAAAATAATTCAGTCAGGAGGTTTTGAGGAACAAAAGCTAAGCTGGAATAAGAACAAATACTTGACTACAAAGCCTTAAACGGGATCATAACTGCAGTTTAATCCATCTGTCCTGCAGGAGTGTCTGGAGAAATTTTCCAAGAAGCTGTCCATCATCTTAGACGCTCAGGGGGTGAGTGAGTCTGTCTGCCTGTCTGTCTGTCTGTCTGTCTGTCTGTCTGTCTGTCTGTTGTCTGCCTGCCTTTGACCTGCTGTTTTCTTACCACGATCTCATTCACAGTCATGACGCATATCAGACGCAGTATGTGGTCGGACAAGGCTGCAGCCTGCTGTCTGACGCCTCAACAGCCGACAGTTATCTGCGCTCACTGTGATACATCTGCCTCTGTCTTTTCTCTCCCCTTTTAGGAAGTGATTGAGATCACACAGAAGTCCGTCAAGACCAAGCTGCAGAACTTTGTGAAAGAGTGAGTGAGCCGTTTCAGCAGCTAAGTCCTTCACTAAGCCTCCTTCGTCGAACAGTCGCTTTAGGAGCTTTCAAACCTTTGATTTTACTTCTCTGCGTTTTGTCTGACAGTCAGCTCGAATTAGCGTGAATAAAATGAGGACGACACGATAGAGAGGATGTCTCAAAGCATGTGACAGAAGTGATAAGCTGGATAGTTTCACCAAGGACACACTTTCACTCTGGTTGAATCGTCAGAGCTCTGTTATCAAACCGAGAACAGGGACGCGCTAATGCTGATACTGTTTTCTCAAGCTTGATTCAGCAGTATGATGTGAAGTGAATAACACCTACAAATCCATAAAGCATGACACTACAAAAATGGCATTTACTGCTAACTCCCACCTACACTTCAAGGTCTGTCAACACCTAATGGATTAAACTGTGCTCATTTACAACAGCTTAGAGTCGTTTAAAATCCCCAAAATGAAAGCTTTTGTGTTGCAGCTCAAAAAATTCGAATATCCTGACAAAGTTAAAGTGTGATGACAAACTTGGACTCCATTATTACACCGTTGAGGATGTAGCGTATAATCACAGTTGTACAGGAAGTGTGTAGAGGGCCAAAACAAACCCACAGCTGTCACAGAACCAATGTTTACAAAACGGACACAAAGTTGAATTGAGGAAGACTCCAAATTAATATAATGGGGGACTAATGCTGGGTTCGAGTTACCTCGGAAGTCAGATGTCTGAGCTGGGAATGACGTCACACCAAAGTTACAAGCGTTTTAGTTACCAAGTCAGAAATAAGCAAAAAGCGGAGGTGGAAACAAGATGGCGACATCTACGAAAGTTATTTTAGCATTCCCTTTCATAGATGTGGCCATTTTGTTTCTGCCTCTGATTTTGCATTTTTTCCCACTCGGTAACTGAAACGCTGGTAACTCGAGTGTGACGTCATTCCCATCTCAAACATCTGACTTCCGAGGTAACTCGAACGCAGCTTAAAGGTCCTTACACACCAGACGCGAATTCGCCAGGCGAATTATTCGCCATTATTCACCTTTTTTTAAAACAGCGTAAAGTCAATGCAAGCTTCCACACCGGCAGCGATTTTTCCGCGGGGCGAAAAGCGTCTTTTATTTTTTCGCTCTTGTGTCAGATTTTTCGGAGATTCACAGGCGAATATCTTGACCTGCTAGACCTCTGGCCAATCAAAAGTCATGTTGTTGATGATGTCACAGACCCATGCAGGGCTGCAGTTCACACGACACACACCACCACTGGCACCAAGAGCAACAATGGGAGGGAGTGTGTACCGCAGAGTGGTCGCCCAATGTGTATAAGCGAAAGCGATTTTTCGGATCGGCGAATATTTTCGCATTTTCGTCTCGCTTTTTCGCTTCGCTCCACAAATTCGCTGGACCAGACTGAAAGCAGAACTTCTTATTTGACCTCTTAAATCAAGTGCACTTAAGTTTTTTTGTTTCTAAAGCAAACTAATCTCGTCGGATTACACTGAAGTACTTAAACAGCGGTATCTGTCTTCCAGAGACGTCCGTCGATTCAAGGATGTGCGTAAGGAGTTCGAGCGTGGCAGTGAGTGCCTTGAGGGGGCGCTGGCGAAGAACGCTCAGGCCCCGAGGGGTAAAGTACACGAAGTAGAGGAGGCGAGTAACGCTCTGCTCAACGCCAGGAGAACGTTTCGGTCTGAGGCCCTCGACTACGTCCTGGAGGTGAGGGAGAAGTAAATTTTCACCAACTGATTCACACCCTGCTCTATATATAGAGTGTGTATTTCACTTTAATCTGCTTTTTTTATCATTTCTGGATGTTAACAGTGTTTCTATTTTAAGACCTGATCTGCTGTTTTTGTTCCCATTGGTTTGTTTTTGTTTTTATCTACCATACTCTCTTGACGGTCTTATATACTTGTGACCTGCGTGTGAATGGGTGCATTCAAACTGAATTTTGCATAAAAGAAAGCCTTCACAGATTCAATTTCAGCTTTGATCGCAAAAATGAGAAAGCAGATAAAGAAAGAGTAAACCCGGGGGGGACAGAAACCTTCAAATACTCCAAAAGCATGGTCAAACTTTTCAAAGCCCTGATGGAAAAACACTAAATGAAACGCTGGATTTCAAACAGCCTGGAAGCAGCTGAAGGTCTGATTATTGTCGCACTGATGTTTGGGATGAAAACAAGTCCGCCTCAGGGCTTCTCTCCAGACTCGTGGTTGTGGCTCCTGTTGGACAGCGAGTCTTTTTCTTACGAACACTATATCTAACCGCTGTTTCCTTTTATTACAGATTAATGTCATCGAGGCCAAGAAGAAAACAGACATAGTGATGGCAGTGAGTTCACATTGACCTACTTTGAGTTTCTTTTGTTGCTTTTATGAATCATATACTCTAAATATATATATTTAACATGTAACAGCAGTTTTCTTTTGCTTCCTGTTAGATGTTGTCAATGATGGAGGCCCAGGCCCAGTTCTTCCAACATGGACACCAGTCGTTGTCAGAGTTGGACGAGTACAGACGAAAGCTGAGTGATGAGGTAACTGCTTCATCTGCAATCATCTGAACCAACAGCAGAGTCGTTAATAACAGATTCAGCTTTGTGCAAATTTTGACCAGCAGACGCCTCGCTTGGCGTTAGCTTAATGTTAAAAGAACATTGCAGGGTTCCTACACAGTTGGAATTTCCATACTTTTCCATACGCTACATTTTAGAGTTGTCTGTGGAAATATCTACTTTTCTATTTTGGAAAACAGTATTTTTTTTACTGTGGTAATACTCTGGAAACCCAAATAGTTTTCCATACTTTATTTTTCATTTACCATTGAGCAGAGTGGGGTAAGATGAGCCATTTTTTATATATCAGATCACTACATCAAGGCAATCATAGTTTTGTCTCTAACTAGTGTATCTGCATATATTTCAAGATGTTGTGTATCCCTGCAAACCAACAGGATGAGTGTAAACATAAATGTCTTGATAGTATAGCATGCCAAAAAAAAGTGGTCTCCTATGGTCAACTTACCCCATAGGAGCGGGGTAAGTTGAGCCGTATCCCTACCACCACCTCCACTCTCAACCCATGACCTCCCTCACCTTCTCTCTCCCTAAATATCAGTCATTTTTATCTATTATACACTATTCAACTGGTACAATAATTCTTTTTATTATTATTGCATATAACTGCTAAAAAGCTGTTGTGTAAAAAGCCATTTTAACATGAGAATGTCTTCAAGTGATTCAGAACATTCACAGCTGTATATTTGGAAAGAAAGAGTAACACATCTCAACAATCTGAACTGAAACTCTGATCCTCTCATCAGATTTCTTTACTTTCTCAAATGGTCGACTTTCATGCTAGGTTTTTGACATATGACCATCACCCATGTGCTTCTGACCTTCACAGACTCCATGAATTGATGCCCATCTCCTAAATATTTGGTTACACAATCAATTTCTTTTGCCATTTCCAAGCAACAGAAGGTGGCTCAACTTACCCTTTGGCTCAACTTACCCCACTCTCCCCGACTGTTTAAGACCTGGAAATTTATCAAATTACTTCCATACTTTTCCATACTTTCAATACTTGCCTAGGAACCCTGAAGTTAGTCGTTTTTAGCTGTACTATCAAAGACGTGTTGTTTTCAGAAGTCCATATTTGTGCAGAGATGTTCATTTGCAACAAGCCTCATGTTGCCTTTCACGCTAAGACTCAAAATTTGAATGAATTTCTGAGGGGTTTTTGTTGCATCAGATGATTTCTTGGCTTGGCTGCAGAGGAGTCACAAGATGACATCACACTTTTCATCGTGACAGGAAAAAGTGACTGACAACAGGAAATATTTCAACGGCTGTGCGTGCGCGCGTGTGTGTGTGTGTTAGTCCTCCGACTGTCCAAGCTGGAAACTTCACCACTTAGTCAGCCTTCAACATCAGCAGTGTTATATTTTAGAGTCTTTCTTTTTTTGCTTTATCTTAAGAATTTAAAACAGGAAATGAATTAGTCAATGTTCTCTTGCCAAATCAAACCACAACAAGGCGCTTCCTGTTTCAACAGGAAATGATAGGAGCAAGAAAACGCAGATGGAGGAGAGACAGTGAGGAAAATGACACGAAACAGACTCTCCTCAAGAAAAAAAACATCAATGTTTCCCTCAGTTTGGCTCAGGATGTAGGAAAAGGTTCACCTCTTCCTAAGTCCTGTTTCCTGGAGTCTGGAGGAGTGATTTACAACCCTGAACTTATGAAAGACAAACTGTCACTGTAACTCATTTTTACACGAGCAGATGACAGTTTTACACCCCAGATATCATCTTATTTTCACTAGTTTTAGTCTCTTCTTTTGTCTCTTTTTATAACAACTTATTAAGATATTAAAAAAGAGACGGAAGAAGAAGTTTTTGAATCTTTTACACAGTCATGCATCAGTGCAGATAGTTGATTAGATTATAGCTGGACTAGCTGGTGAAGAAAACACCTGACAGGAAAACTGAGCATAATTCAATTAACGTAGGTTTACTGGGTCTGGTAAATGGTGATGAAATGAAAACTGGTTGCCAATTGTAGCTAAAACCACCTGAACTAGCACCACCAGCCTTTGGTCCCCCTTACAGGTGAATGAACCCTATTCGTTATCTTAAGTACCAATTAACCCTGACCAGAAATTTGGTCTTCTTTCTCATGAAATTACAACTTTATTCCTGTAAGATAACAACTGCAGTTTTGTCCATTTACAACATTAAAGCACCTGTGTGGAACTTTCAGTTTGTGCCAATTTTGGCGCCCCCTGTGGACAAACTAGTCTTTTCTTGTCTTGTTCTTAACATGCTTTTGCCGTGTCGTACAACAAGAAATCTCCTCCAGCTGACTCTTGACAGTTATAAGTGTCATTTCCTGAGAATATTTTATGTGGAAATTAGAAAAAAAGGCGGTTTCTCTCGCTGCTTGGCGGACACCTGCCCCCTAGCACCAGCATGACGCATAAAAAATCCCCGCATTTTGTGGCTAATTTTGTACATCATAAAAAAGGCATCAATATGAATTTTAGTCCGTTTTGTTGACATAAAAATATTACCCACAGGGGCTTTAATTTTATTCGTAACATGGCTTCATTCCTCCATTGTAAAACTTTATATGAACCAGTTATAAAACATTTGAAATAGATCATCACAGAGAAGCTAAATTTCATAAAATTAGTTCTGTGTTTATACAAAAAGGGAATAATGTTAATTATTTGAAGAATCAACAGTCCAGAGGCTAACTCAATTTGTTTTTCTGTCCTGACAGCACACTCAGTTTGTCCTGAACTCTGCCCGGGAAAAGAGGGACATGGAACAGAGACACGCTGCGATCAAGAAAAAGGTCTTACATCCACAAACTCGACATTTTTACAAACATTTGTACCACATTACACCTCTAATAAAGTCAGTTATTCAGCGCACAGTAAAGGAAGAGCTGTTGCATAAAGACACTTAAGCGACACAGAGTAACTTCTCTTATACATTTTCAGGATGTCTCCTACGATGACTCCATCATGGATTTTAACGCTGATGCCGCTAATGGGATCGCCATGGAGGGATATCTTTATAAGAGAGCCAGTAACGCCTTCAAGACGTGGAGCAGGTACAAGTTTACCCACCAAGAGTCTGATATTAATCTTTACTTTCTTTGCCTCACTAAATGACCTTTTCATGTTTTTTCACAACTTACAGACGGTGGTTTTCAATTCAGAAAAATCAGCTGGTGTATCAGAAGAAATTCAAGGTAATTTTTTTAAAAGTCACAAACTATATTAGGCTTTAATGCAACTTTGAAGGGACAGATCAAAAGAGCTTGTCTGATATACTTTAAAGCTCCTGTGAGGAATTTTGGTTTGTGTCAATTTGGCGCCCCCTTGTGGATGAAGTTGTCTATGCTTATTTTTTCCTCTACTTTTACATTTTTAAATTTGTCAAATAAATCATGAATTGACAATATTTTATTTGGAATTTGTAAAAAAATAAAATAAAATGAAAAATGAAAAATTTCATGAGTGTCAAAAAACTCCTTACAGGAGCTTTAATCTTGCTGTATCACTGCTGTAGCTTTTCCTTTTCCTTTTGTGCTATAAAAACGACCAAACAAGTTCTCACAACAGCATGCTCCGTCTGGGTCTCTCACAGGACCAGCCCACAGTTGTGGTGGAGGATCTGCGTCTTTGCACAGTGAAGCCCAGCACTGAAAACGAGAGAAGGTTCTGCTTTGAAGTGGTCTCTCCATCAAAGTGAGTTTGGTTGTGTTGTTGCGTTCACACGTACGTGAGTCGGGGGTGATGGCGGTTAATTTTTTAAGTGATAAGCGTGGGCTTCATGTAGACGAAGAGGGGACAAAGTTCTGAGAAAATGTCCATGTCACCTCTCATGTATTCAGCAATTTGTGTGTGTTTGTGTGTGTTTGTGTGTAGGTGTTGTTTGTTGCAGGCAGACTCAGAGAGACAGCAGCAGGGCTGGATCAGCGCCGTCCAAAACAGCATCGCATCAGCCTTTCAAGAGCACAGAGAGGACCCACACAGCCCTGTGAGACACACACACTCATCAAAAAGACACACAATCCCCACGCATTATACTCCACTTCTGCGTGTTTCAGTGGGAGTTTAACTCCTCAGGATTACAGGAGAACTTCTCATAGTGAGTCCCTGTATTTATGTGTGTGTGTTATTAGAGACAGCGCTGCAGCTCAATGTCGGCGAGCACTTTGGGAGGAAGTGGAGGAGGAGGAGGCGGAGATCAGGAAAAGACAGCCTGTAAGGCGCTGGATGAGGTTCAGGCGATCCCAGGGAATAAGCAGTGCTGCGACTGCGGGGAGCCCGGTCCTGATTGGGCCTCCATCAACCTGGGCATCACGCTTTGTATCGTCTGCTCAGGGATACACAGGTATGACTACGAACACACACACACACACAAGCTGAAACACACACACTCAGCCAGAGGAAATAGCTTTAATGCTGTCCTCGTTCTACAGGAGCCTGGGAGTCCATTTCTCCAAAGTACGCTCCCTCACTCTGGACTCCTGGGAGCCTGAGCTCATTAAGGTAATTTAACCTTTTAACTGCAGCAGCTCCACAGCCTCATTATCACAATAACAAAGAGCTCCACTGAGCACAGTGATTATGCAATGCATTATGTAACCATCACTTAAATTGAGCATTTCCAAATAAAGCATCAAAACAAATTCTCTTTGGTTGTTTTTTTTTTAGTTGATGTGCGAACTAGGAAACACGGTGATCAACAGGATCTATGAGGCGAGGATCGACGAGATCACTATCAAGAAGCCCCACCCCTCCAGCCCCAGGTACGAACAATCAATGTCAGCTAATATTAAAGCTGTATTTGACTAATTTTTAACATGAATTTTCACATCTTCACGATCAAAGTCAGAAGTCAACTTACCTCATACACGGGGTAAGTTGACCATAGGAGACCACTTTTTATAGGCATGCTATATTATCAAGACTGTTTTGTTTACACTCATTCTGTTGGTTTGCAGGGATGCACAACATCTTGATACACTAGTTAGAGACAAAACTATGATTGATGTCGTGATTCGAAATGTGAAAAATGGCTCATCTTACCCCACTCTCCCCTATAAACATAATTAATCTGGCTTCATTAAATTAGATTTCTTTTTTTCATTATAATGAATGTAGTTTGAGGGTTTTAAGGTGTGTGTCTATGCTTTACTTTTAAAACCAGGCAGAAGTATCCACTTCCTGTCTATAATCTTGGTGAAAACTGTTGTTGAGGTCTCGACTTGGCTTTAGCATAGCTTTTAGTAGTTGCTAGTAAAGACCCCTCCAATGATACGATCATCTTTAAAATAATAAAAGTATGGAGGTAGGAGGATTTAGACTTTTAAATAAAATGTTTCACAATAGGATTATTTTGGTTGCATTATGGGAAATGTAGGAAGACTCATCATTTCTGTTTTAAGACTTGAGCGTAAAAGTGATTCCTTTAGAGAAAGTAGAACATCTATTTGACTGAGGTTTGGTTTTCCTTCACCTGCCTCTCCAAAAAGTCCTCAAACAACAAAGTAACATCTGTTATGATAACAGTAACTTACTGTTTTTTTACTGTAAGCATTAGAGGAACTTTTGATGTGTTTTACTTTTCTATTCTTTCAAAATTCATTCCAGATACCCGGTTACATTTACTGTCAGACTTTGTTGAGGCTTGATGCAGCATGGTTGGTGTTAGGTCTCTGGGTGAGAGGTGGACCACAACTGATGGTTGACCACATGGATAACTGTTGCTTAACGGTGCAAAGTAAAAAGTGCTGAAGTAAAGCGAATAAAAATAAACTCAACTGAGTGGAAAATATATCATGATGTGAAAGCAGAAAGCGCTATAACGTTCTATCTTCCTTTCTTCATGGTGTCTTTAAAGTTTGCACTGATGCATCGACTGAGTCAGTATTTTGAAATCACTGTGCTGATCTCCTCCTGCTGTTCTTATGGTGTCACTACATGAAGCTTTCACTGATGAACTGCACTTTTTAAAGTTTTTAAAGTTTCTTCCGGGTTGATTTTACTTTGATCGATTCTTCCTCGGTGAAACTCTACAGAAGCTTGTAAGACACAAAAACGAACTTTCGCTCTGCGGTTTACAGATAAGTGCATCCGTGGGCTAATCTCTCTAGACTTATTTTGTGACTTCCTCTTCTCTCCCCTGTGTTGTGTCACAGCAGGCAGGAAATGCGACAGGTACTCGATGCACATGGTTAACGTTGTGACTGATGTGTCCTCAGGAAACTCACTGTGAGGCTGCATGCTTTTCGCAGCATGAGGTTTTAGTTTTTCATGTCTTCGCCTTCACTTTTTGGTTGTTTTTTTAATCCATTTAATGCAAAGTGGGTGTTTTAAAGCAGTAAAACACTTTTGGGCCATAATTGAGTGAAAAGAAGACCTAAACGGTACTATCGCAAGCTGAATTTATGACTTCATTAAGAGAGACTGAGTGCGTCATGGGCATGTGTTAGCATTCTTGTCTCACAGCTGCACAAGCAAACTGTTGAGTCAAACTGGGAGAGTGAAGTGAAAGAGAAACAGCCTGAGAAATGAAGCACTGCATGTCGCCCTCTTTTGTTTTCTACATTGCCACGTTTTGTGAGTGATTTGTGTACCGATTTGATACACCACATCTCACCACTCATTCCTGCCCCTCAGAGGAGACAAGGAGTCATGGATTCGATCAAAGTACGTGGAGAAGAAGTTCATCCAAAAGCTCCCTGAAACTGGGAGGAACCCCCCGTTGAGGAGGTCAAGCGCCAGGAGAAACCGTGCCGCCACGCAGGACAAGACCGTGCAGCGACCGCCGCTCAAGCCCAAACCGAACCGAGCCACCTTGCCTCGAGTAACAGGTAACAATCCTCAGACTTTTTGATCCAGCAGGAGTCAATTTCTCCTTCTTGTCTGCTATATTTCATGTCTCTCTTTCTCTTTTTTCAGGGTTGAGCCCAAGTGACATCCAAAAAAACAACTTAGGTGTTCACAAAGGTGAGACGAAGCAAAGTGACGCCCATAATGAGCCTGACACCATAAACAAGCATCTTGAATACATCCCCTCTTTTTCCTCAGATGAAGAGGAGGACGTTGAAGATCTGAGCGGCCTTCATCCTGGAGCGTTGCTATATCGCTCAGCGGCTCTGCAGAACTTCCCCCTCATGGCCGACGCTTTGGCCCACGGAGCCGACGTCAACTGGATCAACGCGGCAGAGGAGTCCAGCACGCCGCTTATACAAGCCGTCTCAGCTGTGAGGACACCTTTGAGATCACCTTTATATGTGATGTTGATAATGATGATCCCCAGAGGAAGTATCATTTGATGGTATATTGCCCTGTCCTTTAGCGCCCTCTTCAGGTTAAAACCTCCTCTTGGTGGTTTCCATCAACTTTGTTGCGCTGGATGATGGACCATCAGGGGATTTTACTGTTTTAGCACTTAAATGAGACAAGTTGAGATGGATCACCGGTGGAGCTAACACATTTGCCTTGTCTTTGTTAGCCTGTTTAGACAAGATGGTAGCGAGAGGGTCAAGTAAGTTGTTTGGACTAAATGTGTATAATTATGAAGTCATCTAAAGGTCCTGTTTCTTCACCAGAATGCACTAGCTGCTTGCGAGTTCTTGCTACAAAACGGCGCCAATGTCAACCAGGTGGACAGCAACGGGAGGGGGCCGCTTCACCACGCCACCATCCTCGGTCACACTGGGTAGGTTACACTCACTAATACACATTCATATACGCAAAAAAAGATAGGATGATATATCTTATATCAGACCTGGGCATTTTACAGCCTGGGGGGCCACATCCGGCCCCTTGGATGTCCCTGCCTGGCCCTTCGTGAGGTCCATCAATCAAATTATCAACATGCAATACAAGTGTGTTGCTTTTATTTTGAAAACCTAGCCGTTGTTTTATTTCCGTTTGGACACATGTGTACATCCTAGATCTGCATTCGTGAACAGAGACAAGTTTAAACATCGGCAAAATATACGTAGACGCCTCATAGTTGCCAAGTTCGCTTATTATAAAAGACTTTGAGCTTATTTCTCTCAGACGTCATTTGTAAAACTGAGTCGTGGGTGCGCATTTTTGGGCTTGTTTTTAACTAGTAGTTGCTTATTTGGGCTTGCTTTTCTGTACATGTGAACCTCCCTGATTTGAAGTTGAAGTTACTGTTGGTTCGGCCCTCCAACACAGTTCAGGTTTCTCCTGTGGCCCCACGTAAAAATTAATTGCCCACCCTGTCTTATATATAAGATCGGGTTAATCTACCTCCATTAAAGCATCTCTGAAAATAGAGGGGAAGCTTTAAACAGTCTGCAAACGTAAAGACCGGCCTAAATGTCCTTTCTTTAAAAGGTTGACCTCACACAGATATTTGTGCAAGAACACTCACACATATACAAACACATTTTGGTTCAAATTTTGGCCTGAAACTAGTAGAGAAACTTATGAACAGCTTCTGAAGGCTCTCATAGAAAAACTAAAGTGAGGACCAGGCAAAATGCCCCGCAATGAATAAAGGTCCTCACTTCAAAAGGTCAACTTCAGTCTTTGGTCCCAGAATTGTTGCTATGCAAGAACACACATGCAAACACATATAACATTACACGACAAGATAACATTTCATTGTAATTCTAGTGCTTCTTTGAAGAAAGTGAGGATCACATTTCCTTACTTTTCTAAATAGTCTTCTTTCCACAATTTTATAACCCTTAGTGGTCCTCACAGTGATGGGTAGACAAACGTATTCCCTCACACAAGAAAGAGTATATCAACAGTCTCATTTAGTATTACCTGTAACAGTGATAAAAGAAGGTAGCTAAAGTTGTCTAAAGAGCAGATGAAGTTTTGTTAGGGAGGCCATCACCAGCACATTTTAACACCATGTAGTTCCACTAACATAAACCAGTGACTGATCAGAGGCTAATATATAAGTAAAACACACAACCATTGACAGAGGACGTCACAGAGACAAAATCAGACCCTGTCAAAGGTGGAGTTCATGGACATGAGTGCAAGTTCAGGAAAATAAAGACTGCACTTTACAAACACACTCAAAGAAATCTACTCAAGCCTTCGGGCACAGTGCCCAGAACCATTAACAAAGCTGAATAGATTCATCTGTCTCCACTAATGACAGCACCATGTTGTGTGAGGAGGGACATCCCAGTATAATGGAAGTGATAAATTGATGCAGAATACAAAAGAGTCCCTGGAATCACAAAATTACGACTTTTTACAGCTTGACTTGGGGGCGTTTTTTTATCTTTACGTCTCTTTGTGCTGTTGACATGATTTATAGACGGGGATGGTTTTGTTTCAGAACAAGCTAGTCACAGCAGAATCACACCAGTAAATAACTTAAGTCGAATTAAACCAGGGTGTTTATTTGGCAAACACTATTTATCTGTGCCTGCACCGCTCATCAGAGAGTCAGTCTGGCTGTAATCTCACTTGACCAGGATCAGATTACAGACATTTATGTTTGCAGCATACTGAAGAAAAAGGTCTCACTGAAGACGAACTTAGCAAAGGTGTTCAAAGTGTCCAGATTTGGAACTTTTTCAGAATGTCCCTCTTTTTTTACAGTCCTGATATTGAAACTGGTACTTTTTTTTGGATTGATAAATATTTTGATTTATGTCAGAGTCCTTCATGAGCCTACTTTGTATGCCATGAAATTTACAAACATATGATTAAAACAAGATAATTTAACACATCTCAGGACATGACGGGAACCAGTTTTAGATACACCTTCTACAGACATGTATCTTGTCAAAAATCATGATGAACCTTTGCCACCCTGAGGTGTAGCGTAAAATTGTAATGAACGCTGTAAGGGAGAGGAACAATGTCGTGGGAGAGATAAAAGTAAGTAAAAAAGTGAGTAAAAAACACCCCAAATATGTTTAGAACAACAAATGAACTTTATTCTGTGGATTCTTCTTTTTTTAGTGTCACAACTCCAGCCCGCCTCCTTTATCCAGGCTGGGGACTGGCAAAAATGACTCAATTGAGACAATTTGGCGGAGTTACCAAGTATATATTTTTTTATTTTACTTTTTTTTTTTTTTTTTTACGTTTCTAAATTAATCGATAGAGGGGTCTGAAAACTCGCCAAATATAGCAACACGGCTGTAAGTTGGCAACACTGGCTGTGAGGTTATGATGTATGTGTGAATAATGTGCTCCTATCCCTGATGTCCCTGGGTGATATATGGCCAAAAGAATGTATATCATGTGGTGAAAATTGCAGGAAAATGCGTATTTTTGTGATTTAAAGAGCTCTAGTGACTTCCATGTTGGGTGGGAGTGGTTAACTTCATGAGCTGCTAGACAATATTTAGCTAGGCACCTGGAAAGGTTATCATACAAAAATATAATCTAGTTTTGATGCTTATTTTTGGGTCTAAAGGTCATTACACACCGCGGCCGACGCAAATATAGAACGTGAAATTACGAAATTTTCGGAAAAGAATTTTGACGTGCCATTTTGACACATCAACCCCGATGCGATTTTGCGACTTTCCGGGGGGAAAAAGACGCATCCTGGGTGGAAATGAGAAGACTGACACAACAGCAGACTGACTGTTTTTCAGCTCTGATTAGACACTCGTGTTGAGATGGCGGTCTGTAGCATGTAGCATACGATTCTGCTGGACTATAGATAGCATGTACTGAGTCGGGGCCAGTAGCAGATATTAAACACATTAAACTATAATCCATAAACGTGAAAATACAGTGAAAATACATATGGTATGTTGTATCTGAACAGGTTAGCTTACGAGCTAAAGTTACTTAGCACAGATGAAAGTTAAAACAAAGACGTTTATCAAACTGTTAAAGCACACAAACCATCGTCATATGAGAAATCCGACACTATGACTCTCCATGAGTTGTCTTTCAGGTCGTTATCTTTGTAATGTTTGTGTCTTTTATCAAAAAGCACTCTGTTCCCCAACACGTAAACAATCAGCTGGTCGGCCATGTTGGATATACCGGTGAATCAGACGTCGCGACAACACGCAATCTCATTGGTCAGAAGTGGACACACAGTATGCGAAACTTTAAAAAATCAACTGTGATCCGAAAAAAATAAATGCTGCGATATCGCAGGACGGGAAAACGTCGCTGATGTGAATGCTTGTAATGACAGGATACGGGTTTGAAAAAAATATTGAGGTCCGAAATAATCGCACGTAAAAAATGGTCCCGGTGTGAAAGGATCTTTAGGTGTAAAATTTTTCATTGATGCTGCAAAGGTTACATCAATATAGGGGTTAATAAGTGAATCTTAAAAAAACCACGTCTTCAACCTAGTTCCTATGCTTGAAACCTTTATAAAGTTGATTCCTTAAATGGTTCCTGGGCCTGTAGAATAGTTTTTGCAGTGGAAACATGCGTTTTACCTGATTGTTGATGGATCACTTTTGATTTTTGATGTGTTGCTGATACAAATATTCCCTCTCTTATCCTACTTTTTGCCGTCTCAGGTTGGTTTGTTTGTTCCTGAAGCGAGGCGCAGACTACAACGCCAGAGACAAGAACCAGAAAGATCCCATCACTATAGCCGTGGACAACGCCAACGCTGACATCGTCACATTGTGAGTGTTTCAGACGGGAAAAAGTTCTCGAGGAAGGTTTTGTTAATCTCAACCAGAACAAAAGTATTAATCAAACTTCTTTTCTTCTTCAGGCTAAGGATCGCCAAGATGAACAAGGAGATGCGAGAGATGGACGGGGCGTTCGGCCAATCAGGTCACACAGGGGGGCAGGGATCTGGGGGTTTACTGGGTGGGACAGGAGGCGGACTAGGCCATACGAGGAAGAGCCTCCAAGCTATAAAGAACCATATCAGTGGCTGGGCTTTGGGAGGGCAGGGTGATTAGTGCAAGTTAAGGTCAAACCAGGACAAGAGACGGAAAGCTTATTTTTTTTAAGCTGAATGTGAAAAGATGTTTGTGTGATGTTGTTGGGCATCGGGAATCGCTGGTGACGTTTATCTGCAGCATCTGCAGAGAGATTATCCCTCCGCACATGTCGGTTAAGAAAACATGCGTCATCATTTCTAAGATCACTAAATGGAAAACTGAGGGAGCAGTAGAGCCGAGTCTTTTTAAGCTGTAAAACACAGGGTATGACGGTTACAGCAGGGAGTTGACTGAAAACAGATGAATGGATCGATATTCATGAACAAAGAAGGGACAGCACTTTGACTAACAGATGCGCACAACACTACGGTTTAAAAACCATCAAATCTCCAGTTTTTATTGTTAGTAATGAGCACTACATGTGGTTCCTCTTATGCTAAACTTAGATGTTTTTATAGGAGGCCTGTTTTAGAGCGTTTTTTTTTTACTGACTTATTGTATATACGGGGTATTTTTATACTCAGTTTGCACAGCTTTTTCAGATGTGTATTGGACTGTTCAGTTTTGTAAGCTTAATTCAGTTTTGAGTCTAACCTCAAGGATGATTTTCTCCTGCTATTCTGTGAATAGTGACTCAGTCGGAGCTCTGTTACATATTAAGTTTTGTGTATTTATGAGAATTTCATGCTGTCAGTCAGGTCCAACAGCCCTCAGACTTGAGGTTTTGTTTGCATATGTCTCTTTTTAAAGCTGCACACTCCATTCTTTCATGATAACACGGCTTTTCTGGTGCTTTGGTTTACAATTCCCTCATGAAGGAATGGAAACATGATGCTTTTTCGTCTGCTGCTGGTCAGTATTTGATGTGCTGTGCTTTCTCATTGTGTGTGTGTCTTTGCCATCTGCCCTGCTGAGATGTCCAGCTGGTCTCATCTGCTTGTGCAGTGTGCCCCCTACTGCAAACTCAGAGGTAAAGACAGTGCATGTGCATGCTGTTCTGTGTGTGTTTGTTCAAGCTGCATGCTTCCCGCTGTAGGGCTACAACTCTAAAGAGTGTTCAGGAAATAGCTGGTGGATTTGCAGCCATTAAAAACCGTCCTCTTTCTGGATGACAGATGTTGCGATTCAAACACAGATGTGTTTTGTTAAATAGGAGGATGTGCTCTAAAAGAAAGCCAACAAATGGAATCCAGAAGGGACGGCGCTGATTTGAAAGTGGATTTTTAAAGCTTTTAAAACTGGAAAATTCACGTTTTCTTTCTTTTTTTTCTTTCCAGGTGATGAAACGTATCACGACATCTTCAGAGACTTTTCACACATGGCCTCAAACAACCCCGAAAAGCTCAAACGCCGCAGCGCAGACCCCAAAACTTAACCAGCTGTCAGTGCTGCTGTTCACACTTGATGCTTTCAGGCACATTTAGACAACATGCGCACACGAACACACACATGCATACACATACACACACACACGTATGGTTATCCCTGGCTGCCTGCCACATGTTCAGTCATCGCTCAGCTGGTGTTGACTTCAGAGGGTACGAGCCCTCCCAACAGTGAATTCTTTGTGCTTACACGTCAGAGCAGAACAATCGTGTCTGAGTGGGAAAAGCTTTACGAGAGCAGCATGAGGTGTCTTTACGAGCAGCAGAGGGTAACGCCACAGCTCTGCCAACATTTCTCTGTACATTATTTCCAATGAAAAGGGCTGTTTTTGATGTTTCTCTGCATTTTTCTGTTCTGAAATGTTGCTAAAGTTGATGCAGTCTGATTCAATGTCTTCCACTGATCTGTGATGTCCACATTTTTTTTTTTTACATTTGGAAAATTTACAGACACTTTTTTGCTAAACCAAGAGAGGTACTTGAAATTTGTATCAAGAGCAAATAAAGAGCAAAAGCATCAATTCAAGAACTAAAGTGTGTCACGTCTATAATCACGTTTTGATTTTAAAAAACGCCAGCAGAGGGCGCCATCATCTTGTGATTGAATTTGTATTTGCTCACTGAGGATTAAAACCAAAGCGCAACAAATAAAGGCCTGTTTACACAAAATTCATATTTTTTTTTTTAATCAAAAATAAATACAAAAAAAATCACATTGAACATTCAATGCCACAGAACGCAGTCTGCCATCAGAGTGGTTGATTTTGGACCAAAGACGTTACAAGTTTTAGGCACAAAGAAACAAGAAAAGACAGTCGATTTGAATATTTTCCAACTATCAACATTAACAACAGTTCCTTCTTTTTATGACTGTTAGCGCAATGACATGACTTAAAGTTGCGTGCCCCCTTTAGTGTCGCAATGATCTCTAACTGGCAGGTTTTAGCAGGTCAAAGTGACCCAGATGTTCTCACAGCTTTGTTCCACGAGTCAAACATCACAGATTTACACACACATGTGCACACACACACACACACACACTGGTTTTATGGTTTGCAAAAGTACAAAGTGCTTATAAAAGTACTAATCAGAAATGTACTTTAGAATCACAGTCCTGCTTTCTTGTACAGAAGCTTAATGCACTTATGGAAAGTTAGAGTCCTGAAGCAGAGATTTGCTGGTAACCCCAGAGGTTGGGGGAACTTTTTGTGCTTAGATATTAACAATGAGGGATGCAGAGGGATTATAACTTTGATAAATTTGACCAAAGTGACAACATTATTGTATTTTGAGACAGGCTCCCCAAAGTAAAGCCAAAACATTTAGAGCTCTTCTTTGAGATCATTAAGCTCATATGTTAACATAAAGGACATAGCTCGAATTTTTTAATCAAAAACTGATTAAAAATTATGTTTTTTTTTTCATGAGTTTTGGTTGTTCAAGTTTTCATTTGACTCAAAAACCAGTTTTAATAAGTGCAATGCTTTTGATAAAAGGGGGCACATAAACATGATTGATATCTCTGCTGGTCTCAGCTCTAGATTAACGGAGAAGCGACAGGAGGAGGGGAGAGAAATGGAGACTAAGGGCCTGTGTCCACCAACAGCATTTTTACACTAGTAGCTCCCATAACCTCAATTCTGGTTGTCTTCCAGCACTTTAACCTTCCTCAAGAGTTACATTATAGTCTATATAAAAAAAAAATGTTATTTTAATTGATCAATGAGGAAAAAGTGACTTTGGTAAGCACGGGGTTTGACTTGAAAAATGCTGTTGGTGGACACAGGCCCTAACAAAGTTCACAGCTTTGAGCATCCACTTCAAACAGACACAAGTGGCTTTACTCTGTGGACTGAGACAATCTGAGGGATCTCCACCATGAAATGTAGAGTTTTGTTTGCAGAAGGGTTGAGACATCAACACATTTTGTCTTAGGGAGGCTCTGTCTTGTTTGGACATTGTCCTTTCTTTTCACTGTCTTTTCTACATTATTCCTCTTACTAATCGACCAACCTTAAATTAAGTGCACTGATGCAGCAGGTAGTTTTGATTGCTATTAATGCATTTATGTGATTGTTTGCATTCATACGCAAAAATTAACGATTAATCAATCAAGTGCAGTATTATCAATACCAGTGCAGCAGAATCATTTTCATATTTTCTCTCATAAGAAAAACCAAGAACAAATATAACGGAGTCACAAATCTTGAATATTATGGCAAAAGAATTTCAAAAACTCATTTTCCTTCAAGTGTCTTCATCCTATAAAGCATAAAAAGCAACCACACATCAAAGTATTGTTATCAAAGTAGTAAAAAGTTTTCTCCTAAGCAGAAGTCTAAACATGAAACTGAGGTTTGTGCGTGTAACAGATTCTGGCCCCTTGTGCTGGTTGTGTTTACTTGCAGACTTCTTTCTACTTTCCAGGTCGGTGAGGTAAAAATACAAACTCAACTGCAGTAGTGTATAAACTAACGTATCTGTAGTGTATAAAAGTGTTTAATTCCTAACTCTCCGGTCTACTAGCTTTTTCATCTGTCAGATCACTGATCTCTCAGTGACAGAGGGCTCTACCTCTGATTGTAAACTCTTATCTTTATCTTCTGGGGAAGGTCTTTGTGGAGGTGGAGGATCTTTGCAGGAGAAGTAGTGAGGCAAGGTGGCCATGGTCAGAGTGCCGAGGATGAGAAAACTGCCTGCCACCATGAAGGACGCGATGTAGTTGCCTGTGACGTCCTTAAGAAAGCCTGTAGACATGGAGAAGAGAAAGTACTTAGGGACATATTCATGTACTGTGAGGACCAGATACTGATAATATGACTTCTTTATGAAATTAAAGAAACAGGGTGTCAGATGTAAGCAATCCTGAACTTTTAAGGCATGATGATTAATAATACAGACACATAAACCAATCATGAAAATTTCTGTTGCTTTTGCAGATAAGTAATCAATGTGGGGAGCTGGTAAAAACTCCTAAATGCAAGACAACAAATGATGCAATAGAAGAGATCCCACTTCAAAAAACCCCAAACTGTATCTTTAAGATAGTCTGTAAACAATGCATAATGTAACTTAAAGGAATATTCCCTTAATATTAATTTAGGGTCAAACACACCGTAACACCGAGGTAGGCACCCCGTCGAGAGATGAATGTTGCCGACCACTTAGTTCTCCAGTTAAACCAACTTTAGTAACGACCACAGGATAGTAATACAGAGGGCCATGCGCTCAAACAAAAAGCCACTCTATAGCCACAAATAATGCTCAGAACAGCACCTAACTAAGTACATATAGGGTCCCAGCCATAGTACTAGCCACCAAACATCATTTTAACTTTGCCTAATTTTTTTAGCAAAGAGAATAAACACAACTCACCTTCTCCCTTCCAGCAGCCACTTGTTTGTAGCGAGACCTCGGGCCAGTCCAAACTGACCGCAGCAGGGTGACGCAGCTCAAGGAAGAACATCTATGATCATTTCTTCATGGAAATTAAATCAGACCGAGACGCTAAGGCAGAAGAACTACCGTGTCTGCAGTGCAAAATGATGAATATGATGATTATTACTTCAAGTAAATAATACAGTAATGATCATAAATGTTTTTCCTTGAGCTGCGTCACCCCACTGCAGTCAATGGACTTGCCTGAGGTCTCGCTACTAACAAGCGGCTGCTGGAAGGGAGTAGGTGAGTTGTGTTTAGTCTCTTTGCTATAGAAATTAGGCAAAGTTACAAAGATGTTTGGTGGCTAGTGCTATAGCTGGGACCTTATATGTACTGTTGATGAAGTTAGGTGCTGTTCTGAGCATTATCTGTGGCTATAGAGTGGCGTTTTCGTTGAGCATGTGGCTCTGTGTATTGCTATCTGTGGTCCTTACTAAAGTTGGTTTAACTAGAGAAGCAAGCGGTCAGCAACATTCATCTCTCGAGGGGTTGTCTAACTCAGTGTCACAGTGTGTTTGACCCCAACTTAATTTTACGCGGGAATATCCCTTTAAAGTTGCGTGTTGAGTTAAGAAGTAAGTGTTTGACCTTAAACAGACAAAAGAAGAGGACAGGTGACTGACTGACCCCAATGGGTCAAATTAATGTTTGACTACTTCAGGGTCAGTTTGTTAACTTCAGTTTAAGATTGATACAAGTCTCTTCAGATAACATGAAACAAGGTGACATGACCTACATAACATACAGAGTACAGCGCTCTTTCTTCTTACCTGACAGTGGAGCCCCGAGAAGTCCAGCCCCGCTTTCTATGAGTTGCAGCAGCCCGAGGGCCCCCATCACACGCGCCACACCTACGATCATTGGCACGACGGCGAACACCAGAGAGGTCAGGGCCCCGGAGCAGAAGCCGTAGAGGAGGCTTATCACCATGAGTGCCGGGTAGGACCCAGATAAGGAGCTCACAGGCAGCAGCATGATAAACACTCCCGCCAACGTCGTCCATATGCTCAACAAATGAAGCAATCTGAAGTGACCCAGGTCTGAGAACCAGCCGGATGCAACGCGACCCAGGATGTCAGTGGCGCCGGCGGCTGACATGACGAAAGCGGCTTGGTACTCAGAGAAGCCGGCTTGTCGACTGTGGGCAACAAGGTGGAAATACGGCACGAAGTAGCCGACGTTTAGGAGCGTGACAGCCAAGGTGTAGGTGATGTAAGGCCTCTCGAAGAGCAGCGATAGCTCCAGGTGGGAGGAGACTCGGTGCAGGATGGAAGCACGTGGTTTAGACTCAGAGTTGATCTAACGGAGGGGTTTAATGGGGTTTAATGAAATATCTGTTTTCTTCATGATAGAATTTATCTCAACACAGCCCTAGCCTTCCTTCAGACATTGTGCAGGGCTTAAAAACCCACAACCTAGCGCAACAAATCAAAACACCAGAGAATAGAGTTTTCCCCCACCTTTTCTGGAGATTTGGAGCGTCTCTTCGGTCTTATGAGGGCTCCACAGGGCACGATGTTAAGGCTGAGGCCCCCCAGAATTAACAAGGCCCCCCGCCACGCAAACACCTCCACCAGCAGCTGAAAGAGCGGGTTGAAGGCGAAGGAGGAGAGGCCGATGCTTGAAAACCCCAGTCCCAATGCCAGGGCGCGTCTGCGAGTGAAGTTAGCCATGACGGTAGCCACCATGGGTGTGAAGACGAGCCCCCAGCCCAGACCTGGACGAGACAAAAACAGTTGAGAATAGGGATGGGAATTGATAATATTATATCGATATCAATGCAATTATCGATTCTGCTTATCGATTCAATTCTTTAACGATTCCCTTATCAATGCTTCTCTTTGCTCCGTTGACAAATGTTTAATCATGTTGCTGGTGTTTCCAACTTTGCATGTTATCACTGCCCGACAAATGCTGCACTGTTGTCGTCTTTCTTAGTAAAATTAAGCCACGTTTTAACCCATTTCTGTCTACTTTTTGTGCTGTCCGCCATGTTTTTTTCTGTCTCTGTTCCCGTTTGCGTAGACTAGAACTCGCGAGACCTTTTTTCAAGGCACCCAGAAGAAAGGAATCGTTAAGGGAATCATTAAGATAAAACGTAAATGTTGTTGATGGATTGAACCATTTGGAACCGGTTCTCGATTCCCATCCCTAGTTGAGAAAAATTACTTTTTCTTTTCTTCTAAGTTTTCAAAACTTATTTGTTTGATGAAAAACAAGCTTTAAATTAGTCCAATCTGTTGTTGTTATTATTCACACTTTACCTGAGATAACACCCATGGTGAGGTAAAGGTGAACCAGGCATGTGGCCTGAGAGGCGAGAATGAGGCCGAGTCCTGCGAGACATCCCCCTGTCATCACCACCACACGAGCATCGTAGGCGTTACACAGCGCCGCACCCAGAGGACCTGCAGAGGAAAACACAAACATACATCAACATCTCCATCAGTGTTTTAAGCCTTTTAAACAACTTAGAAACTTTAATAAGCTGTAGAAACATTGGAAATATTACAATGGTTTCAGAAGCTACTGTAGACGAGTTATCTTTACATTACTAAAGGAAAGAAAAATCTGAATAATTTGAGCAGTGTCACGAAAAAGGCTGCTCCAATAATGTTACTTTCTTAAACCCCCTCCTCCAACCCCAAGCGCTTCTTCGTTTCTTTTCTTTTCTTTTCTTTTTTTTTCTTTTGTTTTTTTTTTGGATAGTCTCACTCATTTCCAATCAAACATACACTCTATGTTGTTTCTTGAGACTTTGTCAACACTAAAATCTTCAATAAGGTTACGAGGGTTTGTACAGTGTTTAGCATTGCAACATGAGTTCTTCATAAGTGACCCACTGGTGCTTGTTAGAGGGTTAATGAGTGGCAGCCTTAAAGATAACATGGTTCAAAAACCTCCTCTCTGCTCCCCTTCACTGACATCTTTCCCTGTGTGTTTCATTTCTAATATAAATAAACTTCTGTTACATCAGAGCTGCTGCTCTTGTTTTTGTTGTAATTGGAAAAAACACATTCATACTTGGACTCACTGAAGAACTGCTGAGCTGCCAGTCCAGTGGAGGAGATCCAGGAGATGGCCTGAGCGCTCTCTTCAAAGTACTGCACAAACTCCACAAAGAAGATCCCGAGGCTGCGCATCAGGCCGAACACCAGACTCGTGCTGACGAAGAGGGCGCCGACCAGCACCCAGCCCCATCCTCCATCCTGACCCTCGGCTTCATCCCTCTGGCCCTCCGCTTTGGGCTTGTTCTTGGTCATGTCTTATAGGGATTGAGCTGTGAAAATAAATGCAGAGTAGGTAAGAAGTGGGTAAAAAAAAAAACAGGAGAAAGGAACATGTAGATAGAAGATAGTAATCTCCTTTAGCGGCAGAGCGGACAGCTCTCAGATCCTGTCTGTGGCTGTCAAAGGTGATAATGATTAACTTCCCATAGTCCAATAGTTTCCCTGGATGTGTCATTTAAGTGAGAGTGGACATGTTGACAGGTATTTGAAGGCAAGATATAGGTGAGAAGTGACACCTGACACAGCTGATCAATGTTTATGGACAAGTTATGAGGATATAATCCACAATCAGATCATATGAGAGTATAAACATTTTTTAGAATGTGTATTTGAGGTGGTCGGAAAAGAAATGAAAAAAAATAGACAGAGGTTTGATGTGAATAAATTATCTTAAAATATTGGAAAAATAAAGTTTATGCTATTGGGCAGCAAAGGAAAAACATTGATGCTTTAGGTAGGTAGGTAGCTAGGTAGCTAGGTAGGTAGGTAGGTAGGTAGGTAGGTAGGTAAGAAGGTAGATCGGTAGGTGGGTGGATGGGTAGGAAGGTAGGTAGTATAAAGCTCATAAGAAAATTTTACCGATTTGAAAAAAGAGAAAGTTGTTATAATTTAAAAGGATTTGAAATATTTAAAATCCAAGATTCAGAACTAAACTGAGAGCGCTGTGTTACAGTGAGAACAATCTGAACAAAGAAACTAAAGAAGCTAAATCAAATTTTATCTTCAAAAAAAGTCTCAAAGCCAGGGAAATATGTTAATCTACGTCTTGGTATGTTTGTTTCGTGAAAAAAATGTGAATTAATGTGGTCTTTTCTGTTCTGGGTTGTTTTTGAAAATAAGAAATAATGAACTGTAAAAAGGCATGTTGGCCTGCAGCTCTTGTTTGCTTTTATTATGTGTTTAGTTGATTAATTTCTCATGAAAGAGGGGCAGACTCTAAGAGTTTTCTTCTTTCTGCTCCTTTTCATTCACATGTTTGAGATTTTCCTTGTTTGTATTGAATGTTTAAATACTTGAATGAAATAAAGTATGAAAATCTCTCACAAGACTTAAGTTAATGCAACATTTTACTGTTAAACTCACGATTTCTTATATGTGTGCACTTTATAACTACAATTAAGAGTGCACAGTTAGTGTAAGGTATAGCTACAGTTATGCATAACACTTTAGACACTGGCAGAGTGAATAAATTCTGTATTCTGAGCAGGTATTGATAACAAAACATTACCCTGTAGTATAAAAGTGAATGTAAACACGCACCTGCCTACACGTGCCGGCTCGTTCAGGAAGTTGCAGCTTCACACAATCGCACAGAGGGCTTCATTCATTATGACTACTTACGCAACTTCTACTAACCCTAACCATAGACAGACAGAGAGACGAGAACGTGTGCTGGAAACTGTCCAATCACACCTCCACGGAATTACGTAGCTCACGCTGCGCTTGCGCACTCTCACACAGCTGCATTACATTTGTATGTATGTTTGGAGACGAAATACATATTTTCAACGGCAGAGTGACTTTGTTACTGAATTTTTAACACATTTTCAATTATCTATCAGTAAATGTTTAAAGTCGTCCACTGTAGCGGTATGAGTGAAGTTATTACGACCGTGTTTACGATTGAATTAATCGTTTCACAACCTGAAAACCTCAAGACTGAGGACGGAAGGCATCTTACTGTACGGCTTTACAATGGTAAACGGCTTTTTTAATTGATAACACTTACCCTCGGTGTGTCAGCTTTCCCCGCTGCAGCACATGGTCCACTACCTCCAGGCTCACCGTGGGAAAAATAAGATTAAAACAAGTTTTTCTCTCGCCGTGAGGGCAAAGAACTTAAGCAGTCACAGCAAGAAAGCGCCGTCTAGCTCCACGCAGGCGCAGTGCGGGTAGGTATTTCTACAGAATAAACACTCGTACGTGAAACTAACACGGTTGTCCTCTTTTTGACGAAATACGCTTTAAAATTTGAGATTGTTTCCTGAATATGTGTTCGTTTGTTGCCATTGCATTTATATAGGCTTATATTTGTCATTTAAAATTGAAAACTGTATCTCAACATGATAAAAAAATAAACTGCGTTAAAGTATATTTCAAAATACAGTAACGAGCATAGTTAAAGCGGTTACAATAGTTAGCATGAACATTTTAAACCAAAACAAAAGACTTCCAAACTAAATACTTAAAATTTTAAGTATACTCAACTCAAAATGGAAAAAAAGTATGATAAGTATATGAAAATTGAGTATGCAAAAGTACCCGGATGACACTCATTTCACCTGTATGCTGTGGGCCGGCGACAGTCGACCTGGAAACTTTGTACCGATATAAGTAATAAGTTGCCTTTATATTTTATATTAATATAATATTTCATATTAATATTTTATATTATATAAAATATATTTCAAAAGTAGTTTTTTGTAAATAGTTTCTTTCTAGTTTTAAATGCTTGATTTGTAAATAGTTTATCTTTAGTTACCAAGTTCTAAATGTTTAATATGTAAATAGTGTATCTTTAGTTATTTGTTCTAAATTTTTTATATGTAAATAGTTTGTTATTTTTCTGTTATGCACAATAAATGGTCAGACATGAGACAAATCGCGTCGTCATTTCTGGTGAGTACGCTGCGCAGCAGTATGTGATTTGGGACAGCACTGCACCCTTGAAACTCGTGCACTGTGTGATTGAGTACATAGTATGCTTAGTATACTCAATTTGAAAGTATTTAGTATGGAAGTATGCGATTTGGGGCACACCAGGAAAAGATGAACTTACTCAAAAAATAAACTATCTGAGTCATTTTGCAAAAGCCAACCACTAGTCAAAGACCAATGGAAAGAAGCAACAGTTTCATCTTGACTAGGGAGGAATCAGCTTTTTTGCAGTTTCTTTTTGAGTCACTTAGTTGATTTATAAAACAAGGATAAATATCAGGTTTGAAATCTTCTAGGAAGAGGAAAACAACTTTTTAAAAAAATGTGTGACATCTTATCTTAAACTTCTGGGTAATCTGACCTCTTTTTTGGATTAAGCCTTATTTGCACATCATTTAAATAGGTGTTAGCCTGCCTTAGAGGCTGATTTTAAGAGGCATGGGACCTGATGACTTTTGTCAGCGGACCTGAAAACACAAGAATACAGCTGGAGGTCACCACAGCTACTTGGACCTGTTTTCCTTCAGCTGACAGTCACATGAGTTTCTGCGTGTTTAACACTAGAGGGCATTCATCACAAGGCCTTAAAAAGTCAATAAGACGGTATTTTTGTACATGCATGTAAATATCATATCCCAATTTAAGAAACTGGGGTACTCAAGGATCATGGTTTGAGAAACCTTTTTTTTCACAGCTTGGAGAACTCCATGACATGTTGTTTACATATACAAATGGGATACTTAAAAACACGATCATAACTGGGGTATTCAAAGTCCAGGCAAACAAACCAGATGACAAAATGCCTTAAAGAGCATTGAGTTCCTGTGCTTGTGGAGCTAAGAAATAAACAGAAGGTGGAGCCGCAGAATCGATGCAAACTATCAATAAACCAAACTAATAAACCAATAGAACATCATTCAGTCCACCGAAGAACAGATTTTTGTGTTGAAGCAGACACTTATGGTTAATGAAAGTTCATTGACTTGTTTTTTGTTGTTTATCATATAGTCTCTCATTGCGGACAGACACTATGAGGAGCTGTAAATACTATGACTTTACAACCTATGATCACCTGTTAGATCTATTTAAATACACAGTCTGTTTTCACTTCTTAAAAGACATTTAAAATGTAAACATGTTTCCTCTTCAAAAATCTTTTTTTACTTTATTTTCTTTGGGACAATTTTTGTAGATTTTAGGGAGACCCCAGAATTAGATAAAGAGGAACAAATAACTACAAGCTTTTATGCTTTATTTTTCTGAATGTTGGAAAGTCCCGTCACTCCTCCAACGTTTGTCTGCCGAGCTCGGACAATAAGACCAGCTAGTCACAACTCATCAGGGTGCAGGAAGCCAGGGGGGGTCGATGACAGAGGGAGAGTTCAGCAGGAGTCTGCAGCTCCTCCAACAGTCAACCTCCTCACCTCCAGGAAACACCGGCGAGCTTGCACACGTGTGGTCTCCCTGTTTTGTGGGGAGTACCCAGCGTCAGGGCGCCAGGAGGAAGCAGGTGCCCACGACTTCATTGTTTCCACAAAAGTAGCGAAAAACAAAACAAAAACCAGAGAGTGGAAAAATGAAGAAGACGTGATTCATGGGGAGACGGAGCGCGGTAATGAGGGGAAGGAAGTCCAGGGAGGAGAGAGGCTGAAGGAGGGAAGTGTGGCTGAGTTAACTTCACTGCATGAGTTTAAAGAGTCTGTTTGGTCTGATCTGCACTACATTTACAGCTCAGTATTAGTAGTTTCTTTTTTCTTTTACATGATATTAAATGACACACCAAACACCGAAGCTCAAATTGATACAAAAAGGTTTAATTAAATTGTACAAAATCATCTTTGTCCAGCAAATTGCTACAGATGTAAAGTCATTATCAAAAATCCAATTGCTTACAGTCATCTTAATTTAATAACTCGTCCCAGAAAACTAAAAATCCTTCATCATATCAACTTAACTATAAGACAGCTGAGTCCTTTGCCTGCCTGGACTTTATAAGAAAATTTACTTTAAACTTTTTCTAAAAAGCACACAGGCCCCAGGCCTCAAGGTTAAATTAAATATGAGTTAAATACACATTTAAGAAGATAACTGCAGAAACTCCTAAATCCACCACCTCGCCTTCATCAAACTTGCTTTTCCTTTTGTTTGAACTTTCACTTACATCCTCAACTCTCAGTGTAAACACACCCCAAAATTAGTTGCCCTCTTCTACACGACTTCCTCCCTTCTTTCTGTCTCTTCACAAACCTTCACAAACACTTAACCTTCTTCATCTTCTCAGAAAAGCCACCCAGAACTCTAAATTTTAACTTAAATCTCATAAATATCTTACTTTAAACTCCAAAAACCAAACACATTGATGGTAAAGTTTGTTTTTTTCTTTGTAAATGCGCTTCTTTTACTCCAAACAGTCCCTTGCTGGTCGTCTTGCTTGTCTGATTTACCTTGTACATTAACCTGAAACCCCCTCACACCCACACTTTAGGTAATCATTCACCAAATTTCACATTTTCCTTCTTGGGTATTTTGCTGATTTGAAGGTCAAAAACCAGCCTCCTCAGCAGGCCTGCAGCAGAGCCTGAAAGGGCTCGGTTAAGATCTTGTAGCGGATCTTGGTGTTGGTGACAGCTCCATGTTTCTGCCTCAGGTGCAGACGCAGCTGACTCTTGTGACGGAAGTGGAGGTCGCACTTCTCACACTGAAAATAAAAAGCACAAATGGTCGACTCATTAAACACAGTTACAGTTTTTAAAAGGTGTCAGATGCTGCATTTTCATTGGTTAGTAACTCACAGTGTACGGCTTCTCTCCGGTGTGGATGCGCAGGTGGCTTTTCAGGGTCTGCAGGTGGCGGAAACGGGTCCCACAGGTGTGGCAGGGGTACGGTTTCTCCCCGGTGTGGATCAGGACGTGGGCTCTCAGGTGGGCCACCTAACATCAACAAAGTGACCCGGTTAAAGGGCGCTCTTTAAACTCATACTTGCTTCATCTAAACGCGCACTTTAATAATCCTTCAGGCTAACTCTCACCTGCACAAACCGAGCTCCGCAGGTGTCACAGCGGTACGGTTTCTCTCCTGAGTGAATCCTGGAGTGAGTCTTCAGGTTGGCCGGCCTGTTGAACTGGGCGCCACACACGTTGCAGCGGTACGGCTTATCACCTGCAGAGAGAAAACATCAGCGTCAGAGGCCAGTTTTAATCAAAGGAGGAGGACTGTAAGAGTGTTTTTGAAGCATTACCTGAGCAAACAGTTTTGGTCGTCTGGAGGTTCCCAGAATAAGAGTAAGGAATGTAGTAGTTCTCACGCTTGATTGCATGTTGGCTGTGGCGAGCGGCTTCAGGATCAGCGGGGTGCAGGTTTGGGAAAGCGGTGCATGGGGAGACTGAAGAAACACGCAAAATAGTTTTAATAAAGTGTAAAGTTATTGTAAAGTAAATCGACAAAAATGTAAAAGAGGTTTGGTTCATACCTGTTCCTTCATTCTGAGGGGGAGGCACAGAGGGGAGTGGCCCGAGGGGAGGGGCTCGGCCAGAACCCTCGTAGCAGGAGGCCTGCCCCTGTCTAATGAAACAAGAGTCTTATTAGTACAGCAGCAAACACACACAAGACAGTTTAACCTCATATTCATCATTCCTTTACCTATCAATCTGACCAGGCACTTCTCCAGACCACGCCTCTGCTGATGCAGTTTTAGGGGGTGTTTGACTCTGTGCTTCCTCCTCCTCCTCTTCCTTCACTGAGGTGGATGCACAGAGTGGGTTGAGGACGATGTACTTGTATTTCTTCCAATTGCAAGCCTTTGGGTCTGGTGAGGCTTTCATATCATTCTGCAAAAGTGAACACCTCCTGTTAATTTCATGAGTTCAAATGAAATAATATTTATTAATTTGATCAGCTCATTTTTTAAAACACCTTAATCTGTTTAGGACTCACCAGAAGGTTCTTGTTGCAGGTCTTGGATTCTGCAGGGGAGCTTGGCTGGCAGCTAGAGCGGGCGGGGCTGTCTGGAGACGGAGTCGGGGTGCCCACGATAGGAGACTCAGGCTCTCCTTTCAGAGTGTTTGACCCAGGCTGGCAGGGTGGGAAAGCCCCTGGCTTCAGAGAGCCCCCGGCATCCGCAGGGACCCTGTAGAAGAAACACAGGAAGTTCTGTAATGAGCTAAACAAACACTCAAAGCAGGGCAGGAGCAGCCTCAGAAACAAAATCGCTCATACCTTGATGCTGCTGCTGATGGGAGGAATCTCTGGGGACTTGGATTGGGCAGGTCCCCTCCTTTGGGGGCGACAGAGGCGACAGACACCCTGGAGTCCAGCTCCAGTTGTGGGTGTCTTGCACTCAAATTCTCCCTGCTAAAAAACAGTCACTTTTATATAAAACTGCACAAATCAACTCTGCATTTCTGTTTTGTGTTTCTTCCAGCAGTCTCTCACCAGTGCAGCTGCATGAAGTCCCTGCAGGTATCAGCCACGTGGTCCATCTGCAGGTAGGTTGCCACAGAGAGCACCCCGGGGACGGTGCTTGGAGTCAGGGGGAGGTGTGAGGTGTACATGAAGTCGAGCAGCAGAGAGACGCTGGAGGGGTCCAAGGTGTCAGGGAGGGATACGGTCATGATTTGCTCCCCGCAGCCACCACGCCCCTGAAGAAGCACACGGCGGGAGTACAGGGAGTAGAAGAAGCCACTGGAAAGAGAGAGAATTTCTCAATCAATTACTGTGATTTAAACATGAGAAAAAAAAACAGAAACGGAAGATACAATATTATAGAGTAAGTCTTCTCAATAGGGACTATTTTCTGTCAATATGTATGCGTTTGCATTCCACCAACCTGCAGGCCACCAGCACAGCACAGTGGGCCTGCAGATGTACACTCCCCACGACCAGGGTGGTGTCAGTCAGGATGTTGCGGTGCCGGAGTTCGTTCAGGTTGAGCAGCACGTCATGGGAGTGGCGGGTGAACTCCTTGACGTATCCCTCCACTGGGGCGGCAGACCTCTTCTCCTGCACTTGGTCCGTGCGGTTTCCCTTCATTACTTCCATCATCTGAATCTGAAGGATGAGAGGATAAGAATGAATGAATGAAACATCCAGGCGTCAATGAACACACTGATATTTCATGGTGATACACAGTAATGACTCACTTATGTGTAACTGGTAGAATAAATAAACAGGAGTGTCCCAGACACTTCTGTTAGGTGAGACCAGCTCCCTACTCGTACCTGCACGCAGAAAAGACATTCACATTCATTATTTTGACTCTAAGGGAATCAGAAAATACAATTCAACTTACTAAACAGCCTGTTAAACATTTTTGAGCAGGTTACACGAAAACGTAAAGACACGACCATTCAAGAAAAACTAATTTTGACAAAAATTTATCTTAATTTTAGCATAAAAATTAGAAAATATTTTGAAAATCCTCTTCCAACTCACCCCGACCAGCAGGGACGAGATCGACGTTCACCACGCTGCCTTCAAACCTCCTCGGCTCAGTCTACAGAGTCGTGAAGTGGACACTCATCCACAACCTCCTCTGTTTCTGCTGTGAGGGGAGCCTGGAGGGAGGGGACTCTTTATAATGTCGCGCAGGAAGCCCCCGTACAACCAGAGCTGCTCGTTTCCTCTTTCCTCAATGGCCCACGCGCACACTGGAAGCAGTGCAGGAAAGGCTCTGGCTCAGGGCCCCGGGCTCCAGGTATTTTTAGTGGCCTATTAGTTTTTGTAAACCCCCATAGCTCTGAGCAGAGTAATGGCAGGAAAGCATCGTGTGTTTTTGTGCCACACTGAGAAAATATATATGGGGACCCTCGGGGAGACACGGTACGTGCCTGGCTGTCCAGGGGTAAAACTTCAGACTTCCCCCACCAACGCTTTCCTCCCCTCAAGCCCTCTCCAGGACAGAGGAAATGTGTGAGGGGAAGCTGGAAGAGCAGCTTATTGTTGGATAAACAAGCTGTGCTCCTAATATTGAGATCCTATCCTATAGAAGTGTTGACCTTACCAACAGCGGCCCTGAAGATACCCAGTAATCAATACTCCCAAATATGAAAAAAAGGGGTTGAAATAGACTGAATTTCATATTGATGCATCTTGATGATATCTAGATGCAAATGAAACCACTAGAAACGAGATTGGTTGAGTATGATAGTTTTTAATGTTTGAAATCGATGTGAGGGGGTGAGTGTCAGTAGAGTTTCTTTAAAAAGGGCCCTGATCTTAAAATTTCCACATTAAAAATTCACAATAAAAGATCTGACTGTCAAAAAAGTCAGCAGGATGAAAAAAGTGGACGAGAATAAGGCATTTGAAGAAAAAAGTTGTAGTGGTGCTATGTAAAATGTCTTTGGATTTTATTGTGTCACCCCGTTGTAGTCCATAATGGACTGGCCTGAGGTCTCGCTACAAACAAGCGTCTGCTGGAAGAGAGTAGGTGAGTTGTGTTTAGTCTCTTCTTAGGAAATTAGGCTACGTTAAAAGGATGTTTAGTGGCTAGTGGTGTGGCTGTGACCCTATATGTACTGTTGATGAAGTTAGTTGCTGTTCTGAGCATTATTTGTGGCTATAGAGTGGCGCTTTGGTTGAGGTTTGTTTATCGCTCCTCAGACTGCTGTGTATTGCTATTGTGTGGTCGTTACTAAAGTTGGTATAACTAGGGAAGCAAGTGGTTGGCAACAGTCATCTCTTGAGGGGGTATCAATAAACTTCAATATACAAATTGTCAGTCTTGCCCCTGGTGGTCTTGTTTGTTTTTGGATATCACAAAAAGGCATCAATATGAATTTCAGTCTATTTCACTGACGTCAATAAAACTACTTATAGTAGCTTTAAAAATATGTTGATATTATTTGTGCTCCAAAACACGGTGTAAAGCTGTTGAGTATCAATGTGTCATGTATTGAGTATTGAGAGTTGTTGATTATTGCTGTCATGTTAAACATATTTTGTTTTACATTTAAATCCTTAGTAAGATATTGATAATAAAACATAAATTTGGGAAATTAATTGCATCTTTTTATGAATTCGCACTTTGTGAGAATATTGTGTTTGTTAAATGTTGTCATGTTTTATAAAGAAGTATAGTTTTATAAACCATTGGTGTGCAAATGCATTAAAATGGAAACTGTGTCGTTGCTGAGTTGGCCACTTCAGGTAAATGGGCATTAATAATAATAATGGCTCCACAACAGTGTCCGGAAGCTCCTGGCCTGCTGCCCTAGAGCAGAGGCGTTGTGTTATTAGTGCCAAAAAGGAAGGAAACAAATCGATGGTTGTAGATGGGAGACACCTTCTCCTGCATGGTGGTGAAAAACAACCTTCACCCCGCCCCAGAGAGAGGGAGAAATGAAGCCGACAGATGTGCAGGAACAAGCCAACACACATACACACTCTTGTTGAATGCATCCTGCAAAGCTGCTTGGACACATGGATGAAAACGCCTGCGCAGGACATCCGTCAATAATAAAGTGAGCAGGAGACAAGGGAGGAGAAATGGAGACTGAAGGGGGGGTGGAGGGGGGCTCCGGGGTCATGAATATCTCAAAAACAAGCGGAAAGTTACCTCACTGGTAGAGTGGCCTTGAGTTCATGGAGGAACAGGAGTCAAACAGTTAATTGAGGCTCCGCAACAGTGAACCATGAACCGTGCTTCCTTTACATCAAAGTGTTTCACAGAATGATGGTTTGAAGAAAGGAGAGAAAAATCTTCAAGGCTTCTTCACGGGAGGATAAGGGTTTCTTACAGGATGATGTAAATGGACATCTCATTGATGACAGGAAGACTGTTTGAATTTTCCGTGATAAGATTTTGTGCCGCACCCAGTTCTGCTGTTGTGTAAATAAATGTGGGATTCCTTATTTAGAATTGAAGCGAAAACATCCAAAAAAAGAGTTTAAAAAAATGCAAGCTGGAAAATGCTGTTTGGAGTGTTTAGATAGGGCCATATGTGTTCTTTACAATATCCCTTTAATGCTTTTTATATCATATTTGAAACATACTTTTATGATACCTCTATCAAATCAATATGATCAACAAATTACTAAAAAAACACCTGAATAGGGTCCAATAAATGATCAAAATGTCCTCTTGTGGTTTATCAGTTCCCAAAAATAACTGATGAATTAAACAAGATAAATATATATATTTGTCAAATTATAAGGACATTTTGATTTTTTAGGTTTTTAGTAGTGAGAAAAATTATGATTTCAGCTCCAAAAAATTTGACATTTCTGGCCATTATTTGTAGTTTCAGGCATTAAGGGATATGCAAGTTTCTCTGAATCGTAATGGAACATGGATCACATTTCCAGATTCTTGCTTTCACACAGCCTCACATAGACGATGGCAAAAGACACATCCAGAATCCAGAATCGCATACTTCCATACTAAATACTAAATTGAGTATACTAAGCATACTATGTACTCAATTGTGCAGTGCTTGAGTTTCAAGGGTGCAGTGCTGTCCCAAATTGCATACTGCCGCGCGGCGCACTCACCGGAAATTACAGACGAACATGAGTGCAAGCAAGTGTCCACAGTCGTATTCACAAAATCTTGACCGATTTCAGTGCATCATCCGGGTACTTTTGCATACTCAATTTTTCGCATACTATCCATACTTTTTTCCGTTTTGAGTTGAGTATACTAAAAATTTTAAGTATTTAGTATGGAAGTATGCGATTTGGGACACACATTATATTTCATTGCTAATCCATATAACTTTTGTTACTCTTATCACAGTGTACATTGTAAAGGGAAGATAATAGATTTCATAACCTTGCTTGTTTGGACTTCGGAGGTTAAACTTTGATCTGCAGGCTGCTCAGTATTTGTATGTAAAAAAAAAAAAGACAACAAAACAGACAACATGACCATGTTTGGATATAAATCCTTTGAAAATGGGAATCGGAAGCTGAGTGTTTGCATGTGGAGTTCGGCTCGTGTGCGTGTCCTTGTGCTTTTATTTGTTTGGATGGGGTTGGATCGATTGTTGCTGTGTGCAAGAAAAAAAAAAAGGGAAAAAAAGCATAAAGGAAAACAACGATTAAGAAAACAGAGTGGGAGATGTAGGTCTCGGCTACTTCCAGGCTTTGTTAGAGAAACGGATGGGATGGAAGGGGGGGTTGAGGAAAAGTGAGAACATTACTAAACAGGTTCAAAAATGAGCGGAAGCCATTGAGTCCATCCAACCGGCAAATGTTGGCAGCACTTATAGCGGCTTCCTGCATCTTAACCTATCACCATCAGCAATCCCACTATCAAAAATGTTTTAAAAACATTGAGCTGGTGCTTTTTTAGCAACATATTAAAGACTCTAATGAACTTTTTGCAATTCTACAATAGTTTCAGAACAATTTTTCCACCAGCCAATGTTCATTTCAACATCTATCAAACTGTCACTCTTTGTCAACCAGAACAAAAGCGGGGATTCCCCAAGTTTTGTGGTTTCCTGGTTGCCTGGACAGAACCATATTGTTTATCTGATAATGTATGAGCTGAAGACATGCTTTGACTTCAAACCTCCCAAGCCGGTGCCAAAGTGTTGATGTGTCTCCGGCAACAATAACAGATCAGTTTAAACTGCCTCTTCCTGTGATTGCAGAGCTCTTTGGACATATAAGGGCAAACAGCAGCAAGCTTCTGGAAGGAGGAAGCGGGGACATCCCAGGGAGCTGCCTTCGCTTGTTTGTCCATCTATTGGCAAAGAGAGAGAGAGAGAGAATAGGAGATAAAAAATAAATAATAACGTTACGAAACTGTCCCTTTGAAGACGTGCCTCAGAGAAAGCAGAGAGCCTCTAATACGGGGTGGAATGGGAGAGAGAAAAATAAGAAAAAAGGAGGTGGCTGGGGGGCAACATGGAGAGAGACAGTTGACCTAAATCTCATGAACCACAAAATAATAAAGAAAGCTCTTGACCCCTAAATTCAAAGCTGCTCTAAGGGGAGAAAACAACTGGATACATTAAGAAATATCCTCAACAGTAAACTCTTGTATTCATGATTCAAATAAGAAATAAAGTGTTTCTTTTGAGAGGAGTTCGCTAACGCTACTTAAAAATTAAAAGCACATGATCAGCAAGAACAGCTCTGTTGTTCATCCTCGAAGTAAGCTTTTGGATTTAGTCACAAAAACCACCACAAATCCAGCCCTTTTTCCATGCAGTGATCTCAGTGGGTAGAGATGCTATGATAATGAGGGGCTGAACTGAATTGCTGTCTGATTCATGTCTGAGGAAAGAGACTGCAGATAGATACAGAGCCAGAAAAACGCCACGTATGGTAAGCCCTCCAGGAGAACTTGCGCCAGAACACCACTCCTATGATCAAAATCTTACCAGAGTGTTGCAGCCGTGGTTACAAAAGCAAGTCTATTAGTGGTTAATCCTAATTTGGGAACAATTTGGGAGTTATTCCTACGTTCTTTCCTGGTTCTGGGGCTAGTTTTGAAAACCAGTAACAGCAGTTGATCTGCTGCCTCTGACCATCAACATTTTGATTTTGAATACTAAAACTTAACCACAATAGCATACAAGCAAAATCCTCTGAGGAGTGGGTGTGACACTATGCAAATTACCCCTGTTGTTATTTCACTTGGAAGCAAATTCGACTGTTTTCTTAAAAGCGGACAACCGAAACAATCAGTACGCTTACATGTTTGAAATTTTTGAGTTAATAAGTGCAACTGAAACTGAACTTAAAAAATACATATAATTATCTTTATCATTTCCTTTTTTCTTCTTATTTTCTTTATCAGTTCTTCTGCCTTTGCGTCTCAGTCTGTTTGCATTTCCATGAAGAAATGATCATAAATGTTCTTCCTTGAGCTGTGTCACCCCGCTGTTGTCCGTAATGGACTGGCCTGAGGTCTCACCACAAACAAGCTGCTGCTGGAAGAGAGTGGGTGAGTTGTTTTTAGTCTCTTTGCTAAAGAAATTAGGCAAAGTTAAAGATGTTTGGTGGCTAGTATTAGGGCTAGGACCCTATATGTACTGTTGATGAAGTTAGGTGCTGTTCTGAACATTATTTGTGGTTATAGAGTGGCGTTTTTGTTGAGGTTTGTTTATGGCTCCTCAGACCGCTGTGTATTGCTATTGTGCGGTTATTAATAAAGTTGGTATAACTAGAGAAGCAAGCTGTCAGCAACATTCATCTCTTGGGGGGGGTGTCTCACTTGGTGTTATGGTGTGTTTGACCCTAGATTAATTCTACGTCGGAACATCCCTTTAACATACACAATGAAGACAAAAACCCTTCACAAATCCATCTACAACAAGAAATTTCAATTTAATATATGTACAATGTTGTTGGGGTATGGGATAATGATAATCCTCAAAAAAGTTAATCCATTTCAATAGATGAGTTTTGTAATCTTATTTTAAGAGATGCATGTGACAGACCCCCCACCTCTGTGTGTACACACACACACACACACACACACACACACACACACACACACACACACACACAGGGCAGCAGTTACAGCAGCAGCAGCTACGTCACACATCGGGAATGCAGTGAGGATCTGCTGCTGCTGCTACAGGCCCCAGGATCCGTCACAAAGTAGGTTAACGACGCTAAAGCTAGAGGAAAGTTATTCCGGGATAACTTTCTCTGGCCTTTGAAGGTATGAGCGGATGCGTATTCTGTGTCTGTGTGACTGTTTTCGGGCTGTAGGTGTCGGTTATTTCATTGTTTCCTCCTCGGTTGTGTTGGAAGTTAGCCTGGAGGCAGGGCACGAGGCTAGCAAACAAGTAAACAAGCCTGTTATCAAAGTTAATTGTCGCTAATTATCCTTCATCATGGGTTACTACATCTCTTTACTTGGATGTTATACTCACATTTGACGCACAGGGCAAACATTTTGGACGGACGTGTGTGCATATTGTTTGCTTATCCACTCAGGAGACGTTAATGTTGCTACGCGGAACAAACGTTAACGACGGTTGAAAATGAGGAATAACCGCCGGTGTGAAGTGAACGTGCTGCTTCTGTTTGCTCTCTTTGACCGTTAACGTCTTCTTTATTTTTTGTAGATGGCACTGAATGGAAGAGGAGAGACACTGTAAAGGTACTGTGAAAGGTAGGAACTATTACATGGCTTCTGAATTAAATTGGTGTATTCTTAGCGAAATATTGCTGTAACTTTTACTCACCCAAAATGGCCAAAGTCATTTAAGACTCTAAACGGTTGAATTTAACTCGCATATCGTTACGATAAGCTTTACTGTGTGGCACGCGTTAGATTGGCCTTCAAAATAAAAGCACCGAATTCTCTTAATGTCAATATCGCGAGAAAGCAGTGTTTTCTTTGGTGTATAAGCACATTTATACTTTTTTCTACAGTTGTGAGCTATTTTATATTAGCTTTTTGCATATTTTACGATATATTTTATATCTTCTGTGCATTTCTAAAACCCCCTCTAGTGGAGACATTTTATTTTGAATGTCATTCGCACCGGATATGGACTTAGCTGATTTTCTGTCGCTTCACTCTCTGTCCTCAACTTTGACATTTCTATAGTTCTTGCCCCCTCTTTACGTCCACCCAGCAGCTTTCAAGCAAGTTAATGAACTCAAAAAGCAGAGTTTCGTGTTTTGAATAACTTCAACGTGTTACATTTGCATTTTGTAACAAATTCGTCGCGTTTCGTCACCTGGCCCAGCCATCCGCGGATTTGAGTGTGTGCTCATCCGGATTCAGACAGTGGCTGAATTTAGGTTGATGGAGGGGGGAGATATGGTCACTTTTTTCTTCACATGGAGAAGCCCAAGCCTCAAATATAACCGGTTTATCACAACAACGTGAATTAAAATTGTCAAAACGCCGAAGCAAGGTGATTTAACTGCATCTTAAGCACCGTATTCCTGTTTCTCTCCATCATCCCCCTTTCCCATCATTATAATCCTCTTACAAACAAGGACTTATGACGGCCACACGACCCACATACAATCAACCTAAGTGGGTTAGGCCTGTTAATTTCTCCACTCTGACAATGCTGCTATGCTTGCAATCCATTTAACTATTGTGTCAGTCACACAATGGTTTTCACAGTAGTATGTCTGCGATATCTGCTGGCACCAGATAGTCCAAAAACATCAGCACATCTTTCTTTAATGATCTTTATTTTCTAATTCATGCCACAAGATCTTTATTTCAAACAAGAGCCACAGGTGTAGGTCAGCACTTTGTTTCCTCAGCTGTGCGCCGCTGTGTTATTTACCCTGCAGAGAATACTTAATACATTGTTATGAGCCAGGTGTCCATGCTGTTCAGACACATATCATTACACAATATTTCCTGCCCTGTTTGTGTCCCCGCTTAATTTGGAAATCAATCATATGAACGTGTAAACATCCACAAAGACAATAACCATTGTGGCAGAAAACATACAAGGGGTTACCACCTGTTTGTGTGTCTGTAAGAGCTGGAGTGTGAATGTGCTCGAGAGCTGATGCGGCGTGTCTGTCCCCAAGTGCATAAACACACAAGCACACGTTTCAGAGCAATGTGCAAGCCAGCTGGAAATCCCCAATCCTTTCAGAAGGGCTGCTGTCTTCCTGCTCCTCCATTATGAGTCTATTGTTCAGTCTCTGTGTCCCCGTTGCCATAGGAAACAAAATATGAAGCATCCCCTAGTTTCCATTGGTTACCTATTGAGTAAATACACACAGAAGCCAAAGCTGAGTTCATGCTAATGAAGGATAAAAGCTGCAAACAGAACCAGAGAAAAGTCAACGGTCTTATGTAATGAAAATTCAAACTACTGCACTCAGATATTAACTATTCTGAACTTTCTCTTTTTGATACCAGAAGCCTGCCATGTCCGGTCCTACCTGGCTTCCTCCGAGAACTCTGGATAGCCCAGAGCGAGCCGTCCCCCAGATGTCCCACTCTGCAGGGTCAGCAATCTACAGAGCCCCCATCAAGAAGGGGATGTCCGACTTCCGGCCAAAGTATGGCGGCCCCTATGACCAGAATGGAGGAGGAGGAGGAGGAGGGGGTATGGCCAACAGATACATGGCTGGGCCCGCAGGTAAGAAATCCACTGAAAGCAGTTTTCATGTACCAGTTTAAATACCGCAATCATCTAAAATTTCTCCTTCTTCTCTCACTCAAAGGTGGTCCCATTCATCATTCGTCTAATGATCACTACTACACCCCTCCTCATGGTCCCAAAGACGACCGAAACTGGAGCCCTCACATGGACAGCTACGAGCTGATGGTGGGTGCATATTTTCTGAAAACATCTCAGAGTTTTCGAGCTTACATTTAACTCCATTAACGTTAAACTTTGTGTATTTTGTCTTTAGCACCACGGTCCTGAAAAGCCGGCGAACTATCACTCCAAAATTGACGCTGATATCGACTCCCTCACCAGCATGTTGGCTGATCTGGACAGCCACCCACAGGACTCCAGCACCCAAGTAGGACTCCTCATTTTGCTAAAACTGATTAGAAACATCTCTTGAAAGACAAAAACAACATTCAACAGTTTAATAACCGACTTCTCTGACTCCACACAGCTGTACGACAATGTGCCTTACAACAAGTACCTCTCAGGAGATCACTACAAACCTGCACCCCCTCCTCAGGCTCGGTCCTCCATGGGCTACCCGCCTCACCCACAGAGCCAATACCACCCCTCGCCCGCCTACCCCAACGAGCACCAACCCTCTCAGTACTCCACCTCCCACCAGCAGGACTACTACTCTTCCTCTTCCACTCCAAAACCGTACCCTCAGCCTGTTCCAGCCTCCTACACCACCGCCTCCACCCCCACCGGGCCCAGGTTCAGCGTCCAGGTCAAGACAGCGCAGCCCGTCACCTACTCTCAGACCGGAAGACAGGCAGAACAGGCCTACACTCCGCCCCCTCCTCGCCAGCATGTGTCACGCCCCCCTCCCCAGACTCAGACAAGTCAACAGGGCTGGTACCCTCCTCACGCGGGGTCACAGGCTCAGGAGATGCTCTCTGAAGGGGGGTACAAAGGAAGCAGCTCAGGAGGAAGAGTTAACCAAGTTCCACTGTCCAAGAGAGGGATGGAAAATAATCACACGGGGTCAGGGGTGGCTCAGAGCTCAGCTTATCAGTCTAACAAGGTAGGGACACACATCAGGAGAGGATCTGTGTTGGTATTTTTAACAGAGACGTTTTAGATTCTCTGCTTTTAGATTTCTAGATGTGTGATTTAGTTCCTTTTTTCCCTCCTGCAGGGGTTAACAACAGCCAGGCCCGAGGAGGAGCTGGACCGGCTCACCAAGAAGCTTGTGTACGACATGAACCACCCCCCTGTCGAGGACTATTTCGGTACAGTCACTTCTTTGTGCTAAAACGACTTGAGCAAACCCCGCCTTGAAAATAAACATCTAAAGTTTGACTTTCTGCTCTCAGGTCGCTGCGCCCGCTGTGGCGACAACGTGGTAGGCGACGGCAGCGGCTGTATCGCCATGGAGCAGGTCTTCCACGTGGAGTGTTTTACTTGCATCACTTGTCACGCCCGTCTCAGAGGGCAACCGTTCTACGCCCTCGATAAGAAGAGCTACTGTGAGAGCTGTTACATTGTAAGTGAAGGACGAAGTATTCGGTCTTTGTTTATAAAGCACCACGTTCTTCACAAAGACTGAAGAATCATAAAGAGATATCGTCAGTATATATAAGTAATAGAAAACATTCAAAAAAAGCTTATATATAAAGAAACCTAATGTTTCTTCTGTCTTTGTCAGAGTACTTTAGAGCGCTGTTCAAAGTGCTCCAAGCCCATCCTAGACCGGATCCTGCGGGCCATGGGGAAGGCCTACCACCCTCGCTGTTTCACCTGTGTGGTCTGTAACTGCTGTCTGGACGGGGTGCCCTTCACCGTGGATGCAACCTCCCAGATACACTGCATAGACGACTTTCACAGGTACTAAGACTGGTAGAAACTTTTTGTTTTTTTCTTCCTGATATCCAAATTTAAGCTAACCTTAATCTCGCTGCCTGTTCCACCTGACAGGAAATATGCCCCCCGCTGTTCAGTGTGTGGGGAGCCCATCATGCCTGAACAGGGACAGGAGGAGACAGTGAGGATAGTAGCTCTGGACCGCAGCTTTCATGTTAACTGCTATGTCTGTGAGGTGAGTCAAACGAAGCATTTTATTTTATTTCTGCAGATACTTTTTTAAATCTTTGAATTTAACTTTAGTCTTTGCAAATATACATGCAAAAATTCTAAACCTGCCTACAAAGTTTCGTACTACAGTATCAGATATACACTGATTTTCTAGAGCAGGACCTTAAGCGCCCCATGTTTGAGTTTTAGTGACTAAAGTCTCTGTTCTCTTCAGGAATGTGGTCTCCTGCTGTCCTCAGAGGGAGAAGGCCGAGGCTGTTACCCACTCGACGGCCACATCTTGTGTAAGAGCTGCAGCGCTCGCCGTATCCAGGACCTCTCTGCCAAAATCTCCACCGACTGCTAAAGAACCCCCTTTCAGCCCTTTTCACAAATCCACACACACTCATCATGTTACCTGCTATTCACAGAAAGAGAAACGCTACTCTGCTCAGACTCCCCTTTTCCTTGGACTCTCCTCTAGCTCCCTCTGTTGGTGGCAAACTGCAGTTTCATTTGCAGAGAAAAACTCTCTTACGAATTCAAACGAGCAATGCAGTTCTCATGAAGCAGCTATTTCCTTTCATGCAGAAGTCCTGCTACGTTTTCTTCCTTTTCCCTCTCCACGTATCATGTTTAGCTCCGTATCAGTACGACAGTAGCCTGACCTGCAGGCAGCTTGGGCTCCAATCCTCCACTTATCCACACCGGTACTGCTCTATGATTAGCTTGCACATTTTTTTATCACTGTCGAAGACAATGAAAGTCTGGAGGGAAATCTATGATTAAGACCTGATAATGAGGGATTTTCTCGCTGATTAAAGGCACAACTTGATAGAAAGGATCCGGATGTGTATATTTAAAAACAGTCAAAGTGCAGAACTGCCTCAAAACAAGCACATAGCACAACAACTGTGAAGTGTACATAACAGGCGTGTTGAAGTTGTGCGATGAAACTGTCCCTAACTGGGGAGTATGTAGCGTTTAGTGCAGTGAAGTACCCTCAGAGAAGGGGAAATCTAGACAACAGGAATGTGTAGTGAACTAAAACTTTGTACGCTACTTTTAATTTCACGTTAGCTTATTTCCTGCGACATCGAATCTTTCGTACGTCTCAAAGATATCAAACCGAGTTGTTTGTTTAACATGCGTGTTTGGTCGATACTTGACTGTTACATTGAAGTCGACGGTGCAATGAAGTAAGTACTTTCTTCTGTTTAAAGGAAATCAGGGTGTCGGTGGAAAACTTGTGAAGAGTTTATAAATGTGCCATGAAGGGTAAGACTGAACATGAAATAATGCTCAATATAAGCAAACATTGGCCACAGTAATGTACTTTACAGATACTTTTTTTTACACCTGAATCTGATATCAAAGTGGAATTCAATGTGACGTATTTTTACCCATAAAATAGTGATCTTCTTCTTCACGTACGGATTAGATTTTTGCTCTTTCTTGCACACGTGGGCCAAGTTGCAGCTCCAGTATTTGTTATGATTGTGATTAAACGCTTGTTTTTCCGTCCGTTTTTTTGTATAAGTGTAACCCAAAGGGCTAGAAATTTGAATGCCTTACCTCAAGGATGTCACTCAGTTTGGTAACAAATGTTTTTTCTGTGAATTCTGCTTTTTTTGTGTGCGTGACTTAACTCTATCATGCTTCAACCATATCCATCAGTTAATTTATCTCATGTGTATACTCTGTATTTTCATTAATCTGCTTGTTATCATCTCATTTATGGTCACGTGTCTCTGTTCAAATCCTCACCCATGCCAATAATGTAACCGTCAATCATACATTCGTTTTTCTTACTGTGTGTTCGGTTTGAAATGCCGTGATTTGGAGTTTGTAGAGTGAACCCTGAGGTGCTGCAGCAAGCTGATGAATTCAGAAGAAGTAAAGGAGGATGTTGAAGCAGAAGAGTTTGTTATATTGAGTGAAGAAGTGCGCACATGGATGAATTTTCTCCTAATGCAGGTTGTAGTGACAGATCTGATTATTAAAACGTCAATAAGTCGAGTTGTATTTCCTTATTTTTTTTGCTTTACTTTGTCCCTCTGACAGCTTCTTAGCAGCTTTTTCAGGCTGCTGTCTTTGAAAACTTTAACTTCAGCCTCGGTCTGACACACTGTCTCTTTAATCTGCGTTAGAGTTACCTTGGAAGTCAGAAGTTCAAGCTGAAAATGATGTCACACCCGAGTTACAAGCGCTTCAGTTACCAAATCGGAAAAAAGCAAAATTGGAGGCAGACACAAGATGGCTACATCTACAAAAGTTATTTTAACGCTTGCTTTATATTCGGACAAGGCAAGCGCTAAAATAACTTTAGCCATCTTGTTTCCGCCTCCAATTTTGCTTTTTTCTGATTTGGTAACTGAAACGCTTGTAACTCGGGTGTGACGTCATTTTTCAGCTTCCGAGATAACTTGAATGCAGCATAAGGTCCCCCCAGCATTCTAGAAGCTTCCTTTACTGTTGCCTTCTTACAAAGTGATTGTTTTTTTGCTCATGTTAAAGGTGGGGTAGGCAGGATCTGAGGAAGTGCCAGTTTCTGGGAGAAAAAGACGCCTCTTTAACGGATTCCTGCCAACCCCACCTCTAAATAGCTTACTGATGTCTAACATTTTATCTTGACATAATATGAAAAAAGCAATATACCACCTCTTTGAATCGTTACAAACAAAATATCATTACAGTGGTAATCTTTCAGTGCACACAAATCTCTATTAGACTCTGTTACACAAATGTCTACTCGCAAAAAGACAACATCTCCCATGATCCCTACACTATTTGATGACTTGCTGCAGAAAAACCCTACAGAGCAGATGAAGCTTATCAAGCATAGACCAGGCAGGTCTTTGCATTATGGGAAATGAAGGCTCTTGCTAGACATGAAGTCTACTGCTTCACTGTTTTAAATGCATCTTGTGTTAGTTTTAGAATCTTAATGAAAATAAATTCTGGAGCATAAAAAATAAATAAATCAGTGGAATCATTGGTGAACAGTGTTTTCAAAATAAGAGCATTTTATTTCACACACTGTGACATCCCTGCCGGTCTTGGTAAAAACAGCATTTTACTGTTTAGGATCAACAAAACACCTGAGTATTTTGCACCATTAAGTGAGCAAACATAGATGACAAAACATTTTTTTCCTTTAACATGAGGTGAACGTCTTCCAGAAGAAGTGTCGGCAGCCTGCTTTGCGCTCTCTGTAAGAGGCGAGGGGAAGATGCCGCCGCAGCACCTCCTCTTGCTCCGGGAGCATCTCGTCGCCTCTGGTTGCCATGAGTCCAGACATGAACTTCAGCAAGAGGAAAGGAGCCAGATCCTGGAGAGGGGCATGAAGGAATACCAACAAAAAAAGCTCTTCAGACAGAAATAAGAAAGGAAATGCTGTTGTGATCGTGAATGTGAAGTATTGGTCACTAACCTTGTCGTCTGAGAAGTCTCCTCTCAGCGTTCCCATTAGCATGTCTGGTCGAGGAACGGCGCTGATCTCCAACAAGAGCAAAGACGGAAAAAACACCACGAGAAACAACTGAAACTGACGGTGAAGCATCTCCACTTCAAACAATGAACCTCCTCTCCACCCTGAAGATGATGTAGAAATGCTGCCTGGGTACAACAAAACAATGATGAAGTGACAGTGGAGGAGTGGAGTGTTAACACTGTTTGAGTAGGACGTGTTGCGCTGATAAATAGACCTCTTCATCTCCAAATCCTCCTCATCCTCAGGCCAAGAAAAGCATGTGATTGGCGGAGAAACGCGAAGGTGAGGGGATGAAGAGGTGGAGGTTATGAAGAGAGGTGTCACCAGACTGGATAAGGTCATTATTAACCATGAGGACATGAACATGGCCAACAAAAACCTCTAACAGCTGACTCTTGGGTTGAATGACGCTCATGTAAACGTAACTTTAAATGTGAAATATTGGGCGCATAAGAAGTAACATAAGTAAATGTAGAAGTAACGTTCATATTTGTGACAGTCATGATTAGCTGCAGGAGCGCTGTAGGTGTCCTGATCACAACATGAGGCCGCTCTGCTGTGAAGAACTGTTAATGACACAATGTGACTCAAATGTTAACGAGGCTGCCGACCAGTCAGACTCTCCACCAGCTGTAATATCAGCACATGAGTCAGAGGAAAGAGAACTCAGAGGATCGAAATGTCAGCCGGCAAACAAGACATTCATTTTATCCCTGAGTTTTAAAACCAGAACTTTTGTTGTAGCAGTGTAGGGCTCAACTCAAGAATAATAGAAATAACAAAGTTTACAAAGAAATTTTGAGTTTTACAGATGGAAAGGCTGATATCTTTGTGGACAAATGGCGCCCCTTGTGGATTACTTTCCTAAAGCTCTAAGTGAAACTGTACGGAGGGGAAACAGGGGTTTAGGAGGTCCCAGACTGAGCTGACTGGCGATAGAAATACCTTTTTTTATGAGTACAAGGACATATTTCTTTAATTGATGACACACTGTTGTGTCCTTTTTGTTTTATTTTGTTTTTTTCCCCTCATGGTTTATCATTTACTTGTCATTTTTCACCATATTTGAATTGAAATGATGTATGTTTCTATGTAAATTCTGAAAATAAAATAAAATCTGATTATTAAAAAAGGAAATAAAGTTTCCCTCTTTTAAACATTTGATTTAAATACCAAATTCCCCATAAGAGTGGAAAAAACTGGCATGAAATACTTCTAAAAACTGCAGCTGTGTGTGTAAAAGCACTCTTGTTTATTTTAAATCCACACATTAATCAGATTCATTCAACTTTAATTCCGCTCCACACAATCACGCATACTCACTGACCTTTTTATCCACCGCGGGGCTCAAACTCAGAAGTGTGATTACTCAGTCTGAGGTCTTTCATCGTGACATGACTTCACTTTAAGTAAGCACCGGAGATACCATGACGTCCGGCGTCCAGCTGTGCCGAGGCCGTGGTCAAACTGTGTGATGATTACATGAATGTCACATCTGCTGCCTCCACACCTGCTGCTACAATCAGAAAAAGAGTAGACTGTATAAAATTCAATTATGGAAAGCATTTTAAGATTGATTTAAAGGCGCAGTGGGTAATGTGTAACGGCTTTGTCTGAAAGGAAATGGGGAAAATGGGATGTAGTATTTTTAGGTTCGTTTAAATTAATCTATAATCACCTTAATATAAAATTGTTTATTTGATTGTTTATGTTGCAGATTCGTGCAGTTTACAGCACAACAGCTCCTTGTTGTTTTCTTTCTCCGTTGACTTTGCTAGTAAACAAATGAGAAATGTCCTGCTTTCTGACCCCTGGCTGCATGCAAACCTGCGACAACATTGCACAGAAACCCGTATGGACATAACTGTCATTAACATCAAATTACAAAACATGTTTGGGCAAAAATTTGATGTGCAATAACTGAATTACTAAAAAGTCTTGCCAGGATTTCTGAGTTGTTCCGTTATGTGCAGGTATTTACAAAATTGTCCAACACCATATACATGCAGCAAAGATGAACTTTTATTCATTTTAGAGTTCACTAGCTGCCATCTTTTATGTATCATTATGTGCCTATCTTTAACAACTGTTTCACACATACAAGGCTCAACAGTGCGACCGTTTCACTTGCATTTGCGGCTAAAAATAGATGTTTGCGTATTGTAAAATGTATTTAGGGGCACATGTGTGCATAAAAAAAATCAGCCGAGGCAACAAATGTATTTTTATGTAAATTCCACAGTGAAGTTAGTTTTAGGTTGGATATCTGATGGATATTCACTGCGGATCTACCGGTGTCTTTTCACTCTCCATAACTGGGAATGGCAACAGCAGTGCGGTTAAATCTACTTGGCACCCTCCCTGTCAACGTCAGGTGTTGAATAAGGGACCATCAATAAATTACTAGTTGATGTTCTCAAATGAGGCTGTTTTCCTTCAATAGCTTCCAAGTCACGTGACCAATTGACCTAAAATTGATTTTAAATAATAGTACTAAGATCGGACAATAAGACAAACATTATTTCATCAATTTTCATTGTGCCCCTAAAGTTTTTAAAGTTAGTGTCAAGCCCTGACATATTTATTTGAGTTTGTTTTTCATGTTTATAACAATACAAATGTCTTCCATTTTACTTTGACTGTTATCTACTTTTTAAGTGTGCTTTGGCCCCAGTGCCCCCCATTATCCAGCCGCGCCTGCAGCCCATACCTCTTCAACATGTAAACTCTTAATAACCACTTATCCACTGGGTGTCACTAACAGATCACTTTTTCACAATCCTCGTCTCCAGAAATGTCAAAGTTTTGTCTGATTCACTTTATCCAGGTGTTTTGGCGCGTTTTGCTGATTAGCGACCCAAAGAAACGGCTGAACGTAAAATCGACGTTTTTGTCAGCTGTAAAGTTGGGAAATTAACAAAAAACTAACTTCGTTGAAGAAAAATGAAGATGTTTGGTCCTACCTTGTTAAGGTGGGGTTTTAATGTCGAAATGGTGCAAATTCACCCAAAGCAAAGACCTGACAGATAGCCTACTTTCTTTGTTTCAGTGTGGTTGTCCTCCTCTTCCTCTTACCTGTTTGTGTTTGCAGCTCAGCGTCGACAGGTAAGACCAGGTAAATATGTCGTGTGGTAGGTCGACTTAACAGCTAAATTTATTAATCCTACAAGTGTAGCAACACTGAGAACTTTATGTGAACTGTGTATCACTTCTGCCATCACTTCTTTTTTTCCCAATATGGCGCCTGCGGTGTTTTGATGGGAAGTTGCTCATAATATAAACTTCCGTGGACATTATCCCAAGGGAAATAATGTTTGTCACTGTTTGTTTGAGGACCTCAAAACACCGAGGAATAAGATATAGACATTATTTATAATATAATGTGTCTAAGGGATCACAAGATGAACTCTTTACACAATTTCCTGTGTTAATATGTGAATTACAGAAAAAATGCATCTTAAAAGAAAGTGTAATAGACCAGCATGTTGAGTAAATTCAGGAAATATGTTAAACTCAGTCTTGGTATGTTTGTTTTGTGAAAAAAAAGTGAATTAACGAGGTCTTTTCTGTACTGGGTTGTTTTTGAAATTAAGAAATAATGAACTGTAAAAAGGCACGTTGGCCTGCAGCTCTTGTTTATTTTTTTATGTGTTCAGTTGATTGATATTTTATGAAAGAGGGGAAGACTCTATAACAGTTTTCTTCTTTCTGCTCCTTTTCATTCACATGTTTTAGATTTTCCTTATTTGTATTGAATTTTTTAAATATTGACAGAATGAAATAAAGTATGAAAATGAAAAAATGAAAATGAAATGACAGACATTCTTTATATTTTCAGGAGTGTTTCAGACCAGATGTCTTGAGCGTCACTTTCTGCTCTCTGTCAAGTCCAGCTTCCTTGGTGTAAAGACCCGCTTTGACTTTGAAGGTAAGTATCTTCCTACTGAGCGGTGCTTGTTGTAAAAGTGATCTTATAGTGAGTCACTTTTTTCCCTTTCCTTCAGACCAGTTTGGACTCCACCTCTTGTCCGAGCAGCAGGCTGCTCTCTGTGGTTACACCGTCTTGATTAATGATGTTGGAGACCTGGTCTTCAGAGCCTCCTTCCTCGCCTGTCACGTCCAAAGCAAGGTCGATTTTTGCCTCTTTCTTTAATACTTTTACTTGCTCCATCTGTGAAAACAAACATATATCTTCTCCGTCTCTCCTCTGCAGACAGACACAGATTATCAGCTGCATTTATGGTTTGTGAACGTGCAAGCCGACGGGAGGGTGGGGGTGTATCCTTTCCAGCTTCACTGTTCACTTCAGGGTCAGAGGAGCGCCAGGGAGATCATCTGCGAGGAAAACTACATGGAGGCGAGTTTGTAATCCGCTGCACATGTTTTCTCCAAGTCTGGTGAGGTTAATCTTTACATTACTGATTTAGAGATTGTATAAAAACTAGAAGTAACCTCAAGCACCATTTTTGTCTCAATGTGGCATCAGTTTCTCCTGTCTTCTCCTCTATAGGTTTCAATCCAGAAGTCCACTTTGCTTGTTCAGTCCAAAGATGTGAAGCAGGTTAGTAAATCTATGAGCCATCACATCAGGAAGACCAGGACTGTCTTTTGAGTTTTTGACGTTTTGGGGGATCTTACATCGACAACATCTCTGTATTTTCAGCAGGAACCTACTGATGCAGACCTGGCTGTGATATTCCACAGACCGAACCACCCCCAAGAGGAAAGGAGGGTCTTGTCCCTGGCAGAAGTTGCTACTTTGGGTTACCACGTCTCACTCCGCGGCTCACACCTCACCCTCCGCTCTCCCTACTCCTCCCTCTTCTCGTACTTTCTTCAGGTACTCAGAGAAGATCTTGTTGACAGAGGATCATCATGAAATAATTGAGCAGGTGCTGTGTGCGGGTGTTTCTGTTTCTCCCAGGAGGAGGGAGTGGATTTAGAGGTCGTCAGAGCAACAATCGTGAATCGACTCCAGAGCAACTTCTTGGCGATGGACGTGACTGTCGCCTGTCCTCTGAGTGAGTCGCCTCATTAGTGAGAATTAACTCAGCAACTGTGAAACTCAAAAGTGACTCGTCCTCTTTTTCTCCTCTAGATGAAGCGACAGAAGACGGGTCAAACCTGCTGTGGGTAGTCCCTTATAATCTGTCTCCGTTAGTCCACGGTGAGTTCAAGGACAAAGGTGTGAGGATCATGGTGAACAGCCAGGTTCTGAGGGAGTCTGATTTTAAGGAGAGGGGATTTCAGATGGGTCTGCAGGAGGGGAGAACAGAGCTAAGGATCCCTGTAGGAGCCGACGGAGGACACATGAAGGTACAAAAGCAGCTTCATCAGGACTCCACCAACATCTCCTGATTGTGAGGGATTCATTGTGATTTTTCAGAGTGGCGTTGTGAGAGGAAAGTACAGCTGGTCCATGTCAGTGGATCTGGTCTTTGTGAGTCAGTGGGAGGACGAGCGTTGGCCTCTCACACAGCACCGCTCCTTTAGGCTTCTCAAGACCCCTCAAATTCCACAAATCCCATTCATCACCCAAAGTAAGGCTTGTTTTTGCACATGTGAGCAATTTTGTCTTACTTTGTAGTTTGTTAAGTTTATCCCCTCTTCTTTTCCTCTCTCTGCACAGACTCGGTTCTACCCGGAGGATTGTTTGCCGTCACTTTCGGCGTCTTCGCAGCAGACGTCTCCCTCCAGAAGCTGACAGTCGACAGCGGAGGCGACCTCTTAACCTGGACTCCCAGCGAGCAAACTCAGAACAACACAGACATCATTGTGTCTAAACTCTCCCACCCTAATGGGAGCCACTCCTACCTGCTCTATTTCCCGCTTTCACACCCCAAAATTATCCCAGAGGTGAGAGAAATTTACGAATTTATCCTTTTTTTAGAAGCGGACCAAAAACTAAAACCAGCTGTTGTCTGATCTCAGCATATAGGTGGAGGATTGAAGACGTACAGCCTCTCTTGCATCTTCACTCTTATCATCCTTCCCAGTGGAGACGTTTTTTACCACCAGGCCACCGTAGAGCAGAGTGTTGAACATAAGGGTGAGTCACTTAATCCACTCATACGGAGAGTACACCATATATAAACCACACACTAAACATCATCTGGAGTATCGTTTTCTGCCCTGCAGCTCCAGCTTCTCCAACGCTTGAGGGGAAGTGCACGGAGAGCAGCCTGCTGGTGCTGCTGCACCACGGGGCCCGGCCGGAGTTACATTGGGAGCTCTATGTTGGAGCCCGGAAGCTGAATTGGGACCTGGTGGAGATGGGAGGCATAGTGATAGAGGCAGAGGAGGACTACTTGATAGTGGAGATCCCTCTTTACAGCTCTGTGATGAACTTAGTGGTGATTAGTGGATCTGTTTTTTTCGTGTCAACCTGAGTAGTATCTTTTTATTAGTCCCACAGGGTTTTAAAAAGCTCCATACAGGAAGATATCTGAAGTTACCTTTGCTTGGTTCCTTGAATTAGTGTTTTTAGACTATCTGTGTTTCAATAAATAAAACTTTATTTACATTTATGTGGAAATCGATTCTGTAGTTTTGTCTTTTCTTTGCCCACACAGGAGCTGAGTTTGCAGGGTCTCGTCTCTGGAGTGGAAGTGTCCGTTGTGGATGCAGAGTCCCTGAAAGTGGAGGACCACCTTCTCCATCGATGCACCTTCCCTGCTAGAGAGCTTCTGTGTGCGCGTTAAAAAACTTCAACTCAAGTGTTGAAAGTCCCTGTTTTTTTTTTTTTAGTTAACGTAACCGTGACGCTGAGTGTTTCTCCGACAGTATGTTTACCAGAAGGGAGGATGGTGGCAATAGTTGACACCACCCACGCAATCCCGCCCATTTACCCCAATCGAACCTCCCTATCGGATCCTGACTGTGTTCCCATGGAGACGGACAGTTCCAGAGCTCTGTTCAGCTTCAGCCTGGACTCCTGCGGGACGACTGTAACAGTAAGTGTGGGGGAAAATAACAGATATGTTTGGATGTTTTGGGGGTTACCATGAAGCAAGAAAACAGGATATGGGTGGAGTGGTCAGATCGGCATAAACTTCATATCAGGTCATGGTGACCCTCTCCCATGGTAGCTTAATTGCAATAACAGGAAATCTGGCGCCAAAAGATAATGGCAGAGAAAGTCACGAAGGGGACTTTCGCACGCACATCTGGCCAAAACTAAGGTCCCTGACGTCAATGGAGGACTATAAAAGATATGTGGATGGGCTGTTTTTGGTTCTGTCGGTTCGATTGCTCATGAGCTATTGTTCGATGCTGTGATCGAAATAAAGACCCCGCCGAGAGGCTGCCAGCTTGATTCTGTCTTCGTGTAGTTCATTTCTGCACTTCTGCACCGAGGTCATCTTCTAAATAATTGGCGAGCTTCAGCCCAGATTTTGCCGAGGTCCGGGGCGTTGGCCTCCCCACGCGAGTGAAATCCACGTGCCGGCACACAAAAGGTAAGAGAAGTTTATTTCTCTATTAGATGTGTGATTTCACTGGGTGGTGAGACCATCGTGTGTTTGGGCCTTCGCAAAAGAAAGAGTCTAGAATCAAAGGAAGCAGAATCGGGCGGAGTCTCTCGCGTGCTATTCATGTATACATGAAGGCTGCTCCAAAGTGTGTGGAAAATTGTGAGACAGACAAATTAACCATTGGCGTCAAAGCAGCTGAAAATCTTGGCCAAGTGTTTGCTGACTTGTGTCTTACGGGGATAGTAGGAGTAGAGCGAACAGGCCTCGAGCTTAATATTTACGGGGGCACAGAAGTATCGCTAACAGATCCCGAGAACAGTGATCAGCAGAGCAGATCTGTGTTGTGGGTGAACAAGATGCCGGGAAGTCAAATCCTATGGGCATAGAGTTCACGGCGCGCGATTGGATAATTGGCCGGCAGCCAAGCCCTGGCAGTTGTGTAAAAGTTTAACCCGATGAGGTTGGACAGACCTCAGAGATACTGCTCTGCGGAGCCCGGGGAAGTCTGAAAAGGCGAGGAACCTAGACAGACCACCCCATGTTAAGTGCTGCAATCTGGGGCGGACCTTTTACTGAGCTCGAAAGGCAGAAACCCTGCAGGTTGCAGACTTATCTAATATAAATAACGTGGAGAAATCCACTAGGAATTATGGAACAGATTTAGATGTGGTTGACTGGACTGTAAACGAAAGTTCAATCACACTTGCTGGGAAATCCCACTACATGTCAGGTCTGTCGCTAAGTATGGGCACATTTTAACGAATATCCACAAAAACTTATAGATGAAACGAACGCATTTCTCATAATAAATAACGGGAAATAAAGAAAACAAACAAAACTGTAATCTGAGAACGTAAATCAATCAAACGGAACATTGGACATTGGAGGTATTGAAATTTATAAGGTAGGAGTTGTTTGATCCACAACCTCCTTCCAAATTGACACCACGGAAAACACGGATGATCAACGCGTTATCTTTATGAGTCAGCCAACTAAATAGAATACCTTCAAAAATTCACCGAAAAGAAAATTAAACAAAAGTATATTCGACGAATAAAAAGAGAAACCCCAAATGTGTGTGTGTTGAGGACCGGTCCGTGTGAACGTGGTCACTCTTTTCCTTTCTCTCCCTCTCCTCGCACTCCGCCGAGGGTGTGTGTGGGAGGGTGTGTGTGTGTGTGTGTGTGGGGGTGTGTGCATTGTGTGTGCGCGTGGTGGAGAAAGCCCACATCGCAGTGTGATATATGTTTGATTGCAAATACACTGACGCATATATCCTGCATTGTAAAAGCTGATTGCATATATGTTTGATTGCAAATACACTCATGCATACATCCTGCATTGCACAAGCTGAATATAATCTGCTGCAAACTAATATGTAAATAATTGAAAGTGTTTAACAAAGTGGTTGCAGAAATCCTACAAGCAATCTAAGATTAACTGTGTTGTCACGGCTTTGTATGTGGTGCCCAAAGTTGGGAGACTTGTGACACAAAACAGATTGCTGGTGGGTTTGGACCTTTTGGATTGTGTGCGTAAAGTTGTTAGTAGAGCGGAAAGTTGATGTTGGTGCAGTAGTCTGAGAAAGGTTGAGCAGAGACGCAGTTAGAGTGTGTAAGCTGAGGCAGTTGTGTGTTGTGTAGTAGGGCGTGGCAGAGACGGAGAGCAGGAGAAGTTGACAGTCCGAGAGTCAGATTGAGACTGAGAGAACTAGGAAGTAAAAGGGGAAGTGAGGTCAATTCCGCTCTCACTCAGCCCCGAACGAGCCCCCACCTTCGCGTGAGCTAAAAATAAAGCTCCCTCTCTCCCCCGCTACTACTCTCATTCAGTGAGGAGCTCCCCCTTCTACACTGTTTGGGATCCAGGATATACAGTCCTCACTCGGTGAGGAGCCCCCACCTTCGTGAGAGCTCCCCCGCCCTTCTCTCCCCTAAAGGAGACCTGACGAGTAATTTTTTGTTTTTTTTTTTTTGTTCTCTTTCTCCCCTTCTCTCGGCAAGCTGAACATTAAAGCTATCGTACCTGCAATACAAACATATAAACATTTTAAGCGTTTTAAAACAATCATAACAGCATTTTACAGACATTTTAACATTGTGTGCATCAGATTTTGTGCATTTAAACAACTGTAATAGTAGCATAAGCACAGTGAAACAAAATATAATCAAGATGTCGAAAAGGATCACACCAGTCAACATCATCAGTTGCAAACACCCCGAACTTCTGAAGGTCATTATAGAAACCTCAGAGAGATGGGAAAAGCAATGCAAAGGATTGGATCCAGCATGGCCAAAGGAAGGAACGTTTGACGTTGCAGTGTGTGAGGCTATGGAATGTCGCATAAAGGATCGAAAGCCTGTGATTAAGACCAAAAGCAATCAAAAGAAAAAGGAATTGGAATTAAAAATCATCAACTTCTTTAAAGACGAAGGCCAAGCTCACAGGAGAACAATCAGGGAGGGCCTAGCTGAATTAAAAAGGAATAAACACAGCGCTGCAAATAAAATGAGGTCTCAGATGAGTGTGTCAACAGGTGAAGAAGAGAAGAAAAACGACGGAGGTGAACCAGGAACCAGAGGATTATACCCAGTCCTCACAGGATCATTCAACATAAAAGGAGACTGTGAATTTTCAAAGGGTGAGTCAGCTAGAGACAGAAGAGGGACGGCTACAGCGCAGGGGTCAGGGGGCATCACACAAATTGCAGGGGACCCTCCGCAATACACAGTCAGCCCTGTCATGCCTACTTCAAGCCCCGCATCACAAAGAGAGAACACATGTGAGTTAGTTCCAAGACACTGCAGCACCTCACGAAAGTCAGGAGGAAGGGACAAGCCGGGTGTTTTAGACTGTTATGCAGATTATGACGTCAAGCAAGCAGGAGCAACATCGTGGTGGTTTGACATCGATGGGGGGGGGGTAGACCCAGCACGTGACGCTAACAGGACTATAATCCAAGAGCTAGAGGGAGACATAGATGGGCGATATGAGGATGTAATTGGGGGAGCAGGAAACGGAGGAGAAGCAGGTGCAGGGGGAGGAAGCTCACCACAGGCAGCAAGCGCACAGGCAGCAAGCGCAAACACAGAGACCAAGACACAGAAACAATATGACCTGAGATACAGACCCAATATACACCCTCCAGATAGATACACTGATCCAGGACAGTATCCAATCCTGGTGAAGGGCACCCAGGGTCACTACATACCATGGCAAACACTCGACCTTGCTGGGCTGGTTTCACGACTACCGGATGTTCACGAGGGTGCTGGCAAATGGATAAGGGCTTTTGAAGAAGAAACAGTGGGAAAACTGCTAGCTCTGGGAGACATCAAGGCCGTGTGGGCCCAGACATTTGGAGCCCCCACAATGAATAACATCTTACGACAAAGTGATAATGGATGGATGATCGACCCAAGAGCGGATGGGACAGAGTTTAACGCGTATCGCACCACACTGTGGCAGGCGTTACGCAAAGAATACCCAACCCGAACGGACCCCAAATCATTGAAAGGGGAACCGCTCCAAGAGACCGAAAACCCAACTACATACATTAACAAGATGCTCAAAAGATGGAAACAGGAAACAGAGGAGGAGGTGGACAAGAGCCCGACGCTGATTATCCTGTTCAGAAATGCAGTAGTGGATGCCCTGCCAACCCCATGTCGCAGCAGACTGGAGGATGTGGTGGGACTGACGTCAATGCCGCACAGGCAATTTTGCGATCACATAACGCATGCAGTCGAGAAATATCGCAAAGATGAGCAGAACAATAAAGACCAAGACAAGAACTTACAAAGGAAGCTGGCCCAGATGCAGCTCGGTGAACTACAAAACAAAACCAAATCAAAAACTCAGGGTGCAGTGGTGATGGATGCAGTGAGCCAGGCGGCGCAGATCACACAGAAGACCACACCCCCAGCTCCGCAACCGGGACCAACGCCCCCTCAACAAACACCAGTTGTTAACATATATCCACAGCAAACGTCCGAGCCTCCCTACTATGGCCCGCCGAGACAGCCAATGCAAAGAAGGGGGGGCGGACAAGGAGGAAGAGGGGGGCAGGAACCAAAGGCCTGCTGGAACTGCGGGAGGATTGGTCATATGTCACGTGGGTGCCCAAATCCACGAGCGGGCCCCGACTGGGCAGGGCGTGGTCGTGGAGCTCAGCCTGCGCAACGAAGAGGTGGAGGACCAGTCAACCCTTGGGCGGGTCCAAACCATGGATATTAGGGGTGCCCAGAGAATCCCACGGGGGAGGATCAGTTGCCTGTAATCATTGTGGGAGCTGATACAGAACCTATGATAAATGTAAAAATTGAAGATAAACAAACCCCCATGTTAGTAGACACTGGAGCAACGCACACATGCGTGAGTCCTGAGCATGCTACGCACCTCCCCCTCTCAGGCAAATGTGTGAAGACGGTGGGATTCTCGGGGAAGAAACAGTTAATTCCTATGACATTTCCAGTGCGCATAACAACAGAAACAGACGAAATTAAAATTCCAATCCTGGTATCCGATCAAACTCCAATCAATCTGCTGGGAAGAGATGCATTATGTGAACTAAAAATCAAAATCTGGTGTTCTCCACTCGGGGTGTATATAGACGGTGCAGGGTTAGCAACACAAATGTGCACGCAGATAGAGGGTGCCAAAGTGTATTGGCTGGGTGACATCATCGCGCCAGTACAAAAATCATTTCAGGAGTGGGAGAAATACATTCGGGCGCAACTCCCGAAAGCCACAGAACCATTCTCTGATTATCACTGCACCATGTATTATGACACATCAGGAAGCAAAGCCTTCGAGGAGAAATGGGACAGAGACACTAAAAACGTAAAAGTAGATCTAAAGTCACAGTCTATCATCGTGGGACACCAAGGTGCAGCTTTAGACGTGCAAAATAACCCATTTATCTCTCAGTGGTACAACGTACCCGAGTCCATGCCACACATAACGTTGTTGGTAAATGAAGGTTTTAGATCCAAAGATCTGGGACCAATGATGCGCACCGCCACTCAGGCAGAATGGGAAGAAACAGACAATCCATTAATCTCTGTGTCAAAGAAAGGGGACATGGTAAAAATTCAGTGCCAAACAGAAATGACAGCTAAACCACAGGTGATAATCATTCCTGAAGTTATCACACAGCCAGTCCTCGCAGAGGAAGACAGAGACGCAAATGGGCTCCTAACGGATATGGCGACACGGGTTCCGGACCACCTGTGGTCCAAGCACGACACCGATGTGGGACTCGTTAAATTGGCCAATCCAGTAGCAATTGAGCTCAAGCCGAATGTGTGTTTACCATGCCGCATGCAGTATCCATTAAAACCGGAAGCTGAAGCAGGCATAAGTAAGACAATAGAGGGACTGTTAAAAGCAGGTGTACTAGTTGAAACAAACAGTACATGCAACACACCAATTTTTCCAGTTCTTAAAAGTGACAAATCTAAGTACCGGCTGGTGCATGATTTGAGAACTGTAAATGACATCATACAAGATTTACCAGCTGACGTGCCAAATCCGCACACACTCCTCACAAACGTTCCGGCCAATGCAAAATTTTTCACAGTAATTGATCTGTGCTCAGCATTCTTTAGCATCCCATTAGCTGAAGAGTCACAACACCTATTTGCATTTACGTACAGAGGAAGGAAGCTAACATACACAAGAATACCCCAGGGTATGAAGCATAGCCCACATGTGTTTAACCAGGTCCTCAAACAAGAGCTAGAGGATCTAGCAATCAATAGCACGTTAATACAGTATGTGGATGATCTGCTGATCTGTTCGTCCTCGTTGGACGACTGCCATCGAGACTCGGTTAAAGTACTCCAGAGACTGGCGGAGGGGGGACACAAAGTCTCAAAACCAAAACTCCAGTACTGCAAACCACAAGTCGAATACCTGGGAAGGATTATTTCACATGGAACCATTGCGATATCTCCATCGCAGGTAGAAGGTGTGAGCAAAACCCCGCGCCCACGAACGGTGCAACAGATGATGACATTCTTGGGAATGACGGGATACAGCTCGGATTGGATTGAAGACTATGCTGAGAAGACGGCTCCTTTGAGAGGGATGATCAAAGAAGCAGGCAACGAATCACTGAAAGCTCAGCTAAAATGGACAAGTGGAGCACTGTCAGCATTCGAGGCGTTGAAGCAAGAAATGCAGAGGGCGCCGTGCCTTGCCACTCCAAACTATGACAAACCATTTTCGTTGTACGTGTCAAACAGAGCAGACATGTACGCGACAGCGATATTGATGCAAGAGACCTGTAGTGGGCGACAAAAACAACCAATAGCATACTACAGCACTAAACTAGACAATGTAGTCCAGGGATGGCCACCATGCTACCAAGGTTTGGCTGCAGTGCATTTTGCGTACGAAAAGGCGTCTTCGATAACCATGGGGTATCCAGTGACCATATTCACGCATCATAAAATCAGTGAGTTAATAAACCAAGGGAAGTTTGTCGTAACTCAGGCACGATGTTTGCAGTACACGCCACTTTTAACCTACCCAGATGTAACAATAAAGAAGTGTCCCACCTCAAATCCAGCGATGGTGATTCCTCTGGAAAACGAGGGAGAACCTCACGAATGTATTGCCGAGACAATGAGATACACAAAACTGAGACCTGATCTCGAGTCAACTCCGCTGATCGGCGAAGATGTAACATATTATGTTGACGGTTCATGTTTCAGAGACCATCTGGGGAACCATGCAGGTTTTGCTGTGGTGAGGCAAGACGCTGATGAGTTTGTGACGGAGAAAGCTGAGAGTTGTGTCCAACCATGTTCAGCCCAGTTGGCTGAACTAAAAGCGCTGACTGAAGCGTGTAAGTTAGCGCGGGGAAGAGTGGCTAATATCTACACGGACTCAGCGTATGCACATGGTGTATGTCATCTGTTCGGTTCTCTGTGGAGACAGAGGGGATTCAGGAAGACAGATGGCAGCCCAATACAACATGGTAATCAAATAAACGAGTTAATGTCTGCAATGATGTTGCCAACGAAACTTGCGATCATTAAATGTCAAGCTCATCGTAAGGGAAATGAGGTTGTCATAAGGGGAAACAACGCGGCCGACGAAGCTGCGAAAACTGCTTCCAGGTGCGAAGTGGCCGTGTTGGCCCCGTTGGTGTTACTTGAGCCTACAGTAACACCCGAGGACATCGTGATGATGCAGGAGGAGGCCGGTGAAAATGAGCATAATCTGTGGCGTCAAAGGGGGGCGTCGGCAGATAAAATAGGACTGTGGAGATCGCATGATGGGTTTTTAGTGGCACCGGTTCCTCTCCTGACCATTCTGATCTCCCAAGTACACAGTGTGGATCACTGTGGAAGGGGGGAGGTGGTAAAAAAGATAAAACAGCAAGGGTACTGGTCACCATACATGCAAGCGATGGTTGACGAAGTACTAAGTCAATGTGATGTTTGTGCTCAGAACAACGTTCGAAAAGCAATACAAACACCAGTGGGACACATTCCGGTCCCCGAGGGACCATTTAAACACCTAGCCATAGACTATGTTGACATGATAAAGTCAGTGCACGGAAAGCGCTACATGTTGGTCATCATAGACAGATTTTCACGCTGGGTAGAAGCCGTTCCTTCAAAGACTCTAGGATCAGAAACAGTGGTCAAGTTTCTGACCAGGGAGGTCATTCCAAGGTTTGGCATCCCGTCAGAAATAAGCTCAGACAACGGCTCAGCATTTGTACATAAAGTTGCCAAAGGGGTCCTCCAGCAGCTCCGAATCAAGCAAAGACTGTCTGCTGTGTACCATCCCCAGAGTAACGGGATGGTAGAGCGGATTAATGGAACTCTGAAAGCAAAAATCAGCAAAATTTGCGCCAGTACAAAGCTAAACTGGGTAGATGCTTTGCCGCTTGCACTAATGAGCTACCGCATGCAAACTCACAGAAGCACGCATCTCACGCCGCATGAAATGCTCACGGGTCGACCAATGCCAGCACCGCAGTTGCGAGGTCCGTATAAAGGACCTCCCCTCGAACAGCTGCAGATAGAATTGAAAGATTATATGAACCAGCTAACAGCAATACATAAGACTATCTACCTGCAGGAAAAAAGGAGAGAACCAGTTAAAGACGAGCAGGTCGTGAAACCAGTGGTGCCGGGTGACCAAGTGTACGTCAAGGTCTTCCGCAGGAAGTGGCACGAACCACGACGGGAAGGACCGTACACGGTGGTGCGAGCTACTCCCACAGCAGTCCAGGTCGAAGGGAGCGGGACGTGGTATCACCTGTCGCACTGCACGAAAGTTCCAGGCAAAACCAAGGGCGGTATTGAGTTGAAAAACAAAGATGAAAAACATGACATTGTGGTGTGTGTTGGTGGTAATGAACTCTCTTCTATGGATGCCTGTAGAAGCAGTGGAGCTAGAGACTCAAAGGGGAAAACAGAGCACCCCGGGGACCAGAGCCACGCCAGAGACCAACCCGCACGACAGAGGAGACAGAGCATCTGAATCAGATGAGTATGATGCAACCACACAGACACCAATCCATGACATGCTGAACTCTGAGCCAGCACTCTCAGCTGAGCTCAAACACATAAACATGCCGCACCAAGTAGTGTATGGACGAACACGGGGTAAGAGAGCTGTACACACGATGTGGCGGTGGCGCGCTAGCATGGACATACCCGATAGCATGAAAAACGGTAACATAACATACGGGGTAATGGTCGTGTCACGAGATTATGTGCGAACCCAATTGTGCGGAGTGAAGAAGGGTAGTCAGGAACAAGAATGGGGGCAGGACGCTTGTCAAATCATTCTGAGGGTGAGAGGGAAACTTGAGATTATCGTCAGGATAGCAACTCACTTCAGTCCAGTTAAGACGTATTATGCTGTCGTGGGCCTGCGTGGGAGTGGTGAGGGCAGAGAGATCCGAGAAACACTGACACTAGACAGGGAGGAAACACCCGATCCAAGAGTTTTGCATGAAGCACCACTCAAAAGTGAAATGATTAACGGGAGAATAAGACTACACATTCCGCCACAGACAGTATCAAGCAGTCTATACAGACGAGATGTGCGGGTACTGGAAGTTGAGGAAGTCGAGACCGAGATGACAACAAATGTACTCTGCGGTTGGGCCCATCAGTATAATCAGGATGTAACGATGTGGGGTGGAGCTGAGTGTGGGTTAACAGTATTCGAAGAGGCGGGCCAATGGGTAGCTGAGCTCGATGAAGACAAGTTTACTCCAAATGAAACCTACATTCTCGACCTTACGAGCATAGCAAGTGGGGGAAGAGCCGCAAAACGCGCACTTCCGTGGCGAGTTCCTAACAGGGGGCAGGTAGAAAGGGTTGAGCCGACCGCTACAACGACAGGTCAGGGAGTGTTTACCACTCTAGAACCGACAAAAGTTCCCCATTTGACTACACCAAAACCGACCGGAAATTCCCATTCAAGAACTCCGGCTCCAGTAGGGAATCGCCATTCAATTGCAGTGGTTCCAACAGAAGTTCGCAGCGCGACCGCGCCAAATCCAAAAACGGTAAATTCGGTCACACCAACTCCGAAGGGAAATCACAACCCAATCGTAGTAGCTGTAACAGAGGCCAAATTGGGTAAGGTATCCACATCGACAACACCTAGTAAAACGACCCCAGATACACAGTATGATGAGTACGATGATTACGATGGTAGTCCAGGTAAAGTGGGAAGTTTTGACAAGCCCGTGCAGAGAAGTGTAAAATCGTACTCAGATAAACTTTGGGAAGAGGCCAGTGGGAATGGGTGGTACCAGTGGGCTATGTATACCGCAAAACAGATGACCCCTAGTGAATGCATTGTGTGTGCTGAAGCCCCAACGACACTTCCCACTGTAGTACCAGAGAAATATACGCACGAAGAATGCGCTAAAGTTCAACAACAAAAGTGTAGAAGTGGTGAGTTCACTCCCAATCCGCAGGTGCCATCACTCTACGGGCTTCCAATGTGTGGTGTTCGATGTAGGCTTCTGTATGGGTCAGGATCTCATCATGGGTATTTAGAGACGTGCGTAGACTGTAAATTTCGCCAGACATGTAGAGAATTCGCCACCACAACGTCACAAGACGAGCCCCCTACAAACTACAAAGTAGACGATATGAGTAATTACGAGTGTTTCGCCAGTGGAGGGTTTATGAATAAACCAGGGGAAGGAGTCCAGGTGGGAAACACAACTGTTAATTGTAAAATTACGTGGGTATTGTCATGGTTTCCTGAAGCTAATATGAGCGAACCATTTATAACTAGACCAGTTTGGTTTGAAGATCCAGAGCAAACGTTAGATCAAACATGTGAAAACATAACTATGACCAGACCGATTATGCAGTTTTTCGCAAGTCAAACTGTTGCAGTAGCTGACAGTTACTGGATGTGTGGAGACAACATTGTGCGAAACACACTTCCACCAAAATGGATTGGACTCTGTACATTAGTGCGAATGAAAGTGCCAGTTGTCGTGTTGTATGACGGCGTCGAGGAGATCCTTAAAATCCCGGAAGAAACAGCCAAATTGAACCGCCATAAAAGGCAAATTGACGAAAAGGTGTACATCAATAGTATAGGAGTGCCAATAGGAATTCCAGAGGAGTTTAAAGCTCAGGATGAGATTAGAGCAGGTCTAGAGTCGATTCTCCCCTGGATCACCACTAATAAAAATGTCCAATGGATAAATTACATTTATTACAACCAACAGAGGTTTGTTAATGCGACATCTGAGATCCTGAGCGCTCTCGGTATTCAGTTACACGCAGCAAGTATAATGGCCCAACAAAACAGACAGGTTTTGAATTGGCTGACAGCGGATAGGGGAGGAGTATGTCACATGTTCGGGAAACATTGTTGTACCTTTATTCCAAATAATACAGCCCCCGATGGTATATTTTCTGTGGCAATGGGGAAGCTTACAGAACTCAGAGTTGAGCTCAGGGAGAGTGCGGGCAAGGGGGGACTGTCATGGGATTGGTTAGACCAAATTTTAGGAAAATGGGGAGCCGTTTGGGCTAAGATAGGACTCAGTGCATTAGCAGTCCTAATTGTAATTTCCTTTTTGACATGTTGCATCATCCCCATCCTGAGGAGGCAGTGTCTGCGGGCTCTGGACAGACAGATGATTGTGGCGACTGGTCTCCAAAAAGCTCAAATGTTGGACTTGCTGACGCCGTCCCAAATGGCACAACTCTGCTTGGACGACAGCAAGGCGGGAAACGGGGACTATACGGACTTGTACCCGAACCCTGCCTGTGTGGGTGACTATGATGAGGACGAACTGAGTCAAGTGTAAGGTAAACAAGAAGCAGAGGTGCAGCAGCAGCGAGCGAGCAAAAGGAAAGGCAAATGGGACGGCGGAGCAAATGGACTATCATATCACTACACGCATATTCTGTTACTATCCAGGTGTATTCTGCATAATGGACTATCATACCAATACACACATATCCTGCAGTTATCCATGTGTACTCTGCATACTCACATCATTTACACATACTCATTCCAGGTAAATGGAAACAGGTAAAGGAAATTGTTAATCATGTTTGAGCAATAAAACATGTGGTTGATTGTCATGTAGGGTGGGTCAGAGAAAAGCTGTTAAGATTTAGAAGGTTCACGGTAAAGGTCGCCAGCGGGAGGGGCCGCAGGGGAATTTCCTGCTCAAAGCAGCCAGCAGGTTTTCGCCCCTGCCAGATGTGAACCGAGGGATCTAAGTGTTGTATTTGTGAAAATGTAACATTCGTGATCACAAGCATGAGTTGGATTGGTTTGAAAACATACATATGCATCTGTAATCAATCAATTAGTACCATATCACATAACGTTGTCATAACTCATCCATGTAACGTAACTAAGGCCAAGACAAGACAAGTGTGAATCTCCAACGGCGTCAGTGAACTTGGTTAATCTTGAAAAGATTCAAAGGGGGGATATGTGGGGGAAAATAACAGATATGTTTGGATGTTTTGGGGGTTACCATGAAGCAAGAAAACAGGATATGGGTGGAGTGGTCAGATCGGCATAAACTTCATATCAGGTCATGGTGACCCTCTCCCATGGTAGCTTAATTGCAATAACAGGAAATCTGGCGCCAAAAGATAATGGCAGAGAAAGTCACGAAGGGGACTTTCGCACGCACATCTGGCCAAAACTAAGGTCCCTGACGTCAATGGAGGACTATAAAAGATATGTGGATGGGCTGTTTTTGGTTCTGTCGGTTCGATTGCTCATGAGCTATTGTTCGATGCTGTGATCGAAATAAAGACCCCGCCGAGAGGCTGCCAGCTTGATTCTGTCTTCGTGTAGTTCATTTCTGCACTTCTGCACCGAGGTCATCTTCTAAATAAGAAGCTTTTGTTGTTTAAAATTCATACATGAAATAAATCTCTCTGATCTCCTTTATTTCCCCAGACTGAAGGAAACTTCCTCGTCTATGAAAACCAGATCAGTTACCCTCAGGATTTCCTACCTTTGGAGGAGCCTCTCATACACAGAGATTCTCCCTACTGGTGAGAAACTCTGATGCTGTTTCTACTCCGCCTGTCTTTGAGTAAGGTCATGGTGTTGACTTTCTGTGTTTCAGGCTGACGCTTCAGTGTCGATATCAGGTGAACGAAAGTCTCACTGTGGCTTTTCAGCAGCATTTGGACTTTTCCCAAACTCTAGTCAAACACACAAACACAGGTAATCTTTTCTGACTTCATATTTTAAAAGGTAATCCGAGTTTATGTTGTATATATATTAGTTATAATAGTTATTTTCAACAGGTCACTGACCTGGAGAGGGGGGAAACTCTTCCTCCTGGTCTTGTTTCTGTGAAAACTCTCCTCTTTCCTGCAGTTTCATTGTGGGTCTCGTGGACATTTGTCTCCTTGCTTCTGCTTCTCAAGCTGTGTACTTGGAGTTTCTACAGACTTTGCCTGGATATTAAATGAAGACCATGAGATTTTTGTTCATATTGTGTTTATTTTTTGTCATTTATTTTATGAATCTTATCTGTATAGAGTATTTTGACCCCCAAAAAATTAAAAAAGAAAAATTATGAAAAATTTTGTAATCCAGTCTTAATTTTTTTTTTAAAGTTATAATTAAAAAAAATTTCCACCTTACATTTAAATGTCTGACTGAAATTCTAACAAAAAAAAAAAAACACTGGATAAGTTGTGTCGACATCTTGTTTTAGCAGAAACAGACGTATTGAGGGTTAATTATAATCCTCTTGGCACGACCAGAACTGACCCTGACACTGAAGGTGTGAGGGGAAACCTACCAAGTGCAACATCGACAAAAGATTCATCTTCACCCTGGATTAGTAAAATAAAAAAATCTGGTTTAATATAGTTTGTTACAGCTAACGAAACAACTAGTTTGAGAAAATATGCTTTTACATAATTTCTGTGGCCCACTTCACTCCACTTAACCACAGCCCCATCCATGAAAAGTCAACCTACACAACCTTTAAAATAGGTTCTAACTTTTACTAAAAGTACAATCACTGAAATGTGGTTTATTGGTTTCTAAATGGGTCATATCAAAAGGCAAGACAGTCATTTGAGTTGAGGTAAAATTCTCGAAATTATGTGTGCTATTAAATATATGGTTGTCTCCATTTTGAGAACTCCCTGCTCTTTAACATAGAAAGCCAAAACCTGATCTGGGAAAGACACCTTCCCCTTAGATTTAAGTGCAGACATGAAAAGCCAAGTCATAAAGTGACAGTGAGAGACTTTTTATTTAGATTCACATTTAAAATGACAGAACATCTTTCACTTGTGAAGTTCCTCTAGCTCCTGGAAAGAGAACAACAGAGATTAACAGAAAATTCACAATCAAAATCAGCCATCTTTAATAGGTATGGACCTTTTTTGGAAAGATTCCTCAGATAACTGGATACTTTGATGTGCTGAGCCTGAGGATAGTAACCAGGTCGTATCGAGACAGGTCTCCTGGGGCGTCTGGTGGTGGACACAATGGTGGGCTCCATGGTTGGACTCAGTGGGCCTGTGGTAGAAAACAAGACAAATCCTTAACATGCAATGATTTGACTTCTTTGATTTAGTTCCACTTACCTGCTCTGGAGAGGGCAGAATGCATGATGCGTCCAACGCCTTCACTGTCAGACTCAAACCTGTACACCGAGAAGAGGCGATGCAGCCCAGCCAGAGAGTATGTGCACTGCAACGTCACTCTGCAAGGCAAGACAGAGAAGTTCAGCTTACATCCTTAAAAACAGGAACTCTCAAGTAGTTCAGATCTCGGAAACCAACCTGTCCACATCATCGGTTGAATCTGCTGGATTTTTCAAAGCGCGCAACTTCTTGCTGAAGAAAATCTCATTTTCATAGGTCACATACTCCTTGCCGAGCTGAAGAAGCAAAGATCATGTGTTTGATTCAGTTTCTTGAACTCCTGTCAAATTTATCCCACTGAGCATTTTTTGGTCTAAAAAGGAGCTCTAATAGACTTTTAAATGTAGTCTAGATGACTGGTCTAAAATCAGGCTACCAAAGGTCTATAAAAAGGAAAGTTTTCAGAAGTTTAAAATTTAGACTAGCCAGCTAACAGGTCTACCAGTATATTGCTCAATGGCTCTCAATTATTTTGGTTTAGTACTTTGAGATCAGTTATGCAACCCAGAGTTGCTTTATGGAATAAATACTTATTAAATAGCAGGTTAAAGTGCAACGTCTAAATTCCGTCTACAGATATACAGGATCTAGACTGTTGAAATTAGGTCTAAAATATAACTAGACGTCAAATAGCCATCTATTGCTCAGTGGGTATTGTAGTGTCATGGTCTCTGCAGTACTTTGATTGTGGATCCACAGCTGTTGAGCGGGAAAGAGAAGAGAGCTCTGGTGTCGTCCGTCTCTTTGGGTCCGCAGTATTTGTCAATGAGGTTGGTTCTGGCAGGAACTCCTCCACTTGGGATGGTCAGGGATAAGTCAGCCACTGCAGTCATCCTCCCATCGGTTGAACACACTACAAAGAGGTTAAAGTAAACATCAACAAGCCTGTAAGACACATCCTACCATCATGGAGTTAAATCAAACCTCTTCTTACTGATGAATTCAGTAGTGGTGAAGGGACAGGTCTTGACAGTGGAGCCCTGGACCTCAGAGGTTTCACAATCCTGAATGAGGATCTCATAAGTGCCAAGAAATCCTTTCAAGCTGACATCCTACGACAGACGGACATATTGGTCATTTACCTCAAAAACACATGACGTTTCCATCTAATCAGTTTCCTTTGACCTTCTCTCACCTTGTACTCGTAGCCATAAGTGAAGAGCGGAACCTCCAGCAGCAGTGTCTGGCTGTCGTTGCTCATGATGTAGCCATGATGAGCCGCCAGCTCTGGTGTTAGCGGCTCTGTGCCGATACAGATCACCCATAGGTGGTCAAAAGGCCGGTGGTCCAGTCTGAAGCGGATCCCAGACTCAGAACAGACAGCATCAAAGACTGGAGGAGCTGTCAAAGACAAAAAAAACACTTTAGCTTCATATCGTAAGATTTTTAACTCCATAAATATGCTGGGTGACTTACAGACATCTGTCAACATCATGACTGATGCTAGGTGGAAAAAAGGCTCATTCTCAGGAAGAACAGTCAGTGTGAAGTTGATGTCCAGACTTTGCTGCATCAGAGCAGCTTCTTTTGAGAACTGAGGAACAAACAAACAAAAACAAACAAACAGGTCATTTGGATAATCCAGAAAGCCCTCAAAAGCTGAAATAGGACAAGTCTTTTACCTGTTTGACAACGACAGGGTCATCAAATGGCACCTTCAGAGTGTAGCCATGAGTGTTGTTGGGATGTACAACTTTTGTGATGGTAAAGCTGCTTGTATTTGTGAATGGTACTGTGAATTCTTGGCCATTTAAGTGAACAGCAGCCAGGCCAACGTCTTCAGGGACATCTCCGAGGTAGACCGTGAAGGTCTGCTCCTCCAGAACTGTTCCTGGTATAAGAACACAAGTCAGATCATGCTTCACTGAACATATATTTTATGTTAGCAAACCTACTGTTTTCTGTGAAAAGAGGGCGCGGCAGCAGGGGAGTCGCCAGTGTCCGTTGACAACGAAGTCTCGTGTCCACTTGATCCTCATTCATAGAGAGCTCCTCCAAGTACAGATCAAAGACGTAGTATTCAAAGAGGTCACCAGACACAAAGCTCTGCAACAGATTCAAAGGTTTGCAGTCAAGTTTGATATTGTTTTATCCTGTTTTGATCAAAAGGCAACACTAAATAAACTTCTGACCTTCCTGTATCCTCCTTCAGCGTCGTAGGGGATGCTGATCTGGACTGTGGTGTTGTGCTTCTCCACGATGTAACCTCTGTCCTCTGCATCTGAATTCTCCACAAGTTCACCATCAACTCCAATGTTAATCTGAATCTGATGCTGCTGATTAGATACCAGCGGGTGCAGCACCTCAGGGGTCGCCCAAGTCATGTAGCCGCTGCCATCGAATGATCCCTGATCTGTTGATGGTACTTAAATATCACTGATCTGCTTGCTTACCATGGAAACAAGTAGAGCAAATGAGACATTAATATACCGACCCATTGAGCATGCAGCCACCAGGTCCACCATGAGGACAACCCAGCTTTGTCTGGAGAACAGAGTGGCATGGACGACCTCTACTGGAACACCATTCATCTGGAGAAAAACTCTGATTAAGAATCTACATTTGATTAAAAGAAATCTACGAGGAGGTGATGTACAAAGTTTACCTCAGTGCTGAATGAGTCAGGTTGTCCATACTGCGTTCTAAACACAAGCCTTCCATCTGTCAGGTCAAACACATAACCCTTTTCACGAGCCTCTGTAAGGTTCATAGGTACTGGATTCTCCCCCTGAAACATCACCTGCCAGTCTGAGGTAGCAGCCGTGTAGGCCTGGGAAAAGATTCACCCATCAATGTGACAGCTTTTGATTTTTTTGCACATATTACAAACTTCATGAGTCAAACCTACAGTCTGAACAGTCCCATCCCAGTCATCTCTCTTTGTTCCAGATGGACAGGCCACATCACTCCTTACTGACACCTACAAAGAAACCCACGGTTACCAGGCATCTGAAGAAATCGCCTGTAAAATCTTGTTCTGACACTTTGCTTACCTCCATGTAGTAGAGCTCACAGGAAACCTCTCTAGGAGCCCAGGGTAGAGATGGAGAACAGGTCTTGTTCAAGGCATAGGTGACCTCCTGGCCTCCATGTGTTGCAACCAGATTGAAGCTGAATGTGAACACTTCATCATCCTGAAAGACCCAAAATCATGATGATATAGATGTATGAACATAATGTAATGAGGAAACGCTTAAACTGCTTTAAATGGAAGTTGTGTTTACTTGATTGTCAGTATGGCAGCTGAAGAAAGAGGCTCGGAGCTGCACACGGCCCGGTACAGGAAGAACTCTGATGAGATATCCACACTCCACTGCATATTGGGTTGTAATGGGGTACACACCTGTTTCATCTGGAGGACAATCACATCACATCAGTTTGTGTGCTCAAGTCGATTGACCTTTCAATAAATGTTGTGTACCCGACTTACCCACTGCCTCAAAATAGGGTTCAGGCCCAGTGAAGGACAGATCAACAGCTATCATGAGGAAGCGATCATGACACTCCATCTGAAGAACTTCTGTATGAACAAAAAATTAAGTCAGATCTTAACAGATGTGTTGCTGCTTACATGTGTCAGGCAAAGAATTTTTAATCACTTACCATTGGGAATTTGATCACATTTTGAACTTGTCCACACGGACAGCAGCAGAGCCACACTAGATGACAAAAACACGTTATTTCACCACAAAGAACTCAATTGCATTATGAGCAGTAAACAATTATTTCCATCCAAACCATCATACCTGAGGTAAAACCCCAAATCCATAGCCATTGACGTGCTGGTAGTGTCTAAAGCTAGCTTCAATGCTAGCAAACTACACCTGCTAACCAACACAAGCTGAAGTGAACTACGAGTTTGAGAATCCTGGTCCAACTGGCAACATGTGGTGTTGTCTGCTGCCCCGGCTTTTATAAACCCATTTCTTCACAGGCTAACCTCAGCCCCTTAGGCGTTACAGGCACATGTGTACCTCATTAGCAATCAAGATAGCTTGAATCAGTTGCAGCTGATGAGCTGGAGAGTCTCAGGGATGAAGAAACTGACCATAAAAGCTGGTGTGGTAAGCCAGGTAAGGTTGGCTTGTGTTGGTTAGGAGGTGTAGTTTGCTAGCATCTAAGCTAGCTGAAGACACTGCTAGCACATCAGTAGCTATGGAAGTGGGGTTTTGCTTTAGGTGAGTTGCATTGTGATTTACAGGCTTATCAGTTCTGATTTGATTTGTTGTTTAACATTTGCATGTAAAATGTGTCTTTTTGTCACAGATTGGCTTTACTCCTAGTTGTGTGGTCAACTGGACACTGTGCTAACATTCCTGATGGTAATTTAAGCATAGCTCCATGGATCTATTTTAAACAGGCATACATTACATCCACATTTTGACTTCAACTTGTATATCCATGCAGGAGTTCTTCATATGGAGTGTCATGATCGTTACTTCATGATAGCTGTTGATCTCTCCATCAGTGAGGAGGAGGAACCTCATTTTGAGGCTGTAGGTTAGTAAAAATGTGCCAAAAGTTTCTTGGTGTTTTTGTCCTCCCACATCCCTCAGCTCTCTTGATCATGCTGCTATTTCTCTTTCCCCCAGATGAGACAGGTGTGCACCCTCTCACTGAGAAGTATGCAGCAGAGTGTGGTTACAGTGTTTATCATACTTTACCTGGTCGTGTGGAACTCAGGGCCTCATACCTCAGCTGTCACACTGAAAACCAAGTATGCACAGAACCTTAAAAAAACAGTTTGTTTTCATATTTTAGCACAAAATCAATAACTGGGTGTGCTTTTTAACTTATTTCAGGATGATGAAGTTTTCACATTCAATTTTAACCTCATTGTGATGCATGATGGAAAAGAGGTCACCCATGCCTTGAACAAGACCTGTTCTCCAGCTCTGCCCTGGTCTCCTAGAGAGGTTACCTGTGAGCTTGATTATATGGAGGTGAGTGTGCCTGCATCTTAAACTGTTTTACTCTACAGATGTTTCAGATGACTAATTCCATTTTTCTCCAGGTGTCTGTGAGGAGTGAACTCACTTGTCCATCTGGGACAAAGAAGGATGACTGGGAAGCCCTCAAACCTGTATGATTAAAATCACACTTTGGTTAAATCATAAAATGTATACCTGAAGTTAAACTATTTACCTTTTTAAATGCTGTTGCAGGCTCATGGCTCCACCACCTCGGACTGGCAGGTGACATTTCACAAAGAAGACGAGCAGCTACCTCCCATGAGCCTCTCTGAAGCTAGGAAGAAGGGCTATGTGTTCAACTTGACAGATGGACGGCTTGTATTTCGCGCACCGTATGGACAACCAGAATCATTAAGCACTGAGGTAAAAGCTGAATTTGATGCACTCTCTCATGGTACCCAAAGTTCTCTTGCCTGAGTCCAGAGTGGGTCTTGATTGTTGGTGTTTCTCCAGGTGAATGGTGTTCCAGTAGAGGTCGTCCATGCCACTCTGTTCTCCAGACAAAGCTGGGTTGTCCTCATGGTGGACCTGGTAGCTGCTTGCTCAATGGGTCTGTATATTCCACTTTTCTATTAGCTCTCACTTTAAGACCACATGTTACAACTTTGGTGTCTCCAACAGATGAAGGGTCATACGATGATGGCGGCTACATGATGTGGTCAACCCCTGAGACGCTGTACCCCAGTGCTGACGGCAGACGCCTCAGTGTTGGACTCAATGGTGAACTTTGGGAGCAGTCAGCCGCAGAGGACAAAGGTTACATCGTGGAGGAGCAAAACGCCACAGTGCAGATCAGCATCCCTTATAATGCTGAAGGAGGATATAGGAAGGTCAGATTCATTTCAAAAGCACTTTAATCCAACTGTTTGCATATTTGAAGTTTCCATCAATTTCCACGTCTGTTGCAGAGTGTCATATCTGAGGATCTCTTTGAGTTCTACATCTTCAACATGAACTTGGAACACGTCCTGGTGGATGAGGATCTTGTAGAGACCAGGCTCAGGTCCCATAGGATGCTGTTCACTCCCTTACTGTCACGTTCCCCTTTTTCTGAAAATCGAACTGTTCTTGAGGATCGAGTGTTTACGGTCCACCTTGGAGACGTCCCTGGAGACGTTACATTGGCTGCTGTGAATCTGAATGGGCAAGAGTTCACGGTTCCGTTTACAAATACGACCAGCGCCACCGTCACAGAAGTTGCTCATCCGAACAACACTCATAGCTACACTCTGAAGGTGCCTTTTGATGACCCTGTAGTCATTCATCAGGTAAGGGGGCTTTTTGAAGTGGGCTGACATTTTAAAACTGAATTTTTTGTGCATTTTCATGTAAACAAAATTTGTCTTTTTTAGTTTTTCAAAGAAGATGCAGTTCTTCAGTATAGACTGGACATCAACTACACACTGACTTTGCTCCCTGAAAATGAGACTTTTTATCACCTGGCTTCAATTGAGGCAACTTTCACAGATGTCTGTAAGTCTCTCAGCATATTTCTAGGATTGATCATTTTTGTTCATGAAGCTCAAGTATCCCTTTTTGTTTTTGTCTTTGACAGCTCCTCCAGCCTTTGATGCTGTCTGTTCTGAGTCTGGGATCCGCTTCAGACTGGACCACCGGCCTTTTGACCACCTATGGGTGATCTGTATCGGCACAGAGCCGCTGACACCAGAGCTGGCGGCTCATCACGGCTACATCATGAGCAACGACAGCCAGACACTGCTGCTGGAGGTGCCGCTCTTCACTTACGGCTACAAATACAAGGTGAGAGAAGGTCAAAGGGAACTGATTAGATGGAAACGTCATGTTTTTTGAGGTAAATGACCAAGCTGCCTGTTTTCATAGGATGTCGGCTTGAACGGATTCTTCGGCACTTATGAGATCCTCATTCAGAACCGTGAAACCTCTGAGGTCCAGGGCTCAACTGTCAGGACTTGTCCCTTCACAACTACTGAATTTATCAGTAAGAAGAGGTTTGATTTACTTCTATGATGGATGTGTCTTACAGGCTTGTTGACGTTTACTAAAACCTTTTTTGCAGTGTGTTCAACTGATGGGAGGATGACTGTGGTGGCTGACTTGTCTCCGGCAAGTGAAGCGAGAGCCAACCTCATCGACAAATACTGTGGACCCAAAGAGACTGACGGAACCAGAGCTCTCTTCTCTTTCCCACTCAACGGCTGTGGATCCACTGTCAAGGTACTGCTTATAAATTGTGTAAAGCTACACATGAGACTTAGGTTTCTGTATCTTTTTGGACTTGGCCTTGTATTTATTTATTTGCTTCCCCCTCCAGCTTGGAAAAGAAAACGTGACCTACCAGAATGAGATTTTCTACAAAAAGAACCTCAATATGATCACAGATGTTTCTGATAATACTACCAAGAGGTCTGCGTCCAATATTTCCACCATACCAGAGCTGGAAATCTTCCTTTTTTTTTTTTGCATCTTTACGCTATTTACTTGTCTTGCAGGACTGTGATCCAGTGCACGTATTCTCTGGCTGGTCTCCATCGTCTCTTCTCGGTTTATAAATTTGAGTCTGATACAGTCGGTGTCGGCAGCATCATTCACACACAGCAGTATGAAGCAGGTAGAGGTGCATCTTAAACTGCTTAATGTGACTGCCTCTATTCAGTCCAGATCTAAAATTTTTTGCTTTCTTTAAAATTGGCACTCAAGGTCTGCAGAGTCCAACCACAAGGCCAACCACACCTAGAACCAGAAGACCATATAGGTTACCTGTTTCATACCCTCCAGCAGTCCACCCTCCTGCTCGCTACATCAAAGTTTCTAAGTTTTACAGTCTGCCAAGCCACATAAGAAAAGGTAGGCGCTTGAATAGAACACACTTTTTTTTTTTTTTTTTTTTTTTTTTTTTTTAAATGTTATCACCTTTTGTTGAACCTATTTTTCTTCTCTTCACAGATGCAGAAGGAATCTCTCAAGTAAAAGCTGATGTTACACAAATTTAAAGGAATTTTAAAAGAATTTGGAATTAAATAAAGTGTTTTTCTTAAAAGTTTGTCTTTTTTTATTTTTTTATCTATACTTAGTCTATTGCCAAATACTTGTGTGGACAAACAGTGAAGGGGTTGGAAGGGGCAAACACTTTAGCAAAAGCAACTTTAACAAAAATTTAAATTTGATCAAAGATCCCTTATTCATGTAAATATGAAAAAGTACAATATGGAAAAATAAATTTACGGTTTGTCACATTGGTGAAAAGACTTAATTCAAGAAAAGCGTAACAATTTAATGGATAAAGGAGTTTTAAGGTAAATCTTACAGAAATGTTATAAGAACACGGCATACGTTTTTCGTAAAGGGCTATTGTGTAGGTTACTTAACACAAGCTGTGTATAATGTAACAGTTTAGCGGCGGTACAACACGCAGCAGTTCCCGTTTGACAACCCCCACCTGGCTTCTTTGCTCTTGTCTGGTTTACCTCCTTTTTTATCGCCCGTTGTTCCGCCAGTCTCCGGTATTGACTTCATTTTCTTGCTTGTGTTGGCAGTCGTGGCTAATGAAGGATTCAGACAATTTTCCGTACTTTCTGGTTGGTTTCTACTGTCCGATATTGTAGCACGCTAACTTTGTTTGGGCTAGTGAACGACACGAGGAAGCAGCGTCAGCCTCACAACCAATCAGGTTGGGGGAGGCGGAGAATGGCTTTGTTTGCTGTCAGAAAGAGAGGTCCGTTAAAAAACGTAAAAATGTTGACTACAAAGACATAAGAGAACACAGCGATATCGTGATATTCCCAAATGTCATAAATAACTAATAGCCATTGACTGATATTAAGTTTTTTCGTACATTAAACACAAAAAAGATGCTTCTCAGGGATCTCTGCCTACCCCTCTTTTAAGTGTGAATGCACGGGGTTTCCCCACAGTGACCAGCAGGGGGCGCGAGCATAAACCATACGGAGAATGTCCGTCTTCATTTCCCCACACCAGCACTTTGTGTAAATATCTGTATGCTGCGACTCTTGACTTTATTCAAACAACAAAACTCGGTTATAAAAGTTCAACATGAACTACAATGAAACACACAGTATGGTAAGTTTTTAATATCTTAATGTTGAACTTAAAATTTAGCGAATTTAATCAAAACATACGAGATGCAGTCGATTATGTGATAAAGTCGATAAACTACCGCCATGTTTCTCCTCAACCAGGGGTCCAGACTGCCAACCTTACCCCCTCTCTCCGGCAGGACTCTGTGCCACCCCTCCTTCCAGTCTCTGTACACAGCTTCAGGCTCTGAGCACCATCACACGCAATGCTACAACCAAACAAGTGAGTCCGTTTAAGCCACACTGTATGTTAAGGTCCTGATGCAGCCTGAGTGTTACCTCATTATTTTTCCAGGCAGTCCCATCATCAGTCCAGCAGAGTTGTTTTACTGTGACCCCACTATGAGCTGTGAGAGGAGGATCCCCAATTTAGTGAGTGAGCTCAGGGTAAGTGGACTCCAAAATCCCACTGGTAATTGCAGGATTAGTTAGTCCTAATCAAATAACAATGGGGAAAAGATAACTGATGACAAAAGTTGGAGAGTGTTGAGTTATCTGTGCAGAAAGTCAGTAAAACTTAAAGGGATATTCCAGCGTAAAATTAAGTTAGGGTCAAATACACTGTAACACTGAGTTAGACACCCCGTCGAGAGATGAATGTTGCCGACTGCTTGCTTCTCTAGTTATACCAACTTTAGTAACGACTGCATGATAACAATACAGAGAGCCACCCCTCAAAATGGTGCTAACCCCCATATAGCCGCCTATATAGGGGTTAGGGATCCATTTTGGACACAGCCCATAAATGTTCTTGCTTGGGCTGCGGCACCCCGCTGCAGTCGATGGACTCGCCCAGAGGTCTCTGTACAAACAAGCAGCTGCTGGAAGAGAGTAGGTGAGTTGTGTTTAGTCTCTTTGCAAAAGAAATTAGGCAAAGTTAAAAAGATGTTTGATGGCTAGTACTATGACTGGGACCCTATATGTACTGTTGATGAAGTTAGGTGCTGTTCTGAGCATTATTTGTGGCTATAGAGTGGCGTTTTGGTTGAGCGCGTGGCTTTCTGCGGTCGTTACTTAAGTTGGTATAACTAGAGAAGCAAGCAGTAGGCAGCATTCATCTCTCGAGGGGGTGTCTAACTCAGTGTTTTGGTGTGTTTGACCCTAACTTAATTTTACGCCGGAATATCCCTTTAAGTACCCCAGAAAGTGAAACTTCAGAGGAAAGGCTGAGGTAATATTGGCTCTCCTCTTGCATGTGTCCTCTCTTCTCTGCGGGGGCTTGTGAGGGGTTTCAGACAGAGGAAGTAATTTTAATAAGATCAGCTCAGTCCTTTCAGACAGAGGTAAGACCCTGACCAGGGGGCTGGAAGGAAATTGAGACTCAGAGGAGGGAAGAGTTCATTTTGTTTTTTTAGCAGTCATGAACTTATATTATATTTGTCGTTTGGACTTTTCTTCTCAGGAACAAAGCATCTCAAATTCAAAATAGAGAAAAAAAAGAGCAATCCAAAACTGTGTAACAACAATGACTTAATTTCTCTATCAGGTCCCCGATTCCTTCCAGCTGAACTCGCCACCACCACTCATGTCTCCTTGCATCGCTCCACCAATACAACCAGACCCATTCAGATCTGCACCGCACCCTGCTACAGATCTTGGAGGCCTCAGCGTGAAAATAAATAGCCTCCACCCTCCTGTGCAGTCAAGGCTGCTTGTCCTCCAGCTCACTCAAGAGGAGGACCAGGCTGTTACTAACCTCCTGAAATTGCGCCACCAAGTGAAAAGTGACAAGACAATCGAGTTTCACCCTGAACCTGTGGAGTCCAACACAGCTGGAGAGGCGAGTAAGGCCAGGTCACACGGTCACGAGGGTCAAGCTTGGTCAGAAACTGAGCTGGAGGCGGCGAACACCCTCCTGAACGGGTTTTGCTCGACTGGAGAAAATCACCCAAATTCTGCAGAAGCAAATCTTCAACCTGGCCTCTCTCAGGGATCAGAGTCTTTGCCTGATTGTACCCCAAATGGTTATGCGATCCCAAAAAATGGAGGACCAGGCTGTGGGCAGATTCTCTCTGGTTCTGAGGGCGATGCTGTGTTTGTTCTCTTGAGCCTCGCGGACGTGGCGGTGTAACACCAAGAGCGAAGACCATTTCTAACCTGAGGGATTTCTATTCCCTGGGTGTGTTCTTACAGGCATTTACTTCCTCTTTCTAAAAAAAAACCCTGTTATGAGTTCTTTGCAGTGTTTGCTTTGAAAGCTTGAACCCAAATATACCTCAAACCTTTTACTTTTAAGGATTGTAATTTTATTTAACACTTTGAAAGTACAGCTGTTCACTGTTTTTATTCAATAAAAGGAATAAAAGTTGAGCCTCAGCTAAAAAGAGTCATTTTTTTATTAAAAGCACCACTACTGTTATTGAAGGAAACAATCCCCCACTTATTATTTACAACATATTTTACAGTTCCAGCATATCCACATATACTAAAAGCAGCAGGGGGCGCTATGGTCTTATCCAAGCCTATGTTTACATGCATTGTGAAAGTTTCTGAGCTTGACGTGAGTTTTAAATACTTGTTCTGTAGTTTGAGTTCATTCAAAGGCACTTCCTGATTGGATTTGTCTTGTTTTGAGATCATGTTCAAACACTTTAATTTCAGTCAAGGTGTGTTCTTTTGTTTTTTCTATCATTAAGACGTCAAATCATGGAATCGTGTCTCTAAAGCGGCTCACAGCCAGCTGTTGATTACTTCACAGATGATTATGTCACAAGAGGCGTTCACAGGAACAGCCTCGATCTTTTCTTCGCGGTGGACTGATATTTCTTGTCTTGAAGTAATGCCCAGAATGTTCAGTATTTACGTTTGTACACTCTAGAGAGAAGGAAGTCTCTGCAGGTGTGATGCTGCGAGACGCTGATGTTCACTAATTCACAGACTCCTCTGCAGAAGTCCTTGAAGTGTCAAGTTAAAGATCTACCTCACACTCCCAGCTGCTTACAGTAAGTGCACACTCAGGTCCTCCAGGGGTCAAGGTAAGGAGGTGATTGCAGATCTTTTACGATGTTTTTTGATCCTTTATCTTGGATTTCTTAACATTTATTTCCTGCCAGCGTGGAAATTACCGCGAATTATCTTTGTAAACAAAAATGTAAACATCCAGGATTTGTCCACCCCACAGTTTGTGGTCCATCCTAGTTGCTGGCCTTGCTGTTTGTCACCATGCTCGCCGCCTGCATGACTCTGTAGCGCTCTCTCAGGTTCCTACGCCGCACGTGCTCATTGGTGATCTCTATGACGTGGTTGACAGGGAACCAGCCCTTCTGGCCGTCTGACAGGCGGATTCCTTCGTAACACCCTGGGAGGGAGAGGAGGAAATAAGAGGAGAGGGGAGGACCGGGAAGAGGGAGGGGGAACAAACAAGGGGAGATTGGACGTTTCTGTTTTCATGCAAGAAAAGTCGTAAGAAAATTAATAAACTGCTAAGGTGGAGGGTGGAGGAGGAGGCAGTTATAAGGATCAGGGTCAGAGTCAGGAGGGGGCGTGTTAATTACACAGAGGCATGTCAGGAAGTTAGACTTTTCTGATAGGAAACCTGTCTAAAAACCTTTAAGGTTGATCATCTTCTCTACAGATTTTAATTCCAGTTTAAAGCTCATGTGAGGAACTTGATTTTGTTGCCCCTCTGCGGACAGAATTGAAACTTTTATCTCATTGCTGGTCCTGTTTGTTTCTCACGAATCAGTGTCAATCTAAAGGGATATTCCGGCGTAAAATTAAGTTAGGGTCAAACACACCGTAACACCGAGTTAGACACCAACTTTAGTAACAACCGCACGATAGCAAAACACAGCGGTCTGAGGAGCTGTAAACAAACCTCAACCAAAACACCACTCTATAGACACAAATAATGCTCAGAACAGCACCTAACTTCATCAACAGTACATATAGGGTCACAGTCATAGCACTAGCCACCAACCATCTTTTTAACTTTGCCAAATTTCTTTTGCAGAGACTAAACACAACTCACCTACTCTCTTCCAGCAGCCGCTTGTTTGTAGCGAGACCTCAGGCCAGTCCATAACAGACTATAGTGGGGTGACGCAGCTCAAGGAAGAACATTTATGATTATTACTTTAGCATTTCTTTTAAGTAATAATCATCATATTAATCATTTTGCAATGCAGACGTGGTAGTTCTTCTGCCTTAGCACCTCGATCAGTTTGCATTTCCATGAGGAAATGATCATAAATGTTCTTCCTTGAGCTGCGTCACCCCGCAGCAGTCTATAATGGACTGGCCCGAGGTCTCACTACAAACAAGTGGCTGCTGGAAGAGAGTAGGTGAGTTGTGTTTAGTCTCTTTGCCGAAGAAATTAGGCAAAGTTAAAAAGAAACTTTGGGGTGTTTGGTGGCTAGTACTATGGCTAGGACCCTTTATGTACTGTTGATGAAGTTAGGTGCTGTTCTGAGCATTATCTGTGGCATTTCGTTTGAGGTTTGTTTATGGCTCCTCAGACCGCTGTGTATTGCTATCTTGCGGTCGTTACTAAAGTTGGTATAAGTAGAGAAGCAAGTGGTCGGCAACATTCATCTCTCGATGGGGTGTCTAACTCTGTGTTACGGTGTGTTTGACCCTAACTTAATTTCACGCCAGAATATCCCTTTAAGTCTACTTTAAGATCAGCTAAACACTCCAACAGGAGCTTGAAAGCCTAATGAATAGATAAATAAACCAAACACCGGTCTGGTACTTCCTCCTCATTCTTACCCTCATTGGTTTTACGGATGACGTTGATGATCTCAGTGGGCTCCAGGGTGAGCTCGTCTGCCTGCTGGGCGACGTACTGCTCCACACACTGCACCTGAGGACAGTCTGACACACAAACACACACAAATACAACCATGAGCAACTTTGGGTTATGTAACACAACAGTATGCAGCACTTCCACTTTAGGTGCGAGCTTTCTCTCACCCCAGTCCTCGTAAATCACTTCATCGTCGTCTCTGTTCGGGTTAGTGGGGTTTGGGAAAGCTGCCATCCACCTGTGCATGTCCGACCTGTCGCAGAGACAGCTCGTTAACATACCTTTTGTCACGTCAGCACATATTTAGGATTATATCGACGGCGGTCTGCGGCGACTTACTGAGACGGAGCTTTGATCAGCCTCTCCATCATGCGTCCCTGGTGGTTCTCCAGCAGCGTGAGGTTGAAGCAGTGCTCGAGGGGGGTGCTGCTGCTCCCACCTTCGTCGACCTGCTGCACCTGCACCAGAGAGCGGTGGGCGTGGTCGAGCACCACGAAACGCTCCGGCCTGTTCAAAGAAAAAAAGAAGTATTAAAAAAGTAAAATAGCTTCTGTTTCGGGAAACACTTGACTGACTGGTTATCACGACAAGAATCAGAGACATTATCTGTGTATCGTGTATGTTTGTTTCTATTGTCTGCAGCAATTATTGCATTTTTGAAATGACTCTGAGTGTTTATGTAGGCCACTCAGAGACAGCTCACACCTTTAAGTGGAAACACCTATGATCACGTGTGTGCGGCTTAAAAACGGCGTGTACTGGAGCATGACTCATGAATATCATTGCTATTAAGAAGGTTAAAGTGAAACCATGAAGTCTAAGATGAAAAGTCAAAGAAACACCCTCAGGTTCGGTTTAGAAAACAACTTACAAAAGGACATTTTAAGACAACGTTTCAGTGTTTGCAGGTGAAATCATCAGAGAGATCCAAGGAAATCTAACATCAGTTTTCTTTTTCTGAGGCATTGAGAATCCTTTCTTTCCCCTCACCCTTTCTTGGCAGCGATGAGGAGCATATCATTGAAGAGGAAGAGGTAGATGGGTGTGAACTTTCCTCTCATGTTGAAGAGAGTTGCTCCTCTGGACATTTCCTGCAGCTCTCCCTTCTTCTCCAGGAACCGCGTCTGGGAGATGATGGGGATGGCCTGGAGGAGAAAAAACAAACACAGATGTTCGTTTATCCCTCTTTATTTTTTCTTCTTTAAAGACTCTGAGGTCTGTGAAATCTACCTTGAGCTTATCAAACTCCAGGGTTTGAGAGAGGTAAATCAGCTCCTCCATCTGTCTCATCTTTCCGACTTGTGTGTTACATTCATCAATAATCTGTGAAGGGAAAAAGGAAGATTACTGTACAAACTCTGAGTCAGTCGAGATTTTGTAACGTTGCCTGCAGCAGTCTCACTGAGAGTATTGGGTTCACTCCCTCAACAAAAACATTCAAATATCTTCCTTTTTGTGGAAACTCTGCCTCAGTCTGCCTTTGTCCTCCGTGACACCGATGACTCACTGTCACAGAGGAGCCCAATCAATAGAAAAGCCTTCACCCAAACAATGGCTGACGTCAAGTATCCAGAGGCATGCCAGGCACTCGAGGCTCAAATGATCAGGATTTGTGGAGGTGAGGAGTGAGGCGAGTTTACCTTCGACACCGAGGCCAAAGCCTTAGAAGCCGTCTGCTCCTCGTTGGTCCCCTCTTTTGTTCTCTTCAGGATGTTCTGAAACGGACAAACAAAAACGTTCTATTTCGGCTGCAGGACGCATTTTTTCCATCTGTAAGCAAACAGGGTCATGAGTTTGAGGTGTGCCTGTTGCATTTGCCGATAGGTCAAGAGGCCGTGATGAGAGGAGACGCAGGAATGAGGACGTTCCGCGGAGTAACACGGCGTGACGGACTCAAACTATCAACTCTCAATCTGTCAGTGGCTCGTGGCGGGAGAGGATGAGAGGTCAAAGACGGCAGGCGTAAAGCAGCGTTCAGTTATGAAACCTAGATTCAGAAAGGTCACAAAGACTTTTCCATTGTAATCCTCATATCTAAAACTGGAGACTGTTTTTTTATGTTTGCGCTGTTCTTTTGAAAGGAGTAGTTTTGTTTTTTAGAAGATAAGCTTCTTCACACTCAGATAAGTGTGACCATTTATTGTGCCTGCCCTGTTTAACTAAAGTGATAGGATTGGATTGGGGATTGGCTCAGTTTAGGAATTCCTCTCCTGGTTCTGCCAAAAGTAGAAAATCATTGATGGCTTTGTCTTCCTCGGCTCCACGGTTTTCTAATTCATTTAAAACCTAAAATACAAGAACAATAACAGCAAACAGCAGTCTGACACCGAGCCGGACTGGGGATTTTCCCTGCTTTAGTCTTCATACCCAGCTGGGTTGATCAGATTTTCTATCATATCCCATTGTGTTGTATTGTCACTAAGCATATTTTGGATTGAACCATATCATACTGGATTGTATATAGGGCTGGGAAATATGGTAAAAAGTTTATCACGATATCCCTTTAATACCTTTTGTATCATATTTGATACATACTTTTATGATACCTCTATTAAATCAATTTGATCATCAAATTAGTAAAAAAAAACTGAATACAGTCTGATAAATAATAAAAATGTCCTCTTGTGGTTTATCAGTTTCCAAAAACATCTAATGTATCAAACGAGATAAATAAATATATTTGTTCAATTTTAAGGACATTTGATTTTTTTGGTTTTTAGTCGAAAATGAAAATAAACATTTCAGCTCAAATTTTTTTTTAATTTTCTGGCCATAATTTGTGGTTTCAGGCATTAATGGGATATTTTTTTTCATATCAGTCCATATCGATACGCATCACCATATAAAAAAATCACTTGTCTATCTTCATCTGCATTTCTGCCGGGGGTAGCACTCGTTTTCCTTTTTTCTCACCAACAGTGCTGTCAGCTTCACGTGTTACAGTGCTATGGTTGCATATAGCTGCAGTCTGCGACTACACGGTTGTTCGCCACTTGGTTCTAATTCAGCACGATTGGTTCAGTGCGGCGCAACCTGGAGCAACTCCCCTTTTTATTGGCTATTCGTATAGTCTACCAAAACATGGCAGAATGCCGACTATCAAAGATCATATTGACCATGTTTTATATTGATATTGAGATAAATTAATTTTTGATATATATCGTTATCATTTTATTGCCCAGCCCTAACGATATGGTATAATATTGAATCTATCAGATCAGACTGTTTTGTTCCATTAGACATTTCCCACCTCAATCAGCATCTTGATCCGTGTAATCCGCTGGAAAGGAAGCAGCAAGAAGGACATGAACGGCAGCCGCTGGCACTGAGGCGACTCCTGAAGACGAGTGATGACTGTGGCAAACTGCACATTATTCTTCCTGCAGACACAGAAATTTTAGATATTTAGAAAAGCTCAAAAAAACACATCAGGAAGACTCGTATAAGCATAAACTGAAATATAGAAAGTGCAAAAGGTGGTTGATTCAGTAAACATGAGGGTGGATCTTGCTTACAATAGTTTGGTGAAAGTCTTGTCCTGGTAGATCTGGTTGCGGACGTAGTCTATGTAGGCGGGGAAGTTGTGCTGGGCGTGATAGTGGATAATATCACAGATGTCGTGGAAGACCAGCTCCTTGAAAATTCGGTCTTCCAGGTCTTTTAAGAACCTGTGCAGTCACACAGCAGAGATTCAGTCAAAAACACACACATGCTTTCTGACCCACAAAGACGAGAACCAGGGCCTGGAAAAGACTCAGGAAATGACTCAGAACATTTTTGCTCTTCCTTCCTGTCACTCTATCTCTAACTGAGTGACCTTGTTGTAGTTCAACTCATAAATCACTGTCCTATTTCCTTGTCTTTTCATCTCCCTCCTAGTCCCCTCCGCTGCTGCCACTTCTCACCTCTCGCTGACCTCCCTGACCCGCAGGATGTTGGAGAAGAGGGTTTTCTTGTCTCGGATGATCATCGTCTCTTCCAGCTCTCGGCTGTCCAGGAAGTGCTCGGTGAGAACTCGCAGGGATCGGAGGTACGAGGTCTCCGATGTCAGAACCTCAAACATGCTCTGTCATGGAGAAGAATACAAACATGAACTTTGGGCCTCTGAATGAAACTGTGGTGTGAGAGCATTGTTGGATAAAACACTTTCCAAGTTTCACTCTTACTTAGAATCAGCTGAGCTTGTCTTGACTTGTCCTCTAGTACGTATTTACTTTCATTTGACAGGATTACAACAGACAGTTTGGAGATATCATAAAGAGAAACCACATCTCTGTGTGCCTCAGAACAAACATGCATCCCTGATGTTTTTGAAAGTTTCAGCTGAGACTCTAAAAGCTCTGAATCAATATTATATACCATGAGTGTGCGGTGCAGCGATGCAGAGTGGATCTTGATTTATATAAAACCGTCCCATTATGACTTTAGATATGATTTAAAATTCTTGATACATCATCTCTCCTTTCTCCTCATCGATTTTCCTTATATTATTATGTCTCCTCGGTGCATTAGCGTCTCCCCCTTAGCCCCTCACCTCCTGGTACTTGCACTGCTCAGGGGTGAGCTGCTCCAGCACGCCGCTCTCGCGAACGTTCTGGAGGTCCTGCCACAGGGTGCTCTGAGTCGGCGTGGGCACAGGGCTGCTCCTGAGCGCCCCGTTTCCCGTCCCGGTACCTGTACCGGCTCCAGTCCCGGAGCGGCGGGCTGTCCAGTCGACGGCGTAGTCTGCGCTGGTTTTGCTGATGTTGCGGCAGACTGTCTGGCGTTTGATCTCCTTGGTGATGACGGTGGCGCGGTAGGTCTGGTACAGAGGTTCTGAAGAGAGACAAGACATATAAAACAAATATATTTAGAATTTATAAGTTTGTTTTTTTGCCACTCCTTCTGATATAGTTAAAGGTAGTTACTCTACGCCATCAACTTTAATCATCTTTACCGTCCTGCAGCCGAGACTCCCAGCTGAAAGACGCCTGCCTCCTCAGGGAGTCCCTCCTCTCCAAACACCTGAAAGAGAAAGTAAAGAAAGAAAAGTGAATGATCGACCAATATGAAGCTAAAATGACACATTATGATGAAACACTGGCATGTATGCTAGTTTGAATGATTACAACAGCAAAAAAAAGCTGTTACAGAGAAATCTACTCCTACAGGAGATAACTACAAAGAAAACAGAGGTGATTATACTTAGTTTACAATCTGACTCTCATAAAGCTTCTGTTGTTATCACTGAGAAAAAGTAGAGCGAGTATCTTTTTATAAATTGGCTGTAGAAGTAGTACATTTATTATCCTGGGAAGAACCATTTCAGAAATTTTCTCATTTTGTTTTTAACCTCCTTGGTTCTGATGGTCTGACAGGCAGGGGTGTGTCTAAAGAGGTGATCAGGGGTGGCTCTTGCCCCCCTTGAAACCCACCTCAGATGCCACCCCACACTTAAAAGCTATGATTCAGAGGCAATTACATTAAAAATCAACAGTTTTAGCTTTGCATATTTAAATATAACTAGCTGCAGCTATCGAATATTTTTGTAATCGAGTATTCTACCGAATATTCTATCGATCACTTGAGTAATTGGACCCAAACGGCAGACTCACATAAAGTTCGATTTCCTATAGCCTCCCAATGAAGGTCAGACTCAGAGAAATAGAAGACAATCGCGGAACAAGCGTGTTCGTTAGCGGATTGCAATGCTCGTAAGAAAGCTAATTATGATATTAACTTTTATCATGGCCCTAAAGACATTAGTGTCCGAGAGCTGGATAGCCTTGATGAGAACTGCTTCTGCAACAACACCAGTGATGTTAGTCTACAAGCTAGCGTAAAAAGAAGTGTGCAGAGCAGCACTGTCTCCACCCATGACTCAGAGGCTAAGTGCTCAGAAAACAGTGTTGCCATCTCCTCAGTAAGGAAAGTCGCTCGGTTGGCAACACTGAAAGAAAAGCTCCTCTATAACACATTTTATTGTAACTTTAGTAAAACATCTTCCTTTCATGACAGACTTCGACTAAGAAATGAATCGTAATGTGCGTCTCTTTAAAGTTAAAACAACAGCAAAGGACTAGATCAACTGTATAATACTCAAATGATAAGAATAAGAAGAACTTTATTGATCTCCGAGGGGAAATTCAGTAGTATTAATTTAGTTGTAGTAGTAGACAGTAAAGACAGAGAGGCTACAGCCACCCCACTGTACGTCAGTGTCCCACTTTTGTCACTCCAGTCTTAGGAGTCTAGACACACTGCTGCCCACAGGACCACTTTAAAGTACGAACTGCTCCACCAGATGAAAATCTGCTCAAAGATTGTTGGTCAACCACTTCAGAGACTCTATGACCCAGCCCATGATAAAAATATACTCCAATCCTCACCATGCTTTTAACAATGAGAATAAACGATTTCCATCAAACATGAGATAAAGGGTCCAACAGTTTACTGGGTCAGTCTAAAACACTTTTTTGTACACCAGTTCTTTCAAAAACTGAATATAGAGCCGAACTCCTGATCAAAAGACGACTGAAGACCTCTGAATACGCTGCTCAGTGTTTGAAATGTTATTCTACTCTTTATATCTTTGTATCTTCCTGTCTGTGTTAGAAATGAAGCTGCTGTGATGCATAAAAGAATGAGCTGATTGTTAATTAGATTCATAATGAAAACATCTCCAGCCTCATGAAAATATATAAATGAGATGAGAGGAGGTTGTTGATGTGATCACTCACGTCTCCTCTGCTGTGTCCTCTCTCTCTCCGTCGTTCCCTCCGTTCTCCCCTCCTTCTACAAACATGAGAAGATTGCGTTATCTCTCTTTATGATGACACTGAAAATGAGTTTGTCTCAGACAGAGGTGATGCTGTTTGTTTAGTACCAACCTTTCCTCTGTGTGAGGGACTGCAGCGAGGCGCTGCTCAGCCTCCTCGGGTCTGTCTTTGGCGGGGGAGGTGGGGGTCTGTGAGGGCTGGCTGGAGGTGGAGTGAGGGCTCGATGGGGGCTCAGGTTGCTGCTGACAGAGCTGCTGGGAGATGACGGTCGCAGGCTGCGCCACTCCTCCACTGTGGGCTGAGGGAGAGGGATACCTGCTCTCTGAACGGGCGTGGGGCTGCGAGGGAGCTGACTTAGAGGAATCCTGGGGGGAATGGCGGGGGGAACATCCTCAGGGCTTGAGACGGGTTTTAGTTCATTCTGAAACTCAGATGTGGGGTCCGAGGTGCTGTAGGACAGTTTGGAGCGGCGGGCCGGTTTCAGCACTTTGATAAGAGGGATGTCCAGTTCTTTACACACCGGAGGAGTCTTTCTGGGGAGAGGCTGGATCACAGGAAGTGTGGCCTCATAAATACTCTCCTCTTGTTCATATGTGGGTCCATGGTGGGTGGATTGTGTCTGTTTCGGGGGGATGGGAGGAGACTGAGAGCGAGTGACAGAGAGGGAGGCCAGAATGGAGTGAGGGCCGGGGTCTGAGCGTCTCCGGTGACCGTCCGCTAACAAAACCCCCAGAGAATGATGAAACTTCGCTTTATCCTGTTTCAAAAGTTCCGCCTCATCAGCCACAGAAGTCGTTTCCACCTCCTCCCCAGCCCTGCTGTCCCCTTCCCCTCCTCTCTCTTCTTCCTCCTCTTCCTCCTCCCCCACCACTTCCTCCACTTCTACCTCCTCCCAGTCGTCCTCTCCATCAATCTCATCCTCATCTCCACCTCCTCCTACATCCTCCTCCACAGCGTCCACAGGCACCCACACTAGTTTCATGCCGGGCCACTGGAGGTGACACACGCAGGTGCAGCTGGGGTCACAGGAGGGGCTGAGGGGCGTGTCTGGAGACTCGGCTTCACCTCCTCCTATTGGCTGAACCTCCACTTCTTTTCCATCAGGAGCTGCATTGAAAAAAAAAAAAAAAAGATATTAAACACAGAATTATTTCTTTTACTAAATCTTGAAGGTTTTTTTTAGATTTAAGCTTCAAAATTTTGGTGTTAGCAGAGTTGAGGATAAGCCTCTTTGATTCAAACTGGACAAAACAAAACTTTCAAATCACTGTCTGAGTCGTTTCCAATCATGGATTATCAATCTGGAAACAAGATATGCTGCAAACTCGTCTTTTCTGTGACTTTTCTGTTCATATCACTTTAAAAAGACATCAAGAGTGACTTCACAGACCTACACCCATGCTTTCCCAGTCGAAAAAGTCACACCCAGAGTTAAGAAAAACAGAAGCCTACTTGATAAGTGGGTGGTAACTTCATAACTTTCAGCTTTCAGTCAGAGGAAGGTTACACAAACTGCTCTGTCTGTGCAGCTTGGAGGATTTTTCAGGATTATTGTCTTTAATTTAGAACTTTTCTACAAATTCTGAGGGAAAAAAAAAGTTATAAATAAAAAGATTTGTGTCTTCAGATCCCCAAACTGCACACTGGACAGAGCCACCAGCTGATCATGATGCAGCGAGGGATGTGTTCAAATATTAATGGGTGGGTTTCAGAGTTGCGTGGAAAAATAAAAATCTAATATTGACAAAAGGGAATGGAAGAGATGGGGGGAAGAGGGGAAATCAAACACTTTCCATATCAGCCAGAACAGACCACTTTGATGGAGAAGAAGAAAAGATGCAAAGATTATGAAGTTATAAGATGTTGAGGAGTAAATATTCCACTCTATACAGCTGTAATGATTGATCAGAGTCAAGATTAGGGCTGGGCGATATGACCTCAAATCAATATCACGATATATATTGAGCAGTTCACCTCGATAACGATAAACGGACGATAACTACTCCACAAGCTGCTCTGCCCCTCCCACATTAACTTCGTCTACTTCAGCTGCTACAACTTTTGAACCGTCCTCCATCTCCTCACCTGTCTTTCCATCTTCGTTACGGACTGGAAAGGGGTTAAAGAGGTATGAGACCATAGCCTACCTACACACATCCAAAACCAACTTTTATTTATCTTATTTTTTTGACACCGAATATGTTGACATGGGCAAAATGACGTTGGTTATTGTCGTAAATTTCGTTATCGGTGAATTTTCAGTTGATCGCCCAGCCCTAATCCTGACTACAAAGATCACTCAGATCTTAAAGTAGATATGGAACAGGATTGTCACACATTCCTGACGTCCGCCCTGAACAGTTTCTGCTTCTAACGGGGAACCAAAACAAAGAAGTAAGAGTACCGGTTTGTGAGCGACAAGGGAGGAAACACACGCGTTTCTATTGATCAATCAAATGTCAAATTAAACGACTTCCTCTTTTGCTTGTTCATGAGAAAGCTGAGTGATGTGATGTGACGCAGCAGAGGAAATCACCTGTCCATGAGGCAAAGACACAGCTGCTCTACAGAGACCAGCAGGGATCAACGTGAAGGCCTGACTCTTCATACCTTAGGTGTGCACCACTTCCTGATTTCACATAACTCAGAGGCATGCACACACACACACATACACACACACACACACACACACACACACACACACACACACACACACACATATGCTCTCTATTTCAACATGTACACTTACAGACAGGTGATCAGCTGACTGACTCAACCTGTTTAGGACTGCTGGTTGAGATTAGCCAGCGGCACCACACCTGCGTGTTTATAATTCAACCGCACCGTGGATTCACTAATAACTGCGCTCACACACGCACACACACCAGCTTGAACACAACAGTCGGTCTGTGATTAGACACAGCTTTTCTTTCAGTTTGAACCATGAGATTTACCTCTGATCTCGCCCTAGAGTCTGTTATGGTCACACGAAGCATCAAAATAACTTAAAAGAATCAGAAACTCTTCAGGCTGGTTGTCTTAGAAACACCAGTATCAGTTTCAGGCTGTTTCATGACCTGCTTAAAACTCCTCACAGGGTCTTTAAGTTTTAAGTTTAATCTAAAAAAACTAGGGTACCTGATCTTCCTCCTTCCTCCACACTGATGCTGTCCCCCTCCTCTCCTCCCACGCTCTCCTTCTGCTTCTGCGGGACGCGGCTCCTCTTCATAGGCAGTGGAGGCGCCTGTTCCCCCCCGATCTCCAGCTGCAGACTGATCCTTCTCGGTTTGGGCTTTATCGATGGCGGCCTTTTGAAGCGCCCACTCCTCTTAACCTCTGTCGTACCATTGGTGGGATGTTCTCTGGCTTCAACAGACTCCTGTTTGGTAAACTTGTCCACGATCCTCTTGACATTCCCTCCAGAGAGGCTGGAGCTGCTGCTGCTGCTCCTCACTCCCTGAGGGGGGGAGCTCGGCTGTGTGGATGGTTTCGGGGGGATCTCTGGTCTGGGTTTGGGCTCATGTTTGAGGGGTAGAGGGGACAGGGGCCGCTGAGGGGGTTCCTGGAGAGACATGTTGACTGGAATTCTTCTTGACCAATTAGAGGTCAGGAAAAGGTGAGCGTTTCATCATCACCTGATGAGTAAAGGGAAACAGAAATTCATTATCAGAGCAGCACATATGTCAGTCATAATTCATACATGAAGAAAAATCAATGCAGCTGAACTGGAGAACAAGTTTTTTTAGTCAAACCTGATGCCTACAATACCCACAATGCAGCATTAAAAGTAGGGCTGGGCGATATGGCTTCAAATCAACATCACGATACATTGAGCAGTTCACCCAGATAACGATAAATGGACGATGGGGTGGAGTCAGTCGGGCCCTACCAAATATGTTGACATGGGTAAAATGACATTGGTTATTGTCTTAAATTTCGGTACCGGTAAATATTTCTGTTTATTGCCCAGCCCTAATTAAAAGGATAGAAAACTCCTGACTGGAGCTTTAAGTATTTTAGGCTCTAACACAGTGTTATAGTCTCATATGTTTGTCTTTTATATAATACTGTATGTTCTATCACTGCTACAGTTCAAACATGAGGATTACGTCGACTCTGCTTATTTTTTTGTCTCTCTTGAATTTGTTTTTCAGCCTCGAAGTGCTTTTATGAGCAGCTTTGACAGCCGGGATAAAACACATCACTTCAGACGATTTATTTCCATGTATTCCTAAAAGACTTCATACTACTATTTTTACATGTGAAGCCACAATCTGAGATTCGTTGACAGGCTTTCTTGTGATTATCTTTGCAGTTCTTTTTTAACAACTTCGAAGAAGGCTGTTGTTCTAGATCAGGACATCTGGAGTCCTAAAAGACCTGAGATTTTTCAGACCTCCACCTCAGGCCACGTACATAACGTCATAACCAGAGCATGTTTGGAGTCACAAGATGAAAGTGCTTTATTTCATTTACTTCTTAGAGGTTTTATACCCGCACTAAAAGGGGGGAATGTAGAAGAAAACCAGGCTGTGCTCAGCAGGGTTAGCTGTTCTCTGTGACCCCTTTAAAAAGCCATGGTTAGGTGTAATAACAGTGATCTTCTGCGGCTGAAATAAACATTCACTCTGGGCTGTAAACACTTGAGTTGTTCCATTACAGTAAAATCCTTAACCCAGACTACGAGGCCGGTGCGCTACAGATTTCCCATTGAAGTGAAGTATCATGTGAATGACCTTTGTACCGTGAGAGACCAATCATATAGAGGCAGAGCACATTCCTAAGAGTGTTTACAAGATGATGAACAGACGGTAAATAAAGCTACGGCTCCTGATCATTGATTTTTCCAGAGTAGAGCTCCCTTAAGTCTAGGCACAAATACAGATAGACAAGTAGTGCTAAAAAGACTTTTATTTTGAAAATTCAAAGCTTGAATGGCTGATATGTGTCAGCAAAAACTGAACATGGAGGCAGAATTCAACCAGAATTCAAAGATATAATATCAAACTCTTCCACTTTAGAAAACATTTTAAAGATTCTTTCTGTCAGATTTTATAGGAAACAAAGAAGTAGCTACATAAATGGTTAATTAATGTTTGAACCAGTGTACACAACCATCATATTATTAATGGCAAAGTGGCTTAATTCAATTAATCGTTAACCACTGTTTCAACACAAGCGTAGGCCTACAGTCATAATCACTCCTTCCTGTACACTGCTGCTCAGGCCGGTTGACCTTAAATAAGAACACTGCCAAACTTTTTACAGTAAACTCTTAATTAGGATTAAACAGCCAAACAATAAACCCAGAAATATATATATATTTTTTTTTTGTCAAGAAGCCTGCACACGTTTGCTCCTCCGCTTAAACTTCACTCATTCAGAGCACAGACAAATCTCCTTTTTCAAGACTCTGCAGTCAGTCGTTGAGCTGAGGCGCTCAAACGTGGCAGCAGCTTCTGTCTGCTCTTAGAGCTTCTAAAAAAAGAAACATGATGACCATAATAAGAAATTCAATTTCCATTCTGGTCGACCAAATGCTCATGCTGCAGATTCTCATAGCTGTGTTTTTGTCTGATGTGTGTGTAACAGCTGATGCAAAGCCACACCAGACCGAACCGAGGTTAGTCATCCTCTGACTGAGTCATGCAGGAGAAGATGTCACTACACTCTGTAAGTCTTTGATCGATGGAGTTCATCTACAGCTGCGATGGTTACATGGGCAACAGATGTACTGATAATGTCTTCTAGTACCTGATTAATCACTAAGTATGTCTACAGCTTTAAATAAAGAATATTGATTAAATGTTTGATTATATGACAGAGGATGATTTTTGAGATTTGTAGTTGAATCATAATATTAGGAGAGTCAAGTTTGAATTTTACAAGAATAACAATAAGGAGAAGTTGCACATAGAGATAAAAGCTGCTTTTTTTTTTAGTCATGATCATATGAGAATAGAGTTGTAATTCAAAGAAGAGGACTAACTTCAGGCTGTGGTTATTCTATATGTGGGTGATATCAGAGCAGCCCTCCGCCTGCACTCAAATGACGTCCGCGAATCATTTTGTAAAGTTATACTCAACAGCTGAAGACAACAGCACAGCAGTGTCCGCAGGCTTCCTGCTGGTCTGTCCTTCTTCGTGGTGGACTCTGTTTTTGCACGATCGTTTCAGAACCCTGATGCCTGTGAGAATGTGGTGCTAATGTGCTTAAAGACTTTCAAAGAACTTAAAGCTCTTGAGAAACTTATGGTTTGTGTCCATTTTGGTGCCCTCTGTGGACAAAGCAGTCCTTGCTAATCAGTGTCCTGATTAGCAATCTTATCTTGCTGACTTCTGCCAGTAAATGTTTCATTTAGTGTGAATGTTTAGGAGTGCTTCTTAAGCAGGTCGGTTGACACCTACCCCCCTCATGCTGGTTTCAGGCATTTAAAATATGGATATAAAAGTCAACAGTCATGTCACTGATGGTCTGGTTTGCTTCTGGGTGTCATAAAAAGGCATTTATATGAATTTCAGCCTATTTCAGAAAAGTCAAAAAAACTTCTCATAGGAGCTTTAAATATAACAACAAGAAACTCCATGTTGTATATTCTGGTTCTGATAGTTGCTGCTCCTAATAAAAAGGACAAATCAAAGTCTAAACTTTATCTTCTCTAATCCAAATTTGACCTCATTCTCGTAATATTACATCCTTGTTCTTGTAAATGTACACCCTTAGTCCTGAAATCTCAAGGTTTCTTTTCTGTAAAGTGGCCCTCATTCTCTATGAAGATTAATCCATTATAAAAGTAAAGACAAAACAGATTAAATCATATTGGCCTGTTAGAATTTAATATCTTTGTTTTGACACATCTGGAAAAATGTTATGGTTACTTTGGATTAATGGTTGCAGTCTCAATTTGCACAGGATTAAGACTATAACTGTAAAATTGTGCAGAGTTGAATGTAAGATGATCAAATTACAGCCTTTAATAATATCATGTTCTGCTCTCTGCACAGCCCCTGTAGTCCCAGGTGATCATTTTTAACTTGTTTGCACAAGTTCATTATCTCCTGCACACTCGTGGGAACAATCATCTTATGGGAACAAGTTATTATGGGAGCCTGAACTATACTACTGACACGATATAAGGGTAAAGGGTGTTAAAATACATGAAATAAACCAGATTAATTTATCAGGACAATGATAAATGATTTAATAATATTCATATTAAAGCTCCAATGAGGATTTTTTTCCATAGTGCTAATTCTGTACAGGAAGCTATCCAGAACGTGCAAGTTGCTTTTAGTACTTTTCAAGATGCTCTTCTCAACCTCAGGCTGCTTTTAAATGGCAGGAAAGCAAAGTAAATGGTATTCCCTTGAGCAAAGAATATTGATTTTAAAAATATGTACATTTATGCTTTTAATGGGTTTAAAATAGCGAGTGACTGAGTTTAAATATCTTGGCATACCGCTCAAAAACCCCCAGTGTCCACTATCTTTGGCAGAAGACACTTTAATAAGAAATTAAGTTATAAATAATGAATAAATTTTAAATGCAGTGAGGGTGTCTTTGTCTATCTGTGACAAATTCTGTAAGAGTTAAGGGTCATATTGTTTATCTAGAGGCCGGTCCATCATGTAAAGTGCAAGTAATTTAACATGGAGTCAAGACAACAATTCAAAGAAATGGGTCAACAGCAGCAGGTAAACAAAAGCATCACACACACACTACAATACACTATTTTTGAGCTCTTGAGTCGTCTTTTACATGCAGCTTAGAGAGTCAACAACCACTGGCTGTTTGTAACTAAGGAAAGCACACCAGCTCGTCCGACCAGTTTGGAAGGGCTTTGCACGCTGCACAGTCAGAGAGGTTTATAATAAAGAGACAGACGTTCAGAAATTCAGACAGGAACTGAACGAGCACAGGAGGAATTAACAGCATGAAAACAACAGGACGATTATCTAAATTAAAAGAGAATTTCAGACTACCCTTTGTTGGTTTGTTTTACAGCCTCACACACAACAGGAGATATGACGCCATGGAGGTGTGTACATGTGTGGGTGGATTAGGGTCTCTCTGGTTTCAGTTTTGGCCCTCTGGCTGTTATCATTGTCCAAAGGGTGACATAAAAACCTCAAACAGAAAGACACATTTGCTCTCTAAGCACACACATATAGACACGTTTTGAAAGAGTGCAAAGACACTAATAGACTGAACGAGAGGTCAGACTTTACTTTCCTTCAATCAGCCCACCCATCAGACTTCATTCATCTTTTGTCCTGCTTTGCTCTATTGACCTGGTTTGTTCAATAGCTACATCTCAAAGTCTAGTGGACCCTTACACACCCCGACCGGGTCAGTGGGACACTCATTGATTCCACTGAGAGTATTTATCCTGGTACAGCCAATACATATCAGATATGGTGTGATCCCAAAATCAGACCAGCATGAGAACAATCCTTAAGTGCTGAAAGGGGGTGTCCATTAACACAATGCTTTGTGTGTGAGTGTGAGAGTGTGTGTACAGTAGACCATCTGCTCCCGAGACTAATGGGTCAGTGTGTGTATGAGTGTAAATAAAAAGGGTAGGGGGGCTTTAAGAGTCTAACCATTACATTACATGTGATGTGTATGGAAGCTCCACGTTGGACAGGAAGAGAGGACGGAAAAGGTGTGTCGGAAAGGAGAACACAAACACAGACACACACCACAACACACAAACTGAGAGTGGGAATTTAGGGAAGAGGAATAAATACAGAAATAAATTAAAATGTATGTTAATGCAGCTTAAGTCTTTTTAAATGGCAGATATATAAATATTACAGTCCAGTAAATAAAATAAATCTACGTTAAGTGATGCGAAATGCACTGAACAGGGTAAATATAAATTACCGTAAATTCTACTGTACGCTATCTATAAAACGTTTAAAGTGAGGTTTGATTATGTTGTGTTACATGTACCCTCCAAAGGACCAATTCTGTTACACACCTGGTTTACAAAGCCTATATTAAGATACCCAACTGCAAGATTTAATATGGGTAAGCAGCATAAGTCTAATTAATCCTTATTAAAAAGGCCAATGACAATATTTCTTGGACTAAATAAGACACATTTTCAAACATTACGGCGGTTTTCTGTTAAAGGGGACAGGTGCCGAACCGGCTAAACCGTCAAAACTCAACCAAACCGCACCTGCTTGTCTACAACTAATGAACTTAACTCACTTTTAACACAAATAAAAGAAAAATAAAACTCACCATATTACACGAACACGTCTATTTCTTGCTCTTCTGGCATTCGGCTTCAATGTTGACAGTCCAATGCAGTTTAGCTTCAGCAAGAGAGAAAAGGGGTTGAGGTTCAAACAGCTCCGGAGTGCAGCTACTTCAGTGTGTCTCCAACTTGACAAACTTGAGGAAAAAACGTTGATTAAATGTAGAGTTTAAAAAGAAAATATCCACAATGTTCATGAGAACTGGCTCAGTTTGTTACTGTTTCTCTGACAGGCTTGCTGTGTGAGGAACCATCATCCCTCTGTTGTTGTCTCCTTTGTTAAGCGGCGTGTGTATGAGAGGAGAAGACGGGAGGCAGGAGAGACACAACCCCCCTGAGGACAAAAATCAAGACACCGACAATGAGCTGTGAGGAGTTTCCTGTTAGGAACTTCAAAATAAAACTAGAGGCGACTTAAAGGAAGCGTTAGAGCTTTAAGGGATATTCCGGCGTAAAACTAAGCTAGGGCCAAACACACCGTAACACCGAGTAAGACACCCCCCCTCGAGAGAGAGATGAATGTTGCCGACCGCTTGCTTCTTTAGTTATACCAACTTTAGTAACGACCACACAATAGCAATACACAGTGGTCTCAGGAGCAACACACAAACCTCAACCAAAACACCACTCTAGTTCTTCTGCCTTAGTGTCTCGGCCTGATTGCATTTCCATGAAGAAATGATCATAAATGTTCTTCCTTGAGCCTGGAGTGGCCTGAGGTCTCATTACAAACAAGCGGCTGCTGGAAGAGAGTGGGTGAGTTATGTTTAGTCCCTTTGCTAAAAAAAATTAGGCAAAGCTAAAAAGATGTTTGGTGGCTAGCGCTATGGCTGGGACCCTATATGTACTGCTGATGAAGTTAGGTGCTGTTCTGAGCATTATTTGTGCCAATAGAGTGGCGTTTTGGTTGAGCGCGTGGCTCTCTGTATTGCTATTGTGCGGTCGTTGCTAAAGTTGGTATAATTAGAAAAGCAAGCAGTCGGCAACATTTATCTCTCAAGGGGGTGTCTAACCCTGTGTTACCGTGTATTTGACCCTAAATTAATTTCACGATGAAATATCCCTTTCATCCGTGGGCTGTTTATTCATACTTTAATAGTCTTTTTCACCTAAAAGATCGACATTCAGAATTCTCAGAACGTGTTGTATAATTTGAGTTTAACTAGTTCAACTAACATGTATGAACGTTTGTTTTAGTTTAGTGCTTTTATGTTGAAGGTCAACAATACACTTCCGCTTTTTCCTCGCCGTTTCTTATTCGCTTTACACATTTGTAGTCCTTCCTTTAAATCACAGCCCAGAAAATATAACAGAAGTACCATTTCCTGTAATAGTTATGTTATTTGATAGCTCACAGAAAAAGTCTGTAACTACTGTAATATTGTTCCTGTTTAAGCTCTGCGGCTGAATAAATAAATTATTAACTAATTTTTATGACGAGACCGTCCATTGAGAGAATGACCTCATCGGTTTTCTCATCACTTTATGCATCGTAACACCTCCTCCTCTGTATGGCACATAAAGTCAGACTATGACAGGTGCACAGAAGGAGGTACTTGGTTTCTGCGTCCCTCCCCTTTGTTTTCACTCCTGTACCTTACTTCCATCTAGCGCCTCATTGCAGGAGAGACAGAAGGGGTAGACCTACCTTAACACTTGTAAAATAATCAAATAGTGAAATGAAAAGTAAAAAAAGAGGAAGCACTAACAGGCAGTCCTGTGGTGATATGGTTAAGACTGCTGACTGTGGTTGTGATAGACAAACCACAGTCTAGTAAGAGAAAAGTGAGCCACTCATAAGATCACCTTTCATTAGTGACCGTATTTGTGGATAAATGCTGGGCATACAGGCGACGTTTGAATGAACAATAATTGGATTACAGCGCCCTCTACTGTGTGTGTGAGGGCTCTACTTCATTTCGCAGTCAGTTAATTAAAGACTTAAGTAATCAAAAAACAGGACAAACCCACTTACTGTAACTTTTTTCCCCAAAGTTTATTTGAATTAACAATATGTTATACATTTCAATTGCCTTCACTCGAAACAGCACAAACACATAACAAATTAACAAGGTAAAAAAATATATAAAATAAAATTTAAAAAGTTAATAACAGGGGGTGACATTTCAACAAAAAATGCTTTAAGCGTGTTAAAGAAATAGGATTAAATTTAAAGAACAAGAGACTCTGACTCATTGTCTGATAAAGTTCATTCATAGACTGATTTTCTTCTGACAACACACTTAAGGATGTTGTATAGTTTTTAATTTTATTCTTATTGTGGGTTTGCTGCTGTTCCATTTATTCTTGTGTATATGACATTTCCCCATCATGAAAATAATGTTTACCATTTTGGATACCTTTTTTTGGACAGACCATTCATATAGATCAACACTTAAACTTTGTTAAACAGAGAATCATTATCCCAATATTTAACCATCGATAAACATCCTTCCAAAACATCATTATGACCGAATGACAGAAGAATAGGTGTTCAATTGTTTCGTGTTCTGTCATACAAAAAATACATGGATTAACTTCAAAATTAAACCATTTTCTTAGAGTTTCAGCAGCAGGATAAATATTGTTTATCAACTTGAACTTAATTTCTTTTACCTTGAGTGAAACTGGCCATTCAAGATAGCGACAACTCACTCTAACTCCTACTCGCACAGGAGTCCGAGTGTTTAACGTACTCACTGATCACAGTTTTCCCTCCCTGCATAACCCATCTCTCTTCCCTCTCATGGATTAAATTTTTTTTTCTTCTTCTAGTGTACTGCTCCTTCTCCTTCCTCTCCTCGCCTCAGTTTTGCACTTTTACTGAGGGGGATTAAGATTCAGGACCATTTCACTCAAAAGTGGCAGTAAATACAACTTTCTATATTACAATTTTTCAATTACAGTTGTGTTTTTAATTGTATTTATAACATGATTTACAATTTTTTTTACAATAACCATAACCTATAAGTGGTAAATAGATAGTTCATTAATGTTTAATGATCATTTAAAATCAGCATATAGACCAATTAACAATGGCAAATAAATAGTTTATTAATGTAAGTTAATACTTACTTTACCATAACCAAGCAATGAAATTATGATGAATAATTTTCATTGATTATGACTGGACTATTTATTAAAGGTTTATATAAGGTTTAAATATTGGTTGTAAAATTTCTAGATTAAAATGTGTGTCAGTAGCACTTTGTAAATCGTTGATATCTGTTTTTTAAACCATCTCTAAACATTTTGATTTGATTTGATTTATTTGGGAAATTATGTACAAAAAATATCAAATATCTAATAAAAACATTTACTTTTTTGACCGGCTGTTGGTGACCCACCCAGAACGTGTCCGTGACCCACTTTTGGGTCGGGACCCACCAGTTGAAAACCACTGACTTAGAGGTTATTGTAAAGTTAGGGTTACGGTTAAGATTAGGTTTTCAAAATTGTAAAATTTACAATTTATTAATGGTCTATTTGCTATTTATTAATGATGATTAAACATTAATACTCTATCTGCTTACTATTTATAATTTATGGTGATTGTAAAGTGTTCCTCCACCATTTCAACTTGATGTGAACATTTCTACTCCGAAAACGAGTCATGTCCGCTGACTCCTTTCGAGCATACGTACCATTATGAATGAGAAGTAGACCCGGTCTGCTTGATGGACGTGTGACATTGTCCGGGCAGATGACTTCCTTACAATCTTCCACCTGAAGGTTACCAAACAGGAAACCAAGCAGGGCGTTTAACCACTGAATATGATGGTAGAGTGGGATTAAAAGGATCAAATTTACACGGATCTATTTAACGTGGATGCTCCTGTTGCGCATAGATACTGCGGCATTTCCTTTATACTTAGTGAGTCGCAGTGCATGCATGTATACCTCCGCCGGCAGAGGAAATGCTCCTAGACCAATCACATCTGTGTTTACACCATCACCTGTCAAACAGACACCTTCTGCTACATTTTCTCTCTGAAAGGTAGGCTTTCTACGTTTATTTATCCTCGCCTTTGTTTCTGTATATGAACAGCGTGGATGCCGCCTCAGTGGAGGTAAAGCTGCATTAAAAAAGCCGGTTCGACGATGAGGAGAAGCAGCCAGGGTTAGTGAGGTTAGCGCCCCCGGAGCCTGCGATCAGGAGCTGGTTATCTGCCCGTCTGGCTCGCTTTTTTAGCCGATTATCAGTCCTTGCGCCTTATCATCCCCCGGCTGAGGTCGGAGCACAGCACTGTTGTTAGCTCGGCAAAGCATGCTAAAATCCTCCGCTACATTTGTCCGCCTGCGTTAGCAGAGGTTAACTTAGCCTCGAAGCTAACATGAGCAACCATGCAGCTCATCCTGAAGCTAGCAGAGGAGAGATGCGATTAGCGGAATGTGAGCTAGCAGGATGGATTAATCTCTCAGACAATATTCCTCATTTATATTCAGAGATTTGGTCACACTGCGAAAGTCTAAGCCAGATATGATGCAAACTTAGCATTTATGTGTATTAAGAGTTATAACAGCGTTATTTGTTTTCTCCCTTTCTTTCTATTTTCCACACTTTATCGCATTTAGTCGTTAGCAAAATAACACTATGGTAGCAGGTGATCATCTGCGAAGGCTGGACAGATTATTACTGAATGGAACATTTTTAGAATAGTAAAATATGAAGACCAGCGTTAAAAAATGTACATCATTATTGTAAGCAAGAGCGAGATTAATAAATCTGATATAACATACGCCTTACACCGACCGGCTAGGATATTATGAAAACCTGGACTGTGTAATGCAACTCAATACAACAGCTTTTACAGAGCTTTGATTTTTGATATTTAATATTTAAATTGGAATGGTCAGGCAGGTAAAAACAGCATTTTACAATAATACCTTTTATAATAATAATAAATTCAAAGCATAATAATAACCAGCCAACAAAAGCTGAAAGTTTGAAAGCTCCCTTAAAGTAACATTTGTGTTTGGTCTGTTGTATATTAAACTGCACGTGTTGATAACATTGGGGCTGGAATGATTTGTCTCAGTTCATCCAAAATTGTGGACAAAAGCGTCTGCTAAATGACATTGTAACTATCTTACACAACATATATTACACATACACTATTACTAATGTGATCTGTGGTGATAAGATTGCACTTTTTTAACATATCAGGGTCTTAACTTTGCAAAATGACTATAGCTGTCAAATAAATATAGGTTTAGATGAAGAAAAAAATAAACATTTTTGCAGTGAAGTAAAATCTATATAACTTTGAAGCTGAATGACTGGACACAAACTACACTGAGCTTTGCTTCATTATTAAGCTCAAATATATATAAATTTTATCAAATGGGTTGCTGTGAGAAAAAACAGATTTCAGGGACATTTTTGAGGATGAAAACTTGACACTTAGAGGGTCTGGTTAGCAAGCATTTTGTTCTTGAAGACCACCGTAGCTTCAGCTATGGAAGGAGTGAGCATGAGAGCGTTTTGATCTGGCACATAGACTGTATATAGAATGGACAGCGTCCGCCTCCTCAATGGGTGAAGCCACTCTGAGAACAGCACCCTCTGTTGATGTGCTGCAGTACAGGTCATAAATTACGCATCCGCCAGCAAAGCTTATGGAGCTGTGGACAAACTTTAGAAATTTATTACACAGAATATACATTTTTCTCCCCCCTGCTTGCGATGTTGACAGGTAGTTAGAGTAAGACTGGTTTGTGCTCAAGTCCTCTTTTTTTCTGTGACGCTCCGTTTTTAAAAGTTATTAGGGGGGTTTCATGTTTCTATGATTAACACTTGATACAGCCTATGGGCGTTCAAGGATTGCGTAGCTCACCCGGGGATACACTGTTTGAGTCGAGCGTCATCACAGCGGCTCTTGGTGACTCTCCCAAGAGTATGCGTACAATGCTCGTGCGCAATGCTCGTTTCAGGAAACGAAGAAAAATCGCTTAAATACCAAGAGCTTTTTGGGTTCAAATCTGTATCCTGGCGGTAGGCGGAACCAAGTTGTCCATAGTATATACAATCTATGATCTGGCAACTGACTGCTAGATATTCCCGTTTCTAAATCCTGTAAAGCTCCTTTGAGGAACTGTGCTTTAATGCTGGCGCCCCCTGTGGCCAGAGTGGTACCTGTTTTTTAATTTCTTTGGACTTCATATCCAACCAGCAACTGAAAAATGTTAGCTTTGAGGTTGTTAAATTCAGCGGTTGTGTTGTTTTGCAGCTTGTTGTGTCATTTTCTTGAGCTGTGTGATACATTTACTCTGTGAAATCGTATTAAAATCATGTTCGTCAAGTGTTCAACATGTTTGTGCATCATTTCACGCTATTTTGAAGATGCTTTGCAGCACAGAATGAGTTGTTGTTGTCTGATTGAGCTGCTGTGGTGTTTAGTTTCTCCTGTTGATGAACAAGAAGCTGAAAAGATAGGAGCGTTGTTTCTACCACGAGTGCTGTAGTTTTCTGGTTACCTTTGTGCTTGATTATTTCAGCTGTTTGAAAGTAAAAAAGTGTAAAAGCAGGGTCAGGCAGAGAGAGTCGGAGAAGGAAAAGAAAGGAGGAGGGGTGAATCACATTCAGACAGTGTAAGGTGCGGTGCAGTGCAGTGTGGGTGTTTACAGTATTAACCCAGCCTCTGTGCTCTACAGCTTTTTGATTTACAGTGTTTACTCTCAGTCTCTTACTTTATTTCCTCAGGAGCTGAAACACACACTCACACTGAAGCGCCTACGGTAGCCGCTAACTGGACGGACTCTCTGGCAATTGACCTTTTGCAGGTAAGCCTGGACTCACTTTGAGCAGTAAAGGTATAGTGCGCCACTTCATCCACAACTTTCTAAACTTGGCATTACTTCCCCAAAGACTTTCTTCCTCCTCCTCTTTTTTGGAGCTACTTTTCTTAAAATGTAAAAGCAGGTTTTGGAACGATTTTACCAGCTGGAGCAGTTCAAGTGTCAGCTTTGATTTAAAACACACTGGGGGGGAAAGTTTCATGTCTGAGATCTTCTGTAATGAAACAAAGTCAGTGTTGTGTCGGGCCTCTAGCATCCACACAGTGAGGAGCCTGTTTATGAGCGAGAGCAACAACCTGATACCCCGCTTCAACAGTTAATTATGAAACCATTTTACGATGCTTTTCGAATTGTGAGCTATTTTAGCATCCTAATGATTTTATTTTAGTGCTGCACCAGCAGTTAGTCGCCATAAAAAATCCAATTTCCTCCCTTAATCACTCGCTCCTCTGTTTTTCAACAAAACATGCTCAGTCAGGGGAGCAGTGCGAGGATTTTCAAAAATGCTTAGGGACGATCCTGTGATTCAGTATCACAAGGAATGTCAGCAGCAGCAGTTGTTGTTTTTAGTCCCGCACAGCTCCGAGTGTGTGACTTGTTATAACCCCGTCCCCGAGGCTCTGTGGCACCCTGTGTTTGTCTGAGGCAGCTCAGTGTTAATTGGAGCATCTCAGGTGTAACTTGCAGCACGGGTGCGATGCAGCGAAACCACAGAGCCAGCAGTTAATCTTCAGGGGCTTGTGGGGAGAAAATATACAACAGTGCATCGAGGGACAGAAGGTAGAAAAGTTTCTGGTAACCTTCGTCTGCCTGAGTGTGTCAAATCTTCATCTGGACACCAGAAATGATTCCTCTCCTGTCGTCATAAAGTTTTATTCATCTGTCCTTTTTTTTTGTCCTGTCAGTGGAATAGCGGAATAAGTCTTGAACCATGAGCTCAGTGGCAGTGTTGACCCCGGAGAGCTTTGCGGAGCATCGCAGTGGCCTGAAGGACCAGGAGATTACAGGTAACATCTGCACGTCATCCACTTACCCGAGTTCTTTTTCATTGGACGGGTTTCACCTCAGTGGCCCAAGCTAGTTTGTCATGGAGAGGCCCAAGGGGGTCAGGTTAACCAGACCAGGTTTCCTCTCTCCTGTCTCAGTCGTGCATTTTGGGTTTCTGTCATTCCAAAAACATCCCAAAGATGATCTCATTTTGTGCTGAATGTGCCCGTTTTCCACAATTTAAGATGAAAACACAAAATTGAATTTGTTTGAGGCCATGAAATTATTTTGACCTTAATTTGAACCCGCCTCTTCTATCCATCCTCGCATGCACACCATGTTTTTTCTGCCTCCCTCCTTGTCTCATTTGCCTTCGTCCCTCTGGTCCAGGTTGTGTCCCCGAGGATGAAGCCTACATCCCCACCTACCTGGAGGCCTTCCCTCCTCTCCCTGAGAAGGGGGCACCGGGGGACAAGGCAGGGGAGCCGGCTCCAGCATGGGGGAGTAAGATCAGGCCCATCAAAGCCTCTGTCATCACCCAGGTCAGAAAACTGAACACACACTTGGACTTTTACATCCTGACATGCACGGGGATGACTTTACTGCAGACTGAATGAAAATAAGCAAATGAGAGGTGTGGCTTGAAATCCGAACCCTCTCCTGTGTGTACTTGTAGGTGTTCCACGTGCCCCTGGAGGAGCGTCGCTACAAGGACAACAGCCAGTTTGGGGAGGGCGAGGAGGCGAAGGTGTGCCTGGACATTATGCAGAGGACTGGGGCCCACATTGAGCTGTCCCTGGCTAAAGACCAAGGCCTGTCCATCATGGTCACCGGCAAACTGGACTCTGTGATGAAGGCTCGCAAGGAGATCGTGGCACGGCTGCAGACGCAGGTAAAATCAGTGTCACCCTTTTATAGCTGTGGGATGACGCGTAACTGATGTTGACCAAAGTGCTCGTTAGAAGGAGTTTTGGCTGGGGAAAAGACGGAAACTGATGATTAAGCATTTGATAAAAACTAACAAGATTGTAAGGACATGAAAATGGGTTTGACAGCATGTAGACATGGCGATATGTCGCTGATCTCATTGCTGATCTTCACAACATTTGGTCAGAGAAACACAGCGAGAGCTTGAAAATCCTCTCTGTGCAGGCTGGCTGTTTTGGGACAAAAAGTTGAGCTGAAAAAATGACCGTCAGCTCCCCGAGGGCGGGAGCTCAGCAGCAAACATGCTGATTTCCACTTCAGTGGGTGCACTAAGGTTCACCTGTACAGCTGAGCTGCAGTTATTGATACAATAATGCAGAAGAACTCTGTGTCCTCTCCTCTCTCTGAAGGACGAACACTTTTGTTGTATTTTTTATTGTTGTTTATCCGCAGAAACTCGTATATCTTCTTATGACTGTCAGTTTTATGTTGAGATGTGTCCTTGTTGAGCTGGAAAATAATCTGATGGTGTAAAACTGTGGAAACTGAAGCTGCTCCTTTAACAATCATGGATCCATGTGGATCTGTCCAAACCTCAACCCCTAATAGAAGTCCGTGTAATGCTAATAAACCGAGCTCGGCCAAAGTTTTCAGCTTTTCCTCTCTCCTAAAACTCTACCCCTCTCACCCAGGCTTCAGCTACGGTTGCCATCCCCAAGGAGCACCATCGTTTTGTCATCGGTAAGAACGGCGAGAAGCTGCAGGAGCTGGAGCTGAAGACCGCCACCAAGATTGCTATTCCGCGACCCGACGACCCAAGCGCTAATATCCGCATCACCGGCACGAAGGAGGGCATCGAGAAGGCTCGTCATGAGATCCTTCTGATCTCTGCTGAACAGGTAAGGCTTGGATTTTTTTTTGTATTGTTGATTCCTTAACCATCGCAGCCATCCTCAATCACTCAGAAGTTAACCAATAATGTATTCGCCTCCAGGACAAGCGTGCCGTTGAGCGTCTCTCCTTGGAGAAAGCCTTCCACCCCTTTATTGCCGGCGCCCACAACCGCCTGGTGCAGGAGCTGAGTCAAGAGACGGGCGCCCGCATCAGCATCCCACCACCAAGCCTGCCCAAGGATGAGATTGTTATCACAGGGGAGAAGGAGGCTGTCGCTATGGCACTCAACCGTATCCGGGCTATCTACGATGACAAGGTGATGTTCCAAAAATCTCTAAAACCATTCATTTTTTAAAACTTCTTGTTTATCTCACATCGGCGTCCTGAGAACCATCATTCCAGCAGTTTTGTGCCTCTGCCTGAAACACTTTTTGTTTTGGCTGCTTTTTCAGGAATAAGAAGTTTGACATGGCTCATCGGGTGTTACTTTTTACACAGTCATGTAGTCATGAAACAGCCTGAAAGTTATACCTGTACAGAAAATGTCTTCGGCTCACAGTTAGCCCCTCAGCAGCAAAAAGTTCCACCCTTTTCGGCAAAAATGAACTGTTAAAAGTTAAGAAAATATCAGTATCTCATAACTAGGGTGAAAAAACTAAATCAGAAGAAACTCTGATTTGATCACAGACAACAAAACCGACTACTTTTGGTTTCTTTGATTTTGAACATTTTGTGAATTTGCTCCCAGTTGGTAAAACTCGACTTTTTCACCTCAGTTTGTAGAAAAGAGGTTTTATCGTCCCTGTAAACAGAGCTGTCTGTGAAACTTCTGCTGCACACGAATTTGAATTCTCGATGCGCGTGAACAACAAAAGACTGATGGATGAAAGATGGAGAGGAAGAGTGTCTCTGCCTGTGTTTACCAGATGAAGATGGTGATAGGCAGGCCGGAGGTAACGTGGCAGGAAAATTGGATTTCCCGAGAGAACAACAGGATGAGAATGCTAATGACATTTAGTGGAAGAGGCTGATTTTTTATTTTTCATTTGTGTTCTGTTGCTTTCACCTGATCCCTTTAAATCTCTTATTTTCTTTCCCTAAACTCATACCAGCTTTCATCTGCTTCTTAATTTTTGTTTCCTCAATTCTACTTTCATCATTGTTTCCAATTTTGCCCTGCAGAAAAGGAAGACGACCACCATCTCTGTGGAGGTCAAGAAGTCGCAGCATAAGTACATCATAGGACCAAAGGGGAACACCCTGCAGGAGATACTTGAGACCACAGGGGTGTCCGTGGAGATGCCTCCTCTGGACTCGGGCTCGGAGACTATCATCCTCAGGGGGGAGCCTGACAAGCTGGGGCCGGCACTCACACAGGTGTACGCGAAGGTAAGGAGGAAAAGGAGGATAAAGATTTTCTGAGTGAGGAGAACGTTTTTTGGGCCCTGAGGTGGCACTGCATTAAAAACAGATGCCTGACTCTGTAGTGGAAGTCACTACATGGGCTCAAAATCACTTCGGAGGTGTCTGTGAACGAGGTTTTGCAGCTGCATCCTCAAATGTTGGTTGAAATTGAACTATGAAAGGAGAAAATCTAAATCAAAAATCACAATAGACGCTTTTTTTGGAAATCATGAACATTACAACCTCAGCTCTAAAAAAGGGGAGGAGCCATAAGCATACTCAATACATCCAGGTGATCATACTAGTTAAAACTACTTATTTATGCTGTCTGTATCGCTCAGTCTGTTTTTTGTTGCTTGAACTTTTGCGTCTGTTGCAGGCCAAGAGTGTGATGGTGGTGGAGGTGACCGCTCCGGCTTGGCTGCATCGCTTCATCATCGGAAAGAAAGGACAGAACATCGGGCGGATCACACAGCAGCTGCCACGGGTAAGAGGAGAGAGAGAAAATCGCAGCAGCATCTCAGAGTCTCCTCGTGACTTGGGCTGAGATGTGACTTGTTTACTAACCAGCGAATCAGGAGAGGTCACAGTCAGATAGATCTTAATTAGTCTGTGTGTGTGTGTTCGTCTGTGTGTGTCTAGGTTCACATAGAGTTTACGGATGGTGAAGAGCGCATCAGTCTGGAGGGGCCGACAGAGGAGGTGGAGCAGGCTCAGGCCCAGATACAAGAGATCATCAAGGACCTGGTGAGTGCTTCCTATCTCTCAGTCACACACACACACCGTTAAATAGAGTCAATTAAGTTTCCTACAAACCGCAGAGTAAACTTTTCAAATAGTGGAGGATCTGGGATGAAATCAACGTCAAGTGTTAAATGTTTGTGTGCAGCTGGTGAGGATGGACTACACTGAGATCATCATCGATCAGCGTTTCCACAGACACCTCATAGGAAAGAACGGGGCAAACAGTGAGTACTAATGAACCTGTTTTTAAACTGGCTACAGCTTCAGTTTAAGACCTGGGGTTTGCGGTTTTTAATCCTTAAAGGATGAGGTTTAAAAAATGATAAAGATATCATTTTTAACTTTTTTGTCACTCATCCATCTCTCTTTGTCTTCAGTCAATCGGATTAAGGAGCAGTACAAAGTATCTGTAAGAATCCCTCAGGACTCTGAGCGGAGTGGCCTGGTTCGGATCGAAGGAGACCCTAAAGGAGTCCAGCTAGCGCGCAGAGAGCTCATTGAGATGGTTCAGAGGATGGTAAGGAACAGGTCGAAGGTTAAGTCGATTGTCCGCGCAGACTTTGTAGGTTTACCTTTTTTATTCTTATCCGCAGGAAAATGAGCGGACCAAAGATCTGATTGTGGAGCAGAAGTTTCACCGGACAATCATCGGCCAGAAAGGAGAGAAGATTAAAGAAGTTCGGGACAAGTTCCCTGAGGTTATCATTTTCTCCAGCCTGCACTAAAACACTTCCTCCTGTTCAAGTTTTTGAAAACGATAAGCTTTGATCTGACGAGTGTTATCTCATCTTTATTTTAGGTCATTATTAATTTCCCTGACCCAGCACAGAAGAGCGACATCGTCCAGCTGAGAGGACCGAAGAATGAGGTGGAGAAATGTGCAAAGTTCCTGCAGAAAATCATCGCTGACCTGGTTCGATCCGACATCTTATTTCATTCTCTCCTGATTCGTCTCTGTTCCTCTTTACCCCGACCTTACAGCTGCCTTCTCTCTCTTTCAGATCGAGAACAGCTTCTCGCTCTCTGTTCCTATCTTCAAGCAGTTTCACAAAAACATCATCGGGAAGGGGGGTGCTAACATCAAAAAGGCAGGCGTATTCACTCAGATACAATCTATTTTTTTAAGGTGATGTTGGGTTGAAAATACAAAATAACAGACGTTGTCAACACTTTCAGATCCGCGAGGAGACCAACACTAAGATCGACCTGCCGACGGAGAACAGTAACTCTGAGATGATTGTCATCACAGGCAAGAAAAGCAACTGTGAGGTGGCTAAAGACCGGATCCTCGCCATTCAGAGAGAGCTGGTGAGACGCAAAGCCTGCATTGTTTTTTTTGTACTCGCCTTCCTTTCTTTCCTCTTGACTAGGCGGCAGTTTTAAGAAAGAAATGAATGAGTTGTCATGAATCCTTTTACATTTGACAAAGAGAAGTGCATATTGTTGGTCTGATTGGATAAACTTTATTCAAGGTCCACTTACTGGCTTTTATTCTTCTTCTGTGAAAGAAATGGCTCTATTGTCATCATAGCTGTATCAAACAATGAGTAATCTCCATGGCAACCATTTGAGATGACCATGAGATGTGGTTGAATGCAACGTGTGGCTTAAATAATTCCGTTACAATCTGATTCATCTCCATGTTCCTCATTTTCCACCATCGACATCTTATTAAGGCAGAAATGGCCCTAAAAAAAACATGCTCTCATTAACTTTCAGAGTTTAAAGGTGCAGTCTGTGTTTTTTGGATCAGGTCAAAGATATAATACAGAGGCTCCCTGTTTCTCCTCCAGGCCAACATTAAAGAGGCAGAGGTCACTATCCCCGCCAAACTACACAACTCCCTGATCGGCTCTAAAGGCTGCTTGGTGCGGTCCATTATGGAGGACTGCGGCGGTGTCCACATCCATTTCCCCTCCGAGGGCTCTGGTTCAGACAAAGTAACCATCAGAGGGCCTGCAGGAGAGGTGGAGAAAGCAAAGAAACAGCTGCTGCAGCTGGCTGAAGAGAAGGTGACAACAAGAACAAGTCTTAAGAGCATTTAAAGATGACTTCAGCGATTACTTAACCCATGTCCTGTCTATTTGCCGTCTTTAGCAAGTCAACAACTTCACAGCCGAGCTCCAGGCAAAACCAGAGTATCATAAGTTCCTGATTGGCAGAGGCGGGGCCAACATTCGCCGTGTGCGGGACAGAACAGGGGCCCGAATTATCTTCCCGTCACCAGATGACACAGAACAGGAGCTGATCACCATCGTAGGGAAGGAGGAAGCCGTTCGTCAGGCTCAGAAGGAGCTGGAAAGTCTGGTCAAAAACCTGGTGAGCCAGATTCGCAAACTGTTGTGCAGTTATTTGTGGACCTCCTGAAAGTTTCTTTTGTATTTCACAAAAGTTTCTGAAGATTCTTGCTTAAGTTTTCCAGAATCTAACAAAAATCTGGATACTAGAAAATGCTTTTCAGGACTAACCGTACATCTTTTACTCCATCCATGACCCTCTTTAAGCTCCAATACCATGCCGCTTAATTCGGCCTTTCTCTTTTTGTTTTTTATCTTCGGTCTCCTTCTCCAGGACGACGTGGTTGAGGACAGCATGGTTGTAGATGTCCGTCACCATCGCCACTTTGTGTGTAGGAGAGGTCAGGTGCTGCGTGAGCTGGCTGAGGAGTACGGAGGAGTCGCTGTGAGCTTTCCTCGTACGGGAGCGAACAGCCAGCGGGTCACTCTGAAGGGAGCAAAGGATTGTGTGGAGGCGGCCAAGAAACGCATCCAGGAGATCATCGAGGACCTGGTAAGAACATCTTTCACTGTAAATTTCCTTTAAATCAGTGTTGTTTGTGTTCAGTGCCATTGTTACCCAGCAGTCCCCCATCTCTCCCCTCTCTCCTGGTAGGAGTCTCAGGTGAGCGTGGAGGTAGCAATCCCTCAGCGCTACCACCGAGCCATCATGGGGCCTAAAGGCTGCCGCATCCAACACATCACTAGGGAGCACGAGGTCCAGATCAAGTTTCCTGAGAGGGACGACAACGCTGCAGGTAGACACACAACACAACAAGTGTCCACATGATGTAACATGCTTTTATAGACTTATTATATGGATCCAACATCTGTGGTACAATTCCAGGTCAGGAAGGCCCTCCACACGAAAACGGGGATGTCAGCCCAGACGCAGAGTTTGTCCCCCGCAAATGTGACATCATCACCATCTCTGGGCGTGCAGAGAAGTGTGAGCTGGCTAAAATGGCCCTACTGGTAGGAGACACTTCACTTGAGTTACACACACACACACACACAGGGTGATGGGTTTTTTTCTCCTTTTTATTTAACACTGTTTCCTGTTTAAGGCACTGGTCCCCATAACAGAGGATGTGGAGGTGTCCTATGAGCTTCATCGCTACATCATCGGACAGAAAGGCAGCGGCATTCGGAAGATGATGGAGGAGTACGAGGTGAAGATGCTAACTGCTTCTATGCTGCCACCTTCTGGCTAAAAGGCAGAAACAAACAGTAGTTTAAAATAGACCTTGGTGTTGTAATATGGTTAATCTAATATTAGGGTGAAGAAGTGGAGTGTAAACAATTAGATCTCCTTAATTTGGTAGAATCCAAGATCTAATGCACTTTATCTCTTGTGTGCTGCAGGTGAACATCTGGGTACCACAGCCAGAAAAGCAGCTGGATGTGATCAAGGTGACAGGCCTGGCAGCTAATGTGGAGCGGGCCAAACAGGGTTTGCTGGAGCGGGTGAAAGAACTGCAGGCTGAGCAGGAGGATAGGGTGAGTCATTTTTACCGTAGATCTGTTACAGTCCTGAAGGAGCTGAAGGAGTTATCCAAGTAACCTGGACTTCATTTGAACCCTAAATGCAGTAATTTGTGCCAAAGGAGCCCCGACCAAGTACTGAGATCTCTGCTGTATTGTCTCTGTTTTAGGCTCTGCGCAGTTTCAAGGTAACCATGTCCGTAGATCCCAAGTTTCACCCCAAGATTATTGGACGAAAGGGAGCGGTCATCTCTCAGATCAGGAAAGACCATGATGTCAGCATCCAGTTCCCCGACAAAGGAGACGAGCAGCAGGTCTGTGTTTGAAACGCCAAGAAAGGATTTACTTACCCAGAAGTCAGCGCTGTTGAGTTACATATTTCCTCCTCCGTCCCCTCCTTCAGGATCTGATCGTGATTTCGGGGTACGAGCGCAACGTGGAGGAGGCGCGTCAGGCCATCCAGCAGCTGGTGGCTGAGCTGCAGGAGATGGTGAGCCAGGACGTTCATCTGGATCCAAGGACCCACGCTCGCATCATCGGAGCGCGAGGCAAAGCCATCCGCAAACTGATGGAGGAGTTCAAGGTCAGAAGTTCATGCTGACTATAGTTTTAGATTTGTGGTCCACCTGTTGGTTTTGATTTACCTTTAACGTGTTGTTGTTGTTTTTAGGTGGATATCCGGTTCCCTCAGCCAGGCTCAGACGAGCCCGACAAAGTGACGGTTACAGGTCTTCCAGAGACTGTAGATAACGCCATCGATCACCTCCTCAACCTGGAGGAGGAATATGTGAGTTCAGAGAGAAGGAAAAAACACTGAGGGTTCTTCAGTCCTCTTTTTTATTAAACTAATTTATCCCTTCAATGTTAATGCTTGAAAAAATGAGAGATTCAGAAAGTGAGATTGATTTCATGAGAATTGATTTGGCCTCCATCCTCTTTCAGATGCTCAGTGTGACAGAGACAGAGACCTTGGCGGCGTACATGAAGCCTCCATCTCGATACGGAGGAGGGGGCGGAGCTGGAGGACTGGATGATAGCAGTGGGGGACCAACGAAGGGCTTTGTGGTTAGGGACGCCCCCTGGAACGCAGCAGGGAACAAGGTCTGACGCCTCATTACTCACTTTAACTCCCATGAGTCCTTACTCTTGCACAGCCGGCCTCTGATACATTCCGTGTCTGTTTTCTTTTCAGGCTCCTGACATGAGCAGCGCCGAGGATTTCCCCACCTTTGGGACGGGCGTTGCGCCAAAGCAGGCATCTGCCTGGGGTCCAAAAAAATTCTGAAGCCGCTGAAATGAAGGAAAAACTAAACTCCTGTAAAGTAGATGATGAGAGATGAAACAGTTCTCAAATCAAATTGCTGCTCGCCTTTCTCCCTCCTCCTCTTCTCTCTAGTGACCTCCCTTTGTCTCTCTTCTCCTCCCAAAACCAGCCGCGATGAATTCTGGGAGAACAATCCCTTTTTTAAAATATCATCTGTCTCTCTTCTTAATCCCTCCTCCTCCTCCTCTTCCTCTTCCTCCGTTCCTGAGAGAAAAAAAGGAATATTTGAGTGCTCTCTTTGTAGTTTTGCTGTCCAGCTCTGCCTCTTGGTTGCACCAACACTCGCCGGTCCTGATGAAATATTTCAAAAACCGTCCGCCACCTCAGTCTGCAAAAATCTCCACGTAACAATCAAACTGTCACTTCACTCTGATACATTAGAACGTAGTGAGTCGTACAAGTAGAAACAGAGGAATTACCCAAGTACTGATGGGTAAAATCTGAATTTTAAGCTGTTAGAAGGGGATTTTATTGGCTCACCTTTCCAGTAATGTGTGGCAGCAGGTGAGGCAACGAGCCCTTTGTATGTGTGTGTGTGTGTGTGTGTGATGGTGGGTTCAGGGGAGTTTTTCTACCCACAATTGCTCGAAGAACTCCCCACTTTTATTTATATCGGAGCTGGGAGCAAAAACAGCTGCTGTAGTCGACTATGTGGACATTTTGATTTTTTAAAATGGTAATGAAACAAAAGAAATGGAAGTCTGTTTGTTTGTAATGAAGGTTGTTTTACTGTTTATTTATTTTGGGGGAAAAAAGGAGCCATTTTATTTGAACAACTGTGATCATGCGTTTTTATAAAAGCACCCACTGTAGCTTGATGCTTTACAACCTTCTGTTTGGGAGTGAATGCTGTACGTCAGGGTTTGGGCACATGTCAACAGTTGTTATGTGTAAGTGTACAAAGAACTTTTCGCTATTTTTTTAAAACTGTGTCGGATTCTTTTTTGTTGTCAGTGGTTTCTGGGATATTTGGAAGACTGTGTGCATGAATGTGTGCAGGTGGGAGGTCAGGTGTATGTTTGAATGATGCTGAAACAAACTTTTACATCATCTTTTTCCATTTGTCACCCTTTGATATACAATTTTAATTTTAACGTCCAACATTGACACAAAGCTGCGTAAAATCTGTCCTTCCCTCTTTAAGGTGCAGTGTGTAGTATTCAGCAACATTTAGTTGAACAGACTTGGTAACAAAGGGAATATATTATTTTTAAAGTAGCGTTTAATGACCTGAATATAACAACAATTTTGATTTTTTTTAACTTAGAATGAGCATTTTATACCTACATAGGAGCATCTTTTTCCACTGAGTGACTACACTAGCACAGAACGGACAAACTTAGTGAACGGGAGTGTAAAATGCACAGAGCAAAAGATAAAGAATATGGTAAAGGTTGCTGTGCACAAAAGACTTAACATTGATAGATGTTTCCATTGTATAAGTGTAATTGGAGGGTCAGAATTACCGAGCATCTTGGGAGCTTTTTGTCCTTGAAGGACACCATCTCTTCACCAGTGGGAGGGGAGCATTCCAAGCTAACTTTAAATATTGCTAAATATTCACATTTCATATTTAGTTTTTGCTACTGTAAGTGCTTTAAATGTACAAAGTAATAATTTTTACCAAATACCTGTTGCTGCTCTGCGGTATTCCCAGTTCTGAGGCTTAAATCCAGTTGCTCAACTGCAAATTTGTCCCAGATTTTAGCCATCTGAATTGAAACATGAACGAATAGTTAAACAATTAACAAAAGAACTACAACACATTTGAGTTTTAATGCTCTAACAAGTACCAGTCAAAGTCAGGAGGTTGTTAGCTAAGCACAAAATTTAGCAATCTGCCCCTTTACTTTGAATTTCAACTTATATTTGTCTATTTTGTCTGTTCATTATGTCCCAAAAGAAGTCATTGTGGCTAACGTTCGTTAATTAGCAAGAGATACGATATCGGGAGCCTAGAGCAAGCCCCGCCCACAAACACGCTCGTGCTCGCTCGTATCGGATATAATGAAGATAAATACTTTAGATAACTACAAATGGCGGCGTAGCGGCGCCACAACACGCAACAGGTCCCGTTTTACAGGAAGCACTTCTGTTACAGACACTTGGCTTACTTTGTTAAAGCGGTTTACCTGTCCAACAGAAACGTTACAGGGTCCATAAGATCCCGAAGCGTCCCCGGACGTTTATGCTAGCTTCGTTGACGTTGACGCGGCATTTTAGCTCTTGTCCAGTCTACCTCCGTTTTAAGCGCCTGTTATCCCGCCAGAGTCTCCGGTATTTTCTTCGTTTTCTTGCTTGTGTTTGCAGTCGTGGGTAAAGGAGGATTCAGACATTTTTTCGTACATTCTGGTTGGTTTCTACAGTCCGATAATGTAGCACGCTAACTTTGTTTGGGCTCGTGCGCGTTAGTCGAGGACGTTGAGCGTGCCTCACACCACGAGGGAGCAGCGTCTGCCTCACAACCAATCAGGTTAGGGGAGGCAGAGAATGACTTGTTAACAGTCAGAAAGAGCGGGCCGCTCAAAAATTTTAACACAGGCATAACAAAACACGGCGATATCGTGATATACCTACGTGTCACCAATAACTAATAGCTATTGACTGATATTAAAAGCTTTTTTTGTATATAAACCACAAAAAGATGCTTCTTTAAGGGATTCCTGCCCACCCCACCTAATAGCCTCCCCTAATTCCTCAAAGTAAAGATAACCACTTCCTGACTTGTGCACTGTATTAGAGGGATATTCTGGCGCAAAATTACCCTGTAGAGAGATGAATGTTGCAGACCGCTTGCTTCTCTAGTTATACCAACTTTAGTAATGACCGCGGATAGCAATACAGAGAGCCACACGCTCAACCAAAACACGACTTTATAGCCACAGATAATGCTCAGAACAGCACCTAACTTCATCAACAGTACATATAGAGTCCCAGCCATAGTACTAGTCATCAAACATCTTTTTAACTTTGCCTAATTTCTATAGCAAAGAGACTAAACACAACTCACCTACTCTCTTCCAGCAGCCACTTGCTTGTACGGAGATCTCAGGGCGAGTCCATTGACGCAGTTCAAGACAGAACATTTATGATTATTTCCTCATGGGAATGCAATCAGACAGAGACACTAAAGCAGAAGAAATACCGCGTCTGCAGTGCAAAATGATTAATTTGATGATTATTACTTAAAAAAAATGATAAAGTAGTGTTCTTCCTTGAGCTGCATCCCCCCGCTGCAGTCAATGGACTCGCCCAGAGATCGCCGTACAAGCAAGCAGCTCGATGGGGTATCTAACTCAGTGTTACAGTGTGTTTGACCCTAACTTAATTTTACGCCAGAATATCCCTTTCATTGCTCGGACATGAAACAGAAAGAAAGTGTTTACCAAAAGTCTTAGAAATATTTAACAAAGCTCAAAAAGAAGAGGTCTGGACTGGGCTCGGAATTAGAATATAAGAAAAACTCAGGGTCCAATTTTTAAAGTCAAAACTGGTGCAAAATTTGTCTTCAAAACAGATTAGAAATCAAAATCAGCTATGCAACCCAGCAGCAGCTCACTTGTAACAAATGTCTTAAGCTACAGTGGCATCATACCATAAGATTTTAGAAATGAAAACTGGCAGATTGTAAATTTTTGGTTTATGAACCTTGAGCGAGTCTGGATTATTTTGTGTGTGTCTGTTCTTCAATGGCAGGAACAAGCTGCTCCTAAGCAGCAGCAACCACCATTTCTTAAAGAAGCTATTAAATCGTCACTGTTGGCCTTAATGAGTAATTAGTCTACAGCATTTTGGAAAAGGTGTGAGTAAGTATGCAACACTGCAATAACATGTCAGTGACCGGACTTTTTTCCTACTCGAAATAAAACTTGAAAAAGAAAGGAAACTAAAGCAGGAGCAGATTTTGTCTTTTCTTCATCTTTTTGTTTCACAGCCCACGTCCACAAAAACACTGATGTATCCATCCTTCTGTGCATACTGTCTGTCAGTTTATTTTCATTTTTTATAAATCAGGAAGATATGATTTGTTATGTAACAGCCTGTACAACGCAACATAGAGAAAACAAAAAAAAATGAAAACAATACAAATTAAATTGTACAAAGCAGCAAAGGGCCTTAAACAACCCATATAATATTTTTCACATTTTTGATTGGAAGTTTTTCCTTTGCCCGACCCCGTAGATCTTTCATCAGTCAGATCACAGCTGCTCTTAGAAGACGAAAAAGCTTCTTTATTAATCACTTCTGAGTTTGATTTCTCAAGACTGTGCCTTTAAAATGTTTCGGGGGCTTTTTGTTCTTTAGCAGGTTGAACTGATTGGCAACAGGATTGAGAGCGGTGTAAAACCGAGAAAAATGCTTTGGGAAGCTGCTCACATACAATCAACATCAGATGGATGTTCCGGACTAAATAAAACCTTGTGTAAATGTTTGACAAATGTAAATCAATGATGTAAATTGAAATAAAAGAACTGCAGAGCCCTAATTAATAACATTCACAATGTAAACACCAGCATGGAGGATGGGATTGCAGATCTCTGGAGGTCCTACCTGTAGAAAGGTAAACACAGACATGACAGACTGATTGATCATAGTGAAGGTGTACACAGGGATGGATTAAACAATAATGCAGGAGTGACGTGGCAAACCAGCTAAAAGTTTCCAATTAGCCACCTTCTTTAAATCTTGGGAGATTCTGCCTAAGAGTTTATTTTTCTATATTAGTTTTTGTTGATTTGGTAGGACAGGTGAATATTGTATTTGTACTTCATGGTGGTGTAGCCTGCTGGCGTATGTTATATGGAAGGTTTTCTTATATCTTCATATAAGGAAGGTTGTTCAACTCTGGCACCTTGTCCACACCTACAACTTCATTTAAAGAACAATTATCACCTGTCTCAGCATGTCAACAAAAACTAAAACAATCGTAGCTTTGTAGAAGTATTATTTATGGTGTTATGATGTAATGGCTGGCCCGTGTATGTTAAAATGACTCCACAGCTAGGCTTAAGCATAACATAACCAGCCTAACTATCTCTAAGTGTTTATAATTCTGTGTTTATACCATATTTCCTTAGTTTATGTAAAACAAATATGTAAAAACGTCTATTCGCGCCTTTCTGTTGCTAGGCAACAGACATAGAAAACGGCTAAAATGTACCGGTAGCTAATTTCAACTGTCAGCACAAATTTTCATTTAAAACATAAAAGTCGTATTTAAGTATCGGGTATCAGGTATTTCACTGTTATGATTCAGAGGTGGCAATAGGTGGGGTTTGTTACTACAAAATGTTAAACTGTCCATCCCTCCTTTATTAGTCTCTGTACTTAGCTAATGGCTGAATGCTTTGCTTATTTACCGTACGGACATAAGAGCCATTAATATCCTCACCCAGCTCTTACTGTCTTGAAGTGAATAAGCGTTTCTCTTATAGACTATATATAGAATGGACGCCGTCTGCCTCCTCGCTGGGTGAAGCCACCGTGAGAACAGCACCCTCTGGTGACAGGCTGCAGTATAGGTCATAAATCCCGCCTCCTCCAGCAAAGCTAATGGAGCTGTGGACAAACTTTAGAAATTTATTACACAGAATATAAATTTTTCTCCCCCCCGGCTGCGATGTTGACATGTAGTTACTGTAAGACTAGTTTGTGCTCAGGTCCTCATTTTTCTGTACAGCTCCGTTTTTAAAAGTTATTCGGGGGTTCATGTTTTCTTTGATTGACACCTTGAGCCGAGCATCATCACAGCGACTCATGGCGACTCTCCCACTGAATGCATACAATGCTATTGCGCAAGTGGTGGTTTCAGGAAGTGGAGAGAATCTCGGAAATACAGAGAGCAGTTTGGCTTCAAATTTGTACAATGACAGAAAGCAGAACCAAGTTGTCCATAGTATATACAGTCTATGGTCTCTGTATTTAGCTTAGCTAACTGTAGGCTTTAGCTCATTTACCGTAAAGACATAAGAGCCATTAATATCCTCACCCAGCTCTTACTGTCTAGAAGTGGGTAAGCGTTTCTCCCAAATTGTATTTGTTCTCCTTCCATTGTATCAAAACCTATCATGAGTATTTTATATTTATGTTTAAATACGTTGTGATAATCTCCCCAGTTGAATAGTAAGGCTGGCACATACTCCTAACATTCGTGGTCTTCATAGTTTTTAGCTTTCTGAAAGTTTAAGGAGGGTAAGTATGTCTTCGGCTGTCGATATATCTATTAATTCTTCCAGTTTTCTCCACAGTGTAGAGCCTTCACACAGGACGTGGCAAAATTGATGCTGGGCCAAAATAGAAATGAAAACAGGACTGAGAAAGCAGCAAGACTGCAAATGTGGAGACATAGAGAGGACAGCAACATACAGCACATGTGTAAACATTTTTTCTTCCTCCAGTTTTAAAATCTTCCCCTCCAAAAGAAGTCACAATCACAAGACGCTCTTGGATTCATTCTCAAATTCAAGTGTTTTTCTGTTTCTATTTAAATATTTTCTTGAAAACATTGTCACTCTTTTTTTTCTCCTTTTTTTAAATCCACAGTTCAGTCTCTTTTTTTTGTTGTTTTTGGTGACAATCCGTTAACGTGCAGGTTGGCAGGGGACAGCTCCTCCCGAAATATAACACTGACCAAAGCAGAGGTGAGAAGTATTAAAGTGAGCGCCACAAGGTAATGGGGCAGATTAGCTTGTGAGGATGATAAAAAGAAAAAAAAAAAAAGGGGGTGAGAGTGAAAACCTAAACTTGGGTGACAAAAACTAAACGTAGCGAATGAACTTGCGCCTCAAAGTAAGTTTAAAAATCGCCCACGAGTGTCCGAAACATAAAGTGCAGGCAGTGTCTGTTCTTCTTTGAAACCGCCGTAGCCCCTGGCCGTTAAAAGAGTCCAAGAGCCAACAACCGTGAGACAAAAAAAGAAACAAACCAATACGCTGAATTGTCAACAATCCACAGTAGGAACAGCTGGATTCCAGAGGAGTCTCTTGCTCAAGGCAGGGGTTGGATTTGGTTGTCAGTTTTTTTAAAAGTACAAGGAGTACCTACATGGATCCTCCTCACTCTCACCAAATTGCCTTTGACTAGCTGCCCTCTTCATTCCACTCGTATGAGCAGCCCGTAAAGTAGCGTGCCGCCTTGCTCCTTTGTGATCCACTCGATCTCTGAGTTGCTGAAGCGAGGATCCAGAGGCTCGCTGTGGCCGAGCGTTTGCGGTCCCACCTTGTAGGAGCCGGGACGCACACACACCTGGAATCCCACCTGAGCGTGGTGGCAGCGGTGAGAACGGGGGTCCTGAAATCTGGAGGAGGGAGAACCATTTGTAAGGATGCTCTTCCTTTACGCACTTTTTGAATTAAATTGCACTTTTATGCACTTACTGCACTTTGGGGGCAAAGATCTCCATGCCGGAGTAGCGCATTGTTGGGGATAGCCGCACTCTAGGAACCTCCCTGCCGGGGGCGCTGTTCTCCTCTGGCTCACTGTAGCCGTTAGGTCCCTCCGCCTTCACCGGAGATACTGAGAAGATGGACGATGTTCCTAAAACAACAAAAGCACATTTATTTTAAATATGTTGCTATAAAGGGATCCCTCTTGTTTTAGACGCTGAAAATATCAGTGCCCAATTTTGCCCTCACTTTTGTACAACAATGGGGTCAGAGACACACCATCCATCTTTATGTACGCTCTGTGGTTCAACAGATGCAGGCTTTTGAAACGTGTCTGAGCTAAATATATAAAAATACAGACTCTTCAGAGGAGAGGGTGCATTATTGTAAAAATAAAATAAGGATCTATGTGTTTCTTACCAGGCAGCAGCTGGCTGTGGTCCAGTGTGCGTCTCAGGGCTCCTACACTAGTGCCATGGTAAGCTATATGCCACTTCTTTAGTGCATTAGAAACCTCACAGTGGGGTTTGATCCTGCAGACAGAGGACACATGAACTTATGAGAGACAGTAACTTTTAATTTGACTGTGAAAATAGGTTATGACTGCAGTATCACATCGAGACATTATCTAGCTAACTGTGACGTCTTCTCACCTGAGGGCAAAGCGGCACCAGCCAAAGGGCAGGGCGTAGTCCCGGGGCGGTTCTCCCCTCTTGTAATAAGCCTCATCACCCCGCAGCTTGTGGCAGGACTCACAGTAGCACAGGTTATACTTTGCGTCTTCATTAAAATAGCCATCTTAATGACAGAGGGGAAATAGAGATCATGTAACACCAGTTTAAAGTTATGACAAAAAATTCAGATCTGAGGTGTGAGACTCACCTGGTAATGTGAGGAGGTCCTTAAAACGCGAGCACAGTGCCTGGTACTCACAGGTCTTGTTGGGGTTGACCTCTGGAGGGGGCGTCCAGCACACACTCTCTTTGATTCCTGATACGAGACAAACCAAGACTTTTAAAGACGGATCAGAACTTTAATGGAAATATTTACACAAAATGAAACCATTAAGCTTCTTACCATCAACCATATCTGCCTTCTCCATGTCGCCCTGACAGCGGGGTTCACCACTTTCACCCCCTACGGCCGGCACGTTGTTCGTAACTATAGTAACCTGGCGTAACAAAACAAAAGTCATATGCAGGATATCATCAAAAGAAAACAACAAACTAACTTCAACATGAAAGAAACGTCAAAAAAAGCTTGTGCTGACCTGTTCACACTGGCCGTAGAGGTCTATGAAGGGGTAGCAGGGTGAAGGGATGTCCTGTGCAGCTACACCCTGGTCCATGCCGTTGACATAGAGGTGGAGACAACTGTTGGAGTCCACCAGCAGACCCAACACTGTCCCCTCTGGGCAAGTATCCAGATTAGGACCATAGTTTTCGCATATCTGAGGAGGAGTAGACGGGGAAGTTAGAGCAAGGAGGGGTAAGGGTGACAAAGCAGTGTGGACGTGGGGCTAAGATGATAAAATCAATGCTGTATGGACTTGTGTGTTCGACCTTTAAGGAGTTGTGGAAGACCGAGTCCCTCTGCAGCAGCCAGGCTGAGCGTTTCAGACAACACGCTGTAGAGGGGAAGTTTAACCGGTCGGGGGAGTGGCCTATCACCCCTAATGACAAGGACGACGTCCAAGACGGGTTCAGACGGTCAATCTGAAACTGAAGCCAAAAGAGGATGTGAGCAAACGGCAGCCGTCAAATTCATCTGAAGTGCTGATGCATAATGTTTAGAATCCACTCAGAAACAAAAAAGCAAAAAAACAGTAGTTTTATTATTTCTATTCACAGACTCTGCTCAAACATCTGTTTCCAGAGGTCCAGGGGTCCAGGAGTAAATTTGTAGTCTGAGCAGCAGAGGCCAGTTACATATCGAAAAAATGATTCCATGGTGTCAATCCAAATGATAAGGTTTCTAAATGATCAAAGATGTACCTGGAACAGCTGTTGCCGAGCTAGCGGATGTGCTGTGACCAGCAAGCCCTGATTGTAGCTCGACACTCTGGCTGCTGTCAGGTTCTGGTTGGACAGCTGAATGTTTTTGCCGTGGTTCTCCAGGAACGCCATGATCGTCGGCACCAGCGCGCACGGCTCGGCCTCGACCTGGAGAGCGAGGAGAGAGGGGAAAAGTTTGAGTCTCAGCTCTGTTTAATCTTGCCGGTGCTCTCTGTTCTTTAAGCCTCTTACCTCTCTGACAGGGGTGCTGTCCTCCTCTCCTTCGCTGCAGCTGTCTGAGGAGAGCGAGGGCGCTTTGACGCTCTCCATGTCCTCCATTAATGATGAGCTTACGATGGACACCGCTGTTATCCGCCCGTATAGGTCCAAAACTGCATACACATTCTGCAAAGAGCCAAAAGCAATGCTGAGTGGGAGCTCAGGTGCACGTATTTGTGTATGTGTGTGTGTGTACATGCATGTGTACCTTTGCTACAGCAGTGGCTGCAGGCCCCATGTCCTCTCCATCAATAAAGATGTGCATGGTGTCGTCGCTGCACCTCTTCACACCCACACGGTTCCCAACCTGACGATGAGATTCAAGTGAGAATCAGCCAATTATGAAGTATTTTACAAACTTCTTGTTCCTTCAACTACAGAGGGTTAAAGTCAAAGTCAAACTGGTATCTCTGAGGTGTTTTTTGTTGTTGGAGCTGAGCCCACAGCTAACAGAGGGAGAGTGCAGCTCACCGTCAGCCGGTCCAGTGAGCAGCAGTAGTTCTGGCGCTGCAGCACGCCGTTGCGACGGACCTCCGAGCCGCAGAGCAGCCAGGTGACCTTGGTGCGGAGCTGCGGGAGGGAGGGGGAGAGACCTGACAGCGGGCAGGATGGCAGCTCCGGGGGTGACAGCGTAGTCAGACCGATGTGCAGCGAACCGCACCACTGCTCATCCACCTCATCGATCCTCACCTGCAGAGGAGGAGAGAGAGGAAGATTAAGGAGGGGAATACTAAAAAAAAAAAGTTCCCGCTGGAGGTAGAAAGTAAATCACAAGTCATTAATTAAACTCCAAGATCAATATTTAAGAGGCTAATCGGGATAATTAGAGATTTTCAAGCTAGGTTGATGAATGAAGGCCTTCTTTACCTCAAACAACTCGTCCGCTTTGAGTTCCTTCGCGCTGAAGACGATGCCGTGAGCGTAACCTCCGACTCTGACAGCCTGACAGCCCTCTCCGAGCAGAACCACATTTTTACCGTGTTTGCTGTGAAGCCGATGGGCAACACCTGCAACTACGCACACACAGACACACACACACAGACAGAACAGAGGAAAACAGAAGTGAGAACAACTGATAGGCGACTTGATTCCTTACTTTCTAACAATTAAACACATCATATAAAGCTTTTTTTTTCTGATAAAAGTATTTGACAGATTGTGGTTTTTGCAGACCTGAGCGGGGACCCTGGTGTGTACCTGGAGAGTGGATGGGGAAGCTCTTCTCAGTGACATTGCTGGTACAGAGGCTGTTGTCCAGCGGACCTGAGGAGCTGGTGATGGACACCTGGACGCACTGACCGTACAGATCGATCACAGCGAACACCTCTGAGAACAACAAGAGCGGGAAAAACTGATCACAGACCACTCCAGTGATGTTTAACTCAAATCCTAATCCAGCAGAGTCTACTTCTGGCTGTTGGAGTCTCCTATGTTACCTGGTGGCAGACCAGAGCAGGCGACACCTTGGTCCACACCGTTGATGTAATAGTGGAGGTCCCCGCTGGCTGAGCGCATCATGCCGATCCGTGAGCCGGTGGTCAGGGAGTCGAGGTCACAACCGTAATTGTTGCGCATTGTGTTGCCGTCCTGCATGATGGCTGTCCCACTGTAGGAGGGGGGAGAGAATGATTCAGCTCTCTTAAACTTAAGGGTCTAAACACAGGTGCAGTTTTAAAAAATGTGAATGTCTTGAAAAAGTTCATTTTTTCCCTCCAAGTCTAATTTAAAAAGTGAAATTTCATCATCCACATGAAATATTTCAAGACTTTTTTTTGTTTGAATCTTGACAGTTACAGCGTATAGCTCATAAAAATGAAAAATCCACCATGTCATGTATCATTTTATGGAGTATTGTGGAAAAGTCCAGTTTCTTGTCAGGAAGCATCTGGAAGTTTCACTTTTCAGGTTAAATAAGGGGGAAAAACTTTTTCAGGAATTTCAATGGTTTTCTTTACTGCACCTAAAAATGGTTACAGGGTTCCTACACAGTTGGAATTTCCATACTTTTCCATACCCTAATTTTTAGAATAGTTTTTGGAAATACCTACTTTTCTATTTTAGACAATAGTAATGTAGAACTGTGATAATAGTCTGGAAACATAAATATTTTTCCATACTTTATTTGTCATTTTCTGTACTTTTTAAGACCTGGGAATTTGATCAAATTTATTTCCGTACTTTCATAAGAACCCTGGGTTGAAATCTGAAAGGCACCTTAGCAGCAAAACAATACACTTAAACTGAAATCTATACATGCAAAAGTTAAAACAGTCCAAGTCTCCATTTTCACTCCATATCCTACCTGAGCATCCACGTGTCGTAGTCGATATCGGTCATGGTGTTGGGAAACTCGAGCTCTTCCGGCCTGATTGCTGTCACTCCTGGACACGGAGAGAAAATCAATAAATCGCACATGAGATATGTCGACATGTACGGCTGTGAAAAACGAAGAGGAGAGACAGCTCACCTGCTTCGATTGAGCCCGACCAGCGGTCCACCATCTTCTGGATGACGATTTCAAACAGCTCTCCGTCTCGAAGGCACCTGCAGAGAAGGAAGAGGGTCATAGGTTGACACCAGTGCAACAAAAGAGCGTGATGGTCTGTGTAGACCGCCAACAGATACATAAGTTTGAATCTGAAGTTTCTCATCACTGGACTCATCACCTGTTGGAAATAACTATAGCATCATTGAACTCGCTGCGGCAATTCTGACGCAGGGCGGTGCGCCCCCCGTTGGTGATGACAGCGTTGGTGCCGTGTAGCTGGTGGAAACGCAGGTCGTTGGTTGTGCTAGCCCCGCCCACTGAGCAGGGGCTCCCGGGAGACATGGCTGTGGGACCCTCTGAGCTGTCCTCAGGGAGAGGAGGGAGATCAACTGAGAAGAGGAGAGACAGAAAAGTCAGGGTTAGCATCTTCTTTCAACTCTTGTTCAAAAGTGAATCTGTGTTTCTCGCTTTCTTTCTCTCACCCATGTCGTCCATGATGGTGGCCTGAGCGGCCTGACCGTAGAGGTCGACCACGGCGTACACGCTGGGAGGGACATTCCAGGCGGCGGGACCCTGAGCAACACCGTTTACAAAGAAGTGGAGGCTGCCGTCTTCTTTGCGAACGACTCCGACTGTGTCACCTGCCTGTAAGAGGAGGAGGAGGAGAGCGGTTTCAAAAATACTGGGAGAAAGGTCAGAGGGAGGAGGTCAGAGGTCAGAGGCGAGTTACAGTCAGCTGAGAAGTAGGGCGTAAGCAGCACTCACTTTGAGCCGGTCCAGATTGTGTCCGTATTCATCCAGTATTGTTGTCCCGTTGTGCATGACGCCATTCCCGGTCATCATCCACGTCCCTGAGGATCAACACAACGTCATCATCATCATCCAGTTTGATCAAACACCGCAGAGAAACTACAACAGGAAGCAGATTTGTAGTTTTTCTTACCGGAGCGCAGGTTAGTCATGGTGGAGGGCAGCTGCAGATAAGCGGGGTTGTGTGTTGTGACGCCGATTTCGATGGACCCGGCCCATTTGTCCACCATCTTGTCAATGCGAACCTGGAACACCTCGTTGGAGCGCAGAGGGCGGCTGCTCAGGACCACGCCATGGTTAAAGTCATCGGTTGCACTGCGGAGGAAGTTTTTGTTATAAGTGTGTCGTGTTTTATTTTGAAAGGGCTCCATGACAGAGGATTTTTCTCCTTTCAAAACAAAATATTTCCAAATTAGAGAATTTAACTTTTCACTAATTATAAACCAGCAACAAACTCAAACAGGTAAATAATGTCACTAATCCACTCACTGTGGCCGCAACGCCGTCCTGCCGTCACCAATGATGGCCGCCTTCTGACCACAGTTAGGGTGAAAGAGCAGCCTGTCGGGCCCCTCTGGGTCTGGGGTGAGGGAGAGCGCCGGTCTGGGCCTGCCTACGTCGGGGGATAGAGCCCTCATGATGGCGTTGTTTCGTCTGAGGCGGTCGCTGTGGTTGTGGTTGTGGACTATGGTGACTTTGACAGCCATGCCGTAAAGGTCAACCACGCCGTAGACCACGCCGGGAGTCTGGGCTGCTGCGACACCTGGAGGGGAGAGAGACAGAGAGAGAGCTTAAAATCAGGAACAGAAGATTCCTAATTAGAGTCCAGGCAGTGGGTTTATTTCCACACACACACACAGACACACACACAAGTGGTCTCACCTTGGTCGATTCCATTGATGTAGAAGTGGAGCGCTCCGCTGGCTTTGCGCATCAACCCGATATGATCTCCCTCCTGAACGTGGATCAGAGAATGTTATCGGAATTATTTACAGACTTGTTGGCACAGTAGGTGGCAGAATGAGGTGTTGGAGTGCGTGTGTGTGTGATTACACAAACCTGAAGTTCATCAAGGCTGAATTCACAGTATTCTCTGCGGGTTCCTTTCCCGTTCGTCAGTATCCCACAGCCACTCATCATGATTGTACCTGACATTAAACAGCCGGAAAGTCATCATCGAATTCACGTGAAATACTTCCTGTCTGAATCAAGTCTGTGTTTATGTGAGTTACCTGAGCGCAGATTGGTCATAGTTGCGGGATAGTCCAGGTTGTTGGGGTTGTGTGTGGTCACGCCGATCTCTATCGAACCTGACCACTTGTCCACGAGCTTATCAATACGAATCTGAGAAACGATAAGAGAATTCACTGTTTCATTCTGATCCGTTTTTGGGTAAAAACAAACATCTTGTTGCTGAATTGAGCGATTGTAACAACCTCAAACATCTCGTTGTGTCGGAGCGGCCGGTTCGTCATCACCACGCCGTTGTTGAACTCGTCCAGCGGCCTCCTCCGCTCCGCCGTTTTGTTGTTGTTGCTTAATTTGATCAGCGTGCCGCACTTTTCATGGAAAAGCAGCGCGTCGTTTGTGGTCATCCCGCCTGTGATAACCCCCTGTCCGCCTCCTCCGTTACTCGCAGGACTACTGTTAGTGTTTCCACTGTCTCCACTCCCACCACTCCCTCCTCCTCCACCTGTTGTCCCTGTCCCGCTCTCGCTGTTGACGGCGCCTCCTCCGCTGCTGTTGCTCCCCCTGTCATTTCTAGAGGAAGTGTCGGTTCCTGAATTTCCTCCTCCGCTGCCGCCATCGCCTGCTCCTCCTCCGCCTCCTCCGTCCTCCCCTCCGCCCTCGTCTTCAGAGCGATAAAAAGAAACTATTGCGTTGTTGAACACGTCGAAGAGCTGGTGCTCCGTCAGAACTACAGAGAGGAAGAGGAAGAGGAAGAGGAAGAGGAAGAGGGGGTATTCAAAACTGCTGATGATGCACAGTGTCCGAGTGTCAGCTGATCTGCGGCGGGTTTTCTTACCTGTGTCAGGCTCCAGGTTGTTGGGGAACTTGTCAGGTCTGCTGTGACTGCAACTCAGCTCAGGCACTGACAAAAAAAAAGGGATACAAAAACTACAAATCCCAGAATTCAAGTGTGAAATGAGAAGCAGAGTGTCTAAGAAGAGGAAGAGGAGACCTACCTTCATCTCCGTTCATCATTCCATTAATTGCTGCCACATTCATCAGTGCTGTGATCCCCGCATCCTCCCGCACCCCACACACCACCACCTCTTCCTCCTCCTCCTCTTCATCATCCACCTCCTCCTCCCTCTCTATTGTCTCTTTCTCCGCGGACGGCGGCGGCGGCTCGCAGCTCACCACCGTCACTTGAGTGCACTTGCCGTACAGGTCCACCACCGCCCACAGCTTCGGCGGCAAGCCGCTGGCCGCGGCGCCGCAGTCCTGCCCGTTCACCCACAGGTGGAGCTCGCCGCGGGAGCTGCGCTGGATACCCACGCGGTCGCCCTCGGCTAGCTGGTCGAGGTCGCGGCCGTACTCTTCCAGGACGGAGCGGCCGTCCCGGAGCACGGAGCAGCCTGACACGATCCAGGAGCCGCCTTTGAGGCCTGTGGCGCTGCTGGGGAAGTCCAGCGCGGCGGGGTCCAGGGCCGTGACGCCAATCTCGATGGAACCGCTCCACGAGTTCACCTAAGAAGGAAACGAGAATGTTTAGTCGAGTTGGGACCAGTGTTGTTTTTTTAGACGAAATATTTTGTCGTAGTAAACATTTTTTTCCACGACGAAGACGTGACGTTGACGAACATAAGTCTTAGATGACTAAAATGTGACGAGACGAATGTGTGTGTACGTTGACGAGACGAAAACTTAAGTGGTGGATGACAAACAGAGTCGCAAAATTCGTGAGCATTTCATCAGTCAAACACCAAACATATATTCTGCAGTGTTGTTTTCATTGACGTTGACGAAATATTGTCGTCAATGTCATCGTCAACGAAAACAACACTGGTCGGGACTGAATATTGACAAGGCAAAAAGTATCACTGATACCAAATCAATCATTTTTTCCCCCGTCATGTTTTCGTTTAATCCTTTTTTTGTTTTTAACTTTAGCTTTAGAATTAAACTTGCTTTACTAAATTCAATATTTAACAAGTATTTTGTCAAAGAATTAGCCACAAACTGCCTGATTTTATGCCTAAAAATTTTAATCTAGGTGATAATAGTGATTTTTTTACAGCCCCAGAAAGAGAGAGTAGTGACAGAGCAGTTCTCAGCAGCTGTTATTCTGAGGTGTGATGTTCAAAGGGTGAAGCACTGTGCTAAAAACTGCGGGACGATATCTATGGAAAACAAAGTGAGCCTTGTTGTATGATCCGTCTTGTTATTTTTAGGCGGTCTGTCAGCAAAGAACGTAGCTCAGGGAGGGCTCCTTTGAACACACTGTGACACAAAAGCAAAACAAGCTCTGCGGAGGGAGCTAACGGAGCACAGGAGTAACTATTATTAACTGGCAGAGAGAACAGAGTGAAGGAATGAACCGAGGGTCAAACAGATCTATTTCTCCTTAAAGGACCATCATGGATTCAGATTTAAGTGTGGATGCTTGTGTGGTCCAGGCATGAGAAGTCACCTTCATGATCTGGCCCCCAGTTTTCGTAAACAGAGGGCAAATGTTTGACTGGAAAAAAAATCCTTGTTTTTGCACAACACTCGACTCATATCCCATAACAGACAGCTCCAGATATCCATGTCTTCTTCCGTGAAACTAAAGCTCAACAGAAGCTCAGGATGATGTGATCCTTTATTGATCTCAAGGGGGTGAATTCAGTCTCTTTCTTTTTTTTTTTATTTAGCTCCACTGCAGCGCTACAGAGCAGAGTCACAGTCCTGCTCAGAGACACTTCAGCCCAGCAGAAGCTTTTCCAACACAGGGGGCACGAACCCACGTCATCCTGCTGAGGAGTGGATGTCCTGGCTCGCTGCACTCCACCTGCCGCCCCCTTTGGAGAACGACAACATCCGACAAAAAGCCATGCAGGCTGTTCCTCTGGAAAAAAAAAACGTAAATGAGTCAGAAGTGCCCTGAAACTTCAGAATTAATCGCTGGTGTCCCTTTTTTCTCCTTGTGCTCCGCAGGACTCTGGTTTAAGTTGGCAGTAATCCACCCTGATGAAGTGACCTTGAGCGTAGCATTGAAGCAGAGCCAGCTCCTGGGATGTTTTTTTCTGCAGCTCACCTCCGTTAGGAAGACAAAAAAAACAAAAGACATTTCCTGAGAGATATCCAGTGTTTTTAAAAATACTGTCCCATTCGTCTCCTCTGTTTCGTCTGCTTCCACGGTGTCCTCCTCGACTCTCTGCTGGCAGGTGCTATGTAAGTCAGTGTGCTACGAACGCCCAGGTATCTGGGTTAACAGATTTAGAAGGAACTCAGCCTGACCGGGTCGCTGTGTAGAGGAGACAGACATCTCTTTCCCTCGCTTATTCACTTATGTAACGGCAGCCTGTGGGTGTCTGCCTCTCACTCTCTCTCTCTCTTTCTCTCTCACCCTCTCTCTCTCTGTTCAAAGGAGCGATAACTGCAGGATACAGTCATACATGCCAACTAGGACCAGTGGACAGCTTTTGGAAACAATTAAAAATTCATTATATCCAAAATCAGGGCATGGGAAGTCCGGCCTCGACTTTAGAGAGGGGAAAGCTTCTCATCTCACGAAACACAATAACACACACACACGAAATGTAACAGCTGGAGTCTAAAAAAGGCAGAGTTTAACTCTAAAGTGAGTTAAATTTTGTGTTGACTTAACTTTGTGCCATTTTGGAGTAGATTTACACTTATATAAACCCTGGTTTCAAATTCAAATATCCACATTTTAAAGGAGATGTGGCAAAAAAATACAATTAAATAAAGTATTCAACAACTACCGACACATTCACACTCTGTTGGCAAAGGCTGCTATGTTAAGCACCCATCAGTTTGAACTAATCCCATTCACACACTGTCGGTGCAACCAGCCGAGCGACTTGGGGTCAAGTGTCTTGCCCAAGGACACTTTAGGCATGTGGACAGCTGGAACTGGAGACGAACCTCCAACCTCCCAAATAAGAGGCAACTGAGCCACGGCCACTCTCTGTTTACGATTCAAAAGACTTTACCAGTAGTATTCCTCTCTAGTTTGCCAACATAGATGTAAACAATTCTGCCAAAACTATCCAAATTCAAAAACTCACACCTATAACAACTTTCTTCTGTCCTAAAAAGTCTGATCATTTCTTCAGTGACTCTCTGACTTGTTGTCTTTCGAGCAGTTTTAAACATCCACCAAAGCTTAGTGCAAACCATTTCACAGGATGGGCAATCATGCCAATCTGTGATGGAAAAATATTGATTTTCAGAGAGACAACGCATGTCACGACTGAGCACAAGGCTGAGAGTGCCAACATGGACGTTGGCTAACATGCGGCTTCTTTTCAGGTAAATATAATCCCGAAGTAGTCGCACGTCCTGGTCTGTTAGGAGAGTATGTGCAGAGCAGCTGTGTTGTTGTCAGTAAGGCCGAAAACTTCACAGTTAGAGGCCATTACAAGAGACAAGCTCTGCTACTGATAACACCAAAAATGTCAACAGTGTGCACAGGCATTGATATGGTATGAAAAGACCAGAGTCACAAAGCGTCAACCGATAAGCAGAAGCAGAAATTCAAGGATGAAGGGGATGTAGAAGGATGATATTGGTCATTGACATACCTAAAAGTAAGGACGTGTGTTAATAAGGGGTCATTTTCATGTCATTTACTATAATAACTGACAAAAAAATGTGCGGAACAACACAATCTTATCAGGATCTGGATAAACTACAGTAGAATGTGTTCATGGAGTTTGAGGATCCAGTTGCTCCTCATTCTCTGTTGATGTTTTTTTTTTACTCAATAAGTTCAACCTAGAGCAGATATAAACTGTCGAAAAGGGATTTGAGTACAAGTACTTTAGATATAACCAAATTCCCTGTTTGTTTTTATACACTATGTTGGTGAAACCTATCATGAAATTCAGTGTGAGAGGTGCTGAGGTCTCATTGTGGATAGTTGTGTTTGTATTGACACGTTTGTAAAGGGGCTCACAAAAGCTGAGAGCTTAAACATGCAGCTGAGTTTTAATTATGGTCACAGAGAGCAGGAAGCTGTGGTTAATTGTATGCTTTGTGTGTATTTAACTCGACACATGGAACAAGTGTAATAGCCCAGACTGCTGTGAGCACTGCAGTATCGTTAGCCACCCATCGGACTGTCAGAGAGGCTGACAGGCACCGAATAACCACTGTCAAATAATCCTTCAAAACTACACAAGCTCCGTTAACCTTGTTTTTTTTAGTGTAATAGTCAAAATAAAGTCATTGACAATACAACACACAGCCTTCAGAACACCTTCCAGAAAAGCTAGCCATGGTTAGCCTGAAATCACCCCAACAGCTAGCGGCTGATTAGCATGGCTAACTGACGCTACCAAGGCAACACAGTAGGCAGCAGGTTATCATTAGCTTAGTGATGGACATGTCTGCTGCTGCTGCTGCACACAGGGACCTGTTTATTAACTCCAGCTGTCCTTGTCTAATCTCGGACCGCTTATGTAACTCAACAATGACCACTTGCGACAGCAGTGGTTGCTGTCAGCAGAGTAACCCGCCCCGGGTGAGAGGAGCCCCTCACTGCGGACAGAGACGGACCTCCAGCCCCGTCCACCCCGCACCGCTCCCCGCTCTCCTGCTGCTCTCAGCCCCGCACACAGGCAGCAGCGGCTGCAGCAGAGGGCCTGGTATTGTTTACCTTCTTGTCTATGCGGACGGTGAAGACATCCCTGTCCCTCAGCGGCTCCTTGCTGAGCACCAGGCCGTGGTTGAACTCCTGGACTGGCTGGTTTCGCCGGGCGGTTCGGTTCGAGTTGGACAGGCCGATCAGCTTTCCGCTCCGCGGATGCAGCTCCGCCGCCATCTTCAGTGGGCGGCCAGTGTTCACGACAGTCGGTGTTTGCGACAGTGACGTTATGGTGGATTTCTGCAAAGTGCACCGCACCCATATCACTATCTATAATAACAGCCCAAACATGAACTTATTATTACTGATAATGTTGGCCTACTGTGACATTTCTGTTATCAACATTCAAAACTTAAACAGCTTTATTTATTGTGAACACAATTAGAAGTTTTCACTGCTTTATAGGCTACTTTTAAGAGTGACTTTTGTCTAGATTGTCTTTTGTCTTCATTCTATGTAATTAATTTGTGATGGTATAATCTATTTTAAATATTAAATATATTTTTTAATCTTTCAAGTGAATTAAAAAGACCAGACACCTTTTTCAGTTGATTTATTTGGACTATAGGGGAGAGTGGGGTAAGTTGAGCCACCCCCTGTTTCTTGGAAATGGTAAAAGAAATTGATCATGTGACCAAATATTTAGGAGATGGGCATCAATTCATGGAGTCTGTGGAGGTTAGAAGCACATGGGTGAAGGGGTTAGAGATTTATTTCCAAAAAAAAAAAAAAAAAAAAAAAACATTTTTCACTCTTGAAAGTGAATTTAGTCTGTCAAAAGTTTTATTAGAATTGTGTTCAGACCAAAAAAGATCATTTTAAATTTGTTTTCTACACCAATTGTGATATCTATGAGCTACAACATGAGGTCAAAAACCTAGAATAAAAGTCAACCATTTTAGCTTAGAGGACTAATAAAGTCATCATAGTAGTTCAGGGGTAAGTTGAGCCAGTGGCTCAAGTGAGAAAGTTAAGAAGTGTGATAAGAGGATCAGAGTTTCAGTTCAGATTGTTGAAATGTGTTACTTTTTCTTTCCAAAAATACAGCTGTGAATGTTCTGAATCACTTAAAGACATTCTCATGTTAAAATGACTTTTTACAAATAAGCTTTCTAGCAATTATATGCAACTAAATAACAAAAGTGATTGTACCAGTTGAATAGCATATAATAGATAAAAATACACATGAATGTGAAGAAGTGACTGTTATTTAGGGAGAGAGATGGTGAGGGAGGGCTGGGGTGGAGAGTGGGGGGATAGAAGGGATATGGCTCAATTTACCCCGCTTCTATGGTCAACTTACCCCATACACGGGGTAAGTTGAGCATAGAAGACCACTTTTTTTGGCATGCTATATTATCAAGACAGTTACTCATTCTGTTGGTTTGCAGGGATGCACAACATCTTGAAATATCTGCAGATACACTAGTTAGAGTTACTAGCACATTTCTAAAGCCATGATCCATGATGCTATGGGAATGCATAAATAAATATAGAGTTTTTATTATTTTAAAACCATCAAAATCTGTTTCTTATCTCAATTCTGCAGCATTGAAAGCTTTTGGACTGCAGTTGTAGTTAAGAACTTAAATAAGATTATCCTATAAGTTTAAAAGACCATATTGTGCAAATCTGGGGTCTGTCAGACTTATTTTGTCCGATTATGATCCACATTTATTGGTTTATTTTTGCAAGGCCCACGTCTGTCGGGTGTATGACACTATCATAAAAAATCCACTAGAGGGCGCAATATCCATGCTTTTGTCCTCTGTCTAATACATAGCCTGCTCAGTACTTGTCATACGCGTTAAACCACTGTTTTTTAAACATTAATGCAGCAATGAAATTCATGCCCAATAATGACCATTTTCATAAGGAACATATTTATTTTGAAAAATTAAGCTCTAAGTCTCCAAAAGTATTCACATCTGTCAAAATCATACAACAACATTGTTGAAAATGGTTACAGGAAAGAAAATTCAAAAGTTTATTGATGGCTTAAAAAGAATTTATTGATTATTTTTGGTCAAGATGTGCTTTTCACAGTGATATATTGAACGTTTTGCACTTGACAGACATATTTTTAGTCGTCTGCTGCAAATGTTTACGCCACATAAAGTCACATAATGCATACTTCCTATGTTTTTTTTTATTCTGGGCAGCTATGTGAGGAGATTGAAGAGTGTTTGACAGCAAAATCCAGGTCCAAATCCCTCGCTTGAACCTGGATCCTCTCCAGACAGCCTGTCAAAAACTGTGAGCCAGTGTTGTCCTCGCCCTCACCTGGAAAGTGAAAATGAAGAAAGCATAAGAAACATTATTTTGACGCTGTTTAGACCATATCTGCCAAACAAATCCCCCAGTATGGAAAGCAATGATGCAACTTAACTTAAAGGGGAAAAAACAGGTCAAATAATTGTTTATTTCTCACCTAAGAGCCCACCAAAAGCCAGATGGCCCTCTGCCCATGCACTTAAATAAGCAGGCTGGTCTGTTGGACTTATAGGGAACCTTGTGGTCTTTGATTCATCTCCAACTTGAATCACTTGCATTAAATCTGTCTGAAAGGTTATCACCAGTCTCTCGAAGGCGTCTGTCATTGTAAATTGTTCTACGCCAAAAGTAAGAGTGACCTCCTGGAAGTTCAAGAGAGAAATAAAAGAAAGACCTTCACATAAATCAGTAAATAAATTCAGAGTTCCCTCACAGTGCTCTGAGCAGCTAAAAAAACATGCTACAGATCAGTCAGCTGGACTCCAGTTTGTGTTTTGTGCATACCTTTGTGTTTTTATTGGCTACTATAGCAAACATGAGCTGTTGTTCAGGAGCCTTGATGCTCATAATGGTCCCATCCATGTTAGTCAAATCCCCCCAAAGTTCAAATGTTACCCCATCATCTGCCTTGATGGGAAAAACTGTGGAGGACAGAAGAATGTGTCAAAAAATATTTCTGAATATTTGAATAAAAGAAAACAAAACTACAACCCAAGAATGCATCAAACAGGCCTGTTGGGAAGCTCCATGTTGGAAGGAATGTTGGCATTCCCTGAAATCTCGAATAGTCAAGCACAGTGCTCCCACCTGAAGTGTTGAAAACTGCAAAACCCATGCCAGAGAAGTAGCTGCCGGGTCGGACATTTTGGTAACAGGGCCAGAGCTCCTCTGTTACGGCCTCCCAGGGGACACTGAGGTTCAGCCAGCTGCCTTCCCGCACACAGCCGTCCATCTGCGGCTCAAACTAAAGCAAAGAATGCAATTACTGGAATGAACTGCAAGTGAGGGCATGGGTGAAAAAACAGAAACATGTGACACGGTAGAGATTTTAAAAACAATTTTATGAACCGCTTTGTCACTTAAAAAAGTGACCAACAAAAAAATCCAACTCCCTCGCAGTGCTGTTCTGTTTGTGTTGTACGGCTCCTTGCTGTTGACCCTACTATCGGTTTTGTTTCTAAAAATATCTGACCAAATGTTGACACTTAGTCATACCTCAAAGGTATTTCTGATCAGAGTCCTTCAATTGAACAGGAAATGGCTCCTTTAGGCTCATATTTGGAATGGTACTCAGAAATTTCACATAAAACTGGGAGGCCGGAACGGTAAGACCTCAATTAACCAGACAGCGATGCAATTCAAAACAACAGCAACTCAAGAATCATGAATGAAGCTCAGTGTTTGCTGAGGTTGTCATGGCTACATAATGAGTCCAAAGGCAGCTCTTTCAGACCTCCAAATTGCAAGTAGTGAAACTATGAAAGAATCTTATGAGTTATTCTGAGGTATTTAATTTGATACAAATTATATTATACAACAGAAGTCGATACGATACATTACGATACAATATGAAACAATATGACTCAAGACGATACAATAAGCTACGATACGATACGATACAATACAATATGGCACGTTAAGATACGATACTTCAGGACATGATGTGACATGATACAGTACGATACAATATGGTACGATATGATACGATTCAATACGATACAATGCAATACGATATTTTATGACACGATGTGACATGATACAATATCATACAATACGATACGATAAGCTATGATATGGTACGATACGATACGGTTCAATACGATACGATACTTTAGGGGACGGTGTGACATGATACAGTATGATACAATATGTTACGATATGATACGATACGATTCAGTATGATACAACACAATACAATACTCCATGACACAATGTGACATGACACAATGTGACATGATACAATACGATACGATGCAATACGATACGATAGCTACAATAAGATACAGTATGGTAAGATACGATATGATTCAATACGATACGATACTTTAGGGGACGGTGTGACATGTTACAGTACGCTACAATATGGTACGGTATGATACGATTCAATACGATACAATACAATACAATACGATATCCTAATCTAATAAATTAAATCAGATGAAATGCAAAAAGAAGTTATTTTAGGGTTAATAGGTGGCAGGCCGTACCTGAACAATTAACTTTTCTGGCCCTATCAGGACCCCACCCAGGGCCAGTCGGAGTTCACTCGAAATAGGCAGCTCTTCCTTTTTAGACTGCATGCCCACCACCAGTCCACTGGAGCCGTCCACCTCCAGAACCACAAACTTCCCTTGGTTGCTCACCTCCAGCTTGGTGGCACCAGAAGCACAAGAGGAAAATTCAGAGTGTGAGTATCCATATTGCAAACACATGGTGACCAATTTTAAACACTATACACTGTATCTAATATACTTAATGGTTATCATTATAATGAAAGCCATTTAATCTTTTATTTCCCTGAGATACTTCAGGATATTGTCTCTCGTCTGACTCACAAATTTAACTACACAGGTGACTCACTGTGTGCCACTTCCCGTCATTAAGCTTGGGGCCACCAGTCACGCTGACCAGCATGTCTTCTTTGCTGATTTGCATCAAAGGCAGCCCGTCCTTCAGGGACAAAACAAACCAGTCGTCTCCTCCTTTGGTGTCACCATAAAAAATGGCACCTTCTGGGTCGAACGTCCTGAACTGAAAGGTTGATTTTATACTGCAATAACAGGAAAACAGAGCAGTTTAGCCTTTAATTCCAGAGATGATGATCACCTAGAGATACAAGAAAGATTCCTGTGTTTTTAAACTTTTTCTTGGGTTACTTGTTAAATCCTAATGCTGACCAACAATAATTTGTGGCTGATAGAAAGGAAGAGAACAGGATGTTCTGGGGTCTACGTCTGGAAAAAGAAAGTATAATGAGAGGTTACATTATACATGCGATTAGAGAGATCAAGGCCAAACGCTTCCTCGAATCTAAATTTTCAAATATGTAAGAGCCTTTTTAGCTTCATTTCCCGTTTAATATTCATTGAGCAGCTGATACGCAGCCTACACAATACATTCCCTCCTGATGACGCACCTGCTGATCTCACTGAGGTTGACTGCTGTGTGGATCAGCGGCCTCCAGATGTCTCTCTCCTGGCCCAGATTGAGGGTAGATCTCCCCGATACTTCTTTCTAGGAGACACAGAGTTCATAAATTACTCATTCAAGGCTAAACTATCGCTGGAGCTCTTCACTCCGCGCATTTCACATCCAGTTAACGTCAGAGTTGTGTTTTATCATTGTGGTTTAAAATGGTTTTAATGATTTCATCTTTATAAAGTGGAACCATTTAACAGCTGTGCGAGGTTGCTTTAAATCTAAAATGATAAGAGGAGAAGAAATCACTCAGTGACGTAAGAACAGTTCATTGAGTTGTGATTATTTGTCCGCCCACAAACAGAGCAAAGTTCTAAGTCTGTTCACATTTTCAGAAGAGCATGCTGGGTAACTCAGGAACTGCAGATAATAAAAGTTGATTGGCTGCACATCATGATTCATGATTCTTACGCACAAAGGTTTCCACAGGAAGTCTAAATTAAAGCATATTATAATCTATAAATTGAATCCAGAGGGTTAGGGTTAGGGTTTGAGGACCCTTATTCTAACTTCACCGCTTCATGTATTTATATTCATTTTACTCTTAAGGGATCATTATGGGATTTAAAAAAGAATCTATGCTTATATAAGGAATTAGTAACAAGACAAAGAGAGCAAAGCACGGTTAAATCAGCAGGAATAGCTGAACCTACATGGTGCAATAACGAAGAGAGAAACCTTTTTCTCTAAATGTAGTGTTTGCATATGGGACCTGAGCATTAGGGTTTAATGAGGCTGTGATTTATGATGTTGCCAGAAGACAACAAGATCTGCAAAATGCATTTTTAAAAGTTTATATTCAATGTTAAGTTCTTAGAAATATTGGATTATTTTAAAAATGCTTCAAGCTATTCATTCAAAGTTTAACAACAACGTCTTTGCAGGTGAACATACCTTACCCGCTCTGTTCTCCTGACCCTCAGCTCTCCACCCGAGCAAAGCGAGCAGCAGTCCACCTGTTATTGCTTTCCAAAACACGGCCATCCTTCAGTGCATCCAGCCACCCAGGCCTCACGGTGTGCAGTCTCCTGAGCCCTTGGGTGGTCTCAGACTCCAAGCTACCCTTAGGTGTCGGTGGTGGGCTGAGAAAGACTTTGAAACTGTGTCGGTGTTTGTTGGCATGCTCTCCAGAGGTCCAGAGGGCAGATGCAGCATGGTCAGGGAGGTTATTGATCCCCAGCCGGAAGTGAAAAGGGGATGTGTGGTTGCGGCTAAAGAGACAAGGGTGGGCGGAAGGATAAACAGAGGCTTTTAAAGAAACATCATACGGATTAAAAGGCATAGGACCCATTATAAAGCCAGACAAACTCAGCAAATAGGAAGCATGCATTTTCACCGGTCAGTCAGTTTCCTGCCCCTTTGGTGATTCATGAAGAGAGGACTCGACTTCAGACTGGGTGAGTGACCCCAGTCAGACCACTGACGTGTGTTTACCCATTTCACAGAAACCTTGCTTCACCACTGCTGGCTATGACTGTGTGTGTGTGTGTGTGGTAGACTGAAGAGGACAGAGATGAGAGGGGGACAGTGCTTCAAGTCACTCCTTTTCTGTTTTTCTCTGCTGGCTGTATTCCTGTGATACAGACTCATTCAGGGAATTCTGTGATAGCCGGGGTCATTCTGAGAAGAGCGCAGCCCAAAAATACACACACCCACACACACACGGAAAATAAACAGCCTCTCACTCAAATGATGAGTATTTAGAGCTGATCTGAAATGTCAAGTCACACCAAAAACACTTTCTTACTCATAGGCTTATTTAAAGTCTAACTTCCTGTCTGTGGTAATGTGCAGATTTTGACAGCTGATATCTTGATGTCAGACCAGGAAAAACACCAGAATTAACAGCAACATGAGCTACGGCTGCATTCCATTTAGATGTGGGTGTTTTTTGTTCTCTAAGTTTGGTATCAATTTGACACAGTGGTCAAAGCGTGTAATTACAACTTCTCTAATCTGTGACGTTATGCAAACATGTCGAAGATTAATTTTCATATCATATCTTTTATTTTCACAAAAGTGAAGCTGGAGATATGGATGAAAAAATTGAACTCTTCTTGCTCAATAAAGCAAAAAAGCTGATATGGAAGCGCCCTAAACTTGTATTCTTTTTATGACCACTAGGGGGAGATGCGAAGAAGCGTATTTCATTTGTTTAAGACAACATCCCTTCTGGAGTAACATGCGGCGCTGGTTGCAGTCCAAAAACATTGACTTTCCTTTATCGGCAGGAAATATTTTGTTTGGTGTTTTTAATGAGGAACTTTTCAGGAATAACTTCTCAGGACTGAGGACATTTTGTTCTAAATGCTTTGTTGCTTTTGGGGAAGTTCTTCATTCACAGGTGTCGATATTTTAAAACAAGACCATGCCATCCTCACTGGAAGAATGAGCTGCTACTTTTTTTGTAGATCCTTAAAACTTGTTAGAGACAAGAAAGCCCTACACCTATTTTCTTTACTAGAAATGTGTGAATTGATATAGAATGGCCTCGAACATTGAAATTGCGGTGTTTTTTTAATGTTATTCATGCTCAATCTATGGCAAATATTCTATAATTTTCTTTTATGATAATTAAGTGCCTTGTTTGTTTGTATATAATTTGAAATTTTTTTTGGTAAATAAAAATTTTCTTCCTTTTTTATCCTTAAAACTTTCTCATAATTCTGAGAAAGTTGTTTATAAAACAGTTATCGTGTTATTACGAGATAATTGTTGCATTAATTCTGGAAAAAAAAAATCCTCCATAAAATTTTATAATTTTTTCCAACATGATATTCTCCTTTATTCAGAAAAACAGAGCATTTTTTGTCTCTCTTAAAGCTCCTGTGTAGAACTTTGTTTGTGTTGATTGTGGCGCCCCCTGTGGACAAAGCGGTAACCCTAACACTGTTGTCGATTTAATCTCGCCCTAACGAGAGCGGTGTTAATAAACAGAATCTCCCACTGCTGTTGTTTTACAATAAAGGACGTCTTTACATATAGACAGAAGGACCTGGGATCTACCCCTGGACTCTACTTCCCCTGTGATTGATTAGTAATCTGGAAACCATCTGAGTGTAGTGATGCTCAAAATGCCAAACTCAAGACTTCAGACGAGGTTTATAAGCTCATGTACGGTCTGTCTGTGTCACCGAACAAACTCTATGAATGCGCTCCACACTGCGCCCTGTTCCCCTCATACATCAACAGTCCTGGTATTGTGCATGTTAAACATAGCTTACAGCCACTCTGATATAGAGCAGTGCCAGGGTTAATGCTATTAGTGGTGCTTGTGCTTTCCCCACTATGACAAGACAAAATGTCGGCTGTGAAAAAGACCCATTGAGGAAACCAATTCAGTGCTTTACTACATTGAAACACTGAATTTATTATTGGCAAGAGAGCAGTGTGGCTTTAAAAAACAAAAACCATCCCCGAGGCCTTAAATCCACCATTTTTTCCCCCTAGTTTTGACATCTTACCATGAATGCTTCATGAAATGTATTCAGTTTCTGAATTTCTTTCATTCAAATTTTTGTCACAAGTAATTTATCCCTGAAATCATATTTCTGCAAAGACGTGTGAGTCACCGGTCCGACTGTTTCTGTTTACACCACTAGTGGGAGACTGCATATTCAAGGACGGCAAGATCGAGAGGAAGCTATAATCAGACTCTGGATGTTACAGAACAGAACAGACATGTCCTCAAAATTTTCCATGAAATGAAAAAGATCAAACCCACCAACTTTAAAAAGCCCACAGTCCACATTAAGGATTTTACATCTATTTAAAAAGGATTAAAAGAGTTATTTAAAAACATGAGGCCAGAAAAGGTCTGATTTCATTGGGTCATCAGGTTAATACTTTATTTTGTTTGATTGCAGCAAAGAGAAAGAAAGGGAGACGGAAACAAGGGGAGAGATAACAAGAAGAAAAGGAGACTACAGACTTTGGGAGAGCTGTGGCTACAAGCCTTTGTATCAAATCTAAAGACAAAGTCATCAGGCAACATTAAAACATCTTTTAAAAATAACATTAACATATTTTGTGGGCTCTATATGGCACAGTATTATCCTAGACATGTACACGATACCAAAACAGTTTAGCCACACCCCTACATCTATGAACAGCTTCATAGCGAATAAAGCCATGAAATCTATCTCCAATTTATACCGTCTTTCCTCCAGAAAATGTTCATTACTCTTCAAATTTCTTATGCCATAACAAGGCACCTTAACAGCTGAAATCTGGCAGATCCACATCTTACTATAGATAATTATTTAAATATCAAAGCAGAGGCACATTCATTTAAACTAAAACATACAGTAAATAGTTGTATATAACCACCAGATTCCAGTCCAGTCACTACAATACGTCGATTTGCATGCTTTTGGTCTGTGTGATTACAGTGATGGCAAACTATGGCATAAGAAATGGTCCATAAACACAAACATGTCCATCTACAGGAATGGCTTGAGATATCGTATTGGAGACGGCAAGGCTTTTTTCTTTTTTACATTGGAACTAACCCACAGAAAAGTGTCAAAGAACAAAAATAACAGGTGGCCCATATACTGCCAAGGGATATGCTGCTCAGGCAGATTTACAGTATTTTGGTTTTCTTATTCATACAGTCACTCTCTCGTACACAGAAACACGAACGCCTAGGCGCAAAAGGCTTGTAACCACACCCAAGGGGGATGCTTCTGTGCCCCTACAGTTGGTCACACTGTGTTTTTAACACTCCTGCCTGAACCAAAAGGCGACCCTGTACCATCACACACACGCGCACACGCTCAAACATATGTACTTCATTCAGAGGAGGTGCAGTGTGCAAGTGAAGGAAGAGGGAGAATTTAAAAAAAGGTCCTTGATAGTGACTGTGAGGCATAAATATGGCAGCTTGTTTTGAGAAATTAATCCAACCTGCTGCCTAAATGAAAAAAAAAAAAATACTCAAACAGAGATATGGAAGCGGAAGAGGCCAGAAAATTCAGAAGGAAACAAAGGCTGTGCGCACGGTGCCAGATTTGCTGAGGATATAAACGGTAAGGAAGCAAGTGTTGCTCATGCTTTGTGGATACAGAACCCAAGTTTACTGACATATTCCTAGGACTACTGTATATATGCATATCAGACGTTATACGGTTCTTTAACAGGTTATTTGTGTCAAACAGAAAAAAAAAAAAAAGAACTGAAACCAACTCTATCATTAACGCAGCTGTACTTCATTAACCTCATGACTAAAATTACATTCATATTTTTAAGTTTACTCCCTCCCCTTTTCACTGAAGCCTTTTCCAACCGGTAAGAGGGCTAAACAACATAAAAAAAAATAACACAGTTTAACAAAACAAACACAGAGATAACATTACATGTAACAGAATGGCCCCAGGAGGGCGTCTGCAGAGTTTCGGCCTCTACTCTGGCTGCTAAGCTCAGCCTTCCTACCTCTTATTTAATGACACAGGCCAGGAGGGGAAATAGTTGAGGCTATTTCTAATCTCCACTCTGTTGAAAAGCAGGACGACAGTTGTTGCCGTTTTTCGCGGGGGCCTTCTGACTTACAGTCCAACAGTTTTGTGCCCATATATTTCTTTTCCTATTCAGAAATAACTCATTACCCTGAATCCTTTTGAAACATGTTCCTTCTTCGCTGTCATTTTTCTTCTTCCTGGCTTAGGAAATGAAGCCTTTTCCTCTTCTATTTAAAGAGCAAAAGGCGATGCAAGATGAAGGCTGATTTGTTTTTTTATTCTATATCTTTATATGTGGAGGAAATGAGATGAAAAAACAGAAGTGCAATGGTCTACCAGCCTTTCATTCTTACCCAGTGGCCAGCTACATATCCAAAGCAGCTACAAGTGTCCCCTTTTATTGAGTGACCACAACTTCTCTATTTTGTGCACATAAGGTATAAACTATGGTGAATGCTATACAGATCCGACAGTGCTGTCCGGCCACATTGCCGCCATGTTAGTTGAGACATTAGAAGCTCTGATGATCTCATTGTCATAGACTCACATCACACCCAGCGATCGCAAATGACTTCTTAATGATTTGGAGTCATTTTTAAATGCACTTCTAAACATTGACCTACATAAACTTTTCCAACCGGAGTAGGAATGCTTTGTGCCTCTCACACACGGAATGATCCACTCGTTCACACACACACACAAACAAACACACGCTTGATCACTGTCACACAGATGCAGTTAAACCTGCTCAAGCCCACCTTCGCATGCACGAATCCCTCGAAACGTGTGCATGTACATGCTCAGAAACGTCCATGGACAGTTTAGTGACAGGATACACCTTCATCATCGTCCTCATTCACTAATTCAAACAAAGATTCGGGTTGTTTGAAGTTGCTTTTGCTTCCCTCCCTCTGTGCAGAATAAGGACTCTTCGGTCTCATTCCTTATTCTTGCCCACACAAGCCTTCCCTGAAGAGCGGTTATCCTCGTTATGCGGTGACTATAAAGGGAAGCAGACTGAACTAATTTTTTCACACAACACACACCCTGTTAGGAGTTCTTATTCTTATAGATAATATAATGAGTCAGAGAGGAAGATTAATCAAGCTCTAGAACTACAACACACTACAGCAAGACCGGAGAGACGCGGAGAAAGCTGAGCAAGAGGAAAGAGAGGGGGGCGATGATAAGTCCGTATAATATCGACCCCTCTCCCCCGTTTCTTTGCCGCTGCTTCCTCCCTCTTCAACCTCCTCTTGATGTAAGCCTAGCTCTGATCTCTACTAAAAAAAGAGAGGCGAGAGTATTGTGCGAGTGAACTCAGTGACTCAGTGTGCACACACCCCTCCCACTCCTGTCCCAAACAGTCCAGGCGGTCCCAGATAAAATATATTCCTCATAATGCTCCTGTGTCCTAGGGTTTGCTGCTGCTGTCTCGTTGTTTCTTGCCGCCGCCGCTGCCGCTGCTGTAAAGGCTGGGATTTGTCACGAGGGGGTGAGGGGCTGCCCCCATGTAGGGCCCAGCAGTGGCTGCGTAGTTGAAGATGGCAGGGAGGAAAGGGAGAGGCTCCACCTTGTCCCCTGCAGGTGCCATCATGTTCAGAGCCACAGGAAGAGCGGCCAGGTTGTAGGGGTAGGCCAGCAGCTGGGGTCCGTAGAGCAGCTGGTAAGGGTCTGGGTAAAATGGCAGCTTAGCAAGTTCCCCGCCATTAGGGACCATCATTTTTCCCAAGGGGCCGAAGGGAAGAGCTCCAGCAGGATATGAAGACATTAGCAGGTTTTCCTCCTGCTTCTTACTAGAGCGGTAGCCATCCGGCACAATGAGGGGTAGGGGATAATTCTGGGCAGAGTAGCCCACTGGGGTGGCGTCCTCCTGCTGGGAGTCTCTGGAAGAAGCGGTGTCCTGTTGCTCCGGCTCAGGTGGCTGGGGAGCTCGGGGGAGAAGCAGAGCGTGGGCAGAGGGGCGGTCACAGGCACCAGCTGCTCCAGTGGGCAGCGTGAGCCTGTCGAGTCCTTGAGAACTGGAGTGAACCTGGCGGTTTGATTGAGCTAAGAGTCCAAGAGTTGAGGGGGACCGGCAGGGGGACTTGGGAGTGTGCCTGTGCGAGGAGGGGCCGTTTATAGTGGTCTGAGTGTGGATGTGCTGGGGGGACGGTACAGGGCTCAAGGGCTCCTCTTTAGGAACCAAGAGAGAAACCTGGTCCTCTGGAGCATGTGCTACTCGACTCATCTGCTGGACCTTCTCCTTCTCTGCTTCTTTGACTATCTCTCTGTCCCTCTCCCTCTCTTTCTGTCTCTCTATCTCCCTCTCTTTCTCCCTCTGCCTCTCCATTTCCCTCTCTCTCGCTAAAATGGAGGACATGGTCAGGTCTTGTGCTTCGGTGGGAGAGGGACTCCTGGACAGGGACTGAACTCTGAGATCTTGGACCAGAGGTGGTTCCTCGTAACCCGCATGCAGAAACATACCGCTCCCGCCCTGCCTCTCTCTGTCCATAATGACCCCATCCCGTTTCATGAATCCCCCCTCGGAGCTGAGAGCTGTTGTCATGGAAACAGGAGGAGCAGCAGTGGTTATTCTGGTCTGTGACGTCATGGGCACATTTGGAGAGGTGTTGGTGGATGCCATGATGTGAGCGGGGCTGGGTATTCTGTGCATCTGGCTGTCTAGGCTCTTTTTACTGGGGGTGCGGTAGTCCAGACATTCAGGTCCATTCATGACTAACACAGTTTGGAGAGTGGAGGGTGTGGCAGGCGTGGAATTGTGTTTAGTGGGTGTAAGGTTAACGGGGCTTTCTAACGGAGGGTCTGGTATTTGTGGGCTCGGCTCGCTCTCCGGGGCTCGATGCGCGATGAGCTCTGTCAGTTCAGGTCTGTCGCTGGATTCTGATGACTGATGCGGGTTTGTCGGCTCCTTGGGTTGCTGTTGTGATGCCAGAAGGTCAACGGCGCTGGGTGGGTCCGGCGTTGAGTAGCTGATGACTGAAACAGAGAGAGCGCAGGGTACCTGTCCGGTCTCGGCGTCCAGGTCTTTGCTGATGGCGTCTGTTTCTGTTGGTTTTGGTTTACAGTCGTCCTCTTCCTTTTCTCTCTCTGGGGAGCTGCTTAACTCATGGCGTCGAATGTGACGAGTAAGTGCTGAAGACGTCTTGCAGACTTTGTGACACTGTGGACAGGTGTGTCTCGATAACGCTCTTCTGCTTAGGCGACTTGTACTGGAAGAAGTCCCGATCAAGCCCGCTTGCCCCCCTTTATCTTCATCATACTTTGCGATATCTGGGACAGGTTTATCTCTCGGCCCTTCAGCTTGTTCGCCAAGAGCCACTTTAGGGGGTGCAGAGGATACCTCAGTGGGCTTGGGATGCTGGGCCCTCTGGTGGTCTTCTAACTTATCTCTTGAGGGGAAAGTGGCTCGGCAGAAGAGGCAAACAAACTCCAGCAGATGACTCAGCTCGTGTTTGTCTCTCTTCCTGGGGCTTGAGAACCAGCGGCCGCATGTTCCACACTCCGCCGCGTTCCCGTTAGTCCAAGGCCGCCGTTTGATCCCCGAAGAAGGAGCCACTGAGGTAGACACAGGAGGCTTTGGAGAGTTAAGAGGAGGTGTCGCGATGTCACCGGGGGGGCCCTTCACTTGTTCTTCCACCACTTTGTTTTTCTCCTTCATGTGGACAGAAAGATAATCGCTCTCATCCCCCTCTCCTTTGCTTCTGTTCGGTTTTGACAGTTTTTCAATCTTCTCAGTCTCCCCCTCCTCTTCCTCGTCCTGTGATTTGTCCGTGTCTTTATTCACACGGTTCTTGAGCCTCTCCGCCCTCCTCTTCAGCCTGATGGAGCGCTTGAACTTGAGTTTCCTCTGCCAGCTCTTGACCCGTTGCAGGTGCGCTTGGGCCTTTCTTTTGGGTTTGTAGGAGTAGTAAGGCCGCCATAAATTATCCTCTCCATCTTGGTCGCTGTCTTGCTCACGTACCCCCTGACGGAAATAGTACTCTCTGACCCGATCGGGGGACTTGGAGCTCTTTTTCCTGCCGTCCTCCTCACAGTCCCCTCCTTCTTTATCCTCCTCTGCTTCCAGGCTCGTTCTACGGTGGGGGCGGTGTTTGTGTTGATGGTGGTGGGAGTGAGCGTGGCGAGGCTCCTTGCCTTCCTTCGCCAACGATGTTTCGCCTCGTTTGTTTTTCGGGGGAGAAAGGCTCTTATCTCTCCTGAGGTCTGTCTCGGAGATGCTGCGTTTGACGATGGCCTCCTCGCCGATCCGTACAGTAATCTGACACAGCGGCCCTGCCTCTTTGACCTGCGACCCTACAGATGCTGACAGCTGCTTTGAGTTGGAGATGTCGCTCTTGCTATGAGACTTGCGTGATTTGTGAATTAACCTGCCCGTCTCTGCATCCTGTCTACTTCTCGGCTGCTGCTCCTCTGCGGTATCTGAACTGTCTCTGGACCTCTTCCTGTGGTTCTCTGCGCTATCTCTCTGCTTTTTGATCGGCCTGGGACTGCCCTTATATGACGCCTCACTGTTGCTGGTATCAGGGGATGGACTATTTGTCTGACTCTTTTCACTCCCAGAGGTGACCTGATTACTATGCACAATGACGGAGGACGACACGGCTGTCCCGTGAACTATGACAGAAGGTTTCGTATGGCCATATGTGATCACAGAAGGCATGCTTGTTTCTGTGCCTCTACCGGTCTTAGGAGTTTTGGTTTTGCTGCTACTCGACATTTTGAAGCTGCCACTGCATCTCCCCTGTTCTAAATCAGGGGCCTCACTGTCATGTTTTCTAACTTGGGGCATATGGGTTTGGGGGAGGGGTGTCAGCGCTGAGAGGTCACTTTGCTCAGCAGCCACAGAAACAGGGAAGCCATCAGGGAAGGCATCTGGGTCAGGCTTTACAGTCTGATGGTGGGCCCCACTGATGAGACTTTGTAGGTCCTCAGGACCCAGAGCACAGCCCAGGCCGGGCAGCGGGAGGGAAGGCGTGTCAGTTGGTGGCAGCAGCAGGCCGTTATGCATACTGTCATTGTAGGTTTTGTACGGTCTCTTCTGGGAGCGCATCGGGAGAAGGCGGTAGAGCTTGAGTGCGTTCGCTTTCTGCTTGTAACCGCCGTTAGCGGTTTTCTCACTGGAGATGAGACTGGGGTTAATCCCATGAATGGTCTTCTGGTGCGTCTTCAGATTGTAGTAGGTGGCGAACGCATCCCAGCAAAAGATGCACTGGTAGCGCCTCTCTCCCGTGTGCCACACCTCGTGTTTGGTGCGGTACTCGGCGAGGGCGAAGACCTTGTCACAGTAATGGCAGGGGTATCTGCGGCGCCATGAGTGTACATTAGAGTGACGTTTCAAGCTGGACAGGGTCATGTAAGAGCGCTCGCACACAGAGCAGAAGTAAATGACATTGCCATCTACCACCTTCACAAAATGGTGCTCATCACCCTCTAGTAGCTCTGAGGCTGCTGCATCATCACCTTGGATACGAGCCAGGAGGCTCCTCGCTTTCTTCCCTGGCCGCGCCTTACTGATGTCTGTTCCTCTCATAATCACTCCCCCCTCCACTCTCACCTCACCCTCTTCCAGTGGCTCCTCCTTTGGCTGCACAGTGAGAGGCGGAGGGCCCAGGCTATTGGAGGGTAGACCTGGCACCCTGCAGGATGTCTCATGGGATTGCAGTCGCTTACTGTGGATGAAGACTTTGCCACAGTAGCGGCAACTCAGGGCGCGGCTACCACGATGCAGCCGCATGTGGACCGTGAGGGAGGAGGCTGAGCTGAAGAGCCGATGGCACACCCCGCAAATCAGCTCAGGCTTCAGGCTGTCAGTAGGGGGATAGGAGGATGAGTGAGGGGGTGCGGTAAGACCCTCGGATGGGGGAGGAGGAGGTGGTGGCAAAGGGGGAGGAAGTTGGAGGGTGGGTGGGTGAAGACTTGGTCCATGAGGGCTGCCCACTTTCCCAGCTGGTCTCCCTGTGATTTTCTCCCTCCTCTCTGCGTCCCCGCCTCTCTGATAGGCCGACGTGCCCAGACTGAAGAGGATCTGGGCAGTCCGAGAAGGAGAGGCTGTGCCGTTGGCCAGCCTGTGCCTTTCATCCCATCCGTCACCTCCATAACAACCCCCTAAAGACCCACTGGAAGATCTCGGGGGCGACCTGTGAAACTGAGTCTCTGGATTGAGTTTGGAGCACTTGAGAGGAGGCGGAGATTTGATGTCCTTCCTCATAAGTGCGTGAACAATCATAGGAGATGAGGAGGAGGATGGAGAAGAGGACGGAGAACTCTCGTGTCTCGGTGGCTTGAACGGTCTGTGCTTTACGTCCGTGGTGGCGTCCAGCTTCCACAGAGAGCCCTCGTCTGAGCTCTTGGAAGATGGCCTCCTTCGATGGGGGGAAGGGGAGGATGAGGAGGAGCTACGGCAATGGGATGGAGATGTCAGAGAGGCTGGGAGGGGGGCAGCACTAAGTGGGAAGCTTAAGGTGATTTTGGCATTTTTAGGTCCGTCAGCCATGTCCTCCAGCCTGTCCTCTACCATGGCCTCTCCCCGGCCTACATGTCTTTTACCCTTCATCTCCAATTGCTCAGCTTCCCCTCCCTCCTCCTCCTCTTCCTCGGGCTTAGAAAAAACCCTTACACAGTGAAGTGGGTTATGTGGCTCTCCGCTCGAGGTGCAGGAATTTAAAGACGAAGGGAACAGCAGGGGGGTCTTGACTTGGTGAGAAGGGTCTACAGCCACCGATGACCGTGACGGCGAAGACACAGGTGACGACCGCTGACTCTGCTGCCTCGTCGTCGAGTTGTTTCTCGCAGTTATTGTGCAGAAGGGAGTTAGCCCCGCAGCCAGGCGTTGATCACTCAGACGTGACTGGATACGGCCCGCATGGAGGGGGTCCCACACCTTCTCTCCGGACACCATGACCAGCCCTCAAAATCTGAAAGAGAGATCAGACAGAACCTATTAGCTATGGGAACATAAAGATAATTACGTCACATTAACATAAAGAAGCGAGGGATTAACTTTACATCCGAAGCTTCGCAGTAGCAGACATGACGCTTGTGGAACGCTTTTGAAAAACGGAAAAGAAAACTAAATGCCCCAGAAATGCTGAGCTCCGACAACTCAGCCAGGGCTGGTGAGTGAAAGAAGGGAGAGGGTAGGGGGAAGGAATGAATCTGCGGCAGTGCTGGTTTAGATTTCAGCATGCCACAACCAAGCCTTCAGAAAGGCATTCCAGTGATCCATCTCCCTCTGCAGTGACAAAACATTCCCTACGCATAATTGGAAGGTGTTCAGGTTTAATCAAGATTCTCTGATAATAGAGGGATGACTTAGATCTACGGCAATAACACATACAGAAATAGTTCAACCCTCTTGAGCAGAAACCTCATTAGCCATTCCTGGCAGCGGCCTGCATTTGCCGGGCATGACTCTAACCATTTATTTGTGCAGGCAAAGGCGGTAGGGTAGAAAAGAGGGGAAGAGGAGAAGGGAGGGAGATTGCATGCATGTGCACAGAGAAGGGGTGTTTTTCCGCCCTCTGCATCCGGTACAATCTCGGCTAAGCTGTAGGAGATGAGGGACAGGCTATTCTCATTTCTATTCTAATTCCGCTGCCATGGTGGTGGATGCCGTCCTCCTACAATTTCTTCATACGAAAGATAGCTGCGGATTCACATGTCGGGAGGCAACTCGCTGTTTATTACTTATTCAAAATGGGTTCATTTGTTTTGGTCCGCAGATTGAGACGAAGAACTGAGACGGCGATAATGATGCGACCAGAAGAAAAATCCTCAGTCATGCTTTTCTGCCTGCGTTTTGAAGCAGCAAAGCAGCCAGGAAGGCAGGCCGCTGTAAAATTCCACAGGCAGCCCTGAACAGGCAGAAACTAGGTCAGCACTGTTATTGCAGAGGGAAGAGGAGGGAGAGAGGGAGAGGGTGAGGATGAGGGAGAGTGAAAGGGTGATAGAAAAAGGGAGAGAGGAAGAGAGCGCAAGAGACAGAGAGAAAGAGAGAAGAAGAAGAAGAGGAGATGGGGAGGATGAGGAGGATCAGGCCAGTCAGACACGCTGCACTGTAAGACAGACTGAGGCCCAGGCAAACACCAACACACACAATACCAACAAGCACAAACAAACATGTATGTGTACTCAGCACTGAACATACACTCATACATGCCCACAGGCAGGACAGACAGGTATAAACAAAGCACTTGGACAAGGATGGGCCCATTTGTAAATGACATTCAAACCGAGAGGTAAACCTGACGTGTGACTTGGCTTCAGGTCTGAGGGTCCAGGTGGAATCAAGTATCGTCAACAAGAAGAAAACAGAAGGTTCTCTTGATGACGTCCTTTGTGCACGCATGCTTTTGTTGTGCCACCAATTCATGGCTTTCCAAGGATGCACAATTCTGTCTCGACAGGCTTCACATATTCTCTTGTTCTGTATTGAATCAGGCCTTCATTGTCAGCCACGTTCGCTGAGCGATAGATGTTTTGCAGGAAATCCCTGATGGGAAGCGGCAGCGTGCTACAAGTGGGCGGACACACTGTGAGACAGCGTTCAGGCTAAGAATTTCACCATCTCATCTGATGCTCGCGCCATGGACAGGAAAATGCGTATGACGCCCCCTCGCTCTTCTCTTTATCTCCCTGTGACGCACGCAGTCGCAGCACAAGCAGAGCAGGCACGACACGCTGTCTGACTGTGACAGACAGCTTTTAACACGCTTTGAATGGTCTGGATTTACGCATAAACACGGAAATGTCTTCACCAATGCACAGAGAAGACACTCTAACCTATTTCTTATTTGTGCGCAAACATTAACACACATCTGTCTTTTTTTTTTGTCAACTCACATGAACTAAAATAAATGCGGCCTTGAATATGGCAAGAACCCTAAAGCAGATTCAAAATAAACAAGTCAGTTCCCACACCTCTCTGCAACAGGATGTTCAGTGCAAACAAACAAGTTGGTGAGCTGTGAAGTGTTAATCTATTTCTGCTCGTGGCACCTCAAAACCACAAAACATGAGAAGGTTTTCAGCTAGTGCAGGTTAACTCATAAAGTTTACTTAAGTCAAAACAAAACCTATTTTAGCATAGAGATACTTCACAGACAGAGAGAATGAAAAAGAAACACCACTGATACGACTGAATCCACATCAAATCACAAACATGAGATTAAAAAAAAAAAACTGTTTGCTTTTCTCTCTCTTTTTTTATTAGATTTTACTTTGGAAGCGGCACAAACTCGTCAATTAGCCTCCCGCTGTAACTTTTGAACCGTTTGACCAAATCATCCAAAGTGCCGTTTGGCTCAATAACCCTGACATATTGTCAGATCTAAATTTGGGACTAGTTCAAAAACAACAGAAGTTTTTGCTGTTTCACTCGATGTTCCTTCACCACTCCCACCAAAAAAAAAAAAAAAAAACATTACAGACTTCATGACCTTGGTAACCATGAGTTTGAAGCCGCTAACTATGAAACGGAAAATCAGACTCTGGGAACATGACTGTTAAAGTGGCCTTGCATAACATAAGGCAGGACGGCAGAGGAGTTTGGCTGGTACGCCGGCAGAAGGCCTTGAACCAGCCGTTAAGCAATCTGTTAATCCGCGCTGAAACTGGTACTTGTGCTGACAGACAAATAACTGTTAAGATTCAATTCTTGTCTTTCTGTTGTTGTTGTTTCTTTTTTTCATCTCAAAGGAAATCCCTCAACTAAAAGATTTCAGATCGTATGAAGTTTCAAGAAAAAGTCTATGCAGCTTTTTTGTCAAAGTTTGGCTCTAAACAAAACTGTTATGAAACCTTTGTTCAAATGTCTCTTCAAGTTGAGGATTCAAGCTCTAATAATTGTGAATTTAACAGTTAAAACTGTTTTAGGATTTAATCAAAACATCAACAACTTCTTTTTTACTCTGAGCTGCTTTTAATATCTTGAACAAGAAATAGTTTGGATGCTTTTTAAGCAACAGAGAAAAATCTGTCCGTTTCTGTATCTACCTACCTAAATGCCAAATTCACCGAAGCATAATGTAATAAGGCACAAGGAGTCAGATGACTTATACTAGCCAGAGGTTGAGAGATGATCGGGATCTCTGCGTTCTGCAGTAAAACGGCAGCTAAAACGTATGTATACAAAGCTAAAGTCACCTGATGGATTAGACTCCAGCCTGGAGCGCTGCAGGTCAAAGCAGAACCAGGAAGTCAGTCTGTAATTCTGTAATTTCTTCCTCCCACTCAGTTTGCAGCGTCTCTGCGTTCACAGATCGTAGCCGTTAATTGATTGCTGAGTTTAAGGGTATAATTATCCAAAAGGCATGATGGTCAAATTAAAGAAAATGGGAACCGAGATATAACGAATCAGGATAAACCTTAAGAGTTCATCCTTATCTGTGATTTGCTGTCGTCCTGTCAGAGTGCGTGTTTTAGTTTGTGTGTGTTTCAGTTTGTGTGTGTAAGGGGGGTAAGGGGAGTGCCTGGAAGGCAGAATGTGGGGGGCCTCGGTGTTCCAGCCGGTGAGCCAGCGGCGAAGCCCATGAGGGAAGAGGAAGGTGTCGGTTAGGCTTTCTCCCCAGTGAGGGGCAGCCAGAGGGGCCCAGCTATTGGAGCAGCAGTTGGTCTGTGAAGAAAAGGGTGTATGTGTGCTCGTGAGGGTGTGTGTGGGTGGGTGGGTGGGTGGGGGGGGAGCATCGTTAGCAAGAACTGCTACTGAACTCTCCACAACCCCCCGGCCAAGAGAGCGTGGTGGAGCCAGCCAGATGGGATAGAGAGAGGGAAGGAGGGAGGAGGGAGGTAAGGGGAAGCTAGCCTGGGTTGGGGAGTGGTTGAGTGGAGGTGGTAGTGGTGGCTGTGGTGGTGTGAGGAGGGGGGAGGCAGCGGAAACTTCAAACATGTCTCTCCTATGTTCACATTTCATGGTTTCCTTGTCTTTCAGATCCCCCTCAGCATGACTGCCTGGATGCCCCCTTCATCTACCCCCTCCCGACGTGTAAAGTGTCGTATCGTGGTGTTTTTGCATGCCGCTCCACGCACCAGCGAACCTGTCCATGTCTAAAACGCCACACTCTCCACGCTCTGTTAGCTCTCAGCCCAGCACGTAATTCCTATAATTCTGCTCGCTGCAACAGAACCTTGGGAGACATTAGGAAACAGTAAGGCCAAAAAGTAACCCCGGGGAGCAGTAACACTACACCGGTGACCTTTCTGAGGTTATTTCCCCAAAATCATTTTCAATTTCCAGACGAGTCCCCGGTAAGGGGGCGGCAGTTAGCCCCCGTTGGAGTTGTCAGTCTCGAACAACAAGGAAAAATTTGTGCATTAGCGAAGGGCTGAGCCGAAGCACCGACCATTAAGAGCGAGTACACGGCGGGTTAGAGAAGACGAAGCACTGCACCAGTTTCCTGAACGTGTCCACATCCTCTATGTTTGTGGCATGTCACCCAACAAACCCGCTTGGTCTCGCAGTCAACAAGACTTGCGTGTTTGCACTTTTCACGCCGAGGCCTAGTGGAAAAAACTGAATGTTACCCAAACACAAAAGTACTGTGACAACACGGTCTGTGTGTGACACCACAGCGAGAAACTGCACTTCCTATTGTCTGACCTATGACCTCTACTCCTCTGACAGTGTGGATCATATGTTCCATACAATGAGCGGAGGGGGGCTTTGGCTTGGCATCCATGAAAACCAGGAATGTGAAGTAGTTGGCAGCAGATGCTCTGTTGTTTTGGAAAAAAGAGCGAGGCTTAGGGCAGCGACAACGGGGTTCGGTGACATGAATATGCCCTCTGCTGCTCCACGAGAGACAACCTCCAGCAAAACAACAGGCTGGTAAAATGGAGGACAAACGGGGCGGCCCATTACCGAAATAAGAGACAGGACCAGTCGGCGGGACAAGAGATGTTTACTTATGCCTACATGCCAGTTTTTCTCCCAGAACACTTCCTCGGATGCAGGTGGTAAGTTCATGGGCAGCAGAGGGGGGACTGGCCCGCTACGTTAAGACCCCAACAACAAAGCTAACATCTGTTCTGACATGTGCTGACCGCCCCGCGTCTGCGGTGGAACCAAAGAGACGAGAGAGGCTTCGATAAATTAAAAGTTTCATCACAATCTCAGAACGAGTCATCGCTCTTGAAAAAGAACTGCGTGGTGCGCCAGCAACGGAGAGGGGAGGATGAGGGAGACGAGGCCTTTAACTGGCACACGCATATACACACACACACACACATACAGAGACAGACCTCGCACAGACGCACACACACACTAATACACTTCCACAAACACGCTGCATAAATACGCACACCCACCACTGCTCACGCCCCAACACACGCACAGTAAAATAAAAACCTTTTCCTCCTCTTCACGCGCGGAGCAAGCACAGCCACAGCGGCGGAGTGAAGCAGAAAAACAAGCAGGAAAACAACAGAATTCAGCCTCTCTTCCTCTTATTCTCTCTGGCTGTCTCTCAGGAAGGCAAGCATACAAGAGAACGTACCTCGGAAAACCTCCTGCTGCATCTCTGCTGCGATGTGTTCTCTCCCCTCACACTCCCTCTCTCCCTCTCCCCTCTCTCTCTCTCTCTCTCTCTCTCTCCCCCTTGGTCTGTGTATGCGCACGTCTGAGTGTGTATGAGAGAGAGAGAGCGAGAGAGAGAGAGAGAGAGAGAGTGCAGGGAGAGGCGGTGCGCACACACACATACAGGCAGCAGTGTGTGAAGACAGAGGGCAGGAGCGATTCTCACACTCGAACTTGCTTGCTCTCTCACTCACTCCCCCTTTTCTTGCTCTCTCTCTCGCTCTCTCTCCTCTCTCTCTACAGTTTTTGCCTCTGACACACGATTCTTAGTGTTTTTGCTCTTTTTTTTCCTGCAAGTGATTCCCCCCTCTCTCTACCCCCCAAACCACCCCCCTCCACTGAATCCAATCTTCTTTTTATTTGGAAGTGTTGTTCCCTCACTCCACACACACACACACACACACACACTACTTTATATACACAAAGCCCAGCGATAGGGAGAGGGAGGGAGAGGCAGAGGGAGACAGAGTGGGAGAGCAAGCAAGCAAGAGGACGCCATTTAAGCAGTTTGTTACGAGCACTGCAAGTCCCCAAAATGGCTGAAAACAAACAGGAACCACGCCAACTCAAAAAACCTGGGCACGGGGACGAACGGACGGACACACAGACAGAGAGTGAGAGGAGAGAGGGAGAGAGAGACGGCAGGAAAGTGAGACAGACAGAGGACAAACTGGTGCTAGTCAAATGGCCGACAGGAACACTCTGTGAAACAAGTGAAGTTGATAATGGAGGCATTAAAGGGGTACTCCAACAATTCAGGACTGCGCCTCCGTAAAACTGAGGAGCTCGTGGTAACAGGTTAAAAAAAGAATTGTTCGAATCGATGCAGCGGGGGCAGAGATACCCCGACTTTTAGTCGCTCGTCTGGGTCAACCTCATTGGTTCCCAACATTTCCCATGGTGCTACTTGATAGGGTCCTATGTTTGACTCTCCCTTGCTGGCAAATGCCCACATCTTCAACCTCCACATCCTAAGTTTCCAGTCCTGAAGGGCGTTCAGCTCAAAATAGCACCGTGTGAACACAAAGCAACAGGCCAAGTTTGTTGGGGCGTGTTCCTTCAGGTACAGGTGAACCACTTTATCCCAGGAGGCTTCGTCTGTGGGAACGAAGGCACAGCACCGTGTTCAGTTTAACTAAAAAGGGTTTCTCCAGACTTAAAGAGTTTCCTTTTCCTCAATTATTCTATCTGTCAACTTGAAAACAGAAGTAGACACTTAGGGTTGGGGTTAGGGGTTAGGGGTTGGTGTGAGGGTTAGAGGTTAGTGTTGGGGTTAGTGTTAGGGTTAGGAGTTGGGGCTTGGTGTTAGAGGTTAGGGGTTGGTGTTAGGGTTAGGTGTTAGTGTTGGGTTTAGTGTTCGAGTTAGGGTTAGGGGTTGGTGTTTGGGTTTGAGTTGGGGTTGGTGTTAAGATTGGGGCTGGGGTTAGATGTTGGGGTTAATGTTAGGGTTGGAGTTGGGGTTAGTGTTAGGATTGGGGTTAGAGGTTAAGGGTTGGTGTTAGGGTTGGGAGTTAGTGTTAGGGGTTAGGGGTTAGGGGTTAGGGTAAGGATTCCATGCTTTTGTTTGCAGGAAGAGTTTGACCATGAGACCTTTAACAAAGCCGTTCCCTAGTCCAACACAAAGCTCCCTCATGCTTTGCACGAATCTTGCATGTTAATTCATTTGCATTGTGGTTACTATTTAAAATGCTACAGGGTAAACAGGAGGGGATATTTCAGTGTGTTATAAATCAAACTTGCTAGCTGCAGATTTGGCCCAACAGGCCCATAAATAACTTTTAGTACTTGGCTCTTATCATCTTCTAGGGCCCAAAATGGCAACCAGTACATGATCATATTTCTCCAACTTTTGCTATGTCCTGATATTAACAGACTGGAATGAGCTCCCTCTTATGAGTAAAGTGGTTTTCATTTGACATACCAGCGAAGCAGCTCTTTAAAAGAGAGAAGAGGATAAAAGTGGATTGACAAGGACGAAAACTAGGACAGGGAGACTCCTCTATTGTCCGTGCCCACGGATAAAAGCGCTCAAGTGCTATCAGTAGCAGTGCTGGTCATGTCAGTTAACCGCTTTCAGGTCAGCATGTGTATGTTTCAAACATATGTGGCTGAACTTGAAGTATCACTGACCGGTGCGAGTTTGTTTTCAAGCAGGCCACCAAATTAATGGTGCCACTTCAGCGCCATCGAGGCCCGCAGCCCACTAATCCCTCCAAAATCATCCGTAACCATGCAAAATGCCTCACAACAACAACCCACTTCTCTCTGGTTGCTCTCGGAAATGCGCGTCACAGTCAGTGGAAATTCCGCATATCTCTATTTGTCGCCTACGAGGCACTGAGCGGCCTTAGACCAGGAGGAATTCTATCAGCTGGGACAGGAGCGGCAGAAAACTGAACTAAGGGGACGGAGATTGTTCCAGATCTGTTATCCTACAACACCATCATACTTCCCACTGTCCTTTTGAGTAGATCTGCTACCCCCCCGACCCCCTCCCCACCCCAGAGTACCCACCAACTGAACCTTGACGCCAACAACCCGCCCTCCTCCTACTCTTCCACTGCCCTTTCCCTCTCTCTCTCTCTTTCATCACTCTCTCCCACCCTCATTGTACGCTGCCACACTTGTCTCCATGGGAACCGCTCTGGGATTGGGTGTTGTGCCTGTGACCTCTCTGGCTCTTGGAGTTGGATGAACTTTTTTTTTTTTCTTCTCCCCTTCCCCTCCCTGTCCTCTCTCATGCACTCCTGCACGTTTTCAAAGCATGCTGGGTGTGTTTGGATGGGACGCATGACAGCAGTTGTGTGTCGACTCGGGACAGGACAGTAAAATTAAATCTAGGGGTAACATTATGCCTGTGTGAAAAGACGGAGCAGAAGAAAGAGCGGGAGGGTGTGAGCGAAGCAGATTGCATGTTGGCAAAGACAATAGTGATTGTGTGTGTGTGTGAGTGTGTGTGTGTGTGTGTGTGAGTGAGTGTGTGTGTGCGCTCCAGGAGTGTGGCTGCTTGGTCCACACATGTGTGCTGGCATTGTCCCATGGTTCAGCCAGACACAAACTCTGTATTCAGAGGCACCCTCGTTGTTCATGAGTGATTAGTTAAACACGGTCATCGCTTTCATGCAGCGCTACCAAGTGACAGCCCGTCTGAATATACAAAGATGAAGGAGCGGAGGAAGCCACATTGGTGGAAAATCTAAACTCTTTCAGACAGAGTCTTGTAATACTTAACAGGTGAAATGGAAAAAACAGCTTAATTGAATCTTATGATCTGTATTAAATCCAGTCTCTGGCTTTCATGATAAAACTGCATGGTTTACATCCAAAATGTGGGGCAAGACAAATTCTTTTTCACTAGTCAATTTTCCATTTATCTGGAGAGTAAAGGATTCAAAAGAGCTTTCAACATGTCCTTCAGAAAGAACCGGCGGATTCATCAAACAAAGGCAATGTTCAAAAAGAGCCAAAACTTGCAGTTCCTAAAATGGCCACACGAGGCCAACCCCGAAAGTGAGTGAAATCTTACTGACACTCATGTAAATCTGCCCAACTTCAGAGATTAACAAACCGGCTTTTTTTTTTGAGTACAAAACGATTCTTTATGTACGATTCTTGACAACTCTGAGTGACTTCTTTTTTTAAATTGTAAAAACTTTTTGTTCTAAGGGGCATGCTAATTCCAAACTCAGACTCTTTTTTAAAATTGTTTTAATATTCAAAATTTTTTAATAAACCTTTTTGAGAATATGATTTGCTCTGAAGTTAATTGTAATTAGAAAGACTTCAAGATGTCTGCTCAGTTTTTTTTTTTGTAAACTATGAAAAATATCATTTAGAGACTATAGCGCAGGCCATGGTTGCGTGTCTTCCCCCGCCCTCTTTTCTCCACATTTCCTATTACTTTTCATCTGTCCTGTCTCATAAAAGGCCAAAATACACTTAAAAACATAATTATTCAAGGTAATTTACTGTTAATATTAGCCAGTCACTTGTGTCTGTGTCTGTTTGTGCATTGTCATAAAAGCTGTGAGCATTTCTAACTACAAAAAAAGCGCTGGCTCCAGTTTTGGTAAAACCGGTTCTTAACCTGGCTCTACCCAAGATTTGCCAAATCCCACAAGCTCTCAGACTTTTTTTTTTCATATAACACATAAACAATGGTAGTGTCAAGAAATATAAATTCATTCTTCCTTTGGGATAAACTTATGTCACTTCTCTAGCTAACTGAGCCTTGTGCCTGCTGTATAATTTGGATAACTCAGTCACAGCTGTCTACAATAACCAACGGGCGATGCAGTGGAGGCCATGACCAGGTCCTGATACGGTCCCTGCTTATTATGATTAAATACTCCGGCTGTGAAGTTTGGTGCATGCTTAAGGGCGTCCTGCTAATAGTTTCTTTCAGTTTTTGTAAACAGGGCTTAAGGTCACACACATGCACACACAACGGATGTAAAAGGAAGCGCGTTTCTGCAGAATGTGAAGAGCAGCAGCAGTTGACAACAGTAATACGCAGTGTCAACACACCAATTATAGAGGAGAATATCCAAAAGCAGAGCAGAGTAGAGCTAAAGTGCCTGGTTGTAATTGTCTGTGGAGATTGTTTATAGGAGACAAATAAGAAATTCTAACCAAGATGGTACTTTTTTGGTTGAAATGAGGGTAACTGTTGTATTTTGACTTAGAAAGGCACAGCAATCACCTACAAATGTGGTTTGTCTGTTTGTTTATTTCAGTAACACGGTTAAAATGATGATCATCTTAGAACTGATAAGGAAAGGAGTTCACAGAGTTCCCTATCCCAAAATGCAGAGTCACACCTTCACTCAGGCTGTTCTGCATCTGAGAACTGAATCCGTAAAATGAGCTCTGAGCTGCATTTGTCATGTGTACCGAACACCAAATCTTCATTTTGGCACATTGTTTCTCCAGATGATTTACTGCATAAAGATGACAGTTACATGAGTCAACTCTTTGTTCAACAACGTTTCATCCTGGATGTGTCTGAATCCTTAATAATGCACGTGAGAGTGTGAATATATCCTGAGGCATGCTCAGGGGTTAGTAAACATCCTCAGTGATCTCAAAAAAGGAATGACTAACCTGCTCTCCAGCTGACTTGGACCGAGATCAAAGTGGGAAGTCAGTCGAGGCTTGAGAAGTTCAAATGACAGAGGTTTTCTTAAAGAGGAAGCAGCGGCTTTACAAGGACGACGCAGCAGCGGCAGCAGCAGCAGCTCCTGTTTCTGCGGCCTAAGC